TCCGCGGTTTTGATGCTGAAGGTTGGTCTGTGCCATGATGTTGTGTCGTTGGTTACGGGGTTGTATTTGTCGTGCCACATTGCACCGCGTGAAGAGTCTGTTGCATGAGTGTAAGGCTTTTGGTGTCATCTCTCTGTCCTGTCTCTACAGACAACCAAATCCAGCTCCTGGATGTCATCTATTCGCGCTGGACCGGAGCTATCAATCACAAGAGGCGAATCAGCGCATTGGAGTGCAACGGGGTTTTTATCGGAATCCACAAACGAGCACGCTTTTTTTTCTTCCTTTGCCTACGAAAGTGCTGCTTAACACGAGCAAAGGCAAGTTTAGAAACATGATCCAGTATAAATCCTCAAGTGACAGGGCCAGCCTGATAATTAACTCGAACGAGAATCGTGCCCAGAGCGAAGTGGACTTGTCGGAAAAATATATCAACGGCCGGGTTCGAACCGGCGACCTTCTGCGTGTAAAGCAGACGTGATAACCACTACACTACGCTGATGTAACATTTTTACTTGTTAACCCCTCCGTCGCATGGTCCGGATTCCTATACACGGACTATTTTTTCACATGCTTGATATCAAGCATGTTAAAGAAAGCCTTTACTTGGAATTTGTATAGATGAAAAAAGTACAGGAACCGTATCTCGGAACAAAGTCGATTCAGCTGACCTGTTTATGAGACCACATGCTGCTTATCAAGCGTTGTTCAGGAAACCCGTAGAGCCCATGTTTGATGTAGCGGATATGAATATGGCCCTTTTACTAGGAGTGGGTTTTCTTTGCTGCTAGACGAGTGCAAAACGGCTACGAATGCGAAATTGTGTCTTGAACTAGAGAGTGAAACGCGTGACACGCAAGCACCTGCTTGCGTAGTTACGCCGCGTCTGCTCTACCTGTACGTAGTGTAGCGCACACATTTTTCAGCACTTCTTCATTCTCATGACATGGCTTCGGCAGTCGCCATGGACACCTTCCTCTCCACGGCTACGGACACGGTCTACTCTTTCTTGACTGCGCCTTCGACAGTGGCGGCGGGCACATTTTCCATAACAAAGACAGTATGTCTGGTGGCAACATCGGCTTCTTCTTCGTTGTCGTTGTCTACTTTTTCGTCTTCAAAAGCACTTGCACGCCTTATCCCCTAAGTACCCACCTGCATGAGATCAAGCATCAGCCCAACCATTTACCTGCAGGATGTCAAGCATGCAACACTTATAACGTTGAGCAATAGTAGCACTTGGAGTCGCGTATTCTATTTGCCTCAACCTACATCATATACACCTCTTGTTTGAACATTGGCGACCGCATCAGGTGCGAAGCCCCTACAAACACAACACTATATTATTATCAAGGCGGTGCCATGCATAACATACAACTATGAGATCACGAATAACTTTATTGACCATACATTGGCTTCAAGTGCTCCACAAGCGTCGTCATGGTTCCCTATTGCTTCAAAATCTTGGCACGACCAGCTCCGTACTTGCCTGCATACGATTGCCTGTCCCCGCGGCGCCTGAGCCGGCATGGTCTGGGCTGAATACGCTAGTCTCGTTGGTGGGTTTGGGGCCGCAGTTCGGACGAGATGGTAGTTTCAGGAGAGAATTATGTATCCACAGGCCTGTGACAATATGACGGATATGCAGCATGCAGTTAGAAGGTCAGTCCCCGCCGTGCTAGATATGCATGGTGTGACTACATACATAGGGTGGACTGCGTCGGCGCTTGCTGCTGGCAACGTTTCATGCGCTGGGAGAGAGTTTGTCCTTGCTTGTGGCTGCTGTGTAGGCGGTAGTGGCGACAGGGGTGGTGAAAGTACAAGTACACAGGCACAGACAGAGTAAGAACAAGCAATACAATGCCTGACGCTCCAATCGGCGTACCTGCTTGGGTCAACTCTTGCTGCATGATACCGACTGCCTCCCGCGTCTTTGTCTCGTCCCCTGCCGGCAGTACTGTTGCGTTTTCTAGTCCATTATATCATCGTCATTTGAGGTTGTCTGAGAGCATACAAGTAGTTGCACCATCATATACAATGTCAGAATACACAGTTGGTGTGCTGGTGTTTGCGGTGCATGATCTTACTCGTCCGTGCCGCCCATATCTGCCTCGATCCTGGTGTACCGTCATCTTACTCGCCGTACCCGCGCACGCGATGCTCTAGCTTGATGGCATCTCTTCGTTCCGGTCGACTTAGCGCGGCAAATTCTTAAATGGCTCCGGTGGCCTCCACCCGCCACCCACCGCGAGGGAAAGCGTATGTACCGACCATGGTCGAGGTGGATACATCGACCTTTCTTTCTGCCGTTGGCACCCCAAGCCCTGTGCATCGAGTACCAAATTGGACCAATCGACCAGTTTATGGGCTTTTCACATGCTTGATATCAAACATGTGGGAACATATGGCCGCTATATGGTAATTTTAACATGCTGCTTATATCAAGCCTTAGTGACGGGGGGAGGGTTAACGCACTTATATTGCTACTTAACTTAATCTGACGCAAAGTGTGTGTGTGTGTGTGTGTGAGAGAGAGAGAGAGAGAGAGAGAGAGAGAGAGAGAGAGAAATCTCAGAGGCTCTCCAGCGAAGCGCATAGATCGTGATAATACGCGTGGTAGTATTTATGTGATACACTGAGCAACTTGCGGTTACCATTTGCTGAGAGAAGCATGCGTGCAGAGCGCGCCTTAGCTGAAAACTGATGAAAAAGTGGAGGGAGTTTTTCACAACGATCAAAAGCTGTGGCATAGATATAACAGATAATGCCGATTTGTATACGATACATAATTCCTGTATTATACCTTTAGTTATTGTGAAAGCCGATTAGAATGTCTTATTGGATTGCAAATCGGCTGATTTAGTGGCTTATTAAGATTTTTCGTTCCAGATTTACTAAATCCGACCACTTAATTAGACTGGGGCACATCGATTTAACCTCAAGATTATTAGCAAGGATGACTTGCAGAGCCAAATCATATGCATCAGATTTAGGTTTGCTAATCAGCCGATTTAGCCAGGGCCGGCCGATTTGCTTGCTATTCAGACGGAATGTCCAATGTGCAACCGGTATTCGCTCCTTGTAGGCTAAATCAGCCGAGCAGACAACAATCGTTGCAGTCGCTCTTGGCTAGGTATTATAGTCAAGGTTACAATACTAACAGCACAACTGTATTGATCAGGAAAAGCCGCAAGCTATAATACATGTAACTGAGATATGCAAGCGACGGGTTTAAGCGTGGCGTTGCCGCTGCACTCGGGCCTAGGTGGTGTATGTTGATCGAAATTGCTAGGCTGCACATAGTTACTAGACCGATGAACGATTTATACTCCGATTATAATTGACACATCCCCAATTTAGCAGCCTCCGAATCCTCTGAGAGCGATGCTTTACTGGCCAATTCAGCAGGACAAACTAATCGGTTTTCACAATACCAAAAGATACTCAAATTGGACCGGAACACTAAATCCAGTCTTACACAGACTCTTCGCTGTCTCAAATCGTGAATTCATCGAAACAGTTATCACTGAAGGCGCCCCCGTTGTCGTTCACGTCGTCAGCGTCTTCGTCAACGCGCTACTTCCACTCTGAGCAAAATAGCTCGCCGTAAAGGTCGTGTCGCGCCACATGCCAATATCTAAGCCTTGGCGAAACCCAGCTGCTGCTACCGAGCGCTCCATGACGTACAGCTGGAACATCGCGCCAGGCAACGTTCATCCAGTTCGCTACGGTCTCAACCGACGGTGGCTTCAGGTTTCCTCCGCGGGTGTAGAGCACAGCATCGGACCTCTTCCAGCCCTCAATGATGGGCGACAAATTATCCTTGAGCGACTTATAGATCCAATATCTCCCGCTTGCAAGTAGGGAGTCAATCCGCCCGGGATGACGAACGTCTGCACCGCTTTCGCGATGCACCGAGCCTTTACCATCTTGGAGATGTGTGCACGCATGTTGTCCCAGACCAGCGCTTTTCCCTGCGTGCATGTGTCGAAAATGAGCGGGAACACCAGATCCAGCCAACGCGTGAGAAGCGCCAGGTCGACCCACGCATTTGGCTGATTTACGACGTAGACGTTACCATAGTGTTCGATCTCCCCATCCTGCTTAGCCCTTTTCCAGACGACCAGCGGGGGCAGCTTGAAGCCAGTTGCCGTGGCAGCAAGCACAGCCGTCACACGCATTGATGCAAGTCCCGTAGACTTTAGCACGATGTGACGAGCACCAATTTAGTCTACCGTCTGGCGACGTGGGTCCTCAAAATAGACTACCGTCTCGTCCATCAGGATGGCGTGATCGTCGCTAAGCCCATCGAGGCGTGGCGTGAGATAACTGAGAAAACTCACCGCGCGGTCGGTCAACACATCATCGGTCAGCACGGTAAGGTTTGTCGTGCGGCACAGCACCAGTCCGTAGCGACGCATGAGCACGTTGATCTAGTGGTCTAACGCAGCGAAATCAGCATCGTCCAGCTCAGATGCGGCAAGCCGCTGTCCAACGTCGCTAATCCAATCGCGGGAGACATTCTCTTTCGCAGACCGGCGGAACAGCACTTGGTCGAACAGAATATCTTCGATCACGGAGAACCGTGGCTTAGCACCTGCCCTGCTCAGACGGCTGCGCAATGCTGGCGCGGCCTGTGCGCTGCTTCCATCAGTAGGGCACCTGAGCTTCGGAGACATTCCAGCCGCGCTCGTTCTTGTAGTACATTGCGGCAGGGGTGGGCACACCGACGTTTTGCTCGATCCACTGAATGACCTCTTTCTTCTCGGCCATTGACTTGGGCATGTGCGATGAGAGCATCTTCACTGGGAGAGGTTTGGTTGTGGGTTCATTTGTAGGGACTGGTAAACCCAGAAGAAGAGAGGCGACCAAGAAAATTGGTGGCTGAGGTGAGGATATTATATTTGGTGCGGTACACAATTATTTGACAGTGCCGGGCACCATCGAGATCTCGTTTACGACCCACCAACTATTTGATACCATTGAAAAGAGGACAATTAGAGTGAAAAAAATTAGAAGAGATCAACTTCAGAACAACTCTAGTTGCCGATATATCCGTTTGTATGCGATTCGCTATTTAAGCCGCCACAGGTCCACCTTTTGCGCCGAAAAGTCGTCCCATATAGATGTCCTCTAAGCCTTATTTTGGGCCGATATAGATACCCAAAATACTGTTTTGGGCATATTTCGTCTGCTTGTGGGCGATTTGAACATGACAGGGATCGCAGCTTGGCGCAGTTTTATGGACATTACAAAGCCGTTTCTGCACGAATGAAGCTGTTTTTGCCATCATAGTAAAGCTCACGTAAAGTTCTACTGATTGGTTCTTGATTCATGCAAATCGGACAAATATTGACCTCAGCAGCCCTATTTAGGGGCTCGATGATGTCCAGCACTGTGAGTGCCGGCAAGATGGCACACAATTTGGTCTAGGTACACTATCTGGAAAAGTACTCTATTCGGCATTATCCGTTAGAAACCAAGGGTGCTGTTTCGTCCACATCGTGGCTGTTCATCGTAGCGGCAACATCATCGCGGGGCGCTAAGAAGAAAGGAGCAACATCGACGCCGTGATGGTTAGCTCCAGTGGGGCTCAAGAGTAGTTCCACCGATCTGACTAAATTAAAGTTAAAATGTGGACCACATTGAATAGATATCAATTTGTTCTGTTCGACAAAAGCTGACCAAATCCAATTTGATCGTCATACAAAAACCAAGTGCACCGGCTATCCGCTGGCTAAATTTGACCAGTGGATAACCCAAAATTGACCCTTTTCTAACACCGACTATCGGCCTCCTGTACGAATTTATCGCGCCCTGAACCTTTTCCCGTTTAGCCCAAGTTTTAGTCGGACCGGTGGAAATGCTCTTAGCGTAAGCTGCGGAAGGGTAAATATGTCGTTGCGACGCACAAACTCATCAATGTAATCTGCTAATGTGCGCTAATACGTTACAAAACTAAGTTAAAACTGAAAATGTACTGACACGATGGCCGAGCGGTCTAAGGCGCTGGTTTTAGGCACCAGTCTTCGGGCGTGGGTTCGAATCCCACTCGTGTCACTTTTTCCGTGAAAATGACCTATCAATTATCTTTTGACAACCGTACCCCGTCATATTAGTGAACGGTAAGCTTCGTGGTCATCGTTTGACTTGATGTACCACGGATATAATCCTATTTGGTCTGCGATTGCAGCATTAACGTTGCTTCCTATGCCAGTACAATCGCGTACTTTGGGATGCCCCCCCCCAAAAAAAGCGCTAACGATGATGCTTTCGTCAAGGCTCCCAGGCGGCGATTGCCCGCCTTTCAGCTGCCAGCCTCTTTTCCGGCACAGTTTTGACTTGTCCTCCTCCACAAGCCGCAAAGAGTGGATATTTTGCTTTAGTGGGCATATAAGACCAAACGTATAGCGGCTGGCAGACGGAGATGCTGTTGGATGGGAGGGGGCACACTTTATAAAAACATTCATTAGCAACTAATTCCTGTCCCTCAATAGAGACGTGAAAGTCAAAGTATGTAAAAGAACAGCAGGTGGTCCTTCAAGCTCGTTTCTCAGCAGGCTTTTCACGTAGAATTCCCAGACGCGAGCGCTTCCAGCCGTTTTCTTGGATGACGTAATAGTGACCCTTTCGATATTTCTTGAGCTCATTTGTCTCGATCCAGCCTCCCGCTTTGTCCTTCAAAACGAGGAGAATGAGATTTTCCCCTAAAACATACGCTTCTTAACATTTTTTCGGATACATAGAACACCGGCTGTAAGAGCGCTATAAGAGGATACCAGATATAAGTGCTCTCAGCGATCCCCAAAACATCCAATAGTCAAATCAAGTCAAATCGGCTATACGACTATAATAGTGTAAGAGCGCAATCCTTAAAGAGTCCCCATACAAATATACAGGACGAAACGTAAACTTTATAAGACAACCTATGTTTTTGGCCTCTATGAGGCTATATTGTACTACTATATATGATAAATCATAGGTGAAGGGGAGGGCATATACCTAGTCATGTTTTTTTTTCCTTAGGGGATGTTTCATTCAGGGGTAAGAATAAGTTCAGTGGAATTTTAGCCAATCGGATCTTGCTAACCCCTCAACGCCCTAGATTCACCAAGAAACATGTTGTACGTACAAACATGTTAACACATGGGCGGATTAGCTGCATAAGTCAGGCCTGCCCGCACAATGCACAGGGCTTGGGTTCGGCGGACCAGATTACAGGATATAAACGGATATAAATCGTGCGAACGCATGCTTGAGTAAATACAAAGCGATGCCGTTGCTACGTCGATTCGTTTTATGGTAGAAAGAAACCGCTACCGAATCGACAACGATTCCATTACCTGATATTTTAGCATGTATTGTGTAAGTTGACCGGTGGTGTATTACTTGTAACTAACTGTGCACGTTATAGAGGACCCCAAGGAAGTGGCGTAGGTAGTGTAGCAAGAACAGTTGTGCCAAGTTGAGCGTGAAGCGTGTTCTAGCGTACATACCGGCATCCTCCCGGATACGTTACGAGGTAAAATGGTGTTTTGAGAGGGAATTAGAAATAGGATAGTGAATCGACTGGTATTTAGTCTGCAATGGAACCAGAGGGGATATACAAAGACCAGATTGCGCAGGTGTGTGGACCTCTGTAGTAAGGTGGTAGAAATTTGCGAAATCATGTGGAGGTGATAGTTCGAGGCTACAACGCGCTAGGTTTATGAATGTATTCACTTGATGCCTCGTCGCTTTCGTGCGAGGTGGCGTGCAAATCACTCTGCTTTGCACTCCCTTAGAGGTCCTTGCCCAGTCTCTTGATAAAAAAGCCACTGACCTCTCATTACAAGTTCTTATCACGGTGTCCATATACATGCTGTTTGTACAACATGATAAACAATTTGGCGAAATGGTCATGTCGTCGTTGTACACAGTCGATACTCGACATAACCACTTGGGAGGCGAGGACGTAGACGCGCTGCTTATACGAGGCTATAGTAAAACTAAGTGTTGCGCGACTTTAACATGCTGTACGACTATCATGTTGGGCGAGTATCGTGATATAAAAAACAAGTAAAAAAACAGCTTGGGCGCTGAGGGGCAACTTGATACAAATATATCCCGTCAAATTTGTTTCTAACAGATAACACGAGTTTTCGATTGAGTGGTCGGTATCAATGTACATCGTCGCTCATATTTTCCCATCAGATTGCCATTTTTATCGGTGAGAATGGCAGACTGTCCTCCAACACCACCGCGAGTCCAGTCTCCTGGTTCTATCATGCGGCCTGCACTCTTGGGTCTCCCTGCGGGGGTCCCCTCCCACACACCTCCGTCCCCTCAGGTCGATTCGCAGCCGTCCAACAGCGCAACAGGGATGCGGCCGCCGGTTCCTATCTCGCGATGAGCACCGAACTGGATAGTCAAAGAGGTACGCGAATATTTGGCTTAGTTTTATCTTAACCGTCTACTAAGCTTTATTGCAATCGTTACTACTTCTGTATGTAGACCAAAACTTTGCTTCGTCTCCGTTTTAAGAGATGCTCAAGCTTTTTGCACGCCAGCGTGGTATGTAGTTTCGTTTTACGTCATCTCCAGCGAATACTTCGTTGCGTTAGTCTCGGCTGCATAGCCGTAATAAGCCGACCAACGACGTCGAAGGTAGCTCGTAAGTTGCTTGAAGCAAGGGCGACTCATTCTGAAAGCTCGGCGAAAAGCTTCGTCCGAAGCATCATAATTGATTTGAAAATAGTTGTTCTCTGCTGTCAGGTCTTGTTGCGCTTCACTCTTTAAGCTTCGGCCGTATGCAGCACCAACGGCAGCGACCAAGGCAGCTAGCAATACAACAAGTACAATCACAAGTTCGTCTATATTCATAGAAAACTAGTCATTGTTGCTTGCTAGATTGCGTCGCCTAAAGTGTCTTGTACTGGGTTAGCAGCTCGGTGGGCGTGCGCTTGACCGGCTTTTCCTGTGCGTCCGTGGCCAGTTCCTTCTCGGACAACTCCTTCTCGGGCGACGTGTCGTCAGGCAGCGTGTCTTCGACCTGGACCTCCTCGGCAGGCGTGTCGTTGAGCGGCGCGTGCTGGGCCGATGCGTCCTCGACCAGCTCCTCGTTGGCCGGCGTGTTGTCGGGCGGCGTGTGCTCGGTCGGCCAGTGCTCGGGCGGTGTGTGCTCCGGGGGCGTGGACCGGGTGATGCGTCCTTGTCCAGCTCCTCGTTGGCCGGCGTGTGCTGCGGCGGCGAGTGTCCGGGGCGGCGTTTGCTTGGGCGCTGACCAACGCGTGTGGTGCCCGGCTTTTTTGTTTTTTTGTGAACCGTTGGTTACTTCTAATACACTTCGATACCTAATAGTCGCTTTGTTTTAATAGTTCTTAAAGACCCTCACCTATAGGCGGCCTTAACTTATCCCCATCCTCGAATGAAACATCCCCTTACAGGAGCAACATATTTATAAGAGAGATAAGCAGGGGTATGGCCAAATACCTCCACTATAGCAGGAGTTCTCTGTTATACGTGAAGTGCAAAAAAATCGTATCGTCAGCCTGGACTGTGATGAGAGCTGTAAGCCGGCCGGAGTGTTTCTTCAGATTCTTAACCCTGGCAGAGCCTCGCCGCCTCATCTCTGCCCACGAGCGGGTCAGCGGCATATAAAAATGTACACTGCTTTCCCGCGGTTCGTAGCCCTCAAAAACTGCGTTTCGATGAGATCGTCGTGGCTTTTAGGCAAGTACAGGCTTTTTTATTTGGGGGGGGGTGCTGTAAGAATAAAAAAGTTAACAGCTGGGATTTTCAAGTTAGAATACGGTTTTGTACAAAAAAACTGCAAATACCTGCAAATACCTGCAAAACGCCGACAGAGCTTCATTGAGGCCGCCATGCCGCTCGGCTCATTCTTCTTGTCTGCCATATAATCTTGGAGCCATGCCGCGGGGTTAGCCTTGATGTAATGGAGCATGTGGGCGGCTGACAGCACCTCTCACATCATTTACATATCAGTTAAAAAAAGATTAAAACATGTAGGTGAGCAACTCTCTCAAAAAAGGGATCGATCCCCGCCGCCCTGACCCTTCGGCGTGGTGCTCCTCGCAGCACCCTTGAAACCGCGAATGGTCTTCTTTTTGCCCCTATCTTGTAGTGCCCATCGTGGCACCCAAAAACAGAATTTTCAAAATGCATGGCACTTTCAATATCATACTTTCTCTGGAAGGGAACAGCTGGTGTAATATATAAGTTTTTACATGTATATCAATACTAACTCAAATTTCGATTTAAGGACTGTTTTATTTTCCAATGGTCCTAAACTAGACGTAGCGAAACCACCCCAACGGATAGTTCCATGATAATTTCCACGAGCGTGGCTAGCCCATGACTTCTTGCAGCCTCATTTCCGAAATGGCGGCGCCGGCATCTTTTCCATCCAGCAAGTTTGGCAAGGGGCGTTTCCAGGTCGACGACTTCGACCTCCAGGCTCCACGAAAGTTAGGCCTGATTCGTGAGGACGTCCATGTTCACTGTGAAGATTCGGCACATCCAGATTCCGGGTTCGCATACGACTGCCAAGCCAACGGGTTTTCCTTACAGAAGGCCCTGAAAGGAACTCGCCATCGAGCGCGGGTTTCAGCTTGTGAAGCAAAGCGTTGTGGAGCTAAACAACTTAAGAAACACCAAGCACCAGTGCAAAAAGCTGAACGGCGTCCAAGTTTCGACAGCGAGACCCCAGGAAAAGGCTCCAGTGCCCGGTTTTATCAACGTCTTCGGGCTGGACAGGAAGTGGAAAATTATGAGGGTGACTTTCGTACACAACCACACCAAACACGTCGGCTTTACCCAGACACCATGTGTTGAGCGCTCAATCGCGCGCTCGACTCGGGCTAAGCGTAACATAACCCAAGAAATCGAGAGGCTGACTCTCCTTGTGATGAAAGAGATGCTGCCAGCTGACAACCGCTCCATCGACACGCTCACCCACAAAGCATCAAGGACTTTCTCATTTTGGGGGAGGGGGTCTCATAAATCTTTTTGTTTCGAATACGTCCCTAAACGGACGATCACTACCAAAGGAACAAAGAGTGTCTGGAATCGCTCTGCGATCAAAGCTAAAGAAAGAGTACCTATGATGTTGCTTGGTGATTGTTGTGGCAATAAGTTTGATCCGTTCATTTTGTTCAAGACATCGCCTTAATAATTATCAGTAGGCGAGCTGATAATCAACTGCTTCAAAATGGGTTCGGGATTACTATATGGCATGAAGTGCAAAACCTGCAATAGAAGCATCCTTGCAAAAAATTGGGAAACAAGGCAGCGTGGTGGAACAAGGACTTTCACTCTTTTTTTAATAACATTTCACATCGCGATGACAATGTCGTATTGCCTTGGGACGATTTTAGCGCTCATTAGACTCAGTTTGTTAAGGACTATGCAGAGTCACTCAATGTATTTTGCTGAAGTCCCCCAAGTATACTTACGTTTGCCAACCAACTGATGTAGCATGGAATAAGCCCTTCAAGGAGCAGCTTCGCGCGTTATGGGTTGATAGAAGGAGGGAGTAACTGATAGCTTACGAGTAAAGGAGCGACATAATCGCAATGTGAAAATTGAGGCATAAATGTATTCGCAAGACGGATGACCAGCCTAGCGCGACCAAAAATATTGCTGCTCTCCGGAACAACTTGACAAAGAGAAATTTGTATTGGTTGCTCCTTCTCGAGTCGATATCACACAATGGATCATGTCGTGATGGGGCAACCTTTCGAAGTTAACAAGCATAGGTGGATTCGCAAGAGCAGGATTTCTGACACATACTCGAGTAGCTGCACCGAATCAAGACAACGATGTTGATATTGACGGTCTTGTGACCGAGTTAGAACATCAGAGATTTGAAACAATTGGCCGGAACCCGGGTACCCATCGGGACCCCGGTTCCCCCAAAACTACCGGTACACATGTATGAGCAAATGCATTGAAGTGTTGGTCTATGACCTACATAGAACGCAGCTGAAGCTCAGTAGGGGAATGGAAGGTTAATTTACCTTCGCTCTCGTCCTGTGTCTCTCCACGAAAATCCAGTCGCTTGCCTGGTGCAGCGGTACAGTGCTTCCCGGTCTCATCGCTATCCTCCTGCTCATGAAAGATAAACTTGGACATGGTAAGGTATGATATTTGGGTCTATTCAGTACCTGTGGCATATTTTGAGGGTAGTCCTTCATCGACAGCACTTAGATATGAGGGTTTAACTTGCCCCCGAGGGTACCAATATGGAGGCCAAAAATTAAATAAATAATTCGTGATTTGGTCGGTATCATTTGCGGGAACCCGGGTTCCCGCCAATTGTTTCATTTGCTGAAGACGAAATTGCTTCGGATTATGTCATCAGCACTGGTGATGACATCGACACGGATAGGGGCATTGACACGGGTGATATCGGCGCTGTGAACGACATCGGCATTGCAGTTGCGAAATCTTGCTACGACTGTAGGCGTAAAACCCAATTCGATGGCAACATGGGCATGTGGCCAATTGTGGAATACAAGACAGCCGAGCGGAAATCCAACTCCGTGCGTAAGGTAGCATTGAAGCTAAGGACGTAAAAAAAACATGAGAGCAATCTACATTAAATGCTGAAGCAAAATGCACTTCTTGCGATCAGCCAATTTTGACCAGGGAAAAAAGTGAGTACAAGAACTATTTTTCCGACAACTAACTGCGCTGTTACCGTAATAAACGGGTCCAGTGCGACAAACGCTTTCAGTGCGACTACGGCATATATGAGAGTGACACCCCCTCCCACTCCCGACTAGCATATGGATCGCAGCTTTAAGAATGAGAGGCGGAGAGGCATCCTGCCGGACGCAGGTCATCGCAGCAATCTGGATTTAACACCTCGTGGGTTTTTTTAATTGACTTTTGACCTAAAAATGTTGTCGCACTGGACCCCTTTATTACGGTATCCATTGTTGTAGGAAGAAAGAAATGTGTACCAAAGTCCAGTAAGACAATCGCTTTCAGCCCTTTTGGAGGCAAGATGAGCATTGCATGAATGGCTGTCAGAAAAACAACAAGAATAGTAACTACGATAACGTGGAAGGTCAGTATTGCGGTTTGACAGCGAACCACAAATCGCGGGATTGAGATACGATAACAGTACTGAACTGAATGAGATGCATATCTAGCAAGTGACAGCTATGCCGCTTTGCTTGCGACTTCGCGGCGACACTAATACACGACTGGAACCCCCTGCTGCACCGCGTTTAGCTCGTCTGGATGACTTTCTGTTCGAGGCATTTCTGTACGTGGAGAACGCAGCAGCGCTGCCACGCTACAACTCAGCGCGTAAAAACCGGAAGAGCACAGCGGATGACATACAAGGAAGCAGATACTCTAAATCAGACCTCCTCTAATTGATTATTATACAGGAATGCCTCGTAAGTGTGCAGTAGTACCAAGGGCGCACGCGTTCGACATCAGGGGGGGGGGGCAACAGTATGTACTGCCATCCGAGCGCTCATCCGTGTTGGTGTGCTTGCTTGAACCAGCACAACCAGTACGCAGAATCGGGGTCGTATAGTCCTCTTCTCGCTCTTTCCGCTTAGTGCCACGCTATGTCTCTTGACAACGGCTTTATCTGCACTGGAATAGAGCATCTGTGTGGCGGAACACTTTACGGAAAATGAGAACGATTGATTGTGATCTGATGGGACGGGATCTACCCCACCAACGATAGATAGATCTGGCGTTTATGCTTTACAACCCGACCCAATTGTGTAACTGTCTCAGCGGCGAGGGAAAGGGAGTGATGGTCGTGACCACGTAGGTGTCGAACACAAGTCATGCGTAGATTGGCGAGCAGTGACGCGGCTAACGGTAGAAGAAAACTGAATCAAAGTAGGGACCCAGTCTAAAGGTCTCTTATGAAACGAGTAGTGGTGGATAAAGAGGAATATGGTGTAGATCTGCACCTAACTACAAGGGCGGGGTACAGTACACACAGGACTGTGCGCACCAAAGGAAGGATGTAGTGCAGACAACGAATCTTCGAGGACTCCAGATCGAAGGCCAAGAAGATCAGGATCGAGGCCCATGGCGGCGCGGATCTGAGGCCCAGATCACCCGATTCGGATCTTACCGGAAGACAACTGATCTGGATGATTTCGGTGATGTTCTGTGAAGTGGCGGCAGGATGTCGGCAGACTGACGGTAAAGAGTAGGTAGGCATTGTAAATGGGATGCCAGTATTGGAATATAGGATGGCACAGGTCTTAACCCCAGTGAGCCTGGCCGTAGGAAAAAAGAAAGGATCAAAAGTTTAACTCTCTTTACAGAAACGACTACATGCAAATAAGAGTATCTGAAGCTACGCACACAAATCCTTTTTCTTCCTCTACAAGATACTAGTGTCCACTTGGTGTCTCTCATTGTCCATCATTGCGAAATTTCCGCTTGAAAAGTGTCTCTAAAATCTTATCAAAAATCCAGATTTATCCTATCCGCTAGGATAAAAATCGCATTTAGACTTGACCTGAGTATTGGTCTGAATACCCCTAGAATCCTATACTTCCAACAGTTGCTTTGCCAAATGCGACACGGCAGGTAAGATGGGAGACTCCACCGATACAAACGCCAAGTCATTTGTTATCCTACGGCGGCCTTGATAGGATAAAACGACCTGTGTGTGCCACATCAACAAAGGATTTGAATTTTTTTCGTAGGATAAATTTCACTGGGCTATTAAAAAGAGTTGAATTTGCCTTGAACATCACAAGTGCCTTCGCCATCGTCCGGAACCGGAACGAGATTGGTCCAACTAGGTGTAGCAAGGTTAAAGCTAGCAGAACTAGTTCTGATCGTAAGTTTGGATTAATGCATTTACGAGATCGGAACCCTTTCTAGTGATCTACCCTCAACTGTAGATCCCAGATCCACCGGACTTCTCGGCTTGGCCGCTCGGTTCCTCAACCCTCAGACTACCAACGACACCGTTGTAGGAGACGGTAAGCGCGGAACGGGAAACCCTACAAAGGCAAAGAAAGGGAGTCACAACATGCAAAAAGGCAACCACACGACCGGATCCAGATCCAGGCCCCCAGATCCAAGCGGAGGCTCACTCGATCTGGACCACAAGACGGATGTTACCCAGATCAACATCGTCGCGCTACAGCTTCTCCGTCACGCAGTCGAACTTCTATATGTGCTTCGGCAGCCTGAGAAGCTTGCGGTGCGATGCTTGCTCCAGTCGGTACCAGCTCTTTGATCGCTTCGGTAGTATAATACAAAGCATTTAGAGGTTGAACGCGTAATATACGGTAAGATATAATGGAGAAACACCACAAGCCCTAAATTTCAAGCGCTACAAAGTTATCTAAACCAAGTTTAACTCGTCTACTAGAACAGCGAAAACCGGGTAAGTAGCAAGGTACATACGTTTATCAACATTCACAGAATTATAACCAAGATAGGCGGTACCTTTAGCAAAATCATTACCAAGGCAGCTAGATACCTTCACCAAATGAAACCCAAGATATCTGCTTTCAGCAACGTCGATTAGAATCCGAACCCCCCAGCTGTTTTTTTTAAATTTAATGGGTACACTCACTACCTACACTCCAAACTCTTACAGCTCACCACAGCTCGAGTTGTTCATAGTGTCACTTCTAAAATAAAAACGACGCTCCGAACGTGCTTGCTCGACGATAACCAAGCTGGTCATTGCGTTTAGAAATCAATCGATTCTCGTGGTTAAACGCGTCTTGCATGAGGCGAGCAAGTTCTTCAGTGACCTGTCCGTAGGGACGGTAAATGTTGAGGATTTCAAGCTCGTCTTTGTGGACATAGACGTAACCGCTGACGTGTCCACTTGATCGGACGAAAGTCGCCACAAGCCGACTGCTTCTTACATGAAGAACAGATTAGGTAGGGAGCGGCCTTCCCTCTAGTCACGTCCACGAAACTGGCCGACGCAAAGATGCCCTGAGGAGGATGAATTCTATCATACAAACGTTACGATATTACGACAAAAAAGGCATGTATACTGAGCATACATAGCTGCAAAACATTATGTATAGACCGTGTGTGTGTGGTGAATGGGGGTTAACGTAAAGGTCTGATTAAAGTAAAATGCAAAAAATCATATCCCAGTTACCTGAAATCGGGAGATACCAGCCGCGTTTTGGTGTGTTACCTCGATATATTAATCGTGGTGCCATGAACCAAATACTACAACTTGATTTGTAGTATTACTGACCGATTTGGGGCGATACTTCTTTGCGCGCCACTAACTGATCTCAAGACGCCGTCACCCGTGGCTCGTGGCATCGAGTATTCTATCCAACTTGGCGCTCGAGAACGGAAATCTGTCCGCCCTGCAAAGCACTTGTCTCTACGTAATACTGGTCATCAGGTACATTGTTATACATTTCGTGGGCAAGAAGCAGATCATTGTCACGTTCCACGTGCTGCAGATTATCGTGAACATCTTGGGAAGCCATTTCAAAGCCACTTCGCCGTCACGGCGTACAGATACACCTGCAACGTGACGCTGAGTCTCATTCTCAAAATGAAGGTTCCTTTGTGACGATCTTCTGCATCATGTCTCTCAAGATGTGCACCGCGCAACACAACAACCTGGGCGTGATTGTCGCGCTTTGCGACTCCGTCGCCAACTTCGTGCCCGGATACTCATCATTGACCAACGGTACCTCGAGCAACGTGGCGTGCGGCGAAATGCGCGCAAACATGGCCGCCGCATCCTACGGTTCGCCCAACACCAGCATCCAGACCGTGGTCAAGACGCACGACGTGGACTCGAACGCCAAGTGACTGGTCTTGACGTTTGAATTCATGAAGTGATATCTTCCGTGTTCCAGATGGCTGTACGCATGAATTACACTCAGATTGAAAACTCAGAAAGTCGTTGAGCGTATCCGGCACTGCCTGTGCGCAAACCTGACAAAGAGAATGAGTGGAGGCAGACGATTTACTTTCGACCGGTGAATGCTCTCACACAACCACTTGCAGGTGGCATGACGAACAACAACATGCATCTGAACGGTGTAAGGGATAAGGAGCACAAACAAACTGCAGACTTCATCAAGAGCTTCTTCCAAATGGCTCTTGCAGCTGACCGTGAAGAGGGCCCGTCGTACATGGCAGCTGATGGCGAAGTCGTTACGCCGACTCGCCTGTAGCAAGGCTCCGTGGGCTCTTCCCTGCACTTTTAGCAGTCGATCTAAAAATTGATGCGCGAGAAGAACCTTTTGTTTGAGCAGCTCATTTACGCAAGGACAATTGATGGATTTCCCGAGATTGTTGATATAATTTACGCGCAGTTGGAGAAGTATGGTCTGTTTCTACGCATGGACAAGATCTGTTTGTACAACAGAACCGCGAAGTGGTGTGGCCGCGTGCTGACCAAGGACGGTGTGGCGTATGATTCGAGTAACATCCAAGCTCTCATTGACATGCCCGTGCTCGCCACCGCTGGAGCACTACAGCAATCCTGTGTGCTGCGGACTGGATACGTAGCAGTCTAGTCGACTTTGCTCGGGTCTGACAGCCTCTACAGGCGCGGCTGGACAAGGAGCTGGCTGGCACTCGCCGCACCAAGCGAGTGGCTAGCAACATCTCCATTGAGTTGACTCCAGATGAGATGTAGAGCTTCAATAACGTGAAGAAGCTACTTCAGAATGCTGCAACGCTTGCATCACCAGATCCAGCAGGCACTATCTGCAGGTACGGTGATGCGAGCGACGAAGGCTGGAGCATCCTTTTATCGCAAATGAGGGACCGGGACAATCGCGCACCAGTCAGCGACCAGCACCTAATCTCTTACACTGCATGAGCGGGATTTTTCATGGCGCCTCTAAGAATTGGAGCGTCATCGACAAGGAGGGATACCCGATTGTGCACGCATGCTCCGAGCTGGACTACCTGCTCATCAGAGACAAGGGATTCAACATGTTCACTGACCATCGGAACCTCATCTATATTTTCGCTCCTGGCACGGAAATCAAGAATCACATTCGTGACAAGCTTCTCTGGTGGAGTTTGAACTTCAGTGAGTACAACTATTTAATTGAGCACATTGCTGATGAGGACAATGTCTGGGCTGACATGTTCTCCAGGTGGGCTGGTAAAAAATCGGCTACAGCTCGAACCTGCTCGAGGAATACTGCGACGTCGTCTCAGCTTCGCCCCCTGGTTGATTAGTAATGGCCAAGCATCGATGGCATTCGTGACGCTCAACGGGGCAAAGTGGCGCCCACCTCTCATCACTTGGACGACCAAGATGTGTACGTTGACTCCAGTTCCAGGCCGTGGACTCAGAGGAAGCTGAGGATCCCCCTTTCCGCCTCATGATTGTGGCTCACTGTGGGACCCAAGGGCATCGTGGGGTGAATGCAATGGTGCAGCAACTGGGGCGATTCTTTGACATCACTAGCGTGCACATCAATGCAAGAGCGTTTTGCGTAGACTGCCTACTGTGTTGCCATGCGAAGGGAGGCAACATCGTCCCCAGACAGTACGGCGAGTTTTTCTGATCTGAGGAGCGAAATGAAAATATGCACATGGATTTTCTTTACGTTGGGAGCTACGACGACACTAGCGACTACATTTTAGTGCTGAAGGACGACTACTCTCGCTTCTGCGAACTAGTGGTATGCAAGCAAGCCGACGCAGCAACAGCAGCCCATGACATTCTGGAGTGGAACATGCGATTGGGCCACCACAAATACCGATCAGCGATACGACAGCCCACTTCAAGAACGAGTTGATGAGTTCATGCAGGGTCGTCAAGGATTTTCTGTTGCATACTGCCCATGTGATGATACTAGAATTTCGACGACGACAACAGCAGTGAGTCGACCTTCTCCCACTTGTTCAAGCGAACCTCAACCAGACACCAGTGCCATCGCTTGCAGACTTTTCACCCATTGAAGTGTTCACGGGGCTCGAGTGTCCGTATCCGCTCAAGAGCATTGTCGTGCAGACAACCAAGGGTAGCAAGCAAGAGGTGAGCGTTGAGGCTATGCCGGACAGCATTACGACAAAAGTGCAATCGCTCCGCCAACATCTGCGCTGCATGCATCAGCGTTGGAGGAGGCCAAAAGCACACAAACACGCCGCAACAAACGTAGCCAGCGCAACGCCACGTCGGTCAACTTTCACATTGGGGGTTTTGTACTCCCGTGGAGCACCAACTGACTGGTGTCACGCGTCACGTGCACGCCTCTCGCTTGAAGTTTCATGTTGAGAGCTCATTTGATGTGACGGAATAAGTGACAGAACACATTGTCAATCAAGATGTGTATCTGACGGGGCGAAACTTTGTCGAGCACCGCTCCAGTATAGAGCATGACTACGAACTGCTTGTCGCGTTAGAAGGTCTCGAGGACATCGAAAACTCGTTGGAGCCCATCGGCAAATGCCACAAGGACATGCGAATCAAGCTACAGCACTACATCGATCAGGCGGGGGATGGTAACCTCACCGCATTCGCGCTGACCCTCTTACCCAGCAACAGCAACCCGCATAAGGTAGCAATGCCTACGAAGCCAGTGCAGCCACTGCCGACCAAGAAAAAAAAACCGTGGCTCAGCTACAGAAAGACGGACAAGGACATCGAAGAATCGTAACCACAGCTGGCCTGCATTGGTGGGCTGTGTAGTGTGCGGATCATTGGCCTATCCGTTGACCGATGGATACCGTCGTTGCAAAACTACGTCTAGTGGTAAGAAGCGGAGGAAGCGAACACGCGGCGGTTACCATGGGAGTTCTAGGAAAGAGCACACACGAGTAGCTGTAGCTGAGGCTAACCAACTAATCAACATCTGTATTTGCATCCAATAGCTCGAGTAGACTAGCAGTAAGGCCACCGCCGACCCAAGCTCAAGTTCAGGCTTCTGTTATCCCTGTTGGCTCGTTTTTCTTCGACGGAACAGCACTCCACCGAACGTAAATGTAGCCTTTAAGAAGCGCAGAAGCGCAAGTCTAATCCAGAATGCACCTCCACACCAAAGGTAAACCACGAAAAACACACCATCCGAATTCAGAATATCACGATTTCAGGGTCCAGGATTTCCATCAATTCCAGAACGTGGCACTCCGAAGACACCTTACACAAATGCCCTCTTTAGCTCAATAAAACCAACAAATACAGAGTATACAAACACTACAACTAGCCGCCACCTAGTCTTTTGGACCTTTGGACGGTGGGTCACACACATTAGGCTCACTCGAGTCTGAAACTCAGGGGCCTAGCTCCCCTGAAACGCATACAAAATGCGTACTACCCCCAATACAGGAGGAACATACTAGCGCTTTCAGAAATCTTCCTTTCACACAAGCAATCAATACAAAATACTGGAGGCGATTACCTAGCACCCCAATACCCTCTTAAAATAATATGAAGCGGACTACAAAGGAATAGATGTGTCACCCCAGGGCGCTCAAGGCCGTCGCTGGTCCCCACCTAACTGGACTTAAGTTTGATGGAGCGCACACAGACGGCTGTCCATGCCGTTGATATGTCCTTAGCGTCCCACGCTCGTAGTCTCAGGTCCTCCGGATTTCGGTCGGCATGCTTGGCTGAAGTTACTAGGGAAAACTAAACCCTGTCTGTCTTTTATCAGCTACTCCTCTCTCTCTCTCTCTCTCTGGATTTAGAGAGCCTGAGTTCACGGTCCGACTCCAGAAAACCGTCTAGAAATCCTGGGTCACCGGCATCCAGGCAGATGAATTCTGGATTTCCGCGCGGCACCCTGGGTGTCAAGTTCTCTCCATCACAGACTCACGTGTATCTCACCAAATATCTGGCCGCCTGCGCATGTTCACGGGGGTAGTAGCGGGGTTTTAGGGATTTGATCCATTGTAGTGATCAGGCCTGCAGCAAGATGAGGTGTACTCTGGGATACGTCCGCCAGAGACACTTTCCGCCAGATTAGGCGCCCATCGTAAGGGAAAATTGGCGGCGGGACTGAGTGTTCTCTGGAATCCTGGGTGTGCACTCACAGGATTCACACTTCCAGCAAGTTGGGCCCTATCCCACGGAATCACATCTATCCCGCAGGAGTCACTCTTGCCACAGCAGTGCCACATCCAAACCATCCACCAAACAAAATCGAATACAAACTCCAAGTCGAAAGGGTGACGACACAGTAGCGGGCTGCATTCGTGTTCAGTGGCGTGGTCCCGTCGTCCATGATCCAACGACTGCACTTTTCCCGCAGTTGCCGTGGACAGTTTGACGAACAGCAGTGACAGCAACAACACCAACGCTGCTACTACTATAACAACTGCTGCTACCGTTGCCTATGCCGCCGTTACGCCGTTGGATGCCGTCAGTGTTGTTGTCCCAACTCATCGTTGGTATTGTTCTTCCGGTTGGTGCCGATTCACGACCTATCGATGTCAATGACAGCGGGTAACGGCTTTAGTTGTTTTCGCAAGTAATACCTAGACTACCGCCTCAAAAATTGGCCCATAGTTTTATTCTTAAAAATGGTCGGCCTTAGTAGCCAGGTTTCCCAGATTCAGAATTTTCTTAGAAAATTGATTCCACAGATATTATCCACGTTTTATTCCAGGGAATCTACAGATTTCCCTAAATCGTGCAAGACCCCATCAAAGTAATCTATGTGACCGGCATAAATTTTCTGACCAGGTACAATGGGGTGAAAAACCTGGAATAGTTATGTGTGCGGAACTTTGGCAAAAGTGGAAGTGACTGCATCCGGCTTGTGTCGGAAGAGCTCTTTTCCATCCCAGCTCAGGGGTAGAATCCGGATTTCGTGCAGGTATCGATACCTGCAATACTCATATGTGCGCTACTCGAGTAAAAGCGACGTCCGTCGGCATGGCGAGAAGCGCCAAGTAAAGCTATCATTCTAGTATGTCTCCATCACGTAATTTTAACTGTTGTCCAGATGTCGTCCAGGAAGTATCCGTGTATTAAGAGTGGAGCCTCCAAATGCATTACGCCTTCTTCACTTCTTGCGACTAGCGGCGATCCACCTTCAGGATTGTTTTCAGCATTGCCCAGCAAAGCATGATGATACCCGTTGGTGTTACATCACTTGGAGCGCTATCGCTGACACAGGTCCAGAAGCAGCAACACACGAATACCACTGCCCGACTGAAGAGACTCGACCCCCTTGACAGTCGTGTAGCTGGGCGTAGTCGAATCAGCAGTAATAATCTCACTTGCTATCTTCTTCAATCGCTTCTTATTACGCTTGCCATTCTTGATGTCGTACGTCTTCCCTTTTTTGGCATCTTGGTCGACAATGAGGCATCTTCAGCAATATTTCCCAAATTTGACGGGTAGCAGCTCAAACGCATGCGTCGAAACATCTGCATCGATGCTTTGGGTGAAAGCAAGCCCTTGCGACTACTTTTTCCTGTTTAGCCTCGCCATGACCTTGTGACGTGGCCAAACTTGCCACATGATTCTTGTACTCTATCTCGCCAAGCGGTGTATAATTTCCACAACCACCTCGTTGATTCAATTTCGCCATGTGTGGACAGACCAGCCTTAGCAATAGCCTCCACATAGCGATCACCGTCTGCAACGTCTTCGGCGTCACTGTCTGGTCGATCACCTCGTTTTTCGCAATGGCGACAAACCCGCAAGAACTCTCCGCTTCTGCGGCCGAATCCCTGCTGGGCTCGACGATACTGTTCACTCTCGCTCAGAGCCGAGGTCTGTCTTGAACACCTTTGTCACCAAAGACTGTACAACCTCAACTAATACATACTCTGCGATGCGATTCCGGCTGAAACATCTGCAAATACAACCAAAACACGGTAGACATCTGATCAAAACCTGAATCACTCGAAATATTTGACCAATACACAGGTAAAACCTGGAAAAACCTGAACATACCTGGGCCATATCGACGAGAAGGGGATGACCAGAGGGTTGCCGATACACCATCGAGTGTCTGCAGGACAGCTTCATGGTTTGTGCGAACTCACAGTCTCTAGTAAATATTCGTGCTCATCGTACTGGACGGTGATCGTAGTACGGTTGTCTTTGATAGTTATCAGCAATTGCGGCACCAGTAGTGACGTCATACTGCGTTTTGATCGCCGCTGCTACCGATCGCGTTGCCATACCGAGTGCAATACTCATCTGCTCACAGTACGAGACGTCTCGCAACGTCCCTGGTATCTCCACCTTGGCTTTGTATTCTTCTTCCTTGCGTCGCTGGTAGGCCAGTAGATATTTCATGCTTGCACACTTAGTCAGATCGCTCTTTAAGTGTAGTGTTTCAGCTTCTTGAACATGCTTTTCACGCGATGGTTGGTATGATTGTACGTCATGTCGGTAGTGGTGTGCTTTATTTGAGCCTGCACATCTTCTTCGTACACACCATACTTCTTTGGGTTTGGAATTGTTTTGTGCAACCACTTGATCACATGGAAGTAACAAAGTAACCCGCGAACCTTAGGAAACCTCTTGCGGATGACATCAATTTCGCGCATGCCCTTGTCGACGATGCCAATCCGCACGAAACACCAGCGCTCGTTCGCCCGCTTAAAGTCCTCCATACACTTTGCCATGTACCACAGCTTTTCGTCTCGATCAGCGAGTATACACGTGTTGCCCGTTTCCGTATTGGCCCATCGCAGTCATCGCGAGGAGCTGCTAAATATATCTAGTCGATACAAGGAACACGCCCTGGTCAAAAGTTGGTAATACTTAGCCAAAACCTGCAAATATAATACAGAGACTTACCGGTTAGTCTGATGCGTGCTGTCCACTTGAATCACCTCTGGAAATCTCTCTAGCATTGCGAGTATATGAACACTCGAGAAGGCTATCACGCCAGTCTCGCCCTGCGCGTTCTCATGCACCGAGGCCACGTTTAGTGGTGACATTCACGATCATCTCCGCTACCGTGTCGTCGTCAGATGGATCAATTCCTAGTCATCAATATCCATAAAGTCAGTTTTACAATCTAATCATGTTATCACAACAATAACTAGTCTTTCTCGTGCATCTGTGCGACCACGTTTCGAGCGTCTTTCATCTTGACGAGGTGGTTGGACTTCTCACAAACTTAGTTGTAGATACTTGAAGTTCCAGCGACGACCTCCTCCTCGTCCGACTCTTCCTCATCGATGTCATCACCAGTGGATGTGGCGCCTCCTGTGGTCGCATGAGGGCCGAACTGCGTGACTCGTGAGTTGAGGGTACCAGTGATCGCCGCGATCTGGCGCGCGTGCTGGCCAACTTTCTGCGCACCTCCTCCTCCTGTCGTGCTCGCTCGACCAGCTGCGCCTTAATATGGGCCATCTTAGGGGTGCGCGCCATGGTGATAGGGCCTCTAGGCTGACCTGCCGTCGCACGTTGAACGTGACGTGACTGGATTTGGCCCCCTCGAATTCGTGGTTGTGAGGCAAAAGCTGAAATGACGGTATTTAAAACGGGATAAACCATCCCTGGGAAATATCTGCCGCCAGACCTAAGCTAGGGCTTCGCGAAGGCTGGGATAGGTATTATAATACATGATAACTTTGGTTAGATTCACTTTATCGGGTGCGCTTACTCGTTGATTGAGCAGTATGCGGAGCCCCTAATTGAAAGGCAAACCAGAGAGCACAATTGTGCTCATAAGATATTGCATAAGAAGATACAGATATAAATAATCGAAGGTGCCTCAATAATGCAAACATATGAGCCATGGACATCTCCTTCGCAGCCGCAGCATCTGCCCGGCTACTAGTACGAAGAGCGATTCGCATATGAAAAAAGGCGTACCTTGTAAGATCGGTCGCCAGCCTCCATCAATCTCGCCTCCACGTCAGTCAACACCAATTGACCTTAACACGCGCTACCGGATCATCGCTATTTTGAATCGACGGGCGGACAGCGGGCAGTGTCGCAATTAATCCTGTTTAAGCTGTGATGTCAGCACTTCATCGCATAGCCCAGAATACAGCTATTTGCGTGCTCAGCGAACAGTCAGAACCTTATATTTTTTGAGAAGGCATGTTTCCCGAGCTGTACCACACTTAGGGAGATGTATTGTTTTAGTGAACGGTGGAAATGTGCCCAATTAGGGTTTCACTAATCAGCTCTCGTAAAAAAGAGATCAGACGGGAAGATCTCCGGACCTGACTTTAAGGATGCGCGGGAACAACATAAATTAGCCTAGCCAGCGCTATGCAAGTGATTGAAAACAAGGAGAGCGATGGTAGCATCCAGCGCGGCGCCTAACAAAGCTACATTAGATACACGTGAAGTTCGCGGAGATTTTGTCCGCACTGGCCCTCTTCAGCTTAGCCTTGGAACTTCGAACCTGGAAAAAAAGTTCCAAGGGCCGTATTTGGCGGTGTCTTCACACAATACTTAAACTGGAACCTCGAACTTTCAGAGTATCCTTCCGAGCATAGAGTTTAGAAGGTAAACCCCTCAGTTCATGTTTGGCAGTACGGCGAACGGGCTTTCTTCATGCTATCGCTTGATCGTCAGACTCTGGTGCCGGCCCGAATCTGTTACCGCTAATGCATCTAGACGGAATCTTTCCCCGCAAGAACTTTGGCGGGTCCTCCTAACATGAGTATCTCCTAGCAGACACCCGCCTCACGCTCGGCCAACAGCGCTCCCTACTCATCCGACGTGCGGACAGAGAGCCTGGTGCTGTTCTCGACCACGATGGCCATCTCTCGTCTTGCGGGCACAAAGGGAGCGTTCTCTATTGTGGTCGCTCTCTTGTGCCCTTCAGTCGGTAACGGCACGGTGTCTTCGCTGCGTAGCTGCAAGCGCACGAGCAGCAGGTTCTTCTACTTGCAACAGGGCGGCTGGAAACGGGGGAGAATATCCTGCCTGTGTACTCAACATCTATTTGATCTCGCAAGTTCCAAGCTCCAGGGGCGAAAAGAGGCCCCTCTAACTAGGTCACTGAAGTGGGGGGGGTCTGCGAACTTTTGTGCCCGTTTTCGCGGTTCCAGGGCAAAAAAGGGCTTACATAAAGGTGATTTCCCCTCGAACCTGGAACATGTCACTATTTTTTCCAGGTTCGAGGTTCCAAGGCTTAGCTGAAGACCCCCACTGGGGATTATCCAGGCAAGTGTTCGGCCAAGTTGAGTGCTTAGCTGTACTCGAAACCCGTGCGGAAACGATATGTAAGCGCACTAAAGTGGTTAAGTCAGTACATCTGGTCCTTGGGTCGCTAGCTTAAATCCTTTGACAACATATAACCTGAGGGGACTTATATATATCAGGTGTTCGCTGAGCACGCAAATTACTGTAATACCAACCTTACAAAACCTGATCGCGAGCCAAAAGTCTTACTGGGGTTAGTTGGGTAGCCGGTTTCCAAGGGGTAAACTCCGCTACTCAACAAGATTTGTCAACCTTCAAGTCCATAAAAACAATCTGGAACGAAGGTAGGGTGGAGTGATAACTATCAAGGGTTTATCGTATTGGAGAGGTCCTTACATTATCATATGGCTACATCGCCCCACATGGCTACATCCATGGATCCGCGCCCCTTGAGGATCCCTTGACCATTGACACTCGCACTGATCGACAGCCATGGGGCAGCTCCAGGGCAAGGCGGCGTACCTGAAGGCCACGACCCCCTTCTTGAACGGTTGGCATCCATCTCTGCACGCTTTCGTTCTCCCACGTTGTACCATCTCACCTGCTTGTTCTGCCGCACAGCCTCGGAGCGGGACGTGAACAAGCTCTGGGAGTGCTTCAACGACGTGGCCGAGGGCTTTGGCCTCAAACAGGACGAGCTGGTGGAGATCTGCCGCTCCATGCAGCAGACGCTCGAGATCCACGCGCGCAGCGAGATGGACCAACTCAGCGCCGCGCTCTTCACGGCGCTGGACACGGACGAGGTGCAGGACGCAGTCGCGAACTAATACGCAGCAACGCAGCGCTCGCTATTGTATTTGCTGATACTTTTTACGCTGTTGGTGGGTTACAGAACGGACTGGTGGACGCTCTCGAGTTTTTGGGCACGATGGCCATGATGTCCGCCATGCCAGTCCCACAGAAGCTCACGTGTAGGTTTGCTGGGGCAAGAGTGGCTTGTGCGTGCACTGACTGACATAGGTTTCTGTTGCTTGCGCTGTAGTCGTGTACAATTGCTACGACTTTAACGAGACGGGCCAGTTGTCGCTGGACGAGCTCACGCTGGCCTTCAAATCCACGTTGACGGGACTGTGCAAGCTATGTGTAGGCGTGGCGTGTCCGACGGAGCTCGTACTAGAAGACTTGGCGCAGTACGCCTTCCAGAAGGCGCAAAAGCCGGGGGTGGACGAGCTCTTATCGCTACCAGAATTCTTGCGCTTTGCGGAGACGACGCCCGAGGTGACCTCGTGGGTTGACTACTTCGACTGCCCTGCTGAGTACGTGGACGAACAGGACGGCGATGACAGCGACGCAGAGCGTGAGGCAGCGGCAGGGCTTTTGGCGCCTTCAGCACTGGACGATGATGCCACTGCTAGAAAGAGAGACGCGAGTCTTCCGCATGACGCAACAGCTCCGGACTTCACGACGGACAAAATGCTGACACGGTGTCCTTGGCAGCTCGCAGTGGTTAATGCGACACCCAGCGCGCCTCCCACGATTGATCCGCGACTGCCAGCAGCTAGTCTTGAGCTCGAGTGGGTCTATGGCTTTAACAGCGACCTGCGCAACATCGTGCACTACGTCTCTCCTGCCGAGGCAGCTTACCCTGCAGGCAGCGTCGTTGTTGTCTACGATACCGTGGCACACCGACAACGATTTGCATGTCACCACTCGGGCCTTGTTCAAACTCTGGCTGTTCACCCTACGGATCGCCGCGTGATTGCAACAGGTGAAGCCGCTCTGCTACCGAAAATCGTGGTTTGGTCGACGCAGACGCTGAGCGAGAGTGGAGCTGGTGGCGGCGGCGGGGTGCTCAGCGTTATTCGCGGCTTCCATCGTCGTGGTGTGTCCCATTTGGCGTGGATGCCAAACGGTCGAGCTCTCGTCACCATCGGCCAAGATGAATTCCATTGCGTCGCTGTTTATCAGTGGGAGAAGGCCGCAGCTCCAGTTGATGGAGGAGCAAGTAGCGGCGAGGCCGCAGACTGGAGCAAACCTGCAGAGCTCATTTTCGCAGGCCGTGGAGGTCGAGAGCCCGTGCACGCGCTGACTGTGCTGAATGGACCGTCGGGACAATCTCAATTCGTGACAGGCGGACGGCGTCATTTATACTTCTGGACTCGTGAACGCGATGCACGGTACGCAACTCCCCATGCTCTCTTCGCTCGACTACCTGGAGTCTTAGGACGCAAGGCAAAAGTGCAGACTATCCTGAGCCTAGCAGCTCTACCGGGCGATGCCCAGGGCAGCGGAGCCATTGCAGGCACTGCGCGCGGTCAAATGTTGTTGTTCGAAGGCCGAAACTGTGTACGCGTGCTATACGCTCATGCGGCTGCAGCGACAACTCTGTTTGCCTTCAGTGGTGGAGTTCTCAGCGGTGGCAAAGACGGTAAAGTGCGCATTTGGAGTCGGAGGCTGGAACCTGGCGCTCAATTCGACTTGGTGGCACTGGGTAGCTCTGCTCCCCGGGTCCGCAGTCTCGTAGCTTCTCCTGATGGCGGCGCAAAACTGCTAATCGCTACTGCAGGTGCCGAGATTTTTGAGATCGCGTCAAGTGACGGCTCCAATCTGCACTTTGGTCCTGTAGTCTGCGGACACTCGGCGTTCCAGCTTCACGGGCTCGCTGTGCATCCACTACGGCGCGAATGCTGCTCGGTGGGGGACGATCGCACCGTGCGTGTGTGGGACCTCTCTGCCCACCGCCAACTACGCGTTGCCGCACTTGATGCTCCCGCTCGAGCCTGTGCGTACTCACCTGATGGGTCAAGTATTGCTGTGGGCCAAGGCGTTGATGAGGAGGAAGACGAGACCCCGACAGTGACAGATCCAGATTTATTGGCGTGGCGTCGGCGACAGCAACCCAAGTTGGTGAATCCTAACAAACAAGGGGCCTTCGCAGTGCTGACGGAGTCTTCGCTTGCCGTGAAATTCGAGGCCAAGGACTCAAAGAGACCAATTCGAACAATGCGCTTCTCCGGAGACGGGCTCACTCTGGCTGTGGGGCCGAGCGACAACTGCATCTACTCGTACCACACCGAAGACTGGGCGTCCAAGGGTAAGTGTCGTGCTCGGGATGCCGGAGTTATCCTCAACACTTTCGACTTCTCGACGACTGGCGAGTACATCATGGCCAACGCCCAGAACCGCGGCGAGATGGTGTTTTTTGAAAGCTCCTCGGGCGTTGAAATCACACGCGTAGCCACATTGAAGGACGTCGAGTGGCTGTCGTGTTCGTGTCCGTACGGATGGGGTGTTCAAGGAGCTTGGCCGACTCGAAAGATGCAGGCGTACGAAATCTCGGCGGTAGATCGCTCTCCAGGTGCAGAGAACCCGATGCTCGTCTCGGGTGACACGCTCGGTTCCTTGCGGCTTTTCCGGTATCCATGCGTGAACCCCGAGGCGATGTGTCAAGTTGCACGGGGTGCCGCTAGTACCATTTCCACCGTGCGCTTTACCGCTGATGGAAACTACGTTGTGGCTAGTGCACGGGACGAGCGGTGCATTTTTCAATGGCGCGTTGAGCGTGAAGAAATGGATGTCGATGGAGGAATGGCAGGCAATGGGGACGGTGACGATGTAGCTGCTACGTCTGATGATGAGCGAGAGACTAGTCACGGAGGAGAGCGTTCTCCGTTTGACGAGGCTGTGGGTATCGGCGATTTCGCGCTTGAGCTGTTGGCAGAAAGACTGCAGGATCCGACGATCAACCAGGAAGATGAGGAAGTTCCGACCGAAGGAGACCCACCAAAGTCCAGCTCTACACCACCCACTGCTTCAGCCCCTCCTCCATCTAAGCCGTGGGCCAGTAGTAGCGTTCCGCCTTCGGAGGCTCCAGATGACGGTGACTTGGAGCTCTCAACTGTGCCTAGTGACAGCCTCGAACTCGAGTGGGTCTACGGATATCGCTGTCACGATGTCCGCAACAACCTTTTCCTGACACGTGCCAAGGGCTTAATGGTCTACCCTGCAGCAAACGTCGTGGTGATACTGGACAGCAAGCTCTGGCTGCAGCGCCACTTCAAACAGCACACGGACGAGGTCACGAGCCTAGCAATTCACTTCGGCCAAAGCGGTAAACCGAGCAACGCTGCGCTGGAGGTTGCAGCATCAGGACAAATGGGGCGTCTTCCAGTCATCCATGTTTGGCGCATCGACTCGCTCGAAGTACTGGCATCTCTACGCGGATTCCATCGTCATGGTATTGCCGAGCTGCGGTTTAATTCGGCGGGGAACCTGCTGGCGAGTGTTGGGCTGGATGATCGCAATTCACTGGCGCTTTACGACTGGCGAAGTGGCACACTGTTGGCACATGCAAGCACGACGTCCGTAGGCCGCATTCTTGGCGTGAGTTTTCAGCAGGAGGCTGCTACTAAGAGCGCTGCACCAGCATCTGATGACTCAATCGCGCCCGGAGAAGCACCGGTAGTCCCCGTCGTGATCGTGACTGTGGGCGTCAAGTCGGCCTCTTTTTGGCGTCTCGCAGCAGGCCAGACTCTTGTCAAGAAAGACGCTCTACTCGGACGCAAAGGTCGACAAGGAGGCTCGCCTCCTTCTTTCCTGAGCGTCATGTGCTGCGGCAAGGACGCCATTGCAGGTACAGTCAGCGGGGATTTGTATCGCTTCAAGGGTACCGAGCTCTCCAGTATCGTACCAGCTCATACGCGAGGAGTGGCAGCCTTATACTGTTCCTCATCAGCCTCAGGAGGGATTGCTAGTGGCGGACAAGACGGCCTCGTCAAGCTTTGGAGTGCTGACTTGGAGTGTCTAGCCGAGTTTGGGGAGTTTAACGCGGCGCACCACGCAATTCGCAGTGTTTTTTGGGACTCAGCACGCGAGATGCTGCTCGTTGGCACGCGAGGCAGCAGCATCCACCTCCTTTCGTCGCTTGATGGTGCGCCGGTGGGTATGAAAACACCAGACGGCACCCCCGTGACATCGTTGGAGACCCATGCACGAGGTGAGCTGCATGGACTGAGTGTGTGCTACTCCAAGTCGCGAGGCTGCACCACCGGTGACGACGGTGTACTTCGCATTTGGGACTTGGCTCATCACATCGTGGTGATCACCAGCAAACTCGACACTAGTAGCCGCGCCTGTGCGTACTCCCCGGATGGGGATTTCGTTGCTGTGGGCTTGGGGAGCGGAGGAACTGGAAGGCGACACAAGAAAGACGGCAGCATGCTGGTGTTTGAAGACCGTGGACAGAGCGTGGAGCTCGTGTACGAGACTCGCGATACAAAGCAGTCGGTGACGGTTCTCCGCTTCTCTCCTGACGGTCAATCGCTCGTCTGCGGGGCGTTGGATGGCTCTGTGTATATCTACGACGTGCCCAGCAACTACACCAAGCGAGCCGTTTTCTCCAAGCACAAGGCCCCAGTCACGCACCTTGACCTGGCGAGCGACTCGCAATATGTTCGCAGTAATTGTCGAGGCTTTGAGCTGTACTTTGCGGATGTCACCACCGGCTCGCACGTGGCCAGCGCCACAGCGCTTCGCAACCACATCTGGGACACCTGCAGCACCATCTACAACTGGTCCAACCAAGGGGTTTGGCCGGTGGCCCCAACAGGACTTGGTGACGCTGTGAAGCGGGAGATCACTTGCTGCGCCTGCTCGTTGCCCGGCGCCCCTTACCAAGGAAGCAATGCCATTCTCGCAGCGGGGAACTCTCATGGAGCAATTAGCATATTCAAGTATCCGAGTTTCGTTCAGGGGGCTGGTGCGAAGACCTACTATGGACACAGCGGTGCTGTCGCTCAATTGGGCTTCTCGGGAGCTGGTGGGGCAATTTGCCTCAGTATCGGTCGCTCGGACCGCTGCATGCTTCAGTGGCGACGGCTTTATGGAGCTGGAGGTAGTGCTGACGTCCCATCTAATGGAAATGCTAGCATAGTGAAGGATCCTGAGGACGACGCCGACTTGGAGGCTGAAGGACGTTTCCTGCCCGAGGCGTTCGTCAACGATGGTGGAGGCGCTCAAAGCGAGGTGAAACCATTCGTAAGCGCCATGCTGCCTCCATCAGGTGACGTGCAGGAGCCCAGTGAAGCGGATGGAGTCGCTGGTCAACGATCATTTGAGCTAGAGCACGTTTTCGGCTTGCGGTCGCACGATGCCCGCCAGAACGCCGTGTACGCTCGGCCGAAGCGGATCGTTTATCCGACGGGGTGTGTCGGTGTGAGTTACGACCGACGTGAGCACCGACAGCAGTTCTACACGGGACATACGCGACCGATATTGTGTGCTGCTGCATCCCCTTGTGGAGCTTTTGTTGCGTCAGGAGAAATTTGCGCCCAGAACTTTGCGCATGAGCGGCCACGCGTCCACGTCTGGGAGCCGGCTACTTGCACGCGGGTGGTGGAGCTCAGCGCCTTTCACAGTAAAGCTGTGACCGCTCTATCCTTCAGCTCCCCCGATGGGAAACTCCTCGCTGCTGTGGGTCAGGATGAATTCCACTCGTTAGCTGTGTATCGGTCGGCATCGGGACGCTGGTTTGACGGCGCGTTGTTTGCGAGCTCCCGCACAACTCGCCACGCCGTGTTCTTTGTCTGCTTCATCGAGGACCCGCAGAGTGCAGGGGGCTGTCGATTGGTCTCAGGAGGCGACGACCACGTTTTATTCTGGAAAATTGCTCCACCAGCTCTCACCGCTCGGGACGGCATCTTTGGTGCTCGCGCGCAGCGCCAACCCATGCTGTGCGGTGCCTCGATGGGCGACCTCGTGGTGACAGGCTGCACTTCAGGTCATCTCTACGTCTGGGAGGCTTGTGCTGTGTCAAGGGTGATTCCAGCGCACACAGGTAGCGTCTACGCCATCCATGCGACGCCCTCAGGGTGTGCCACAGGAGGACGCGATGGTCATGTCAAGCTCTGGGCTCGCACGACGTTGACGCCTCTGGCCGACTTCGATGTGTCTGGGCTGAAACCAGCACCACAGGATGCTGCCGTGCGCTCGCTGTGCTGGGATGTGGCTGAAGATCGCTTGCTGCTTGGGACAAAAGGAGCCGAACTGATCGAGTTGTCTCGCCTCACTGGAGACTCGATCCTCGTGTCCGAGAGTCATTATGACCGCAGTGTTCAGCTACAGGGACTTGCTGTTCACCCACTGCGACCCGAGCTGGTAGTTTCGGCCGGCGGAGACCACACTGTGCGTCTGTGGCATCTAGAGAAGCGCTGCGTGATCACGAAGACAGCGTTGGATGGCGCTCTGCAGAGTGTGGCGTACTCCCCGGACGGCAAATGGTTGGCCGTGGGCTTTGGAGGATCCTCAGCGGCCAGCAAAAACAGTCACAAGGACGGCGCGTTTGCCGTGCTCGATGGACAGACGCTCGAGTTGCTACATGAAGGTCGAGACAGCAAGCTGAGCGCGTTGGACGTGACTTTCTCGCCGGATCTGACGTTGCTCGCGCTGGTGTCGGCCGATCACTGCGTGTACTTCTACTCGACGCTCGACGACTTCTCGCTGCGCTTCAAGTTCTCCAAGCCGAGCGGCCGAGCCACTCGACTCGACTTCGCTGCCGACAGCAGCATGGCTCGAGTGTCGACTGACGCCTTCGAGCTGCTGTTCGTGAGCACGATGGACGGCAGCCACATCACGTCAGCCGCCAGTGCCGCGGACACCACATGGGCAACACACAAGTGCCTCTTTGCGTGGGCTGCCCAAGGCGTCTGGGACATCGCGGGGAAGCCTGACGACCACGTCCACGCCCTGGCGAAGGCGAACACACAGGAGATGCTGGCCGCGGCCACTAACCAAGGAGAGATTCGCGTCTACAACACGCCATGTCTTTCGAGACACTCGGAGCAGCACAAACTGCATGGCCACAGCCTGCACGTGGCCAACGTGGCCTTCACGTGTGACGACTCGCGACTCGTTTCCATCGGCGGCAATGACAAGAGTCTGTTCGTGTGGAAAATTAGCAAGAAGAGGACGTGAGGCGCAGTACACTTCAACATGGTAACCAATCAAAATGCGCCTTACTTTTCACAGTACAAGTACGAACATGTTCACTTAAGCGTTCGCTCCCTCGAAATTTTCGCTAAAACCAACGAAACTACAGCTAGAAAGAAACAAGATACCACTCAAAGAGATACGAGAAACATGTAATGCCAAGGGAGACTGTCGGTGTAAGGCTCACTCGAAGGTTCGCTTGTCCATCGCTTACGACTGAATGGCGTCTGAGTTTGGCGGAGCTCCCCCCAATGATCCACTTCCAAGCGGCGGGAACCCCGATCCACTACTCATCGGCCCCCACGAACCACTACCCGGAGGTCCCATGCTGTTCGTGTTGGCCACTCCACCGTTTGCAGTGATGGTTGACGCAGCGCTCACGCTCTTGGCGAGAGTCATATCCACACCCACCGAAATCCAGGCGAAGATGCCGTCCTCCACAGTGTCACCGAGCAACGTGTACTCCATGATGGGGTCGAATCCAGTGGCCGCAGACTGGTTGTAGATCATGTCGTTGACGTTGCGCGTGATGTCTTGCGTGTTGGTAGCGTAAGCACCGGTGGCTTCCACCTCCCAAATGAGAGCTTGGTCGAAGAAGAGCTGCCCCACGTGAGCACCCACCCCACCCGAATACGTGTTGTTTTTGAGAACTGTGCCGTTGTACGACCCTAGCACGTGGATGTGTGTGGTGCGTCCCGTGTAGTGACCAGGGAACACAGACGTGAAGGTCACGACACCATCGACGTCCGTCGGTGCGAGCCCGCGGAATGCCGTGTTGTTGATGTTGGAAGCGTCAGATGTGTCGCCGTTGCCGTTAGCCACTACACCAGAGTACACACCAGTGGCGTTGCAGTGCCAGAAGTCAACGAAGAGGTTGTCCACAGGCTCACAAGTGTTGACATCTACGAACTGCAGCTCTGCATAGAGAGTGACGCCTTCTTGGTCCTCTCTCACATCAGTCCGGATGAACTCGCCGTTGACGTAGTAGGGGCCCTCTGTCACCTCTGGCTTGAGCACACACTTGACGTCACTGCCGAAAAGAACGTTTGCGTTGACGTCAGCGATGTCCTTGATCACCAAATTGGATTGGTGCTCCGTGGTGGGTGCCAGGGTGCCACCTTTCGTTTGCGAAACTTGAGCGTAGCCTCCAAGACGACGTCGAGCTTGCAGGTTCTCCAGCACGGCTGCACGTCGAGCAACGCTACGCTCCTGCAGCTTTCGGGCTTGTGGTGAGTCCTTGCATCCTTGCAGCGTGCGATGACTGTCGGCCTGGAATAGGCGTCGTTGCGCGAGCTCCATGGCCGACTGCGCGTGAGGCTGCTGGCCCGGGTGTCATCGCGGACACTACCACAGTAGCGAACACGAAGAAGATCGAGAGTCGAGCCATCGCAGCGAGAATGGAGGTGCTGTGATGGCTGGTCTTGGTGGTGGTGAATTGGAAAGTGAGCTGAAGCACGGTGGCGGATAATTCCATTGAATATCCTCGAAACGGGGACGATGCTGCCTTGGGAAGCGTGTGTCGTTTAACGTTCGGTTTTGAGCTTCAAAGGACTGTGGCAAGGCATTTTTGGTTCAGATTGCCAGTCTGGTGGTGCAGCTGGCTTGGTGCGGATAGCTCGAGATCAGCTCGCAAGAGGATGTCGTCACCAAAGTTGAAGCTGCTTCTGCTAGTCACCCGTGATCTCCCGCGTAAAAGCTCATCCAGCTGACTTTTAGTCGCTATCACGTGGCCAGCGAAGATGCCGGACTTTGCCGATCGGACAGAGGGACTGCAACATCTCGAGTACGGAGAGATTCGGCAAGCTGTCTCGGGCGAGAAGACTTCTACAGCACCGAAGTTGATGCCAATGCCCAGAAAACAGCAGCACACTCACACGTCACATATTCACAAGTCACATATATGTGTACACCACACCACAGTCAGATTTCCGCTTCAACGCTGCAATCGCTTCAAGCCTGGAAGGAGGAGAACAAGTTCGATGGGGCGCGTCTTCGAGGAGTTCGTGGAGAGTACGCGCGTCTTCCGCTGCGCCAAGTGCAACGCGCACCTGGCGCGCAACGAGGACATCATCTCCAAGGTGGCCAGCTCGTGTCTTCCTTCCCTTCTCTCTGTGTCGCTCGCTGCCTAATCGTCTTCTCTCCACTCCACTCGCATCTCTCATGCCAGAACTTCCAAGGCACCAGCGGCAAGGCCTACCTCTTCGACACGGCGTGAGTGGCTCCCAATAGACCGCTACTCTTGGCTTCTACTACCTCTCACCCTTCCCTGCTTCAAACTCCAGTGTCAACGTGTGCACGGGGCCGCCCGAAGAGCGCATGCTCATGACGGGGCTGCACGTGGTGATGGACCTCTACTGCAACACGTGCTGGAGCCCCGTGGGCTGGAAATACGTACGCAGGTGACGCCGTGTGCTCGTTCTGCTCTGCTCTGACTGGATGCTGTCTATGTCTGTGTCTGTGTCTGGTTGCCTACATGCAGAAAGAAGCACACGAGGCGTCGGAGAAGTACAAGGAAGGCAAATTCATTCTCGAGTTAGCCAAGACGGACCAGCTGCCCTGAACAGTGTGGAGCTTACGGCAGTCGCTCTGCGCGGGACAGCGGGCAGTAGCTACAGCAACAGCAGCATGGACGACACACAAGCAGCAAGTACAGTGCACTCCACCCACCCTCTCTCGCTTCCTTTCCTCTCTCATTTTGACTTGCAGCCAGTCTAGTGACCGTTGATACATGTTACCAAGTATTGTTTGTTCACCCACACATCCACCGCCTTGCTTTCTCGCTCCGTTCTTTACAGGAATCCACTCGTGTAACGCTGCTGCTCCAGCTCGCGCAGAGGATAGTAATGCGCCTGCACTTGGTTCCCGCCGAAGAAGCGGCCGTGCAGCGCCTGTTTGGCCTTGCTCGCGCCGAATGCTTCGTCAAACAAAACAAAAACGCGCACGTGGTCTGCCAGCTCGTGGATTTCTACCTTGTTGACGTTACCGAACTTGCCACACTCGCCACGCACCTCATCCTCCAGCTCCTCGTCCACCTCTCCGCGGTTCACGAGGTTCATCAAGCAGAGACAGCACTTATCGTCTCCATCAGCAACGTCCTTCACGCCTTCGACATCATCCTCAGCGAAGGTTGCCGTCTTCTTTGGCTCCGGCACCAATCCATTAGCCCCGTCAGTCGTGGCACCCGGACCATCGCGCACAACCTTGTCCTGGCTGGTGGCAAGGTTGATCAGCATAGCAGCTTCGCTGGCCTTGCCCACTTTAAGCGGCTGGCCGGCCAGCTCAAACCCATTCATGTGCTGAATAGCACTTGCCGCGCAGCTTTCCTCCACGAACTCCATGAAGCCGTATCCGCGGTGCTTCAATGCAGAATAAACAGTCCACACAGTTAGCTCCCTGCTGTGCCCACTTTCCAACGATGTGTTTTTGTTTTTGCCTACCACTCCAGACTCGAGCGGCGAAACAGCAGCCATGACAGAGGAGCGGATCGCTCCAAATGGGGAAAATATACTCTGCAAACATGTCCATAAGTTAACAGTAGACAGAGACGTAATCAACAAAGACACCCATACCTCCAAGTGCTGGCTGTTAAGCTCGACGCGGACATTAGCGATGTAGATACACTTAGTAGGCACACTAAGATCAGGGGACAACAACACAGTGGGTAAGCTCGATGGTAAGTCAGTCTAGCAGCCGCAGTGGCGCTTACTTTTTGATTGCCTCCTGTCCGATAGAAAGCGAATCATTTGGGTTCGTGTTTCCGCGATGCGGGCGGCCAACCTGCAGCAGAGACACCCGTTAACAGTCTGGCACACACACGATCATAACCAACGCAGACTCACCCGCATCGCTCGATTGGCTAAAGGAGTTCCGTTAAGCACTTGCACCGCGCTTTCTGCTGCCAAGACGTCTTCGTACTCCAAAAAGCAGAAACCCTTCGACCGCGAAGCTCTGAACACGAACATCAAGCGCTATTGATTAGCAAAACAGTCTCGGAGTGGAGACAAGTTCCTTGCTGCTCACCCAGGCTCTAGCGACAGATCGATCGAGTGGATCGCTCCAAACGGTGCGAAGGCGCTGCGGATGTCCTCCTCCTTGAGGTCGTAGTAGAGGTTGCCGATGTACAGGCGGCGCGCCAGATCGTTGGGCGACACCTTGGCGCTGGGCAAGTTAAGCGACAGCAAGCTGGCCTGCGCCAGCGCGCGCGCTCTCGCCGCCTGCGCGTCCAGTTGCCCGCCGGCGCCCTAAAAGCAACAGCGCAGGACGAGTATGAAACTAAAGCACGGGGCCACAGCATCAAACACCGAACACCACCGAGCGCCACAGAGACAGGCAGCCCACGCAAAGACCCTCTGAACTGGAAGGCTAGACCCAGCCCCGGGTCTACACGCGCACACATATGCACTACTTACGATGAGAGGGCGCGTGGCCGCTGCCGCCAGCGCCTGCAGTTCCTCGGGCGCCGTCTTCTCCTTCACGACGCTGGACAAGCGCTTCACAATGTCGCTCAGAGCTGCTCGTACGAATTAGCAGCAGTAAGGCACAAGTTAGCATCGCATTTGCTCTTGAACTCCGGCAGAAAGTCCGCAATTTAGCGTTAAAACTCGTCGGCACTCGATGACGTACGCACCTTTGGGACTGGCGGACGTCTTGCGCTTGGCATCGCTGGCGTCCTCCTCGTCGTGGCCCCAGCGCGTGCGGCGAGAGCGCTTGGCTCTGTCGTCGTGGGCCTCGTGGGCGGCGTCCTCGTCGTGCGAGCGCTTGGTCGACGACATGCTGCGCTCTTCGTCTTGCACTCTCAAAGCGGAATGGCGTGGTGTGGGGCACTCTTAACTGCAGCACATCTCTCTATTAGAACAAAATAGCGACTGGTGAAACGTGTAGCCATCTTCTCCTTCAGCTTTGCCACGAAAAAGCATGTATTGTTCAGAATTGTCTTCTTACGCTCGCCTTCCCTTCCTGCAAGCATTGCCCACGCTGCAAGCCCCCGAGGCCTATTTTCTTCAACGCTTACCACCTGCTTGGTCGTCTTCATCGGCGAGGGCGAGAATTTTATCACCTACCTTGCCTACCTACTACCGCGGCGCTAGCAGCATCTAACGCAGGCGGCTGCGAACTTGCTCTGCTTCACACACGAGCCCACTGCCCACAAAAGCACAAAACTTACTTACCCACGGATGTCTTCACGCGGGTTCAGCAGACTGCGGCGCGACATAGAAGGAGAGAACGGCGACAAGTCATCGTCGTCGTCCCCGAACGTGGCGAGATTCTCGGCACCAAGATTGCCTGGAGCGTTGATCTCGTCCACGTGGAATCCGCCACCATTCTCCACCGCCGTAGGCGACTCGATCGAGCTCAGTCGTGTCAAGCGACGGTTCATCTGCATGAGAGTTCGGGGTGAAACCATGCCGTGCGCAAGTTCGTACAGCTCCGCGTTGCTCAGCGTGCCATTCTGAGCTGCGGCCGCCGCCGCGATATTTGCACCAACATCGTTGGGGGCATTGCTTCTCCTTGAAGTGAGGTGGAAGAGGTTGAAAGGCTCCACCTCCGCATGCGCCCCACCATGAGCTTCGAAACACGAGCGGCAGTGACGAACAGGATGCAGCAGGCCTACTTCCGGGATCGACATGCGCTGCGAGGTACACTTAGCGCACATCCACTTGCCACATCGCTTACATGAGTGCGGACGGCGGAATAGCTTGAACGGTGTGTTGCACGTCGGGTCCTGACAGTGAGTCACGGTCTTCTTGTCGGGCTTCTTGAGTTTCTGCGAGAGTACCGAGTATTCGCGACACATCTCCTGGATCTTATCGGCCGCATTGGACAACAAGTCCTTCCACAAATCCCGATCTTCGAGCTTCGTCACGCTGAAATGCATTTCCTTGGCCGATAAGTTGTTGTCTTCGTCACACTGCTGGTGGTCGTATGCTGTAATGTACAAACCATGGTGGCCCACTGACGTGTGGGTTTCGTCCTGGCCGTGAGTATAACGGCTGCGGACAGCCAGAGGAACAATCCACTTCCACTTAATGGCGTGCGTCTCATCAACTTCACTCGGGTAAAAGTACCACAATTTGTGCGAGTCATACTCGTACACAACAAGTGCCTTTTTCCATTCCCGAACACCATATCGCTCCTTGAACAGGTATCCGAACGCACAGCCTTCACCCTCCAGGAACGACGATCCGAAGCCGTGCGCCGTTGAGTAGCTTGGCCGACTGATTTGGTTGATGATATCTTCCTGGAACGTGGGTGGAGTTGGCGCCGTTGTCCCAAATGGCGGTGTCGTTGACTTTGAGACGTCTGCCGGAGATAACGCAGGTGGCGTACCAACCGTCAAGATGCAACTGAGTGGGTCCCTCTTGGTCATTTCTTCAGACGCCTGCACGAGCTTCCGCCACACTGGATTGGATTTCATATCGCACTGAATACGCTCCTGGCTTCTCGTTTTCGGGTCCTTGTAGCACATCTTGAGGGCTTCCATGATGAGCTTCAAGTTGGATAGAGCATCAGTTCCTGCCATGCTGTCGTATTCCTGTTCACCATTGCTGTCAATGGTATCGCGATTGAGGTACACCTTGCAGAGCAGAGGCGCCAGCTTTGCGTCTGGGCCCTCCGTCTGCAGGATACGTCCAATGATGGGACACTTGCGAGAGCGTTTGCTCTTGAAATCACCAATGCAAAACACCAGCATCTTCGTAATTTCGCCCAGGAGCAGATTCCACATCGGGTATTTTTCGTAGCACGTGATAAGGGTGGTAATAACGTGAGCCCCAACGAACATTCGGTCCAAACGCTTCGACTCGTTTGACAGAACGGAGTTGAGACACTTGACAACGGACCAAAGGTGGTATCCAGACGCCCTGCGCGTATTGAAAGTAATCACTTGTTTTAGGAAGACCATGAGCTCGTGACCCTTCCGCTCCATGCACGTGATCAGGCATTCACGAAGACGGCGGTACTCACGCACGTTGCTACGCCAGTCATCACTGCAGAAAATCTCCAATTCATTCAGATCACCGTCAATCACAGCCTGCAGCAACGTAATCCACGCCTGCTTTTCCTCTTCAGAGGATGCCGCAAAGTACTCGACAGATTTCACTTCCGCAGCGTGGGAATCATGCTCATCCCTTCCATTTCGGCGCTGGTGGTGGATCATGGCGTTCGCGGGAGCTACCACACTATGGTGCGAAGCAGTGCTGTTGTTTGCATCGGGAAGTTTCTTCTTCACAGTCACGCTGAAGCCAAATTCGTGCCAATCCGAGCTCTGGACGTCCTCCATCTCATCCAGCGTAATGACACTTTGATTTCCAAGATTCGGCGTAAATCCTTTGTCCAGGTTGGCTGATTTTGGTTCATCCTCACGAACTGCAGTCATTCGGAGCCCCATCATGCAGTTCAGACTCGCCTGGCATAGCTGCACCTCGTTCTTCAGCTTCTTCTTCACCAGGAGATTCCCCTTACGCATTAGATGCGTAGAGCACAAGAAGTTGAGACAGTCAATCCCCACAGTCGCTGCCGAATTTCCGCCAGTGTTCCGAGTGTCAGTAAACTCCACCGTCTCGGTTAGCTCAAAAAGATGCATCAGCATCGTAATACACGTAGGACGCGGGTGTCCCTGGGACAGCAACATCAGCGACTCGAGTGAAGCCACGTTGCCTCGCCGCTCACGTGTCAATGGCGTACTCCAGAACGTCAGCTCCTTGATCATCTGCACGAAGAGGTGTTCCAGAGCTGCCTGGTGCTCCTGCATGAACAAGTGGATGAGACGTCGAACCTTGCGCGATGTGTACTTGCGCAACGCAGAGTTGGCTGTCTCGCGCGAGGCGCCGCAGATAGACACGTACTCGTCCTGGCCTGTCACCTTGTCCAGCGGGATGGTTCTGGCGGAGATGGCCACTCCGCGTCCTGTCAAATACGGAGCATGAACGATCTCACGCAGCAACAGGAAGGTGTTTTCAATGCAGTCACGCTCGAAGGCGTTGCGTGGAGGAGAAAAGGTCACCTGTTTCTGAATCAACTTCTGCATCATGTGCGTCTCGAACAGCGACGTGATGGCCGCCTCCGAGTGCTCCGCGTAGATGAGGTGCAGCAGCAGCGTCCGGATGTCATCATGGCCAATGTTGGCCAGCAGCATGTCCACCGTAGCCGGGTGCTCCGCCAAAAAGTGCAAAATACACGCCCCCTTCTGTCCTCGGATAGCGAAATATCGCAGGATCTGCGATGCAAAGTTGGCTGAATCGTGGCTGAAGATGCCGTACATGGCCGTCTCGTTTACCTCAGTGGTCAGCGGCGCCGGGATCCCCGTATCATCGGGCTCATCCGAGTCCGAGTCCTCTTCACGCTCCGTCACGCCGGAATTTTCAGCGCTGTCTCGCTGCACGACGCCCCCCTCCTTCACCACCTCTGGATCCTTCAATAATTCATTCTCTCCATTCTCCGGCGTCCTGGGGGACGGCAGCGGCGACACGATAGATCCAATAGCAGCTGCATCAGCGTCCGCACCCAGTGACGACCTTGCCGAAGACTTGCGCCTTCTAGCCAGCTCCTGTTCCTCCTGCGTCAGACCCCCGTTCTCCTCCTCGTGCTCGGCGAAGCTCTGCTGCAGCGTCTGGGCGCCGTCCTTCTCGAAGACCTGCACGGCCACTTGAATGAGCTCCTCCAGCTCGGCGACGGAGGCTTGGCGCTCCTTGCGGCGCAGCGGCGTGTCACACTTGAGCGAGACGCCGTCAGCCTCGCGCTGCAGCGTGTCGAAGATGGAGTCCCAGAACTCCGAGCACTGGTGCGGCTTCCCCGGCTCGCAGGCCGCGATGGCGTTGACGGCGCCGCCCACGACGATGAACTGCGCCGCCATGGCGCGCGTGTGGCGCGGGTAGGACGCGTCCAGCGCCAGGCGGATGAACTCGAGCGTCTTGTCGCGCGCGAAGAGGATGCCGCGCAGGCGGCTGGTCATGCGCTTGAAGAGCAGCTCCAGCATCTCGAGCGAGAAGCTCTCGTTCAGCAGCTGCGCCAGCGTGTACTTCTCGCTCATGAGCCCGTCCACGAACTTCTCGATGTTGGCGCGCACCTGCTCCGCCGCCTTCTTGCGCTCCTGCTGGAACGACGCCTCGCTGTGCGTGGGGGACGACGGCGCCGAGCCGGGCGGCGTCGGGGCGTCCTTCTCCAGCATCGTCAGAGCAGCCCAGTGCGGGCTAGCGAGAGTGAATGTGCTGCGCGCCGGAAACGCGCGGAACTGACGGGATGGACGCCCAAACGTGTACGTGTACCACCGCCGGCGCCGTGATAAATCAAATGGCGAGGGGATTTGTTATTGGATGATGAGAGAACACGAATGGTTATCGAAGACCTGTTGTAGATGATGCTATCAATCGATCGTATTAAACGGGGTACTCTGTACTGACGGCTTGAACTGCCTTTTCGGGGACCGGACTGGTCTCAGGTTCTTGATGCACCTGGTTTCTGAGACTTTGTGTTCTTCAAAGCTCTACCCTCAAAAAGGACCCAGGCTCACCTGCGTCTTCTTCAAAGCGCAGGCGGTATTACAGTCGCTTCGCATGGCGATTCGCCACAGTGGCTGCCAGCACCGTGTGCTGGTGTTGCACATGGCTACTGCCGACTCGGCAGTGCCGAGTTTGGTCAGCAAGAGAGCTCCACGGGAAATTGTGCTGGCGGGAAGTCATCCCCCCTTCACTCTTCAGTGGCTCACAATTCTGCTGGTTTGTTCGGCTAAGACTGGTGCGTAAAAGTCAAGCGTACTTTGGCACTGCATGAGCTGATGAAATACGATCCATGCTCCCCTGAGCATAGCAATTTGCTTAGCTTTAAGCGACTGCCGAGTTTCAGTGTTGGTTTATCCGCGTCCGTCGTCACCACTTCTAAGCTCTTGTTTAGGTTTGTTGCACCGGACCAACATCGTTGCAATCGGCCTCAGCTGGAGTTTTGCTCTTGCAAATTGCAGCGTTCATCAAAGCTACCCTCACCTGCGTGCCTTCTTCAAAGCACAGGTGGTCACCACCCCCGGGTGGCCACTTCGCATAACAATTTAAATATGAGCAGGGCTGTTGCTCCTCGGAAAGCTCTTGGCGCATGACTTGGTCCGTCTTATCGCTACATGCATCCCAATTCGCTACAGTAACCGCACCGTATCAGTGAGAGCAGTGCAGAGCTACATTTCTGCTCTCTGTCGGCTGTGTGTGAGCTGCGACTTCAACATTCCCTCGCGTAACCCGACCCGTACCCACCCAAATCATTAGCGTTTTGTATCGGTCATACACACTCCAAGTCATGCTGGACCTGCGCAAATTATTAGGCGCCGAGCGCGACCTCGCGGCGGTGCCTGTGCTGGACGAGGCAAGCTTCCGTCGGGGCGCGTACCGCGACGGTAGCGTGCTCAAGTTCCGGGGCGTGGTGCGCGACGTGCAGGACCCGGAGCTCGTGCTGCTGGGTGGCGAGCCACCCGCGCTCGAGGACGGCGAGGCCGTGCGTAACCAGTTGGTGGAGCGCGTACCCCTGACCGTCACTTTATTCCCGCACGCGAGTGACTGGGCTACGCGAGCGTTCCAGTCATTGGTCGAAAAGACAGGCGAGAGTGATGGTCGTTGCACTACCAGTCAGAGTGATGGTAAAAAGGCAACTAAGGGCACCAAGCGCCCCGCGGACGAGGAGGGAGCGCTGGACGTCGAGGCCACTGAGATCCAGGGCGATACCCACGCCAAGAAGCCCAAGGCGGCCGACCTGGATCAGACGGGGGCCCAGGAGGACAGCCTGGTGCTGCCCCAGGCCGTCAACATCTACGTCTACGACGGCCAGTACAAGGACACGCCGCTGGACGCCTTCAAGGTGAACGAGGCCTTCGAGTTCGTGGGCATCTTGGACCTGATGGTGCCCGGCACCGACGCCAAGAAGGACGAGGAAGGGGAGAGCGTGCTGAGCGCCAAGCAGCTGGAGGAGCTGCAGATCTCCGACTGCATCGACGAGGTGCAGCGCAAGGGCCGCTCGGGCGTCGTGCTGCACTGCTGCCACGTGAGCGCGCTGCAGAGTGTGCATCACGTTCGGCCGCACGAGTCCAGCGAGTTCTACCAGCAGATCCTCGAGAGCAACGACTCGAGGACTAAGTTCTGCCGGGACGAGTGGACGAAGCTGGGCCAGGAGATGACCGTCGTCGCAATGCGCCAGCAGATCATTGATTACCTGGCCAAGGCTGTGCGAGGTGACACGCTCGCGGCGGAGTACTTGTTGCTCGGGCTGCTGTCCCACGTCTACTCGCGGGCGGACCCTTCGACGCCGCTGGGCAATCTGTCGCTCAACTTGTCGCTGGACAAGTCTTCAACCGACGAGCACAAGAGTGACTTCCTGTTCAGGGTTCAGCAGACGTTGACGACTTTGATGCCCATGGTGGCGAGGGTGGATTTGTCGTTGAAGGAGCTGAATTCGACCAAGTTCATGCCTCACAAGGATTACGAGCGCGAAGTGCTGCTGAGTGGCGTGCTGCAGGTGGCCAATGGCACCACCATGCTTGTGAATGAAACTGCGTTGACCGCGGGGCAGCTGAACGACCAGGGCGTGAAGAACATTGCTGCGTTGCAGTCGCTGATCGATAAGATGCTGCTACCGTACGACTTTCACTACTACAACATGGATTTCCCGCAGGATGTGGCCGTCGTCACCGTGTCAGAGGGCAAGAGCATTCTGCCTGTGACAGTGGCCGTGCCGATTGTTGCTGCAGATGAATCTACCACAGCGGAGCTACCGGAGGAGCAGGTATTAGAGTGTTTCCGCGTGTTCCTTAGTGTGCTGCGCTCGATTGTGGTTACGATCGGCAACAAGGAGGCTGAAATGGCCGAGAAACATTACGTGGAGTGCCGCAAGTCTCAGCAAAAAGTGGCGGTAAGTTATCAAACTGGGAAGATCGTACTCGAGTAACGAAATTACCGACTGAATGATGTGTCTGTGTTACAGTTGGAAGATCTGCACCGCTGGCTGCGTCTCGCTCGCTTGGTAGCGCTGAGTCGTGGAGAAGGACAGATTTCCAAGGGCTCCTGGAAGGCAATGTTGTCGCTCGAGAACCAGCGTCTGGCTCGCATTCCTGTAGACACCAATTCAACCTAAACTTCGAGTCATAGAAGAAGGAAAATGGGCCTCAATTTTGGGTATTATGCAGTGAAGGTACAAGTTCAGTGGCTCGGTGCAGGTGTCGACGAAGCCATCGCCAGGAATACTATCCGTTCGTCGGCGTCCATCTCTGGATCACGACAACTAGAAAGTCCATCTCTGCGGATGGTAACAGCACACGAATAGAGGAAATGTTAGCATGCATCAGCACGGTGGGAGTCTAGAAACACATAGCGAACCGTGTGCGATCAGCAGCTCGAGCTTTTTGACGCGGATGCGCATGTACTGCAGGTCGTTCTTGGGGTTCAGGTCGCGAACGACGCCTCGCGCTTTCGTAGTGAGCTCCTTCATGTAGAGCGCGTACTTTTCAGCCTCCGCCACCTGCATCTGCGGGTGACGCCGAAGAACGTTGCCGTTGCGGTCGGCGATCACGTAGCCCTCCACACCCTTGTGGTTCTTGATGCGCTCGAGCGTCTCCTCCACCTCGGACATGTCTGTATGTGGTTGCAGAAAGATCCACGGCGTCTTTTGACGATAAACTCTGCAGTGAAGAGGCGGCCAAACTACAACGAGGTGCTATAATCGACCACGTCACAAGTCCCGCGGCCATTGCCCCGAGTCTGGCTTGCTTCGAGGCCAGAAGTCATGAAGCAGCACAAGGTTTCAACAGAAAATCTTCTTAGAGATGCTTTGAGGAAGCATTGATAAGAATGGATATGATACCGAGACATGGGAGAAGTTAGCGATGAGATAGGTGGTGGTTTGCGTCAGCTACTAAATCTAATGCGATGGCGTGTCAAACACAACGTTTAAAATGCTTTATAGCGATAATGTTAGATTCCTAGCACCCTCGCTCCCTCTTCCGTTCTGAGTCTAACGGCTCGATTCGCAATAAAAAGAGTTCGTGTTGTGATCTTGGGTCAGCACCTCCTCGTCTTCGACTTCGACTTTCCAAGTAGGCGACTTTGAGTTCTGGGCGACACTACACAATCTCCTGGATCGTGTTCGTCCTCACCACTGCCAGATTCACCGCAAGCAGCTCATCCAGCCCAGAGATATCAAGGGTAGCTTTCAGCAGCTTCCGACACCATGGGTGTCATGCACGACTTGATCGTTCCTGGATCCGGAACAGTAGCGGAGGTGCTATCTACAATCCAGCAGCTATGTGGAGAAATGAAGGAGTGCCAGGACCCGTGCACGCGCCTTTACCAGAGACTCAAGAGCGTGCTCGACAGTCTTGTGAGCCTCGAAAAGAACAAGACGCGCCTCCCGCCGCCTGAAGCACTTGGCAAGTACGTGGCTGTCAACTCTACGACCTTGAGCTATCTGGAGCACTACCGAGGGAAGAAGCTGGTATTCCGTTTGATGAAGCGCCAAGCGATGATGGACGAACTCCGCGCGATCCACGAAGAGACCGACAAAGTCGTCCTTGCATTGGGTCTCACCACCACAGACAAATGGAAGCAACAGTTCGAAGCTGATCAACGCACCCACCGAGAACGTTTGGCTGCCTCGGTTGATAATGCCCAGGAGGTGTTGGCTGAGCTTCAGGACGCTCGATCGCAACAAGAGACCATGCTGACGCTCAAGTACGAGGTCGAGCTACGGCCAGAGCAGCACGACGAAGACATGGCGAAACTGCTGAGGACGATGATGGCGACGGTGATCCGAACGTCCACGACTTCCGTTCCAAAGCTGCCGCCGTGGTTCCTACCGCCCTATGAAGTTCGCTTCAAACCGAACCCATTCGCCCGTGGATCATTCGCGACTGTGCATCGTGGCGTGCGTCGGCCAAATGCCAACGTGGTCGTCAAGTGTTTCCTCGTCGATGGGGTTGACGTAGACGAGCGAACCAGACAAAACATCGAGATGGAGATGAATCTCTGGCACCAGTTTGACCACCCGAACGTGATTAAACTGCTGGGTGCTTCACACATCAGCACGCCTCCATTTATCGTCTGCGAGGACGCCACCAACGGCGATTTAAGTTCATTTCTTGCTCGGTCAGACGTCAACAAGCAGCAGTTGTGGAGGTTGTTGTACCAGGCAGCGCTTGGCTTGGAATACATCCATACGAAAAGTGTGGTGCATGGAGATCTGAAGCTCAACAACGTCCTGGTTGGAGCGGACGGGCAGGCCAAACTCTCAGACTTCGGCTTGAGCGCTGTGCGGACCTCGGCCATTCTGTCAGAGACTACAGGAGAAACGCCCTACACTGCTGGCGCCTTGCGTTGGCGAGCTCCCGAGTGTCTGAGGAGGGCGCCGACGTTTGCCTCGGACGTGTACTCGTTCGCAATGTGCATTATCGAGGCCGTGATCGGCGAACCTCCTTTCGCGTTCCTGGACGACGACAGCGTTCACGAGAAGCTCAGGAAGGGCGAAATCCCTGACAAGCCCGAGAAAATGTCTGCAGTGGTGTGGGAGTTGGTTGTGGCCATGACGAACGTGGATCCTGCCAAGCGGGCTAGTCTGTCACAGGTGCTCAAGGCGCTGAAAGAGTTGGCGGATGGAGCACCGAGCTCGTCTCCGCAATCGACTGCAAAAGCTGACGAGAACAAAGCAACCCCGGCTGAGAATACGATCGCTACGCGTGAGAATCATGAACCACTGCTCGACGCTGACATTATCGTGGACATTCTTGACAACGTGGCTGGTATGGACGATAAGGGGAAGGAACAGAGTTTACTGCACCTTGTTCGAATGTGCGTGAAGGATGAGGAGCGCCCGGTGATGTACGCAGCCAACGCGACCCAGATCCTGACCAACTTGGTGAAAAGCAGTCGCACCTACTACACGAAGCTGTACGCGTTGCAGTGCCTGAAGTGGGCTGTCGTGGTCGACGCGAAGCTGTCACAGTCCGAGCTCGATTCGCTGCGAGATTGTGTTTCGGATGTCCCGGCGAAGGAGCTCGCGTCATTGGCGAGCGCTCTTACTAACGGCACCGACCAGGAGAAGGAAGAAGCCGCGTTACGTTGCGCGTGCATCGCCGCCAGAGGAAACGGAGGCCTCTGGCAAGGTATGACCTGGCTTCAACCTATCGTCTCTTTCTGGCAGAGTTTGAGTGAAGCTCAGAAGTTGTGGATCGGAACGGTGCAGCCTTTGGTCTCACTGCTGCAAAGTGGGAATGACTCGCAAAAGTTGTGGGCTGCGGAAGCGATCGGCAGCCTCGCGACGGAGAATGAAGCCATCCGAGCTGAGATTGTACGAGCAGATGCGATCACCCCACTGGTGGAGCTTCTAAGTGCTGGTACCGATGGACAGAGACACCGAGCTTCCTTTGCGCTGAAAAATCTAGCGCTTCAAGCGGGTGTGTGCCAGTCCATTGCTCAAAAGGGGGTCATCGCTCCGCTGCTCAGATTGGCGCGACTTGGAACCGCGCAGCAAAAGCAAACAACTTCAGCTCTACTAGGGAGTCTCGTTCTACCAAGCTACCCGAACAAAGCCGACGTTGAGCACGAAAGAAGCATCACCCCGCTGGTTGCGCTGATTGTAATCGGATCGGACGAGCAGAAGGAGACTGCGGTGGCAGTGCTATCAGATCTTGCCAAGGACGATGCCACACAGTCCGAGATTTCGCGTACAGGAGGAGTGGCACCCTTGGTTGGCCTCCTGCGTACTGGAACCAATGCTCAAAAAGCGCATGCTGCGAGTGTAATCATGAATCTCGCCTGTAATGGTACTACCAGCGCCGAGATATCCCGAGAGGGTGGTGTCGCCCCGCTCGTTCTGCTGGCATGGAAGGGAAACGAGCAGCAGAAGACATCCGCTGCGGGCGCGTTGCTGAAGCTGAGCTTTGACGTCGAAATTGGAGCTGAAGTCGTAAGGTGCAAAGGTGTCAGCCCTCTCGTTGAGCTCGCCCGAACCGGAACCGATCAGCAAAACGTTTATGCGGCTGGCGCGTTGAGGAATCTCGCCATCAGCGACGAAGTTTGTGCGGAGATCTCACGCGAAGGAGGTGTCGAGGCTCTCATCAGACTTCTCAAGTCTGGAACGGATCGACAGAAGGTGGGGGCGATAGGAGCACTCCTGAATCTTTATTCAAGTGCTGCAGCTCGCTCCGACATTGCCAGTAGGGGAGGTGTTAAAGCGCTCCTTGAGCTTTTGCGGACGGGGACGGATGAACAACAGCGCTTGATTGCGTGTGGGCTGAGCCACCTGGCCAAGTACGAAGACGGTCGAGCGGAGATTGCGCGTGAAGGAGGCATCGCACGGCTTGTTGACCTTCTACGCGCTGGAAGCGAGCAGCAGAAGGGTTACGCCGCAGACACGATTGGGGACCTTGCAATGAGCAACGACAAGATTCGAGCGGAGCTCAAGCGTGGACGAAGCGTGCCGTTGTTGAAGAAGATGAGCCGAAGCGGGAGTGAAGAGCTGAAGGAGAGTGCAGCGCGTGCTCTGCAACAGTTGAACGGTGGTTCCTGTATTATCATGTGAGGGACCGACAAAATATTTGATAATGGATAATATATCTGAGGTATTCATACAACCATTGCTACGTGATATTGCTCTCCTAGCTTCCAATAAGTTGTACCCTGACAAGGTTAGCCAATTCATACATATTTCGATTCATAGTGAACTAAGGCCTGATGCTTGACAAGGCAGCCTGTCCGTCGCAAAACTTAGTTAAACTACCGGTTTCCATTGCTGAAACACGAGATCGCTTAGCCGCCTAGCGATTGTGAAAAATACATTAGCATCAACATTTCCACCCATTGCTCCACCCAAAACTTACATTGCAGCAGCCGTGTCCTTAGATACGAAGATGATGTTTCTTGTTGCAGCCTCTGATGCAAATCGAGCGTCCTGAAGCGTATCGTTGACATACTGGTAGCACAGAGCTCCCTGAAACTCCATCATCACCGAACCGGGTGTGTTGTTCGCCGCATCTATTGCTTTCTGCAACGATCAGAAGCACAGAAAAGTAAGTACTGGCAGTAGTATTTCATACGACGTTCCCTCAAACATACCCCACAGAGAACACCGTCATCAGGGAACAGCGTGGTGGCTTGTTCAGCTGTGAGTTTCATCTGTCTTGTTCGAATAAGCAGCGTAGGCTCGTCGACAGTGTCGCTAGTATCGTCGGCCTTCTTCGTAGCTACTGCGATCGCCGTCACGAAATCTAGCATGACAGCTTCCTTTGGCTGCGTCGCGGGAGGGAGGCAATCACAGCTCGTAAGTACCCGACAATTGATCACTCAATTTCATGCAAAATCTACCACTGCGAAGCACACAAACACAGTCGGTGCGTCTTCCTTCCGGGCACATAGCCCACTTGTGATCGGCACCACCAGCTGCGGCAGGTCCACCGAAAGCCCCAACTCCTCCGCCGTCCACGAGGGCATTTTCCACAGCGACCTCGCGCCATTGTTCTCCTTCTCCGGCATCATCTCGGCCAATGGAGACTCGTGAGGGTGCATCGGTAGCGGCGTCCAGCCGCCATGATCCGGCGTGAAGTCGAAAATCTACAACATTTCAATGCCCCCACCGTCAGCACTGCATCAACTTTAGGTCAAAAGAATCGCGCTCAACAGACCTCACTCCACTTGTTGTTCCATGCCGAGAACTTTGCTTGACGGAACTGCTGCTGCAGTGAGAAGTAGGTCAGCGGGAAACACGCAAACCGCAGGCGACTGGAAGTCTCAATAATGGGCTCTGCAATGAACAAGTTTCGATATAGTTAGCCACCATAGTCAAGAAAATGGTGTCAAGCCGTTACCCCACCCGTGGCGCTGTAGAGATAGACGTCCAAGTCCTCGCAATCGCGCGTGCGGAACTGCTGCGCGGCACAGACGACGGTGCATTTCTTGCAGTCGCGCAGGAAGACGCTGCTCTCGCAGGGCCCCACGACGATGCGGCAGTTGACGCAGGCATCGATCTGCACCGACGTGCAGTGGTCCAGCAGGAAGATGTCGCAGTTGTGGCAGTCCTCGATGAGGAACTGCTGGCCGTTGATGCTTCCCGGGAGCTTGGCCAGGAACGACGCCGTCTGGATGTTGGAGAAGATGAAGTCCTCGCGCTTGAGCGTCGGGTCCCTGCCAAAGCTCGGTGTTGACTTGGTGCTGCCGGTCGGGGACGGAGGAGCCTTGGTCTTGGTGGATTTTGCCTTGCTCCGGGCCTCGGCGCCCAGTGCGGGTGGACCGGCGTGGCAGATGTTGCCCATGACAACTTGAATAGCTTCAAGGTGAGCTCGAAAGTGTGTGGTGGGTTTCACGCGATCACGACTCGCAGAACGGACGGGCGAGCCTAAATGAGGAGCGCCGACAATAAACTTCCGCCAGATTAGATCTTGTCATCCAACGTGGCGTTGAGAATCTTCTTCTCAGCGTTGGTTGTCTGAAGTTTTTAATTCTGAGAATAGCAAGATTCGTCTACGAATTTGTCGTCTTTTTGCTTTAACTGCTCTCGATTGCAATTACACGATGCAGCACAATTAACCGGATCACCAAGAAAATATCGCATCGTTTTTGGGGTTCACGCGTAGAATGTTCCCTGTAGTGTGTATAGTTTCAGCTGCGTTTGATATGACATTTCGATCTGACTCGCCTGTAAAACTCTTTCCAAAGCAACCCTCTACTTTCGTCGTACTGAGCCAGGTGAACACGCCCACACGCAGCCATCCGCTTTTTTGTTCTTCCATTCCTGTTCGCAGGAGCTTAAGTAGCTACGATATTCCAACTTAGCTCGCAACCTCGGAACGGGCTGCAGCAGGGGCGCTCGTATCGTCCCCACCTTCTGTCCATCCGTTCCAGACTTGAATAGTCTAATGAGAGCCTTCACACCCCCTTCGCGTGAGATCTGCGCGCAAATAGGTCGCCTGTGGCACGTTTCCTCAATGCACACGCCGCATCGACTTTGCTGCTTGATAGTATTCTAGAACTACGTGGAGTGCAAATAGGTGGTTAGCGAACACTCGAGCAAACAGCAACTACGTAATGGGTATATATTTCTCACCTAAGCCGAAGTCGATCTAGCTATCGGGGTAGGCCATACAAAGCTGTCTTCAACGCTCATATCGTATATGGCGCTGCACAATTTCTGCGTAGAGGTCACATGAGAGCGCAGCAGTCAGCATTCAACTGGCGCGAAGCACGCGCTGCGACCTGCTGCTGTAGCTCGGTTCCGTCCCGTCGAATCGTCTCAAACAATTCAACGCCCCCCTCACGAACGATAGTAGCGCGATTCTCACCAGTGCTGAACGCCAGATCCTCCACCACGCGCACGACGATATCCTTTTCTTCGCTGAATCCATTCCTAAGAAGTGCAATGAGGTCTCTCACACCTTTCGTACGAGCACTCTCAAACGTGAGAGCAGGAGGCTCTGCAGCAGCACTCGTAGGTAGCTCCATCTGGGTCTTCTTTGCTTCATCAATCTCAATTTTGTCCGTCGAAACAACAGGAACTTGTGCCCGTCGATCTTGTGCTACAATATTCTCTTAAATCGTCGCGGTGCTCTTCTTGGTACTCAGTTTGTTCCTTTTGAAACACAGCAACTGGTGCAGCGGGTGAGACCTCAGATTCCCCCCTCACTGAAGATTCTAGCTGAATACTGGCCCTTATCTTCATCAAGCTGAGCTCGACAGGTCGGGATCATGGCGGAAACGTCAATTGCAACGTCACCACTAGCAGCAACGGCTTCTTCTCCATTTTGAGCACATCTTCATCCGATAGTAACCTCCGCAAAAATGCGTCTCCCCCCTCATACGCGATTTCAGATCGCAATTCATCGTTGAGCCCATGCGTTTGTTTGATAGGCTGTGTGACGTACGCGAACAACATTGAGAGTACCTCAGAAACTAATGCCCTTTGATCCTTTGTTCCAGCTCGCAGCAGTGATACCACCCCTTCGAAAGCTTTGTCGGTACCTTCATAGAAGTACTACTGTCACGATATTATCGACTACAAACACCTCCGAAAATGGGTAACGATCTGCCAACTTTGTGAAGATCAAGCTGCAGTAAGCTGTGTGACCCGCGTGCAACGCAGTCATCTGGATGAAGTTAAAGATGTAGGAAGCGATGTGCTAGAAGTTAGATGTTGAAGTTACAGGCACCAAGGACTAGAATTGCTTAGGAGGAATTGGACGAAGGCGCTAAACTCAATCTCAGTTTTCGATTTTCCAGCGTACTCAACACAGCATCTCGGCTCCCGATGCCCGCCGCACTTCCTCTCTAAGTGCTACCATATCACTTATCACTCTTTTTAAAAATTGTGACAACTACTAGTAAAAGTCTGCCTACAGCAATAGCAGCGTAACTTTTGTGTGTGTCCGTCCCACGTTGTAGCAATAATTCCAGCGACTCGGTGAGCTGCCATTTGCTCATATGGTTCCAAACTCCAGCAATCGTGAGCCTCTCTTGCCAGCTTAACGGACATGCGGTGCTTCGGGTAGCAGATCGGGAGGTCCGCTGCAGTTCCACGTGCGAGGTTTATCAATATCTCCCATACTTCTCCTTCTGTTCATCGCTTCCATCTTTGAGCAGCAGAGTAAATGGAGCGTTATTGAGGGCCTTCTTGGCTACAGGATACAGGTATTCGTACTCTCGCAGAATTGCACCTCGGACTTCATCATAACTGCTTGCTAGGATCTTCAACACATCAGCAGCATAACATATTTGACGATAGGATCCGTTTTGTAGCAGCTTCGTGAGTGCAAAAATGATACTTTGAGTTATGATTGCACTCCGAACGAAATTGCTGCTGCTAGCGAGGATCGCAAGCTCAACCAAAACCTCCTCCTTTTCACTCTCCCACTTTGAAGAACGAATGTTAGCTGATGAATACCTTTGTTCTCGACAAATGATTTCCGATCGATGTCGTTCCTTTTCGCAAGATCCAATTTGACCTTAAGACTGTGTCCTTCCGTTTTCCGATGTGCCACTTAAACGGGCAAAAGCGTTAGCGATTGAGGAGTTAACAGGAAATTTCGTAAGTATCTGGTATTTCCATTTGAAAAAAGACCTGGATAGCTGAAATACCTGCCGGATGACCATACCACGGACTGCGTCATCGCTCAGCGCAACATTTCCCAGGACTATACCAGCAAGCATCTTATCTCCAATGGTTCCAGTCCTCATCAGGTTCACAAGCAGCTCAATTCCTCCTTCCTGGCCAAGCGCAGCACCAATATCCTCGCTGAAGGACAGCTTTGCCATAACTCTTGCTGCACAGCGCTTTTGATTGCTTGATCCCATTCGCAAAAGTGCTACTAAAGTAGTGACACAGTTAGTTTGGACGATTGAGGCTCGAATCATATCGGTGCCTCTGGCGAGATCCGCCAACAGAACCAATGCGCTCCCCTTCTGCAGATCATTCCCGTGTTGAAGAAGTCCAGCAATTGATTGAACAGCATATTCGTTGGCGAAAGTAGCGCGGACCACGTCGGAGATGTTCGCAAGGAATGTTAGCGCCTCCGCAGCGCAAAAGCTACGATTACTCCAGTGCCATTGCGCGATTTTAACTGCACATATGTTTGCCAATCAAAGTTCACCATTTTTGTAAGGGCAACAGCAGGGGGTTCTTTGCTGTCATCAGGCCCATCTTGAAGAAGCGAAAGCAACGGTTCAGCGCCTCCACTACTGACAAACTCGTAGCAGTAGCCACAATAAGTGGTGATCTTCGCGATTGCATTCACAGCGCAGTCTTTTAGCGATTCGTCTCGTAAAAGCTGGGCAAATGTTATAGCCCCTCCGTTGCCAAAAGTCCCCACATTTCCGAGAGCATATACGGCTGATTCTTTTTGCGCATCCGTCCGCGATAACAGCTCAACAACGCCTTTTCAACTTCAAAACTGCAAATTGTAAGTTCAAAACAGCAAAAGGTAACATTAAAACAACAATACTCTATAAATGTATATTACAAACTGAATGATATCTATCATCGTATACGATTATAGAGTACAATTTGCCTATTGGCTAGCTGTGCTGCGTGCCAACCAATGAGCTGTGTATAAAAGTACGAAGCTAGCCTGGTCTCTGCTCGTGCAGTTTTGAACTTACCTTTTGCTGTTTTGAACTTACAATTTGCAGTTTTGAAGTTGAAAAGGTGTAGACTCTCGATAAAATCCGTTCTTAAGCTTCTCGTGAGACTATAAATCTCAGCAGGTAACTCTGGATGTAAGACCAAATTCCCAATTACATAGGCGGCACACTCCTTTAGAACCGCATTCTCCGTTATAACTCGTTTTTGCCTGCTGCTAGCTGTCAGCACTTGGAAAAGCGTCTTGAGCCCGCCTCCTTTTGTGATCTTGACTCGAATCTCATTGTTATAGGCTCCACTTCTCAATTCACGTGCTGCAAATATCTTTACGTCTTCATTCGACCCTTCCAGCAGAGGAACCAGCGACACAATTCCACCAACCCGAAGCAATTCTTCACGAAAGGTTTTACCAAAGGCAAAACGTTGAATCAGTCCATGCACAACATTCTGCCTATCTTCAACTGCGGCCGGAAATCTGTGCTCGGAATTTAACAAAAGATCAACTAAAGGATTGGCGCCTCCTTCTCGATCAATCGCTGTGTGAATTTCCACTTCGGCCCGCGTAGAAAGTGTGGCGAGGGCGCTCGCAGCGTAAAATGTTCATCTTTTCCAGAACGTAGAAGTGTGACGAGAATCCCGACAAACTCATCAGCCGAAAATTCAATTGCTCTTCCGTTCCAGTCTGTTGCAAGTAGGAAAACCTTGCAAGCATTACTCAGCGGTGATACGTTACCAGTGATATGTGTCATTGCGAGTGCTCATTCTGTCCAGTGGTAGGACAGGCAACAAGTGTAGCTAGGTTAGAGATCTAGCCTCACGTCTCCAAGGGGAATGCCCCTATCCATGTCCGTACGGAGCCCCTGCTCCAAGTGTGTTCTCATTCTCAAATATACCTTCCTCGAAGGACTCGAGTCTCCGGTGCTGTCGACTCTTCTCGGTGGTCTTCCTTTTCTAACCTCCTTTACAGTCTACGATAGGTTGATAAGAAGGGCTATCCCACCTAGACGTTCCGTCTTATGCATCATTGTAAGTGTGGTTCATTAGCACAGCTGCTGCTCGAGACTTTTGTGCATCGGTTCCAGCTATTGCAAGTGCTACGAGCAGATCACGATTGTCATCCAAAAGCGTAAGACGTTTGATTACCCCCCGAAGAGTTTTGAGTATCCGCTCCGTTGGGAAGAAGAGTAATAATGGGTTAATAGTTTGATACCCCCTGTGCGTACATGTCAGTGCAAACCCCAACTGTCGGCCTAATTTCTTGGTATCGGTAGAGGCGCACAGAAGCACAAGTAGTAGACGCCACCTGGACTTCGTTTTGGTCGTGGCAATGTTCATTATTGCACCAATGTGATGACATACTTTTGCTAGTTTGCTAAAAGGGAGACCAACGCAGCGACACCTCCTTCCTTCGCAATTTCACTTGCAAGATCACCGACGCTGACCAAGTTGGATATCGCATGGGCGGCGGACCTGCCTGTTCCACTAATTGACCTCAAGGGTTTGCTGACGAAATTGGCTCTCGTTGGTGAAATTTGTGCTCGAATAGCTCGTGAAGGCGGAACTCCTGCGATTATAGGGGTCTAAACAGATAGAGCAAAGGGCGGGGCGGTTGGCTGACTGCACCGTATCGCCTGTAGTGATGCTGCTCATCTCGAGTTTGAAGGTCAAAGAGAATTGCTCCACTCATCCAGCATGGTTACTGGAGCGACCAGCAAAAAAATAGCAGCATTTTGCGGGTGCGCTGGCCAATTTGTCGAACCATTCCGCACTTCGACCTGTCATTGATCAAGAGGGAGGCGTCCCAGTACTTGTTGCGCTTTTCATGAGTGCAACAAGACTTTTAAAAGGTGGTCGATGTCCTCGTGAAGGCTACGCAGCTCGTTCATCACGGATTGGAGCGGGCAACCACCTTCTGACCTACAGTCCATTTCTGCAAAAACTAGGAAGAATACAAAGATTTACCAACGTCAGTGTATGATTTGTTATCGCATGCTTCGATGTATCCGGCGTTCTGCAACCTCACATCAGTGTACATGTACAGCCCGTTGGACGCGCCCCGTGCTGTTGCTTGTGCTCCACGAGTGTGTTCTGATATGCGTCACCTCCCTTACGCGCGAGTGCATTACGGAGTGGACTACCAGCCCTTAAATTCATCAGCGCCGACAATGTTTGGTACTTTTGAGCCTCCGACCCAATGCGCAGAAGCGTCAACAAAGGATCGGCGCCTCCTTCACGCACAACGTCGCCACCAATACCATCGTTGCTGGAAAGCATCACCAGCGCCTTCGCAGCGTTCTGCTTAAGCTCATCAGAACCGAACCGAAGAATCTCAATTAGTGGTGGGATGCCTCCCTCGTGAGAAATCGCCGTTCTTCCCTCGTCGGAGCTAGCAAGGTTCAACAGAATACCAATAGCAGGACAGTGTAGTTCCGTACTTCCAGAACGCAATATCGCAACAAGCGGTGTCACCACCCCGCCTTGTAGAATGTCAACGCAAACTATACGACTGTCACTCAAGTTCTGAAGCGCTTGCAAAGTGCATTCCTTCTGGAGATCCGTTCCGGACGTAAGAAGCGCGACAAGCGGTCCGACTGCACCTTGTCGGACAATCTCAGCCCGGATTGAATCTTTGTTGGCGAGGTTTCTGATAGCCGCCGCAGCAATTTGTTTGTGCACTTCAGTCCCACTTCGCACGAGCTTGACGAGGGACACAATCACACGTTCGCGTACGATTTCATCGCAAATAGCTTCCGTGACGGCAAGATTCGCAACAGTAAACGCAGCATAGTTCCTTTGTTCGTCGTCCCCAGTTTCGAGGATGCCTACAAGGATTGGAACGCCGCCCTTCTGCACAATCTCGATAGCAACGATACTGTTGCAGGCAAGCTGACCGAGCGCATCCAAAGCCCCAGCTTTAGGACCATCGGTTCCGGCCCGCACAAGGTCAAGAAGTACCGCAACACCTCCCTCCCGTGCAACTGCAAACGGAACTGATTCGCTGGCAGCAAGAGCTCCAATGGCTCCGGCAGCGAGCATTATTTGCTCATCAAGTCCGTCTCGTAGCAGCTTGACAAGAGCAGCAGCTCCTCCCTGGCGATCGATCTCAACTCGAACCACATCTCCACTCGAAGCAAGGAACATTAACGCACCCGTTGCTGCAGTCTTTTGCCCGTCCGTGTCATTTTGCAGTAGCCAAACTAGAGACTCAATCCCTCCAATGCGTAGAATCACCTTACTGTTCTCGTCCAGCCGGCCAAGGAAGCCTATTGCACGTGCAGCGTGCATTTGTTGACAATCTGTTCCATTGCGAAGCAATGCAGCGAGTGGTATAATGCCTCCGGCACGAGCGATCTCACTACAGATCGCTTCGTTTATTGACAGATTTGCGAGAGCCCCAGCCGCATTATCCTTGACCTCGTCGGAGTCAGTGCTCAGAAGCTCAAGCAATAGCGCGATGCCTCCTTCGCTCACTACCTGAACTCGATTTTCGTCGTTCGTGGTAATATTCACTACTGCTCCACAAGGGCACACTTCTGCTCTTCCGTACCAGTTCGCAACAGTGAGATCAATGGACCAACACCTCCGGCCGCCACAATTTCAGCTGCAATATCATCCGCCAAGGACATGTTGGCTAACGCTCGACCTGCAAAATGTTTTTGCCCATCGGTTCCACTTCTCAGCAGTCCAATGAGTGAGATGATGCCTCCATCTCGGGCTATTGTTGCAAGGTATCCGGGATTCGTCGTAAAATTTGATAATGCGGCAGCAGCAAATTGCTTTTGTGTGCCAGTTCCCTTTTGAGTGAGCGCTACGAGTTGTGCAATCCCTCCTTGGCGTTCGATTTCAATGTGGGCAGCTATGTTGCGGGTGAGGTTCTGCACGACGCATGCTGCCATGTCCTTGAAATGGTCTGGTTTCGCCTGTAACAAGCCGTCGACCACAGTGCTATCAGACGATGCGCTTTCAGCACTGAGGCCGAAGTCTGCCAGCTTTGCCTGGCCATCAGCACCAACGAGAATGTTGTTGAGCTTGAGGTCTCCGTGCACCACCTTCAGTTTGTGAAGGTACTCCAGCCCCAGCGCCGCCTGGTACAGCAGTCGCCACATGTGCTGCTTGTTGTCCCCAATCGTCAGGAACGAGCGCAGATCTCCGTTGGTCGCGTCCTCACACGCAATGAACGGGGGCGAGCTCACGTGCGAGGCGCCAAACATTCGAATGACGTTCTGGTTGTTGAAGCGGTGCCACAGCGCTATCTCCGCCTCAATCTGCTTCTTGGCCTCTTCACCCGCCGCCATTCCATCCACGAGGAAGCACTTCACGACCACCTTCTGGTCAAACCCCAGCACACCGCGATGCAAAGTAGCATACGAACCGCGCGCGAACGGCGTCGGGTCGAATCGGACCTCGTGACGCGGCAGGAACCAGGGCGGCAGCTTCTCCGATCCCCCGTCGGTCGTCCGCTTCACCGTCTGCGTGAACGCCGTCAAGAGCTGGAGTATCATCTCGTTCTGCTTGTCCGAGTGCTGCTTCATCTCGAACTGGGCCGTCATCATGGCTTCGCGTTGCGTGCGAGCGTCTGCCAGTTCCTGCAGAATCGCGTTGTCATTCTGGACCAGCAGCGCCAGCGTCTCCTGCTGCGCGCGTTGGTCCGCCTCCCACTGCTGCTTCCAGTCCATCATCGAGTCCATCGCAGCGAGGTCCAGCACGTTGAAGAGGCGGTCGATGTCCTCGTGGAGCTGCCGCAGCTCTTTGATCAAACTACTGCAAGACCAAGGTGCTGACCTGAATCACCACTACACGGTTGCTGCAGGGAACAGCAAAGAGGTAATGAGGCCTGATCATTCTGGACATCATCCATTGCCTGAATAGTACATGCAGACTGACCAAATATCTTCCGTACTGTTTCAGACCAAGACGGTGCTGTTTGAGACGTCGATGAACACGACGTACGAGCTGATGCTCAAAAGTGGTGCGGACGTTCACGCTCGGAACTCGTGGGATGATACGCCGCTGCACTTCCATTCGAACAACTGGAACTCGCGCCTTGTCCGCACTTTAGTTTCCGGTGGCGCGGATGCGAACGCCGTCAACAAGGTAAGGAGAGGATCAAGTTTTACCGCTCTTGACCTCTACACATCGTACTAATACTTGTGCTTGCTGTAGGAAAATCTTTCTCCTCAGGATAGCGCGATCTTCCGCAAGTCGAGTCAAAGGAGATCGGACGATGACGAGTTCATGGAAGGCTGTCGCATTCTGCTCAAGAACAAGGCCCTTGTGGCCTGGTCAGACCCAGGCGAGTATTTCCGATCGAGGTTTGAACCGGACATGGATGCGAACGCTGTAAAGGCCCGTTTACAACTTGTGTTCGAGTGGGAGGGTCAGGCGATATGTCTTTCAAGCTCCCCATTGAAGTCTTCCATCGTGGAGCGTTCGATATCGCTACGTATTTCTCGGCCTTGAACCGAGGCCAGGGTTTGTCTCGAAAGGCTGAAGCTGCCATACAAGCGGTTGAAGCTGGTGATGTGGGTGAGCTGGCAGATCTCCTGTTTGATGGTGTAGACGCGAACGCTAACTTTCCCAGCGGAAGCCACGGAGTAAGTACTGATGCATTGTGCATTTTTTCTAATGGATTTTGCCTTCACTAACAATAATGTCCACCAGCAAAAGACTAGTCTGTTGTATAATGCAGTGGACAAAGGCGCTGTTGATAGGGTGACTCTCTTGCTCGACAGCGGGGCTGTTGCAGACGGATCGGATGAAGTTGAGGTCAGTTTGTGTCGAATGATTGGCTGTATTACCTCTATGTTTATGATTTTTTTTCTTTCAATGTTGTGGCAGGTTCGTCCACCTCTTCTCGCAGCTGTGAAACGCGATAACCTAGAGCTCGTAGAGCTGCTTCGCTCTCGCGGTGCCAATATCAACAAGCCGTACACACTCATCCTTGGTGACGACAGTGAAGTGGTGAGTGCTTCAAACCTGCCCTACTGGAATGTTGAACTAATCTCTTGTACTATATCGTGGATTCGACATACAGACGCAAACCATTCTGTTCGAGCTGCCCTCTGTGGAAGTATTCAACTTCCTGCTCGAAGAGAGAGCGAACGTTCATGCCAAGGACTCATTTGAGAGAACCCCACTCCATGAACATGCTGCCAACTGGAAGGAGGATGCTGATCGAAAACGGGGCCGATGTTAACGCTGTGGATGAGGTACGCAGCTCAATTGTCACTTGCATAGCTCGTATAAATATTTACGTGAGCCCTGTTGTTCTCGTACAGAACAATGGCACGCCGTTGGACGCCGCCATTTCCTCTCTTTGGATTTGGAGCGAGGATTTCATTCGAGTTGCTTATCTCCTGCTAACAAACCACGCCGAAGTGCCATGGGATGATCCAAAAGAATATTTTCCGTCGAGAAATAAGCCCGAGTGTTATTCAGCGAGGATGATGCCACGCATACAACTCGTGCACGAATGGGCCCAACAGCGCGACTTCGGAGCGAAAGAACTGACTTCAATGCCAGTCGAAATCTTTGAGCAAGGACCGCAAGCAATTGCCGAGTTCTTCAAGAAGGCGAACCAATCACTAGGGGTCACGCCGGTGCGCCACTCCGGTCAGTACAAGCTAGCACCCCGAGTGAAGATTGATCCTGCTCGAGGTCGAATGGTTGCCAGAAGTGGGAGTTTTGTGAAAGCTTCAGAGATCGGGCATCGATCTCAGCAAACTTCCAAAGGAGGATCCGAGTCCCAGAGCATCCTCTACCGGTCCAAGGTCGGCGTTGTCGGTCCTAGTCTATGGGGCAAGACAAGCTTCATCAAAAGCTTCACGACCGGTTCGTCCACACTGGAAGCTAAGGACGTTCGCACTATTGGAATTGACCAGTTTCCCTGGAGCTTCAAAGTCCAAACAAACACTGGCGACTGCGAATACCAAGTTTCGTTTTGGGACTTTGCTGGACAGGAGGAATACCGAGCGTCATACACGCTCTTCTACTCGTCTCGGACTCTTTATTTGCTGTTCATCAACCTCGATCTGTACAGTAAGACGCTAGAAGCAGCAACAATGGACTCGGCTGATGATCCTTTGGACAATACCGTCATGGACACCTTCATGGAGCTCCACATTCTCAAGTGGGTACGAATGATCTGTGCTCACCACCCACAGGCCGAGTTTGCGTTCTTGAGCACGAAAGCCGACCTGACTCCAGAACGACCCAAGGGAACTTCGCGATATTCAACAAGACGTCGTGTTGAGGTTTAAGCTCAACATTAAGCGGATGAAGGACCGAGTGGAACGTGCTCTGATGGACGCACAAAACAACCGGCTGGAGATTCAAGAGGCGGATCCTAGAGCGGAAACGAAAGAGCTCGACGAGAAAATCGCAGGTTGCGAGTAAATTTTACGCAAGCAACCGGTTCTGCTGTCATCCGAATTCATCGTTTTCTCGAGTGCTGACATGAAGTATGAAACAACGGCTATCGGTAAAATGAAAGTTCTGATGCTCTTGAGCGCCAGAGCAGTGAAGTTACCCGCCAGCTACGCAGAACTACTGAAGTACACGCAACAAAAGTGGGTTTCAGGCCAAAAGAACCAGACGCAGATTCAGGAACAAGTTGACATGGCCTTCCTACCCGTCAAGACTTTCGTCGAGTCGGTGCTCCAGTCTTCACAGCTCAAAATCCCAAAAGATGAGGTTCTCGGTGCGTTGCATCTTCTCCACGATACAGGAGATATTTTATGGTTCGACGGAGTGTCGGATGCCCAACTACTGCAAGAGCGTCTCTTCTTGGATCCGATGCTCGTGATCGACTTCATCCGGCAGATCGTCAACCACAAGATCGCTGCCAATGCCTCCCTGGACGGTGCTGTCCGGCATTCCGTGCTCCAGTCCCTCCCTTACTGGAAAGACGTCAGTACGTCCACCACTCACCAGTTGAAGCTGCTGCTGCTTCACCTCCATCTCGCTTACCCTGCAGGACAAGCAAGCAAGATCTCGTGGAATTCCGATCTGGTTGTGCCTGTGTATTGGAAGCTGGCCCCCGGTACTACCGAATCCAAGGATTTTCCAACGAAGGAGGAACAATCCGCGGGATTAACTGAGCGGGTGCGTTGGGAGTACTCGTTTGAGCCTGCAATTCACGAAAATCTGTTTGAAAAGCTGGCAGTGGTGACGTATTCACCGTCACTTTGGTTCGAACGCAGCTACACTCGGTCTAGCTTTATCGACAGGGTGGCTAACAAATGCAGCGCCCTCGTCGACAGAGACGCCGGTTCAGAAGGCAGGCCTTGTGCTCTAAGCATTACCGTGGTAGCGAGAGAGCGAACACTGGCGTGGAAACAGTTCGTGTGGTACTGCATGAACATGGAAAATCTGCTCCGGACTTACCCCGGATTGTTGGTGACACGCTCCACCGTGAACCCTCGTGGCCGATACTACGACGTTGACCAGCTCCTCAGTGATCAAGATCATGTCAAGCAGCTAATTGTCGGCACCAACCAAGAAATCCTCCCGTTTGACATGCGATGGTACACCGACAAATCCTGCGAGCTTCAGCCCGTGACGTTCACTGATATCGAGAAGGCCGATCTCGCTACGCAGCCAAAGGTTACTGTAGTACAAGGCGACATTTCTGACCGAGCTATTGAGCGCATCTGCGAGCGGTTCGAAGCTTCAGCTGACAGAGTATTGCGCGCACAGATCGCACTGATCACAGGGATGAACACCAAAGCCAAGGTTCCGTCGTTGTGGACACTTGAGTACCAGGGTTTCGATGATGAAGACACTGGCGTCCTAGCTGCCGCAGCGAAGAAAGTGACTACGACTGTCGTAGTGAAGTTCCGCAGTGACCTCACGGGCAAATGCCACCACGACGGCATTTCCATCTCGGTCGCGAAAGAAGTGTTTGCCGGACGCTTTGGGGAATGCCTGAAGGTACGGTTGATGTAAGTTGCAATAGCGATAGGTTGCAGCCTTTCTTACGCATGTATGACTGTTCTAGGTGGGTTTGACATTGCTCTCAGCCGCTGTTCCTGATTTCTTTGGGATGAACGTCGTGGACGCTATCACCGAAGGTGAGTTTCATGCAAAAAAGGTAAAGTTTGTGATGATGTAGCTATAACGGCTGACGTTGCGTGTTGCCTTATCATTTCATCATGAAGAGTGCAGAGAGCAGCTCGACAAAGCTATATATTTCCACGGGGCTTCGAAGCGAAGCGGGGTCGCTAAGCATCTGGCAGCGGGGCCTCAGCACGTGGACGAAAACCGAGAGTTCAGTCCCTACGAAATCTTGGATCTACTTCGTCGCCTTCTGCAGATTTACGATAAGAACTTCCAGACCAAAGATATTCCACATCTGTCGGGTCTGGTATGCGGTGTCATGGTGAACCCAACGCGGTACATCTGGGCGTCCCTGGATGAGATTCGTGTGTATGGGGATAAAATTATGCTCGCGAATGACTACACGACGCCAGTTGATACTGCGGCGCTCGAACGAACGCAATTGCCAGCTCGGGCCAGGACGGATATCCAACATGATTACAACCAGCCAAAGATGATTGACGCGGAAAGCGACAAGATACCGGTTCAACCGAAGACGGATGATGTACCTGGTCATTTGAAGACGGACGAGACAAAGATTGATGAAATTTCTGCTGTAAGTGAGGTCGCGGGTTTCCCGATTTCTGTCGATAAGACGGACGTCGCAACCCCTGAAGTGTTGACTCCAGCCGAGGCTCCATCTCCGGTTAAAACCCTCCCACCTATTGCTCCAGCTTCACCCGAACGCAGCTCGGCTACGACCTCAGAAAGCAAAAAGGGGGTGCTGTCAGTGATGAAGCGCCGACTGTCAACGATAAAACCTGCAACTGGATCCGTGGTGGAGCGATACAATCTCAAGCTTATCGGAGCAAAGGGTCTTGCTACCAAGTCCAACAACCCGTATTGCATCCGCCGCTTTGATGCACCCGGCGGGAAGCCACTACACGAGGTTCAAACCATTTTTTTTTTAATAACGTTGAGGTGTATTGAGTTACTGGCCTTGTGGCCGAACAAGGTTCAAACCAACCCTCATCGAGATGGTGGGAAGGATCCGTCCTGGATCTGCACTTTGCTTCTGCTCTTTGGTCCCAGATTCCACTAACACAACAAGCAGGGCGATGCCTCCTCCACGCACGATCTGAACTCGAGCTACGTCCTTCACTGCCAGGTCTCGAAGCTTGCACGCTGCATAATTCTTCTCTTCATCGCTCCCAGCTCGTAGTAGGGCGACGAATAGAGACACGTCTCCATCCCGTTCAATATCAGCTCGAAGTGCGTCGTTAGTGTTGGCGATGGTCATCAACGCACACGCTGCGCTATCCCTTTGTTCGATTGACCCTACCAGCACTAAAGCAATCAGTGGGTCGGTTGACTGCTCGCGAGCAATATCAGTGGGGCTCCAGTACGTGATCCGGACGAGATTATCTAACGCCACTCGGCGGTGGTCTTCTGCTGGCGGGTACCAGTGTGCACAAGGCCAACCAGAGGGCCGATGACGCCCCTCCTTACAATCAGCTCATTAGCGTCCTTGCTCAGAGCCAGGTTTCCCAACGCATACGCTGCTCGATGCTTCTGATCTTCGGTTCCGACTAGGACAAGCGCCACAAGTGATGGAATTGCTTCTCCCTGCATAATCTGAGCTCGAATCGCGTCGCTTCCAGTAGTGAGGTTGCCCAACGCTTCGGCAGCCCACAATTTCTGCTCGTCATTTCCTCTAAGCAGTGTGACCAGAGGCTGCACCACTCCAACTTCGAAGAGACTATCGGTGTCACCTCTGGTAGCGATACACCCACACAGAGCAACCGCTTTCTCTTTTTCTTGGTCGCTTCCAGTTTTCAAGTCAGCTACCACCAACGCCAGCTCGCTCTTAGAAGCTTCGCGGACGCTCTTGCGAATTTCTTCGAATTCAGGAGTAGTCAGCATGGAGTCTGCGACCATAGACCACTTCAGACACTGCAACACGTACAATTGAGCGAAATACGACAGATCGCCTTTCAGCAGAGTGATAAGTCTCTGTACTCCGTTGATTTTGTACATGAGTGCACGCTGCTCGTCATTGATTGAAGCTCGAAGGAGGCATCGTAAGGCCACCTCAGTTTCCCGTCCAGCAGAAACTTCAGCCACGAGATCCAAGACGCCCATTGTATCGAAAGTAGATTCCTCGTCCCTTCGTGGAGACTCCAAAGCACCAACTTCTTCGTGTTGTGGCTTCATCCTTTCTTCGTCTTCAGCAAGGTTATTGAGCTTTTCAAGTACATAGGAGAGAGTAGCCCGCTTGCTTGGGTCCATGTTCGTCATGGCCATAACTAGCTCCCACCCTTCAGTCAGCATGTCATCTGGTTTAGCTGGGATTACGCAGTTCTTAACCATCTCAAGAACGCTGTTGTCGTCCACAAATCCAAATGGGGGCTCACCGCTCACGGCCTCGATAATGCACATCGCGAACGAGTACACATCCGAAGCAAACGTCGGTGCTTGTGTTAGGCACTCTGGGGCACGCCATCGTAAGCCCCCACCAACAAACATTCCGAGAGTTGCGTTGCTGGAATCGCCGGGCGTCCGCACGACACTCAAACCGAAGTCTGACAATTTCGCTTGTCCGTCAGCACTCACCAGGATGTTGTTTAGCTTAAGGTCGCCGTGCACCACCTGCTTATTGTGAATGTATTCCAACCCGAGGGCTGCTTGGTACAACAGACCCTAAGTCCGTTGTTTGTTGCTTTCAGACCGAGCGAGGAACGAAGCAAGGTCTCCACTGGTAGCATCCTCGCACACAGTAAACGGCGGTAAGCTGACGTGAGAGGCTCCAAACATCTTGATGACGTTGGGGTGGTTCAACTCGAACCAAAGTCTCATCTCGCTCTCGATCTGTTTACTGTGTTCATCTTTCACTGCATCACCAACTAGAAAGCGTTTGACCACAACGTTGCGAAGTTTCCACGTACCCTGGTGAACTGAAGCGAAGGCTCCCATCGCAAACGGCTCACGTTCGAATTCAATCTCGTCGGATGGTATGAACCACGGGGGCAATTCATCACTCATTACCACCTTCGATCGCTGCGCAACGCTTGACATCATAGAATGCATGAGCTTCATTGCCGCGTCGTTCAGTCGGCCTTTTTGCTTCGTCGTTTTAAGTTTAAGCATCATCATGTCTTCCCTTTCCGAGCAAGCGCTCTGTAGTTCGCCCATAACTTCAGCGCTGGTGGTAAACAGGGAGCTCATCCGCTCAACCTGGCCAGCTTCCAGCTGCTTCCACGAGGTATTCACGGCGTCACTCAGGGTCTCAAAGATCGCATCAATCTCCTTACTAATCTCGCCCAATTCCCTAGCAGGGAAGCTAATGAGGCGAGTAACGAGGTATTTCTTGCTTGTATAACGCTCGAGACAACGCAATGTCTTGGCCAGGACGATCATGTACATTTTGAGCACGTCGGAACAATTTATCTCCTTCGCCCTCGTCAGTGCGTCAAATATAAACTGTATCTCCTCGTGAACAATTTGGAAGGAATCTCGGGCGTAGCCTTCTTTCACCTCGAGGCACAGGTTTGCTATCGAGTCGAGCACTTGCACGACGGGTCCCAAGTCCTGCCCTTCAAATCGGTGGAAATATCCTTAGACGTCGAAATAAATTCCTGTGCTGTTTGTGTCGCACTGCTGTCAGCGAACGCACATCTTGAAGCTTGGGGCGGTCTTCCGGGTTTGCTTTCGCCATGGATTCGATCAGTTCCCACACCCCAGCTGACATATCACTTGGTTTTTCAGGTATCACCCCTTGTTTGAGATTCTCCAGAACCGACTCATCATCCAAGTCAGCAAATGGAGGCTGCCCAGTTACAGCCTCGATGCAACACATAGCAAGCGCGTACACATCAGAGGCGAAAACCAATTTTCCGAGGCTCTCGGGGGCTCGCCAACGTAACCGACCAGCTATGAGTCCTGGCGTTGATACGGTGCGAATTGCACTGAGCCCGAAGTCCGATAGTTTGGCTTGGCCGCCTGTCCCAATTAGAATATTCGTGAGCTTGAGGTCTCCGTGAACCACGCCATTCTTGTGGAGATAGTCCAATCCAAGAGTGGCCTCGTACAACAATCGCCACATTTGCTGCTTGTTGGCCTCCGACCGAGCAAGAAATGAAGCCATATTACCGTCTGTGGCATTTTCACACACGATAAACGGTGGTGCGCTGGCGTGTGAACCGCCAAACAGCTCGCAGGCGTTCGGATGATTGCAGCAGTACCACCTAGTGATCTCAACAACGACCTTTTGTCGCACTCGCTCGTCCGCTGTAATGTCCTCAACATGGAAACGTTTAAGCACGACACTTGTGCTATAGCCCCACGTTCCGTAGTGAGCTGACGCGAAAGAACCTTGAGCAAATGGTGTTGGCTCGACTTGGATTTCCTCCGGCGGTAGATACCAGGGAGGTAAGTTCTCCACGGTCATATTGGACGCTTGGACAATTGTCCCCATCATGGACCTGATCAACTCCAGCGCTTCCTTGCTATGGCGTCCTACTTGTGAGGCTTCGAACTGAAGAGTGAGTATGGCTTCCAGCTGGGACCGTGTTTGCTGCAGCTCCAGCTTAACCGCGAAAAAGTCTTGGGCCATCGTCTTCAGCAGCTTGTGCTGAGTGCGCTGGTCACCTTCGGACTGCAGCTTCCAGTCTATGTTTTTGGCAAGATTCAGCTCCTCCAAGACCAAATCAATGTCGTCGTGGATCTCACGTAGCTCGTTCTGCATCTGTTGGTGTTTAATGATACGAAAAGCCAACTTCTTGCCTCGATAGCGCTTCAGGTAGTCTGAGAACGTGGCAACGACACCGGTACCCGCGATGGTGCTGTGGTGGCGCAGTGGCCACCTCCTCACAATAATTGCGAGTCACAATAGCTTTTATGGCCATTGTCTTGAGTAGGTTCACACCCTCTGAATAGAGTCGAGGTCCGGTCGTTGAATGCAGTACAGCGCACGGGGGCTATCTACGGTGAGAGCGCTGCTCGTTGCGAGACTTCGCGACCCAGGGATTCCTTTCGCCTTTCATGCAGCCCGCTGCCCCTCAGCTCTATCAATCCAGCGCTAGCAAAGGCACAGTCAGACTGTACCCGTCACCAGCACTTCCGCTTTTCTGGCTTACAATGCGAGCACACCCTGCGCCTTGCAAGACCGATGCTTGTCAACTGGTTGAAGTGCTCTGCTATTAATACTACTTCACCAATGTATCCATCTGTCCGCCCGGATTCTGCACTAGGTTTTCGTATGGGCAAGGTTTCAAAATTCAAACCCGGCTCTGAAGTAACGCTAGCCGGCCGCCCCGCGCAAAAAGCCTCCATTCGCCTTCCCAGTGCGCACTCGCCCCACCCGCCGCCCTTAGCCCTCGTCCGCCCCATGGAGCGCTCTCGCAGCAGCAGCAGCAGCGGCGTCGCCCCGCGCACGCGCAAGCGCGGGGCTCTGCAGGACATCAGCAACAACGCCAAGAAGCTCTCGCAGCCGCGCGCGCGGCGTGGAGGGGCCGCCGCCGTCAAGAAGGAGGCGGCGGCCGTGGACGCGTCCAAGCCGCGCGCGTCGCTGCGGCGCAAGACCACGGCCACGACCGTCAACTCGGCGCTCAAGAGCTCCATGGCCTCCACGGCCGCCAGCAAGGCCAAGAAGCGCGCGGCCGTGAGCAAGAAGGGGGCGGAGGCCACGCGCGCCAAGAAGCGGCGGCTCGAGGGCGCGGAGAACCAGCCCCCGCCGCCGCACCACAAGATCCAGACCAGCATGCTGTCGTTCCAGGCGGCCGTCAAGCCCAAGGAGAAGCTCAAGGCAGAGGCCAACAAGGAGAACGTGGTGGCGGCGCTGGACAATCAGGAGCAGCCCGAGATAGCGGAGGTGAAGAAGGAGGAGGTGAAGCAGCAGGAGGACAACCAGGCGGAGACTAAGCAGGAGAGTCAGAAGGAGGAGACGCCAGAGATACAGGAGCCCGAGCAGAGTGTGGCCTTGCAGCAGGCGTCGACGGCCGCCCTCCCGCCCCCACGCGACGAGTTTGCTCCTCGTCCGTACACTTTCACATTCGACCACAGGAACTCGTGCTTCGATAAGGTGACGTACACGGCCGAGGTGCGCGACATTGACGCACCGTCCCCCACGACGAACTCCCACCACGCGAAGCTCGTGCGCGAGCTGGACACTTATTACAGGAAACACGAGACCAAGTACCTGCCGGAAGCAGACTACATTGGCACAGTGCAGCTGGACATCAACGAGAAGATGCGCACCATCCTGGTGGACTGGCTCGTTGAGGTCGGCGAGGAGTACGAGCTCGACTCGCTGACGTTTCACAAGGCGGTACGCACCTGGCTCCTCTATCATCTCCAGACACAGGGTTCGATTTTCTTACTATTTGTTGTGCGGTCTTGTATTTTTCCAGGTCAACCTTGTGGACCGCTGCCTCAGGATAATCAAAATCACCCGGAAACAGTTCCAGCTTCTTGGATGCGCGTGCATGATGATTGCTGCCAAGTTCGAGGAGGTGTACGGCCCGAACGTGGAGGAGTTTGTTTACATCTCTGACCAGACGTACACGGCGGAGGAGGTACGTCTGGCCTTGACTATTCAACTTGCTACTTGCAATTTTGTCTAATTGCTCTGCTGATTCTGTAGATGCTGGACATGGAGGCCAAGGTGCTCAATGCGCTAGAATACCGCGTGGCTTCGACTACTTGCTACGGATTTATGCATCGGTACATGAAGGCTGGGTGTTCGTCGAGCAAACAGCGATCATTGGTGTCGGTACGTCGGTGAACGTCTTTGTTTAAGGGTGGGCAACTCAAGTTTTCTCACCAGGCATGTTGTTTTCTTTTGTTCAGTACCTATGTGACTTCGCTCAGCTATATTACCACATGGTGCGGTTCAAACCTTCGATTTTGGTGGCATCGGCCGTGTATCTCGCTCGTCTAATGACAGACGAAGCCGATGCGTGGACGCCAACGCTGCACCACGTCACTCAGTACAACCCGTCCGAGCTCCACGACTGCATCATAGAGCTCCATCGGCTGCACGCGATCGAGGTGCAGATAGTCAACACGCAGCAGGACAAAGCCAAGGCCGTGAGCGAGAAGTACCTGGCGGACAAGTTTCACTCCGTCAGCACCATCCCGTCGTACAGCAAGGACAAGCTGACGGAGTCCTTCGAACAGTACAGTATGCCTTCTTGAAGAGGCACCACGGGGAGTGGATAGCGGTCGGCAGTGCCGCAGTCCGCTGGAAGTTCGTCAAGCAGGGCACTGCTTCGGGAGCGCTGGCACCAGCTACTTAGATCGCGTCTCGACGTCAACCGTGCACACAAGCTTCCAGGATCGATGTAGCACCTACAGAGGAAGCAGGCTCCCTAGTATTATTGTCATCATTATAGGTCAGGTTACATTTACCCCGTTTGTACCCTTCGCTTCGTTCACTGCAACGTCCCATTAGTCCAGACAACTTGCAGGAAGTGACGAGAGGTAAATGAGCGCATCAAACCATAGCTTGCTATAGCAAGACCAATTGCAACTGTGTTTCGTCTGAGGAAGTTGACGACTATGCCAAGGGACCGACGTGAGCTCGGCACCAGGTTGTTTTAGTGCGAGACAAGCTTGCCCATGGGGTTCTGGCGAGAAGAAACTCCAGCAACGCGCAAAATGGCGAAATGGTCAATTTCGTTCGAGGCACAAAGCGAAACTTCGCCTCCGGATTTGGGATAGCCTCGCTGTAATCTGAACTCGTGGCAGACGAGCTCCTCGGCGTCCGCGATCCGCACCGAGATCGCCGGGAACAAACTTCAGCTTGGGCTGCAGCAGCTATGCCCAACAACTTGGTCGCTCTGCGTCGTCGCCGTTTAACAAGCTGACCAGCCAGCTGTCGCCCGCCATCTTCATCGCTGCAGCAGTAGAAGCACGACATTGTGTCGGTGCGTGGTGGGACCATTGCAGCGCGTTGCTCGTAGGCTGCATTGGCAGAAGCTGGAGCTGATTGCTTGACAGCTCCGAGCCCTTGCGGCTGTGAAGCCAGCTTGCGAACACGTCAGTCAAACAATATCACCAGCCATGAGACGTCCAGCTTCGGCGCTTCTCCTTCTAGAATGAAGCCCAAACAGCAAGGTTTGTAGCCACTTCAACGCGTCAAACGACCCGATTAGAGGTCCCTGGCCGAAAATTCGAGAAGTAGCTACTGTTGCCGCTTTTATTTTCATTTCAAAGTAACTCATCGAAAACTACTCTTGCATTCAATTATAGAGTCTTGTTACGATACTAACGCGTTTATGGATGAATACACTGTGAACGTAATACAAGGTCTGCAACCCGTCGCAAAGCCGGGGCGCGCAGCTGTTTAGCTACTCGCCAGACTGGGTGTTTGTATGGGGCCGGGCGTTCCACGATCTTTCTCTCCTAAGACGCCCGTGTGCTCCACACCAAAACACAAGCGTCGCTGCCTTTTTCCTCCCCCTTTGCCAGCCAGCCAGCCAGTCTCGAACCTCTCCGCAGTCCACACAGCGAGACTCGACCGGCAGCAGGGAGAAGAAATCCCTCGAGGCCTGATACATCAACACCCTCTCACACAACACACAGTACCCCCCACCCAGCTCGTAGACTAGTCGACATGTTCGGCGGCGGCTTCGAGAGTTTCTTCGGCGGCGGCTTCGAGGGCGGCCCCGGTGGCCCGTCCAAGCCCGTGGACAACAGCAAGTTCTACGAGGCGCTGGGCGTGCCCAAGACGGCCACGGCCGCCGAGATCAAGAAGGCCTACCGCAAGCTGGCGCTCAAGAACCACCCGGACAAGGGCGGCGACCCGGAGCTCTTCAAGACCATTACGGTGGCCTACGAGGTGCTGAGCGACCCGGAAAAGCGCGAGCTCTACGACCAGTACGGCGAGGAGGGCCTGCAAAACGGCGGCGGTGGCGCGGACGCCAGCGACCTCTTCTCGCAGTTCTTCCGCGGCCAGGGCGGCCGCCGGCCGCGCGGCCCGCAGAAGGGCGAGGACCTGACGCACCCGCTCAAGGTGTCGCTCGAGGACCTGTACAACGGCAAGACGGTCAAGCTGGCCGTGAACCGCGACGTGCTGTGCGGCCGCTGCGAGGGCCGCGGCGGCGCCGAGGGCGCCGAGAAGACGTGCGACACGTGCCAAGGGCGCGGCATGCGCGTGCAGCTGCGCCACATCGCGCCCGGCATGGTGCAGCAGATGCAGAGCGTGTGCCCGGACTGCCGCGGCCAGGGCAAGAGCATCCGCGAGAGCGACCGCTGCAAGGGCTGCAAGGGCAAGAAGGTGACGAAGGAGCGCAAGGTGCTCGAGGTGCACATCGAGAAGGGCATGCGCAACGGCCAGCGCATCACGTTCTCGGGCGAAGCCGACCAGGCGCCCGGCACGGTGCCCGGCGACATTATCTTCGTGGTGCAGGAGAAGGAGCACGCCACGTTCCAGCGGAAGGGCGGCAACCTCATCATGGAGAAGAAGATTAGTCTGGTGGAGGCGCTCTGCGGCTTCGAGATGATCGTGGAGCACCTGGACGGCCGCCACCTACACATTAAGACGCGGCCCGGTGAGATCATCAAGCCCAACCAGTTCAAGGCCGTGCACGGCGAGGGTATGCCCACGCACGGCAACCCGTTCGTCAAGGGCCAGCTCGTGATCCTCTTCAAGGTGCAGTTCCCGGAGAGCGGCAGCCTCTCGGAGAAGCAGCTGAGCATGCTCAAGAGCACGCTGCCCGCCCCCACGCCCCTGGCGCCCGTGGCCGAGTCGGAGGAGTGCTTCCTCTCGGAGTTCGACGCCGAGGCCGCCAAGGCCGAGCAGCAGCAGCGCGAGGCCTACGACTCGGACGAGGAGCGCGGCGGCCAGCGCGTGCAGTGCCAGCAGCAGTAGGTGCGTCCAGGAGAAGAAGGTTAGACTCGGCAGAGGACGAGAGCGCTGTGTGCGGTGGTGTGTTGAACTCGCGAGGCGAGCGCCCGGGAGTTGATAGGCCGGACGCTCGTCTCATTGTGATCACTGCACCAGTGCTAGCGAACCATACGTTAAGATGAAGAAAAGAGAGAAAAATGCAAAACATTTTAGGGACTCGGTGAGCGCTTCAATCTCTTCAACATGACTATTTGGAAGGCAGGCGAAATGCTAGACGTCCACGCCTGGTGACAGTGTGCTAACGTGGGTCGTCGTGTTCAGCCAAGGTGGATCGATTGAGGACACAAGATCCGCACGTTGGACTTTAAACCGTAGCAACAAGTTGGACAGCTAATGAGCTGGTTGATAAGCTGAGCAGCAAAGACCACCATGCGTCCATGCGCTGACGTGAGCAAGAAGAGCTAGCAGTATCAATGACTCAAAATTGCTTAATACAACACCAGCAGACATGACAACTGAAGTGGGAAACCGCAAATGGGAACGTCTTGCATTGATTCTTTACGAAAAGAGCTCAACACGAGTCGCTTCCACTCCCCGGCAAGGAAGGAAGTTCACGCTCGACGCCTCCTCTAAATACCGTCTCGTGGCACCTTAGGTCACCACTCGACGCTATTCAGAGCAAACGAGGCGTCTGGGAAACGCGTAGATGGCTTCGCAATCCAGTAGCTGCTTACTCGTCGACAGTGTCGTTCTGGAGGCCCTTGAAGCTGGCCACCTGCACGTGCTGCACGAGCGTGTAGAGCTTCTCCTTGGCGTCCTCGTCATCGTTGCGCTTGCGCGACAGACGCACGCGCACGCGGTAGGGCACGTTGCGCACACCCTTGGACCAGATGAACTTGTTGAGCTTCGAGTCGATGCGCACGTCCTGGGTCTTCATGGTCACCTGGGCGAACTTCTTGATGGCGCGCACGGCACGGGCCGCTTTCTTCTTAAACACGCTGTGAGGTCACGCAATAGCAAGCGGGAGCCACGGAGCAACGCAGAGCAGAGAGAAAGTCAAGGAAGTCTCCAAGGTGGGAGCTACGGCGAACCGAGTGGGGGAAAATATGCAGGCACTGCAGTATGCAGTGCGATATATGCAAAAGGGGGTGGAAAAAGGATACCATCCGTGAAGACGCTTGTGCAGGTTGATGGTGTAGTCGCGGGCGACCACGTCCGGCGAGCGCTTGGTGTTGCGAGTCTTGGTTTCCTTGACCATGGTGAGTGTTCCTGGTGAGCTAGCTTTTCCCGAATGTTTGGGCCCCGGCCAATGGCGGAGGCAGCTGAGGGCGACAGCTAGGCACAGCCAACCGATTCGCCCGAAATACCGACGGGTACCGGTAGGGATGTGCCGAAAAGGTGGTACAGCGAGTGTGGTGTGAGATTGGTGTGTGTAGGAGTTTTGGCTACGTACGATAAATAGTAAAAGCACATAAAAGCAGTTTTTGTGTTTAGCAGACATGGCTTTACTTTTGTTTCTTGCATTCTCTGCTCGACAAGCTATCGGTAGTGCTCGCTGCCTGGATGGCAATGCTCTGGGTTCATAGAATTGCAGTATCACAGTATGGTTATTGTGCTCGAATCGGGCAAATTGCACCGTAGCAAATAAAGTAAACTTGAGTGACTTCTAGATGAAAACAATCAACACACCAATAGCATTTGTTGTCCCGCTTGCCCTTTGAATTGTGGGGCGAGCAAAGCAGAGCAAGCTTGCATTCGAAGATCAGTATACTTTTACCATTAAAATAAAATAAATATACCGGTAGGGGTTATCAGACACCTTCCGGCTCTGTTGACGTTTCGAAACGATGAGATCCGAGGCGGCATCGCGATATTTTGAAGAGTTTGTGGAGTCTGACAGTGAATTGGGACAGTAGTACAATTGGAGGTAAAAGGAAAGCGAAACTGGACCATCCTGGAGTCATGTTTTAAGAGCTAGTTTTGAAAGAATTCAACATTTTTTTGTATGGCAGCGTAGTCGTTGCTTTTTCGAGGGTTTAGTGCATTTATGCATCGCGCCATCTATATTCCCGTAGCGTCGGTGCCGACGGGTCTAGTTGAGACTCAATCCCGACTGGTAGGCACGAACGATGGTACCTACCATCGTACGGTTCATCCGTGCTGAATGAGTTGTGCAGCGCGATCGTTGGCACAACCAGGTTGAAGGCGGGCATTTGACTTGGCCCACACAAGATTTGTCAAGTCGCCGAAGATTCCCATTATTGCTGACGAACGATACAAGCAGATTCATACCGCAGGTGACGCCGGGGTCGTTACTGCTATCGCCGAAAATGCAGTATCGTGCGACGTGTAGTTAAGAGCAGTCCTTCTAGCTGGTGCCAGCGCTTCAAACAAGTACTCGGCGTATTTGTTCAGCGTCTGCGGGAACAACTTGCACGTATTAAGACTTTCAGCGATAGTCCGATCTGCAATTGCGGCATGATTGCAAAAGGATTGCAGCAGCCTTGTTGTAGGGAGGTTTCATTTTTTTTCGTGATCGCTGTAGCCATTTCCGCGTAGAGCCCATCACGCTTGGGCTGTATTCAACAGTACAACGCGATGACCAGAAGCGTGCCTTAGCGTGCCTTTCAGTGTGTCGCTGCTCGATGGTGCCTGCATGGGTGGGTTCTCGCTCCGGACTGCATGAAAGGCGAGAAACGGCGACGCACCGCGGGCGAAACGAGCTCAGATGGACGGGGGTCAGCAACGTGGCAAAGGATCCGGCCGGCTGCTGCGCTGCTCGACGTGGCACCCAACGACTGGTGCAGCGCTTTCTGCTTTCGTGAGGAGCTCTCCATCTCCTCCCTCTGCGTGACTTTCACCGAGAGAAGGATACCGGCCGGGTCTAGGTGCCCTCTATGCTAGAGAGCCCTATGCAATGTGGCAAGTACCGACAGCCAGCGCCAAAAATTGACGAGAGCGAAAGCCCACGCAGGCGCAGAGCCCGTTACCTTCAAGGAGCTCGACTCGACTCGACTCGGGGGTGCTCTACTCGCTATATGCACTTGTCTGCACTTGTTAGCGCCGTCCGTTATTCTCGTGTCTCAGTGACGGCAAAACTGCCTAAGTAACGTGAAGGAGGAGCGCCGCTTGGGCGGCCAATGGGCGCTGGCCCGGAAACGGCCGAAGTGCGCGTTACGCCCGATCCACCCCTTGCCTGCATGCTGCGCCTGTGGCATGCGCCTCGAAGGTGCGGGGGCTCAACTCATTCCCACATTTCCCCGGTCCGACCAAACCGAAGCTCCATCCACCCCTCACACTCAACACACCATGGGCTGCAGCCAATCCAAGGCGAACGACGTCGTCGTCGAGCCGATCACGGCGCCCCCGTCCGAGTGCGGCAAGGCCTCGATGGACCTCGCCTTCACCGAGATCATCGTGGACGACCACGACGAGACGAGCGCGAGCGCCCCGCCGCCGCCCGTCGAGGAGGAGCTCGAGAACGAGGAGGTGCAGGAGGAGACCCAGGCCCCAGCTGAGCCCGTCGTTGAAGCAGTGGAGCCCATCGAGGTAGACGAGCAAGTTGAAGTGCCCGCCCAATCAGACGTGGCACCGGCACTCCAAGAGGACGAGGAGCTCGATTCCTCCTCGTCCGAAGAAGAAGACGACGCACAACAACAAGAAGAAGAAGCTCCTGTTGAGCCGGAGGTGGAGGCAGCGGACGAGATCGAGCTGCAGCAGCAGCAGGAGAAGTCCGCGGTCGTGGAGAAGTCGAGCGTGGCGGCCCCCGTCTGGACCTTCGCGGCCGAGAAGGTGTCGTTCAGCATCGGCGTGGCCTTCTTCCACATCACGGGCTCTAGCGGCCAGGAGGACGCGGAGAGCGTGCACCTGGCCAAGCGCTACTCCGAGTTCAAGGTGCTGCACGCCGAGATGGCCAAGCTCATGGACCACGAAGAGCTCCCGAGCATGCCCGGCACGTCGTTCCTGCAGGGCCGCAACGACAAGGCGCTGCTGCAGGAGCGCGAGGCGGCCTTCGTCAAGATGCTCAATGCCATCGCGGTGCACCCCGAGGCTTCGCAGAGCGCCGCGTTCGCCGCCTTCCTGGCCTAGAGCGCTGCCGACAATGGGCCATTGGTAGTCTGGGTATAGAGAGGAACGAGAGGACGGAGGATCGAGCGACAAAAGCCGACAGCAAGAGCAACAGCGACGACGGCGCAAACGCAGCAGCGCGCCCTATAGATATGAATCATAAGTCTGTACAAACACGTAAACCATCTCCACCGCAACTGCCACCGGCTTCATCCGGTCGAGATTCCTTCAAGCTAGCCCCCTGCGACTAACTTACCGCTAGCCTTGGAGGATCGAGACTTCGGTACCGTAGCTGGCCAGTTGAGAGTCAAGTGAGATCGAGCGCTTCAAGCGCCCACCCCGCATATGTCGGCGATGTTGCGTGTGTCTCCAGAAGTTACTAATGGCTCCATGCGCCGATATGCATGTATGGGTATGTATTGCTGGCGCAGCTGGCTTTGCGATGGCGCTGCAGATGGCTACGAGAACGTGGTGCTACCTATACGTTGCAGAGAATTGCCGCCAGCCGACTTGCTGGCTGGGGGCCGTCTGGGAGAGGCTTATCGGCCGGATGAGCTCATTCCCGAATTCTCTCGGTCCCGCCTACTCCTCCCCAGAGTCCATCTTCCTTCCTTCACCACCTCCACTACAATGGGCTGCAGTCAATCCAAGTCTACCACCGACCAGGTCGTGGAGCGCGTGTCGGTTGACACCCCGGCCGTCGAGGCTCCGGCCCCGGTGAGTGTCTCCGTCGCGGCCCCTCCTGCCTCGGAGGCGCCGTCCGCTGCCCCTGCTTCGGTCGCCGCTGCTGCACCAGTTGAAGCTGTCGAGGAAGCTCCCAAGACGGAGGAGCCCGCTACTGCTGCTGTTGAAGAGGAGGTGGCACCGGCCGATGAGCCCGCTGCCCCCGTTGATGAGCCCGTCGAAGACGCGGCCAAGGCCGACGAGCCGGCCGATCCTGCAGAGGCCGAGGAAGAGAAGGCCGTCGAGGAAGCCGCCCCCGTTGACGAAGAGGCCCCCAAGTCGGAGGAGAAGGCCCCGGAAGCCGAGCCCGAGTCGGCCCCGGTCGAAGCCGAGGCTGCAGTTGAAGAGGAGGCGCCCAAGTCTGAGCCTGTCGCTGAGGAGGTCGCGGCCGAAGCTGAAGCGCCCAAGTCCGAGCCTGCTGCTGAAGTTGAAGCGCCCAAGTCCGAGCTCGCTGCTGCGGAGGAGGCGCCCGTCGAGGCTCCCCAGCCCGAAGTCGTGGAGGCCCCCGCCCCGGTCAGCGAGGCGAAGGCGAAGGCGTCCGAGGTCGCTGCACTCACCTTCAAGGCCGAGGCCGTGACCTTCAACGACAAGGGCGTGGCCTTCTACAACTTCGACGGCTCGGACGCCAGCAACCCGGCCAACGACGTGCACGTGTCCAAGCGGTACTCGGAGTTCAAGGCTCTGCACGCGCAGCTCGCGCAGCTGTTGGCCGACAACCAGGACGGCAAGGCGTCGGACCTGCCGGCGCTGCCCAAGGCCTCGCTGCTGCAGGGCCGCAAGAACAAGAAGATGCTGCAGGACCGCAAGACGCAGTTCACGGCCCTGCTCAACGCCGCCGCGGCCCACCCCGTGGCCGCCCAGAGCGACGTATTCAAGGCCTTCTTGGCGTAGACTTAAGGGCTCCCGAGCTCGAGCATCACACTTTATTCTCCACTATGTAAAATGTACAATGTCTTTCATCTTATCTTCCGCCCTTGTTTGTAGTGCTTTTGATCACCATGACATACATATGAGACGACGGCAAACAAAATGTTACTTATCAACCTAAGTACGAATCGCGATTTAGGCGCATAATTGGAAAGAGGGATGTCTCCTCTTTCGTTCGAGCCCCTCCCGAGCTTCTAGTATGAAGAAACGACCGAGAACGAGACCGTCAAAAAATATATGTCCGACTTCAACCCCGAAAGGGAATTTTTTTTTTGATGAACTGGTGTAAAATTAGTCAGCGAATCCGACAATGTTGTCCGTTTTAGCTAATTCGAAGCCTAACAGTGTTAGAATCTCACTTTTGTGCCGTCACTTCAAATCAGCAGGGGTATATTTTTGGATTTTTTTTAGAAAATTTGATATCTGGATGTAAGTAACATTTGAATGAACTGTGGACATAAGTATCATAATGATCGACTACAACCTTGGGCTGCCTATTCTTGCTCAGCAGGCAGATCCGCAGAAGCTTTGCGCTTCTTGTTCTTTTGCGTCTTCTTTGCTGCAGTAGCCCTCTTCTTTGCTGGGTTCTTTTTCGTCGCAACAGCCTCCGTGATACCACGCTGGTCTTGGTTAGCCTTAGCCGCCACGGCCATTGCCGCGCGATGCTCAAGTCGTGCTTGTTTCCGTGACTTGGCATCTTCTCCTTCCTGCTCGCTAGGCTTGGTGTAGAGGGGATCGCTCTGAAATTCAGCAGGAACGTAGGGCCTGATGTTGTGGTACATCTGCGCAATTTTCTCGGTGTTGCGGACAGGAGGGGACAGCGTCTCGATATGGTCCGTCATCATCCGCTGCACCTTCTCCTTCGTGGTGAAGATCTCGTCAATTTGACGGCTCAAACTAATCTCTACAGGTTCGCTCTCGGGGCCTTTCTTGCAGACAACGACGCCCGGCTGCGATGCGTCCATCGTCAAAATCTGGAACTTCTGGATGCCGTCAAGTCGTTTGTACAATTCGGTGAGAATAGGTGTGTAGGACTTGAACGCTGAGCATCCGCGAGGCAGGTGCACCGTGATTGAGCTCTTGGACGCCGAACTAACAGCCTCTACGAGCTGCATGCGTGTTGAGCCGGTTACCATGCGCCTTGATCGACATGTTACCGTCTCGGATACGCATCTTGTAGCGCTGCAAGGTAATGGGGACTACTCCATAGCAGGGCGCGAAAGTGGGTCGGCACACATGACCTACGTAGGGGAGGATGTACGGAAACTTCTCACGGTCACCCCGTCGTCGCTTACGCTCAACCGTGGGGGTCTGCATTAACACAGCCAGGAGCGTGTACAAGCTCGTGGTGCGCTCTTGCTTTGTCATCTGGTCCAGCGAGCACAGCAAGAACTCCAACTCACGAGCCTTGCCCTTGACGCACTCGTTCTCACACGCGTCCGCATGAATCACCTCAGTCACACGGGCTCGAGGACTCGCGTCATTCAAAAAGATACTAATATCCTCTTCATCTTCGGCTTCACTGCTCGCGCTCTCTGCTGTGAGCGGTTCCTCGTCGTCGCTGGGCGACGCCTCAGAATCGGGCGTAAAGTCGTCGTCGCTGCTGTCCTCGTTCACCTCACTCTCACTGGTAGCAGTGGGATCGACACCACAGACAGAATTGTCGGCAGAATCAGGCTCTTCGTCTGCTTCGCGACGCCGAGCACCAAGGGGTGCCGTGGCCGACAGAGTCAGCGCTGTGGAGAGGGACGTTGTGGCCGGCGGAGTCAGCGCCTGGGAGGGCGATGTCGTGGCTGGCAGACCCGACGTCGCGGCTGGCGGACTCGGAGCCGTGGCTGGCGGGCTTGGCGCCGAGGTGGCCGGTGGCGAGGCTGAGAGAGGCAGCGCTGGAGGTTGCGCAGGCTGCGCAGTTGGCGCTGCAGCGCGCGAGGTCGGTGCTGTCGGCGTCGTGGGTGGTGTCTGCATGGCTGTAGGTAGTGGTCCGAGTGGTTTTTCGAAATGGTATCCGTGCCGATACACCCCCTTCAAATTTTTGAAAATCAAAACTCCTCGTTTTCTCACGACTTCGTTTAGTTACGATTTTGAACCTGGCCTCTTTTAAGGCGATTATCTCGATAACTCTAAATGGTGGATAAGTAACATTTTTGTTGCCGTTGTCTCATATCGATAGTGGGATGCAATGCAATGAACACGGTCAAGTGTGAGAGCGTGGATACTGTAGCTGCTAGTTCCCATTGAACCCTCGGCGCCTACGACGTTGCCATATCGCGCCAGTCTTATCGCTTGTGCTGTATGTCGCTTGCTCACTCGTTCAGATGGTCGTGCGGTGCTGGCCATCAGCGCGACAATATGTAGACCAGCGCGAAGCTGTCAGCGCCCAGATGTGTGTTAAACGGCAGCGTAATAGAGCGAGCTCGTAAGAAATGCGCAGAGGGGAAGCTCAGGTGCTGGCCGAGGCCAGCCGGCGTTCTCCTGCCCATGTGTGTGCGGCACTCGCTGAGAAATTTGGTCAATGCGTGGGCTGTGCCCCGACGACGGACGACACACACACCAGCAGCAGCGAAAAGGAGCTGGCCACGGCACCACGATCGACCACCGGCAGTCATTCTCCATTCCCCACGGTCTCCGTCAAGTCGACTCATAGTCCGCCCTTGAGATCACCACTATGGGCTGCGCTCAATCCAAGACGAACGAGCAGGACGTGGTCGACCCCAATGACCCCAACGTGGCCGACTTCACCGGTACCGAGGTCGTGCTGCCCGTCGGCACGGCGGACACGCAGCCTCAGGCGGTGGAGAACCACGATGTGGCCAAGGAGGAGCCGGCCGTGGAGGTGAAGACTCCTGACTTTGCCCTGCAGTTCGTACCGGGCGAGGTCAGTATTAACGAGTACGGCGTCGCCTTCTACAACTTCGACGGCTCGAACCCGACCGACCCGAGCCTCGACGTGCACGTGTGCAAGCGCTACTCAGAGTTCAAGGACATTCACGCGGAGATCGCCAAGCTCATGGCCAGCGAGAAGAACGTCAAGGCCGAGGACCGGAACAAGTTCCAGACGTACCCGGCGCTGCCGTCGATGCCTCCGGCCAACGCCATCACCTACGTTCTGGGGCGCGGCAACCCCAAGGTGGTGAAGGAGCGCGAGGCGCAGTTCGTCAAGATCCTGAACGCTATTGCCAAACACCCGATCGCGGCACACAGCAAGACGTTCACGGACTTCATGACTTAGATAATTTACCTACTGCGCTTTGCGTCGGAGAGACCGATCGAAGGCTCCTGCCAATAAACTATGCCTTTGCCCCTTCAACTTCTTCAATCCAATTCATGTTGTGTTCGGTAGATAAGTGACTTACACTTAACGTTTGATTGAAATTGAGTTGAACGTCAAGCCAATGCTGGATTGTGGCAAGGCCGAGTTCAGTGCTCTGATACGGTATCTTTGGCTCAGCTTGGCGCGCTGCTCGGTAGTGCTCCGGCACTGTTTAATTGCCATGCGCCGGGAGCGCGCGCTGTGCCAATGATCAAATTTGGTGCGAGTCTGCTGTCGGATGCTTTGTGGGATTGCAGCTCCTGCCCGCAAAGAACAGCAGAGGAGGGTTCAGATGGAGACCGGTTTCCGCGCGCGTACTCTACTCTGCCGGGTTGGTCTCTCCTTCGCGCGTACTGGAGATATCCCGATGCCATCTGAAAACTTGACACGCTACCAACTCGACCGGGCGTATCACTTCCCAAATTTCGACGAGTCTGCCACCGAGTTTCCGCATTCATATCACTATGGGCTGCTCTCACTCCACGACGAACAACCCCACGCAGCAGTTCAACGGCATCGAGTACTCTATCCTTGAGCTGTCGATCGCCAAGCGTCCTGGAGGGCCGGACGTCGGACCAGTTCGAACGGAAAAGGTAAAGCTGCGTCGCGGCAAACTGACCCGAGGAGGACGACCCGAGTTCGAAGGTGACAGAGCTGCAGCCAGGAAGAAGACGCTTCCAGTCGGTGTGATGATATTTTCGGTCACCAAAGTCATCGCGAACGATGACGGCGCCATGCTCTACGTCTTCAGCGGGACCACTGCCGAGGACCCCGCAAACGAAGTGGTGATCTCCAAGCGGTACTCGGATTTCAAGGCGATGCACGCGCAGATGTCGGAGCTGATGGCGAAGGAGAGGAACGTCCCTTTTAACCAGCAACACCTCTTCGCCACCCAGCCGGCTCTACCGGAGATGCCCAAGGCGAACGCTTGGACCTACGTGCGCGGGCGCTACAGCGACACAGTGTTGGAGGAACGCGAGGAGCAGTTCACGAGGATCCTGAACGCCATCGCACGCCACCCCGTCGCCTTCAAGAGCAAGACCTTCACGGACTTCCTGCTGGGCTAAGTCGTTGTGTAATTTCTAGTTGTGGATCAGATTTTATAAGGCAACAAGACAAGACAAAAGATGTGGTTCCCCGAGTTGATGCGGACGTGCAAGTTGACGTGGTCAAATGTAGCCATGTTCTAAAATGTGCTCGAAAACGGCAATTTCAGTTATACAGCACCATCTGCGTGGTGAAACCCATGGCTAACGCGTTACGCGTTGCGACATACGCTTGCGGCAGTTTGCCATCGGAGCCATGCATTCGCTTTGCAAGCATGGGATCGCGGGCTCCACGGCTCCGTCACACACGCAAAGTTATCGATTGTGGCGCCTCGAAAAAACTATGGCTTCATCGGTTCAGTTACCGCGTGCTCGAGATGGTAAACTGCTCTTGAGCCGTAGGTTAGTTGGCAGAGACAACATGGCTACACAGACAGGTACCCTCCGGGTGCAGTGTTGACCGGACGGTATGGAGACCAGCAGCACCTTCACCCTAATGCTCGTGGTGTTCACCAACCTGCTGTCCGAAGAGAAAACATATTCTCTCTCGCGGCTTTGTGTCTCAGTAGCAGCGTCTTCTTCGTTGGTGCTCCCAACGTTTTTCTCGGAGATCGACCGACCGACCGACCGACCGCCTGTCCGGAGCCTGCGTCTCCACAGTCGTTTGCTCCAGTATCCAGCTCCAGCGCCAGCGCCAGCACCACGAACTCGGTGTCGCCTGTCACCATTTCAATCGCCAAGTGGCCGCGTTCAGTAACCCGCGCGTTACTCTCGATCGATCCACTCTTACCAACTCTCATCAACTCTAGCCCCGCAAGCCCCGCGTTGCATTGCATTGCATCACACAAGCCATGGGCTGCAAGAACTCCAAGGACGCGACGCTGGCGCGAGCACCGATGCGCCCCTCGACGCCGTCCTTCCACGCGCAGGACTCGAAGCTCTGGGCGTCCGCCAGCGGGTCGCAAGCCAACGAGTCCCGCGAGGAGCCGCCGTCCTTCGTCGTCTCGGACAGCGCCGACCTGGTCGGCAGCTCGGACGGCGAGCCGGTGCACGGCATGATCAGCGCCTTCACCTTCTCCTTCATCCAGGCGTCCGAGACCAGCAGCACCTACTCGAGCCTCGGCCTCGACAGCTCGCTCGTGTCGGACGAGACGTCGCCCGGGCCGCCCGAGTCGCTCACGTTCGCCATGACGGGGGACCCGATCGAGCTCACGCCCATTCCAGAGGAGCGCTCCGGCCCGCGAGACGGCGTCAGCAATGCAGCGGTGCCTCCGAGCAATAGCGCAGTAAGCGAGCCTGAGGGCGAGTCATCACCGGGCGCAGCGGCGCAAGTGCTAGAGGCGAGCAACGCGGTGAGCGAGTCCACGGTGACGGAGTCGAGCGAGCTGCTGGTGAACGACTTGGACGCGTCAGGATTCAGCCACCGCAGCGAAGAGAGCAGCAACCACAACAACACTGGAGACACAAGGCGATCCGTGACGGTGTCGGACGGCAGCGAGGGCGGCGAGTACATGGTCACGGAGACGGGAGCTGTCGTGCGTCAAGTCGGCACCGTTACAGAAGCCTCAGCTGCTGAGGAGCTCGAGTCCATTGAAGCCGTCGCTGCGGCGGTCGTGCAGGAGGTGGTTGACGGTGCTGTGGCTGCCGCACTAGCCGACGGCATCCATGAACCGCGTGATCGCGCGGCTCTCATCGCTCAGAGCAGTCTGCAAGTGGAGATCTCGAGCGCCGAGATCTTCCACCTCAGCTCCAAGCCTCAACCAAACGACAGCGCGTACGTCGCCCCGATCTACGTCATTGCGGGCACGTCAACCGACAGCAAGGGCGTGGTGCTGTACCACGTTCAGCTCATGGACGAGGTCACGGACAGCGCCAAGTGGACGGCGCCGCTGCTGCGACGCTACAGTCGGTTCAACGAGATGTACGTGAAGCTCAAGGCCTCCAAGCTGCCCGCAGCCTCCAAGCTGCCGAAGCTGCCTCGAGCCGGCGTGGCGCAGTTCGTGCGAGGCCGACAGAGCAAGAAGACGATCGAGGAGCGGCAGCAGCAGTTCTCCCGCGTACTGCGCTACGTCGCCGAGCACCGGCAGCTGCACAACAGCGCCGAGTTCCAGAGCTTCCTCACGCAGTAGCAGTAGTGCGTCATTATCATTTTCCAGCCAACTCCGAGCACAGCGCGATTTTGCTGTACCAAGTCAACACCTTTGAGGACGTTAGTCGCCATCGTAAGCTACAGTTTTCTCGTAGCTGCAGCACCGCTGTCTGCAGCGTATGAACATGAACCCATTTTGATCATTCACGTTGAACTTGTCTGCTGATCCCTTCCGAGTTTGCCAACATTTCTTGGCGTCAAGACCGGTCTATGACTTCCGTGGCACTCGAATCCACTTGGGGTTCCAGTTCGGCAGCCCTAGCGAGCTCCAGCTGGCGCGTGGAGTGTCCCCGTGCACGTACAATACCACGTAGAGATCGATGCCTGATGGTTGCGAAGTGGTTGGCAGCAGGACACCCAGAACTCGAATTGATAGGCGAGCGAGTCGAAGTCCAAGTGCAGCAGCTTTCACTCTCAAATCCCGACGGACGACTAGCAAGCAAAGTTGCGCGGACAGCTCTCGACGACGACGCACAGTTCAAGCAGCGTGGCCATAACACTATCGCTGCAGAATGATCGCTGAAGAAGTTGTCGCCGCCCAAAGGATCGATAAAGGCACAATGGTAGTAGAAAGCCCGGAAGCAGAGGAGGACGCGCTCACGGTGTCTTCGGATGGAAGCATGCCGCAGTCGCAGTGTACGCCGGACGAAGCAGACTCAGAGGACGAATTTGAAGATGCGGTGGAGCCTCCGTCGTCCACGTCGGGAGTGCTGGTGGCTTTTGATTGTGCCGCGCCGCCATTGTCGGGAGTCTACGAGGACGCATTGGAGGCGACGGAGCAGCAGGTTGCAGCGGCGCTGGAGTCGACAAACTCGAATGGAAGTGAGAGGCAGTCAACCATTCAAGAAGAGGACGAAGAGGAGGAGGAAGACGTAGAGACAGAGACTGCGGAGATCGAAGCTGAGGTGGCTGCAGCCGTCGAGGAGATCGTGGAGCTCGCTACAGGGGGCGGAGTGAATATTAGTGCGGCTTGCAGTGATGAAGTAGTGGAGCTTACTGAAGAAGACGTGAATGCTCAAGCCCCGGAGGATCCGGTTGAGCAGGAGGACCAGAGCGACACTGTCGAAGACGCGGAAAGAGACGCTATCGTCGAGCAGCATGCAGAAGAGCTTGAATCCAGTCAAGAAACTATGGAACAAGAAGGTGCTGCCGATGGGCCTGCTCCTAACGAACGAAACACTTCCGACGAGACCACATTCGTGGAATCTGTTGGCCCAAGTGACGACAACGAGGAAGCTGATACGACCGACACCCCCGTCGTGAGTGAAGCACCCGGAGCGAAACAAGTGTCTAACGCTGACGTGGTCGAAGATGTTTCGGGGGTTATCTCGTCAGTGGATGCAGAAGAGGTCGTTGAGCAGGATGCGATGGACTGTGTCGAGAAGACTGACAATACAGATAACGAGCCGTCCGGTGATGTTGAAGACACCTCAAAGAAGGAGGTTCAGGTGGCGGATGTTGTTGCCGCTGGCGAGGCTAACGATGGACTCGTACATGAAGCACACGACACTACAGTGGCGAACGCTGAAGTGGCGTTGAAGACTCCAGAGGTTGATCGAACAAGCGAGGAAGTATCGATTGAGACTGCTACACAGCACTCCAGTTCAAGAATTGACGCAGTTGTCGAGAGCGAGGAATCCGCGAAAGAGAAGGCTGCTAACGAAGGACAAGTAGCTGAACCCGCCCCGGAAGAGAAAATCACCGAGGAACTTGTCGACGACGCGGTTGATGAAGTCGAAAAGGTAGTCGCTATCAAAGACGGCAGCCACGACGAACCCGTTGCGGGAGAGGTAGACATCGACGAGTCCAATACGTCCGCAGATGAGCAAGTCATGCCACTTAAGTCGACTGCGAACCCGGACGAAAGCGTGACCGAGGCAGCTGATGAAGACCCAGGCGTTGGAACGGAGCAAGAACCCTCACAACCAGAAGAAATTGTCAAAACCTTTCACGAAGCCGATGCGAAAGAAATCAACCCTCAGGCTGCAAACGATCCGGTTGACGCGGTCCAAGCGGAGGTAGAAGAGAACCAACAAGCAGACCTTGACTCATCGGAAGCTGCTTCCGGTAACACCGACGAGAAACCTGAACGATGTGATGCAGAACTTGTAGCCACGCCGGAAGGTATCAACACTGTCATCACCGAGGCTGCAGCACCAGAGCAAAACCCAGCAGAAGAAGAGCCAGAGGCCCCTCCTGCGTTCCAAGGGGCCCCCAGCAGCTCAAGCAGAAAGAGCAGCGACCATGAACATGAGCACGAACATGGGCGCAACCTCGCCGCCGTTTCCCTGCTGCCGCGACTCGCGCCGTCGTCTGAAACCACGACCACCACGACGACCACCACGATCGAGCCGGTCATCATGAGCTCCGAGAGCAACGAGATGCTCGAGGGCTACTTCCCGCCGCAGCGGTTCACGTACGAGGTCTTCGGCTTCTCGATCGACAAGCGCGTGGTCTACTACCACGTCCACAGGAGCGACCGACGCACGGGCGTCCGCGAGCCGGCCATCCTCAAGCGCTACACGGACTTCCGCGAGCTGCAGACGCAGCTGCTCGACTCGTGCCTCCGCGTCGCCGCCGACATGCCCCGGATCCCAAAGCCGCACCTGGGCACGGTACTGCGCGGCTACAAGAGCAAAAGAACCATCGAGGTCCGCGAAAGGGCCTTCCGCGCGCTGCTGCGGTACATTGCGCAGTACCCGGCACTGCACGGCAGCGCCATCTTCGAGAGGTTCATCACCACGAGTCGGGCCACCTCCGGCCCGGGCTGGATGTAGACTTCGAATGAGATCTATGTATTCCGTAATGAATGTCAATAATGTTGAAGTTGTCGGCGCCTTAGTGCTGTCCGTGCACGCCACGTACGAATTTTGTGTACAAATTTTCTGGTCGCCATGTGCAGGCTGCACACCTGCAGTCTGCAGGTGTCTCATGTGCTAAGAGCTCAGCTCAGGCCATCTGCCGCCACAAACGAACTCTCCCGTCCCGGCCCGGAGTCAATCGGCATTCTGCAAGCTTCTTCTTCGTCGACGAACATGGTGGACGCGACCTGGTACTATTGCAACGTTCTGGAGGAGTATTACGAGGCGGTTCCTGCTGTGCAGGCCCGTCAGAACGCGGCCGAAGAGGTTGAGAAGGTTTCGGTGGTGAGCTCGGAGCTGTCGCTGGACGTGGAGGAGGTCGAGGCGGACGAGGAACTGGCAGTCGCCAGAGCAACGTATGTGCTGCTGGCCTCGGCTGCGACTACGAAGGAGGTGAAGGAGGAGAAGAAGTGCGAAGAGAAGAAGGTGGCCGTCGTGGAGAAGGTGGAGAAGCAAGAACCAGTCGCCCCTGTGGAGGTGGCGGCCGAACCGGTGGTCGCCGAGCAGGTGGTGGCTGAGCCTGTGGTCGAGACCGTTCCTGAGCAAATCGCGGCCGAGTCTGTTGCAGCCGAAACGGTGGCCGAGAACGAGCCGCTGGCGGCCGAGGTGGTCGAAGAGCAGGTCGCTGATCCTGTGGCCGAGGAAGAGACTGCCGCTAGCGAAGACGTTGCGGTGGCCCATGAGGTTGCGACGGAGGATGAAGTGATCGAAGAAGCTGAGCCGGTCGAGCCTGTCGCTGTTGCGTCGGTGGGGACGGAGAAGGAGAATGTTGCTGAGAAGGAAGCTGCCGAGCCGGTTGCGAACGAAGAAGCGGCCGCCGAAGATGCCTCCGAGTCTGCTGCTGTTGAGGAGGTTGTCGAGGAAGCTGTGGCCGAGGCGACCGCGGTTCTGGAGACCGTGCACGACGCTGTCGAGACTGTTGCAGTCGTTGAGGAAGAGATCGTTGAGGCTGTTGTGGCCCAGACGGCAGTCGAAGAGAAGAAGCCTGAACAAGTCGAGCTGGTTGCTGACGAGCCCGTGGCCGAGCCTGCAGTCACCGAGGAAGCGCCTAAGGACGAAGCGTTGGAGGCTGCTACTGAAGTGCCCGCACCGACCAACGAGGACTCTGAAGAGAAGGCGAAGGACGAGGAGACCGTGGCCGAGGCTGGCCAAGTCGCAGAGGATGAAGTGGTGGCCGAGGCCGACCAAGCCGCAGAGGATGAAGTGGTGGCCGAGTCTGTGGAGGTTGCAGTCGTAGAGAAAGACGAAGAGGTTGGTGAAGTGGCTGAGGCAACGCCGGCGGAGGAGGAAGCACCGGCAGCGCCGAAGGCCGACAGCGACGACGTGTCTGACACTCAGTCGGAGGTTTCAGAGGCGCCCGCTGTCGAAGTGGCTGAGCCTGCTCCGGCCGTCAAGGTCGACGAGGAGCCCGAGTCCGAGATCGAAGAGACGATGGTCATTGACGCTGACCTGGCGGCAAAGGAAGCCGCTGCCGTCGAGGCGAAGGCCCAGGAATCCTCGTCATTCAGCTTCATCCGCAAGAACAGCTACGCCGTTTCGTCCGTGGCTGTTGCGGTCACTACGGCCATCGTGGCTACGTTTGTGGCACGTAGGTAGGTAGAAAGGAGCTCGTATGCATCAGCTCTTACATAGAATTCGTCCAGAGAGAATACTCTTCACGTGTAAATTCGCATAAAAACTCTCAGGTTTGTTTTACATTTTCATTCGAGCAGTATTCGTAGACCAACGTGCATTGTGTGCACAGGTGCAGATACGTCTCGTAAGTGCATGAAGATCGCTGCCCCCAGCTCAAGTTCGTCATATCCATAGGATCCGAGATACAGACCAACGCTGACAAATGGAGCAGACATTTTTGAGTTTGCCGCCACAGCTTGGTGGATGCACCGCAACATCATGTTGAGCTTGATCTTCTCCTTCGCGAGACACTTTCGATGTCTCAAGGCAGCACCTTTGGCCCGAAGACAGAGAATGATGAACTCCGAGATCTGCGCAGTCGGCAGAGAATCTCGACGCTCCATAAAGCACAACGCGTGTTTATCTGCCATTTGCTCGGAGTGTACAAGTTGCGGCTAGCTGCTCGCACGCATCTGTTGTCTCAATAGTCAAAGCGGAGTCAGCCATGAGAGCTAGACACATGCTGCCGACTTGGCTGAAGCAGCTGGAGCGCAGCGAGATGTCTGCCCACGCCTCCATGAGGCATCGAATGGAATGACCGCCCATGCCGCCCAGCCGATTGATCCGGCCTACCGAAAGCTTATTATCCAATTCGAGCCCCAACGATCAGATCATAGCGACTGACTGTCAACGCCAACACCAAACACATACCAACACCAAGAAACCCAAAACAAGATACCAACATCATGGCGACTACCAACTCGCAGAACGAGTACACCAACAACACCAAGGCGGCCGAACCCCGCCTACAATTGAACACCAACGGCGACAACCACGCCGAGCCCAAGCTCAGCAGCCGTACCAGCTCGACAGTAGACACAGACGACGTCGACTCGCTCGACAGTGAGAGTGATGAAACAACCATGGACCGGGCCGAGTTCTTCCTGTACCGATCCCGATACAGCGATGAAGTTACGGAAATGTCAGTGTTGGGCTTCGGATCACACATCGGCATGAACACACAGTCTCAGGAAACCGAGACACACAGCGCAGCAGACACGGCCCTCTCTAGTGAGGCGACGACCCCTATCCCATCGGACGAGTTAAAGGTCGTAACGACTCTCTTCAAGCTGCTGAACCAAGTTGAAGAGAGCGTAGCACAGAAGGAGATCACGCGAGTGGAGAATGACGACGAACGCCTTTCAGCAGCAAACACGTCACAGAAAGCGGCATCCAGCGGAGAAAGCGAGAGTACTTCCTTAGTTCCTGCTTGCGATGTACGAGCAAAAGCGGACGAGCTAGATACTTCGGCCGACGCGAAGGACACGAGTACTTCTAACTCCAGAGCAATCCACGCTATTGCCGAAGCTCTTCCGATCCAAGAAGAAGCGGAACCAAAGCCCCGCATCATCCGAGAATTTGAAGAGGAAGCCAAACCAATCCATATCCCAATCAACAAAACAGAGACAGAGGAAATCCCACAAACTATGGTAGCTGTCGAATCCGCCGAGCCTGTCGTCGAGGCTGCGGTGGTCGAGGTCGAGGCAGCAACCGAGGAGCAGGAGCAGCCCACCGTCGAGGTCGAGGTCGAAGCTGCTGAGCCCGCCGTCGAGGTCGAGGCCGTCGAGGAGCCTGCCGACGAGGAGCCTGCTGTCGAGGAGCCTGCCGTCGAGGTCGAGGCCGTCGAGGTCGAGGCCGTCGTGGAGCCTGCCGTCGAGGAGCCTGCCGTCAAGGAGCCTGCCGTCGAGGTCGAGGCCGAATCCGCTGAGCCCGCTGTCGAGGCCGAGGAAGTGGCCGAAGAAGTCGTGGATGAGGCGGCCGCTGTCGAATCCGCCGAGCCTGTCGTCGAGGCTGCGGTGGTCGTGGTCGAGGCAGCAACCGAGGAGCAGGAGCAGCCCACCGTCGAGGTCGAGGTCGAAGCTGCTGAGCCCGCCGTCGAGGTCGAGGCCGTCGAGGAGCCTGCCGACGAGGAGCCTGCTGTCGAGGAGCCTGCCGTCGAGGTCGAGGCCGAATCCGCTGAGCCCGGTGTCGAGGCCGAGGAAGTGGCCGAAGAAGTCGTGGAGGAGGCGGCCGCTGTCGAATCCGCCGAGCCTGTCGTCGAGGCTGCGGTGGTCGTGGTCGAGGCAGCAACCGAGGAGCAGGAGCAGCCCACCGTCGAGGTCGAGGTCGAAGCTGCTGAGCCCGCCGTCGAGGTCGAGGCCGTCGAGGAGCCTGCCGACGAGGAGCCTGCTGTCGAGGAGCCTGCCGTCGAGGTCGAGGCCGTCGAGGTCGAGGCCGTCGTGGAGCCTGCCGTCGAGGAGCCTGCCGTCAAGGAGCCTGCCGTCGAGGTCGAGGCCGAATCCGCTGAGCCCGCTGTCGAGGCCGAGGAAGTGGCCGAAGAAGTCGTGGATGAGGCGGCCGCTGTCGAATCCGCCGAGCCTGTCGTCGAGGCTGCGGTGGTCGTGGTCGAGGCAGCAACCGAGGAGCAGGAGCAGCCCACCGTCGAGGTCGAGGTCGAAGCTGCTGAGCCCGCCGTCGAGGTCGAGGCCGTCGAGGAGCCTGCCGTCGAGGAGCCTGCTGTCGAGGAGCCTGCCGTCGAGGTCGAGGCCGAATCCGCTGAGCCCGCTGTCGAGGCCGAGGAAGTGGCCGAAGAAGTCGTGGAGGAGGCGGCCGCTGTCGAATCCGCCGAGCCTGTCGTCGAGGCTGCGGTGGTCGAGGTCGAGGCAGCAACCGAGGAGCAGGAGCAGCCCACCGTCGAGGTCGAGGTCGAAGCTGCTGAGCCCGCCGTCGAGGAGCCCGCCGTCGAGGAGCCCGCCGTCGAGGAGCCTGCTGTCGAGGAGCATGCCGTCGAGGTCGAGGCCGTCGAGGAGCCTGCCGTCGAGGAGCCTGCTGTCGAGGAGCCTGCCGTCGAGGTTGAGGCCGAATCCGCTGAGCCCGCTGTCGAGGCCGAGGAAGTGGCCGAAGAAGTCGTGGAGGAGGCGGCCGCTGACGAATCCGCCGAGCCTGTCGTCGAGGCTGCGGTGGTCGATGTCGAGGCAGCAACCGAGGAGCAGGAGCAGCCCACCGTCGTGGTCGAGGTCGAAGCTGCTGAGCCCGCCGTCGAGGTCGAGGCCGTCGAGGAGCCTGCCGACGAGGTGCCTGCTGTCGAGGAGCCTGCCGTCGAGGAGCCTGCCGTCGAGGAGCCTGCCGTCGAGGTCGAGGCCGAATCCGCTGAGCCCGCTGTCGAGGCCGAGGAAGTGGCCGAAGAAGTCGTGGAGGAGGCGGCCGCGGTCGAATCCGCCGAGCCTGTCGTCGAGGCTGCGGTGGTCGAGGTCGAGGCAGCAACCGAGGAGCAGGAGCAGCCCACCGTCGTGGTCGAGGTCGAAGCTGCTGAGCCCGCCGTCGAGGAGCCCGCCATCGAGGAGCCCGCCATCGAGGAGCCTGCTGTCGAGGAGCCTGCCGTCGAGGTCGAGGCCGAATCCGCTGAGCCCGCTGTCGAGGCCGAGGAAGTGGCCGAAGAAGTCGTGGAGGAGGCGGCCGCTGTCGAATCCGCCGAGCCTGTCGTCGAGGCTGCGGTGGTCGAGGTCGAGGCAGCAACCGAGGAGCAGGAGCAGCCCACCGTCGAGGTCGAGGTCGAAGCTGCTGAGCCCGCCGTCGAGGTCGAGGCCGTCGAGGAGCCTGCCGACGAGGTGCCTGCCGTCGAGGAGCCTGCCGTCGAGGAGCCTGCCGTCAAGGAGCCCGCCGTCGAGGTCGAGGCCGAAGCTGCTGAGGACGTTGCCATTGGCGGGATTGCTTCCGACGATCGTGAAGATGCCACTCTCAGCGATGAGACCGGTCACAATGAATCTCCTGCAGTCGCAGATGCTGTGGTTGATGCCGCCTTGCAGCCCGAGCCTGAGCCGGAGGTCAAGTCCTCGTCCAAGGCGCCGAGCTCCGACGGCTGGTTCAACAACTTGCTGTTCCGCAAGAAGGCGGCGCCCATGTCAGCGCCGTCGCTCGAGTCGACGACCGACGCAAAGGACAATGCCGAGCCCGCGGATGTCGCGTGTGTCCATGGGCCTGTCGTTGAAGTCGTCGCTGATTCGGCTGCGCGGATGGACACACAGATCGCGCAGGAAGGTTCTGCTGCCATTCCCCAAGATACCCCCGAGCAAGCAGAGGGAGACGCGGCCGTTGCAGAGCAGACCGAAATGGAGTCGCCCGATGCTAGCGTGGCGCTCGAGCGTCAAATGGATTCGAGTCAAGTCGTCAGTGACGTCGAGAACGAGAATGTGTTGAAGGTCGAGGCGGTCGAAGCCGCCTCCGACACCGACAGCTCCGCGGAGTCCAAGCCGAACGCTGAGGCCGACGTTGACGAGCAGGTTGCAACTGCCGCTGAGCTGTCAACGGACGAGGAGGCGGTCGAGGACATTGCTATCGAGCAGTCAATGGATAATGTGGCCGTGCCTGCTGTTACTGTTGAGCAGGAGGCTGAACCGGTTGCTGTGACTGAAGCTGTGGAATGTGAGGCCGAGTCGGCCGATGCCGTCGAGGAAGAAGACACGGTGTCGACTAAGGACTCTGAGGTCGACAACGACGACGCACCACCTGCTGCTGTTGAGGTCGTTGAGGAAGCTGTCGAAGCTGAGGCTATCGAGGTTGAGGAAACTGCCGGTGTGGCTGAGACCATCGCTGACGAAGCCGCTGAGCCTGTTGAGCCCGTGGCTGCTGAGTCCGAGTCGGACGACATTGCCCCTATCGAGGTGGCTGTGACTGATGACAGCACGGCGGAGCCTTCGGCCAACGTTATTCCTGCTGAAGATCACGTTTCAGCCGAGCCCGTGGAGGTGGAGATTGACACATCGGAGGAGGTTGTCGAGGCCGAAGTTGTCGCTGCCGAGCAAGACGAGAACGCTACCGTCACCACCACAGCTGAAGAGGAAGTCGATGCGGTTAACGCTACCATGGAAGCAGTTGTTGAGCCTGAACCGGTTGCGGAAACAGAGGCTGTCGCCGAAGATGTTGCGAGCGAACCTGTTTCCACCGAGGAGTTGGCGGAGCCTGCGACTGCTGTCAACGAAACCTCTGCTGCTACTTCTACGGAAGGTGACGTCGAGTCTCCTGAGCCTGTTGCCCAAGTTGTTGCCGTCAAGGCTGCTGTGACCGAAGAGAGTCCTTCTGAGACTGAAGAGCTTCCAGCGGAAATGGCTGAGCCCGTCACGGTTGAAGAAGTTGTCACGGAGGCTGAGCCTGCCCAAAGCGTCGAGGCCGAGACCTCCAGTGACGAAGTGGTCATGGACGTCAAGACGCCTGCTATCTCAGCTGAAGTGGTCAAGGAAGACGACGTTGACGCAGAGCAGACACCTCAAGAGGAGGCCGTCAAGGAGATGACCGAGGAAGCCACCGCTGCTTCAGTCGAGGTCGTTGAATTCGCTCCTGCTAGCGACGACGTGGCCGAAGAACCGAAGTCCGAGCCTGAGCCTATCCCAGTTGAGACGAAGCCTACCGATGCCACGACTGTTACGGCGACCACCAGTGACAGTGAGGAGAAGGACGCGACCCTGGCGCCTGTGCAAAAGTACGAGGTCGACACCAATCCCATCAGCGCCGTGGCCTTCTTGATCGGCCGCTTCGAGCAGATCGCGTCGCGCAATGCGATCGAAGCGGCCAACTCGCGCACGTCGTCCCGTGTTTCCTCCCGAGTGTCGTCTCCGATGCCGTCGCCTCCGTCCTCCAGACCCCACGGATACATCTTCGATATGCCGATTTCGAGGAGCCGTGCATCAAGTGAGCAGAAGGAGCTTCCGAAGGAGCCCGCGAATGTGGAGACGATCGCGGAGGTCGATGAGACTGCTGAGGCAGCGGCTGAAGTGGACGCACCCAAGGTGGAGGAACCAGCGGTGGAATCGCCTGCAACTGAGGCTGAAGTCGAAGAGGCCACAGTCGAAGATGCTGCATCCGAGACCGGCGAGCCCGAAGCTGAGGACGACAACACTGCCACTGAAGCACCCACCTCGCCGGAGGTTGATGGTACAGTTGACGACTCTGCTGCTGTGGAGGTCCCAGCCGACAACACCACTGAGGTCGAGCCTGAACAGGCTGAAGCGGAGCAGACAAAGACTGAGGGTGTCACTGAAGAAGCACCGGCCGTCGAGGAGACCGCTGACGCTGATGTGTTTGAGGCGGCAGTCGAGGAGGATGCTGAAGCCGTTGAGACGGACACTCCTGCCGAAGAGGTGACTTTGGCCACAACGGAAGATGCCAGCGACTCTGTTGCTGACACGGAAGACAATAACGCTACTGCTACTACTACCGACGCTGACGAGACCGCTGCCGAGGCGACCGAGGAGTCTGCTGACGATGCGAATCGCGAGACGCAGACGATCACAACTGTCTACGAAGCTGCGGAGACGTCGATCTTGTCCATGGACACCCCCGAAGAAGCGCTCGACACCCCCGCAACTGAAGAGACCGAGGCCGCTGTGGCCACTGCCGACTTTACCACCGACGAGGCTATTGAAGCCTACGTTCCAACCCACGACGACGAAAGAGAAGAACTCACCCCGACCGAGGAACCCGAGACCGACAACCAAACCGAAGAGGATTCGACCGACCTGGCGTCTGCGACGAAGATGACGCCTGTCGCTCATGAAGAGTCCAAGGAATCGCCAGCTACGGACGACGACAACCACCACCTGACCTTTGACGAGATGGAGGAAGAGCCCGAGCCCACCGAGAGACGCATGTCCTCCATTGCCCCCGAGGCCCCCACCGTGCTCACCGACGATGCCGCGGTGCCGATTGAAGCCACCGCGAAGGCTACCGTGGAAATGACGAGTCACGCGACGAAAGCAGTCGCCGATGACGCCACGGCAGCAGAGCCCACCCCCGAGCGCGACTCCGCGCCCCACGAGCACGTGGCGTACGAGATTCTGGGCGTCACGCGGGCCAACAACGTGATCATGTATCACATCTACACTTTCAACAGCGCGACCGGCGAGCGATCCATGTCGATCCCCAAGCGCTACTCGGAGTTCAAGCTGCTGGACGAGCAGCTCCGAGCTCTCAACGTTCCGGCTGCGCACGACCTGCCGGCGCTGCCCAAGCCCAGCGTGGGCAGCTTCCTGCGGGGCCGCCGCAGCAAGAAGACCATCGAGTTGCGCGAGAAGGCGTTCGGCGACTTCCTGCACTACGTCACGCAGCACGAGGAGCTGCGCGAGTGCGCCGTCTTCCAGCAGTTCATCGCCAACTAAGCGAAACTAGAGGCGACGATGCAGAGGGAGACAAGCAAGAAGAGGAAGCAAGCGAGCATGCGTGTTGTATGGATAGCTATAGGTAGGATGCGTGTATAAACCCCGGATCGATGTACATTTTTTATACTGTTTTGCCTTCAACTTGAAGTTGCCTTGAACATGCACATCAATCAGCTGCCGTCGCATTGCAAGCCGTGCGAGCGCTCAGTTGCCGTCGCTGCGGTTCTGTCCGAAGTCTAATCTTCGCTTCGGCATTGGCGCGCCTGCACTGGGAAGCTCATCCATCCTCACCGGTGTCTTGCAGGTGCGGTCCGTCAAGCTCTCAGTCGTTGACAACGCAGCGAACGGAGCGAATATCGCTGAGGCAGGACTCGCTACATTCCACTGCAACGTACATGTAGAAATTTTCTGCAATTACCTACGCGACCCAAAAGCCAAGACAGCACTACGTCTACAGTTCATGTCGGCTCGACGCACGAAATGCAGCGGTGTCAGGAGCCAGCTCATCCCGTCCATTGCAGAAGTGATAGGTACCTCGGCGTGTCTCGCCTTCGCCGCCGCGCGCGGCCGTCTTCAATTACAAGTCTGACAACCACTAATGGCGGCGGCCAACGCCGAGGCGAGAAGCAAGGTTTTCCCCGCCCCAAAAGCGCTCTCTGCTTTGAGTCTCGAAGCGCCTATCGCCACCTTTCGGTGCTGGCGAGAGAGCTCGAAAGTGAACCCATTTGGGATAGTAACGTACGCTACGCGCGACGTCTCGCGGCAGAGGAAAGTGTATGTTCCGGCAATAGAGACCCGCCCGACACAACCCGCGGCTTGCTAGCAGCCAGCTTTTTGCAGGCACACCCTCTGCATCTGGCCGAAGGCTCGGCGGCATGAACATTCGCATGCCGGCCGCGCCACGGCCAGCATCTCGGCGGGCATCAGCGAAGCCATTTTTCTCAGGGCAGGCAACTTTGCTGAAAGCTTCCCGTGGCGAAACCAACATGGCTCCACCTCATCACAGAGGCTCTGCCCAAGCCGATGCCGTCTGGTGTCCCCTATTTGACTATCTTGACGCCATCTGGCTGTATCTTGTCCGTCTGTCACTGCCCGACCTTCATACCGTATGCAATGCATCCCCAGCCGGCTGAGCCCACCCAACCTGCACTTTCCTGCTGTCGTCGGGCCGCGAGCCAGGCGCCGCCAAGCGGACCCTGGTCAGCACAACCCGAAGAGCAACCCGAAGCTCAAGCCGCAGCGATCGCCATGGGGTGCAGTCAGTCCAAGCCCACCGACGTGGCCAACCCGGCCGCCAACGCCAACGCCAACGCCAACGCCGCTGCGCCGCCGGCCGCGGCGAAGCCGCAGGAGCAGCCAGCGGCCGTCGAAGCGCCCACGGCCAACGAGCCCAAGGCCAAGGAGGCCGAGGAGGAGCACGAGGACGAGGCCTCGCAGGAGCTGGCGCCCGTCGCGCCCGTGATCGAGACGCCCGCGGCGCCGCCCGCCACGGAGCAGGCGCCCAACTCGGCGGCCGTGGACGTGCCCGACAGCGTGCGCGCCAACTTCTCGTCCTTCAACATCTCGTTCATCGACCCGACCGTGAGCGCGCCCACGAGCGCCACGACGGAGCCCAGCATCGCGTCCTCCAGGGTGGCGGCGATCGCCGAGGAGGCCCCCAAGCAGCAGCAGGGGGAGACTGCTGAGCAGGTGGCCGAGCCTGCTGTGGAGGAGAAGGCCTCTGAGCCTGTTGTGGAGGAGACGGCTACGGAGTCTGTTGTTGAGGAGACCAAGGAGGCCGCCGAGCCGGTGAAAGCCGTTGCGGCCGAGCCTGTGGAGGAGACCAAGCAGATCGAGGAGCTCGTGGTTGAGACCAAAACCGAGGAAGCCAAGGTTGAGGAGGTTGCGGCCGAGCCTGTTGTTGAAGAAAAGGTTGCCGAGCCCGTTGTCGAGGAGAAGGCTGTTGAGCCGACTGTCGAGACAGAGTCGGCTGCGACTATCGAGGAACCTGTCGCGACCACCGAGGAGACTAAGGAGCCGGTCGTCGAGGAGCCGGTTGTCGCCGCAGAGGTCGAGAAGGTGAAGGAGCCCGCTTTTGAATCTGCCAAGGAAGAAGAGAAGCTGGCCAACGTTGCTGAGGAGCAGGCCGTCGAGAAGACCGAAGAGGCTGCTGCCCCCGTGGTTGTTGAAGAGGCGGCCAAGGCCGAGGAGACGGTTGCTGTCGTGGAGCCTGTTGCGGAGACGGCGGCCGTTGAGCCTGTCGCAGTGGAAGAGCCTGCTGTCGTCACCGAAGAGCCCGCCGCCCCCGTCGTTGAGGAGCCGGCTGCCGCTGTTGAGACGGAGGCCACCCCTGTCGAGGAGACCCCCGCTGCTGTTGAGGAGCCTGCTGCCAAGGTTGAGAAGGAGGAGAGCGTTGTTGCGGCCGAACCGGCCGTCGTCGTTGAGGAGCCTACCGCTGTCGAGGAGTCTGTTGAAGTCGTTAAGGCGGGGAAACCTGCTACAGAGGCCAAGGTTGAGGAGGGTGCTGCTGCCAAGGTTGACGAGATCGCCACTGAGACGAAGGTTGAAGAAGCCGCTGTGGTGAAGGCCGAGAAGGCCAATGAAGCTGCAAAGGTGGAGGAAACTGCTGTGGAGACCAAGGTTGAGGAGCCCGTTGCTGTCAAGACGGAGGAGCCTGTTGCTGCCAAGGTCGAAGAGCACGTTGCTGCCAAGGTTGAGGAGCCCGTCGCTGCCAAGGTTGAGGAGCCCGTTGCTGCTGCCAAGGTTGAGGAGCCCGTTGCAGCCAAGGTTGAGGAGCCCGTTGCTGCCGCCAAGGTTGAGGAGCCCGTTGCAGCTGCCAAGGTTGAGGAGCCCGTTGCAGCCAAGGTTGAGGAGCCCGTTGCTGCTGCCAAGGTTGAGGAGCCCGTTGCGGCTGCCAAGGTTGAGGAGCCCGTTGCAGCCAAGGTTGAGGAGCCCGTTGCTGCTGCCAAGGTTGAGGAGCCCGTTGCAGCCAAGGTTGAGGAGCCCGTTGCTGCCGCCAAGGTTGAGGAGCCCGTTGCTGCTGCCAAGGTTGAGGAGCCCGTTGCAGCCAAGGTTGAGGAGCCCGTTGCTGCCGCCAAGGTTGAGGAGCCCGTTGCTGCTGCCAAGGTTGAGGAGCCCGTTGCAGCTAAGGTCGAGAAACCCGTTGCTGCCAAGGTCGAGGAGGCTGTCGCTGCTAAGCCTGAGGAATCGGTTGCTGCCGAGGCTGAGAAGCCCGTTGCCATCAAGGTTGAAGAGACTGTTGCTGCGCCGGTTGACAATCAGGCCGATGCTGCTGCGGAGTCCGACGGCAGCACCACGTCGGAGGATGGCGCCGAGGCGGAAGACTCGGGCATTGAGCAGCCTAACACTGCTGAAGAGCCCGCAGCGGCCCCTGCCTCGGTCAAGAAGGACGTGGCTGAGCCCCAGACGGAGCAGGCCGCGCCTGTCAAGGAGCCCGTGGCCTCCAACTAAGTATGAAACCCGCTGAGAAGCGAGCCCAGGGACCAAGTGTAAGGTCCACTTTCTTTTTTGATTCCTAACGTGAAGCGGTCGCCCGCCACGACGTAGATACGAATGTAGGAACTGTAAGTTCATGCACATAGATCACTATCGACCTTCGTTTACCTTCTTACATTTTGTTCGAACAGGTCCATGAGTGGTCAAGCTGTAGCCATTGCAGAATAAGATCGCTTTTTGTAACGGAAATGTGACGAGGCGGTGCAGTACTTGCTGTAGCTAGACAAACTTAATTCAAACAAGGCCTTCGATACGCGCTACGCAGCCCCGGACGTTGCCAGCCTGGACGTTCGGAGGAGCCGCTGGTTCTGGTGGCTCGATGGAGCATCGTCCGAGTTGGATTCGTCGGTGCTGCCGTTGATCTCTTCGTCGCGACAGACGGACGCCATTGCGTTCGCACGGCGACGCAGCAGACTCCCGTACCCCAACACCAGCGTCTGGGAGAAATCGCGCTGCTTGATGGACTGCCACAGCTTCGCCGACAGGTTGGTGGCAGCTAGGCCAATAGACGAGCGCGGTGGCTCTTCCGACCGAGCACAGCGCGCGATGGCGCCACGCAGCAGCGCCACAAACTCCTTCTTCTTCTGCTCGCTCTCGCAGTGAACGATGTACTGACGCGCCGTTCGTCGGTATCTCCGTCGGAGCGGAGACGCTGGAGAAGACACATCCATAGGGCTGTCCTCCGGCTCGTCGACTGCGAGCTGCGACATACTTCTCGACAGCGAGTAGCGCCGCTTGACCGGCCTCTTCAACGTACTCGGGCTGAGGTTATGGCAATTGCAGCGACCGGTTTTCGATGCCAGCAGAGCGAACGACCGCGCGCAGGACTCAGACTCAGTACCGTCTTCAGTCTCATTGGCCTCGATCACCGTTGCACACGAAAGGCAAATGTGCCGGCGAACACGCAGTCGGAAGTTGCTCTTGTTAGCGATGAGCAGTGCGTCGGACAACAGGATAACCCGCTGTCGGTCCTTGCTGCGCTCGTGGCCATTCGAGGTGAGGCTGTCACGCAAGGCCGTCTCCTCCCTGGCGATTCCGCTGTTTTCTCCTCCCAGTAGCTCCATCTCGCTGTTGACGCTGTGCGTCGAATCACGAGGCTGTTGGCACTCGCGCTTCTGTAAACGTCTTGCTCGATGCAAGTGAAGAGCCCGAGCCAAGCGTGCGCGTCGATCGATCAGTTGAACGGCGGCTGGCATCTCACAGAGTAGCGTGCGTCCGGGACGCAAGAGCTCCAACTTGGCCGCAGCCTTTGTGTTGTCGATGCTGTTGTTGATGCTCACCAAGCGCACGTTGCTCTCGGCGTCTCGAACACGAGCGTTCACCTGGTCGGACACTCGTTGGATACTTTCCAGAGCATGTTGAGAGAGAAGCGCCTCCTCTGGGGTGGTAGCGTTCTGCACTAGAGAGCGAAATAGCAGCGAGTACCGACAAATGCGCTGCACGGGCTTGATGAGATCCGACACCGCGTCAAACGAAGTCTCGTCATTGTTGTTGCTGCTGCTGCTGTTGTTGTCGTCTTGAGACAGCGTGAAGGCGTCGAGAAGCTTGGCGTGCGACTTGAGCTCCTCGGTCGCTGGGAGGTAACTGGAGCAGTATAGCGCGTAAGCTTTCATGTACTCGACAGTGGAGGCGAACGCTGCGGTGACTCGAGTCACGGCTTCAAGTGGCCCAGATCCAGAGCTGCCGTTCGGGTTCAGAGCGTTAGAAAAGTTGAAAAAGCGGCGCTGTTGTGGCGGCTCCATGAGCTTGAGCAGCTCTTTGTGAACCCCGAGGATGAAGTGAGCTGAACAGCGCAGAGCCGAGAACGACGGGAGCTCCTCTTTCGTCTTGATGTATCTATCCGCGAAAGCAGCGAACGGATCGAGGAATCGATCGACAAGCCCGGCGATGTCGGACACGTAGTCCCTCTCGGTGGCGAGCATCTCGGAGCAGATTCGCTCGACGGTTGTCCAGTTCTTCTTGCTTGGGTGGTCCAAAGCCTGCAAGTGACGCAAGAAGCGAGGAGACCGCTCGTCGTACGTCATTTTGGCCAGCCGCATCACCTGCGGCGTGCGTGCGACCGTCATCTCGCTGATGGGCAGCTTCGGCGGCACCACCGAGCCCGGCATTGTCAACGGCAAGTACGCGAGTGCGAGCGTAGAGATCTTAGCTGTGTCTTGGCATGAACGGGCCGACTCGAGGTCGGACTTCACGTTGAGAGAGGCGCGTTGCAATCTGCGGGGGTTAGCTGCTTCCAACGCGCCGCTAGTGGTGTGGTTGAACGCCGTGAGCTTTGCGCGCCCATATTTTTAGGCGCAGCGGCAAGTCCGCTGGAGCGCTCCTCGCTTAGCTTCAACATCTTATGCATTGGCTGGCATTGCCAGCATTGCGCAGGTGGCAGGCATTAAATCAAAAGCACTTACTTAATTGAGACTCGGGTTGCCACCAAAAATATGCGCATATCCACAAGGCTGCAGGAGCTTAAAAATATCCGTACTAACTAACTTCTTGGCACACTTCCTCATTGTTGCGCTCACACCCAAAGCTCAACGGCGGCGGCCGTGTTGACACGCAGCAAGCGCCCACTTGCCCAGTGAAGGACCAAAAAGGGCAACTTCAACACAACATGGCTACCCCTTCGAAACCCGCTCCACCACATCACCCTTACACAACATCCTTCCCGGCTAATTCCGCCACTTCCTCTCCAGCCATCATCCGAATCACTTCGTCATGGGTCGCAAGCAGCCTCCTCCGCGGCGCGGCGCCAAGCGCCAGGGCATCGCCGCGCAGGCGCTTCGGGCCGGCGGCAAGAGCCAGATCGGACAGCAGAACCGCGCGGCGCCCAAGAAGCTCGTGGGCAAGCACCAGAACGCGCAGAAGCTGCAGCAGAAGCGCGAGCAGCTCCGCAGCCAGCAGGTCGGACGGCACCGCGGCGTGGCGGCCGGCCTGAGCCTGGCCGAGCTGGCCGGCCGCGCCGCGCAGAGCTCGCAGCAGTTCGAGCAGACTCAGATGCAGCAGGAGCAGAATCAGAGCGCTGCCGGCGACGAGCTCGTGATCAACGACGCGTCGCGCCGCGCGTACATGAAGGAGCTGCGCAAGGTCGTGGACAAGGCCGACGTGGTGCTTGAGGTGCTGGACGCGCGCGACCCCATGGGCTGCCGCACGCTGGACATGGAGGACGCCATCGGCAACCGCCACGGCAAGAAGCTCGTGCTGGTGCTCAACAAGGTGGACCTGGTGCCGCCGCACGTGCTGCAGCCGTGGCTCAAGTACCTGCGCGGCTTCTACCCGACGGTGGCCTTCAAGGCCTCCACGCAGAACCAGTCGAAGCACTTGAGCGCCAACTTCGGCAAGGCCGACAAGGCCGCGGGCGAAGCGGTGAGCGGCAGCAAGGCCGTGGGCACGGACGCGCTGATGCAGCTGCTGAAGAACTACTGCCGCAGCCACGGCGTCAAGACAGCCATCACTGTTGGAGTCATTGGATACCCGAACGTGGGCAAGAGCTCCGTGATCAACTCGCTCAAGCGCAGCAAGGCCGCCAGCGTCTCGAGCACTGCGGGCCACACCAAGGTCATGCAGGAGGTGCACATCGACAGCAAGATCAAGCTGCTGGACTGCCCCGGTATCGTGTTCGACCACTCGGATTCGAGCGCCTTGTTGCTGCGTAACTGCATCAACACCGAGTCGATGGCGGACCCGGTTGGAGCTGTGCAAGTGCTGCTCACGCGCTGCCAACCGGCGCAGCTTGCGGAGCTGTACCAGCTGCCTGTGGATGCCGTGTCCAAGTGCTTCCAGGACGCCGTGCAGTTCTTGGTGCTCGTGGCCCAGACCAAGGGTAAGCTGGGCAAGGGAGGCATCCCCGACCGCCAGGCTGCTGCTCGCATCGTGCTGCAGGACTGGAACCGCGGCAAGCTGCCGTACTTCACGCCGCCTCCGGACCAGAGCGTCCAGGTGCTGGACACGCAGCTGGTCACCGCGTTCGGCCAGGAGTTCAACGTCGCCGATGAAGAACTGAACCCGACGAGCATCTTCCTCCAGGAAGGAGACGCGACCAAGGAGGCCAGCGGCCCGCAGTGCTCGATCCCTATTGCGGCCAGCGGCAATGGCGACGTGGCTATGGCGTCCGAGACGACGAATGAGGCCACGCCCGCCTCCGCTCGTATCAGTCAGATGCTGGGTGATTCCGACTCGGACTCGGATTCCGACATGGACTCGGACTCGGAGATGGCCGACGACACCGCAGAGGCTGCAGGCTACACGCTGCCGCACGCCGCTCTGTCGACCCAGGAGCTGGCCGCCAAGCTGGCCCAGGACGCTTTGAACCCGCAGACGGCTCTGGCTGCCCGACGAAAGGCCAAGCAGTGGCGCAAACTCAAGCGCCGGGCCGCTCGCCAGCAAATGGGCTCAGAGGCCGAGAACTCGTTCAGCGAGCAATTTGGTAACATCGTGGGCATTGCGCCTCCGACGTTCATGAACCCCTTTACGACTCAGTAGACCGACCAGTTTTGTTCATAGTACTACGCAAGTCTTAGACACACATAATGCTATTCGATTGTTTCTCTTCCGGCTTCCTTTGGTCTGCTGCGTACGCATGGGGCGCAGCTAGAAAATAGCAGTTGCATTACTCAATGTAGTGTCCATGGACACGGTGATCGTAGCTCAGTCTCGACGACTGTGACTAAAACTCTCTCTCTCGGCCCTTGCCTTGTCTTGCTTTCTTTCTTACACTCTGGGGGACGTCAGCAGCTTCGGCGACGTGATGGCGTTCGGAGGCGTCAGCGCCATCTCGTACTCGATGCTCTCTCTGCGTTCGTGCGAGGTGACGGGGGCGTCCGTCTCGGTCTGCTTGGCCTGATGTCTCTTCCTGTAGATGGCGGCGACGGCCACGACGGCTACCAGAGCGGCCGCAGCAGCGATGCCTCCGACGAGGCTGGCGTTCACACCGGAGCTGCCAGCAACGTCGCCAGAGGACAAGTTGACCGTGGACGAGTCTGCGGTCGTGCTGTCGTCATCCCCCACATTGGCGTCGCTCTCGCTGTCCCCGACGTCTGCGTCCTCCGAGCCGCTGTTGGACGAGCTTCCTTGGGTCGTCGTAGCCGCGGGAGTGGCGGAGGGGGTCGTCTTAGTGGCCGCCGGCGTGGGGGTCGGCGTCTCCGTCGTGTTGGTCGTCGTGGCCGCCGGAGTGGCTGTCGGGGCCGTGGTCGTAGCGGCCGGCGTCGCCTTGGGGGCCGTGGTGGTAGCTGCAGGGGTGGCCTTCGGGGCCGTGGTAGTCGCCGCGGGCGTGGCGGTGGGGGCCGTAGTGGTGGCGGCCGGCGTTGCCACGGGGGCGCTGGTGGTGGGGGCGGGCGTGGGCTTCTCCCCGCAGTTGTAGAGCGGGCGCAGCTCCGTGGTCTGCACGAACCAGCTCTCGTCGTAGTCCTCGTTGCCGTCGAAGGAGCCCGAGCCGTCCAGGTCCACGGTGTCCTCTCCGCTGTAGTCCCACGTCTCGCACTCGCTCTTCTGCTCCACGACGCCGTCGCAGCCCACGGTGGGCAGCACGCAGCCCCAGGTGTCTCCGTTCACGAGCTGGCACACGGCGTCCTCGAGCGCCACGCAGCTGCCGTCCTTGTACGAGGGCAGGTACGCGTGGCAGTCGGCCACGGCCACGTCGCCCGCCTTGGGGCAGCTGAAGCCCGCGGGCGTCGAGCCCGAGCCGGCGCACAGCGACGACGCGTCCACGGACAGCGAGTACGTGGCGTCGCGGCACACGCTCACGTCGACGGTGGCGCTGGCGGAGGCGCTCAGCGCCGCGAGCAGCAGCACGGGCAGCGCGCGCATCATGTTGGGCTGAGTGTGCGTCTGTGAGGAGGCTAGTTTGGATCAAATGTAAAGTACCGCGCAAGTTTCGCGTGCGGGTAACTGGCCAAAAGCGAGAATGGCGAGCTGTTGTGAACTGGCGGCTGGACATGGGATAGTCGGACCGCTCGTTGCGTGGCGATCGCCACCTGTACCACTGTGCTGCAAAAAGTGGCGACTAGGAAGCGGAAAAGAACGATAAGATTAAGCAGGATAATGCGTCCATGTCTTGTTGTTTGTATTGAAAAGGCTAGAATGGTGGAATCGGATTGGATAGGGTATTAATTCAGGCCGTTGTGAGCCGGCGGCAAATTTTGGGCGCAGGTGATTGATTGGGTGGCCGGACGCAATTTTTGCGTTGAGTGATTATCACGGTGGAAATCAACGCGACAGCTGGGCGCCGGTGGGCGCCACGAGAGCGGGCAGGCGGGTTTGCACCGGCAGCGTTGCGCCTGCAAGTGCCTGCAGGCAGCACTCGGCAACGGAGCCAGCGCCGGCGGACACCGAGCCGAAACCATGTTCGTCTGCGATCGTCCATCAAAACGCCAGAGTGGATTTCTGACAGAAACCGGGCGCCACACAGTACATGAGGACCCGTCTGATATTGACCTATTCTCATACTGTTTCCCATTTCTAAAGTAAATGGGCTCTAAATTATGAAGATGGGTCCGCGCTGGATTTTATGGGCTCCTGCTTTCCCGGGCTGAGCTGGTCGGCGGTGAAAGGCATCCTGGGCGGCGGCGGCGGCTTCCGCGTGTCCTCGATGGAGTTCTTTCGCCCAGAACACCGGTGGTCCCCCGCAGGTTCTGTTCGACCACACGCACAATCCGCGAGCGCCGCGGCGCTGACGTTGGCGGAACCATTGACCTTCTCGATGCTACGTTTTGCGATGCGACCAATGAGTTCCGACCTGCAGCGCCGGGGTCATTTGTTGATGCTGGAGCGCGGGATTCCAGCTCGAACGGCGCCGCCAAACGGAGCAGATATGCTGGCTCAATCGTTGCAAATGCTTCGTTCTGAAGGCGTATACGGACTCGCGTGTTTTGATAGCTGTGCACCCCAAAATAAATGGGCTCTCTGTGACAAGGCAGGTCGTAAGATATCCACCTTTTGTATTCAGCTCTTTTCGATGGTGTCCGCCAAGAATCGACCGCGCGCCGGCAAATGGCCCTGCCAAAGTGGCAGCCCATCGGGGCTTCAACCGAATGGTGTCGTTCCGGGCTTCCACACGACACCATGCCGTATGTCGCTACCGTTGCTTCGATACACACCACGTCGCAGAATCACTTTACAGCCTTCGAGAAGACCAAAACGGCAGCCAGGAACGGGTGCTTGCGGTCGGAATGCTGCATCCATCGAGTTTGTCCTACGGGAATGGATTCCTAGCGCATGGACCGCTGTGTTTCAAAGTGTGAACACAAGAGAACGAAGCTGTTGAAACATTACGACATTTAGCACTTCGTCACTGCCGAGGTATATGTGTACATCCTGATCAATCGTCACTAATTGCAACCACGGTCTCGGACGCATCTGCAGTCTCCTCGCTCGCCTTGTCGTCCTCAGCAGCCTTCGTGTCCTCAGCAGTAGACGACTTGATGCCCTCCGTCGTCCCAGCTGAAGCTCCTGCTGTGGTTGTCGCCGTTGGTGTCGTCTTTGGCGTCTTGGCCTTCGAACTTGCAGCTGTGGGCGTCGTGGCCATCTTCCCCGTCACCACCGCAGGCGTCGGAGGCACAGCCATGGCCACATCTTCAGCCTCATCAGCAGAGTCCGCATCACTCTTTTCCTCTTCATCCTCAGACTCGTCAGCATCCTCTTCGTCTTCCTCGCCCTCCTCCTCCACTGCCTCCATCGTGCGCCTCTTCCTTGCGAATGCAATCGCGACTGCAGCCACAACGACAGCAACAAAAGCTGCCACCGCAGCGATCACGGCCACGACCTCGTCGCTGAGCCCTCCGAACCCGGCAGCGTCCGTAGCGGCAAACTTCACCGAGGTGGTTGACTTTCCAGAGAAAGCCTCCTCATCTCCGACATTCGCGTCACCGTTTCCGTCGGGCATAGTCTCGCCGGTCCCGTCCTGTGTAGTCACTTCACCGTCAGTCTCGGCGCTCGACGACCCGCCCCACCCAGGACCTGTCGGCGTCTGTGTCGGCGTCGGTGGCTGCGGCACCGTGCCACTGACCGTAGTCGCCGGTGCCGACGTGGTGGTCGGAGTTGGCGTCTGCGTCTCGGTCTGCGTGGCATCTGTAGTTGCCGGTGCGGGCGTAGACGTCGGGGCGTCCGTCTCCGCCACTTCGCCATTATCCTCCGTCGACGGCGTCAGTGTGTTCGGCGTCTCCGTCTCGTTATCCTCCGTGCCATACGACGTCACCGTGGTCGGGGTCGGCGCCTCCGTCGTCTCCGTCTCCGTGTCGTTGCCCTCCGTAGCCGCTGGCGTCGCAGTCGGTTCCGGTGCAGCGGTCGTTGGAGCAGGCGTGGGCTTGTGGCCGCAGTCGTAGAGCTCCCGGAGCTGGGTCGTCTGCATGAACCAGCTCTCGTCGTAGTCCTCGTTGCCGTCAAACGACGCGGAGGCGTCCACCGAGTCGTCTCCGCTGTAGTCCCACGTCTCGCACTTGGGCTCCTCCACCTCGGGGGCGGCGTCGTTGCAGCCCACGGACGGCAGCACGCAGCCCCACGTGTCGCCGTTCACCACCTGACACACGGCGTCCTCGGGCGCCACGCAGCTCCCGCTCTGGAACGACGCGAGCGTCGAGAGGCAGTTGGCCACGGCCACGTCGCCCGCCTTGGGGCAGCTCCAGCCCGCGGGCTCCGCGCCCGCGCCGGCGCACAGCGTCGCGGCGTCCGCCGAGATCTCGTACGTGGCGTCGCGGCACACGCTCACCTGCACGGCGGCGGCGCGGGAGGCGCCCAGCGCCGCGACGAACAGCGAGAGGCGAAGCGGCGGCATGTTCTCCAGGATCGGTCGGTCGTCGAGGAATGGCAACTGGGTGCGGATATGCCATGGCGGCAGCTGCCTGATATTTTTTCGGCTTTAACAGGGTCTGCGCGGTGATTGGCTGCAAATCAGCTGGCCGGCTTCAACTTGACAAGCCTATGGTGACCTTCCAGCAGAGGCTCCGGTGCTACGCGACGAGTTCGCTGCAGCTTCAGCAGTAGTGGGCACAATTGGGCTCGTTTTAGTAGAATCGACTGGAAAGCTGCATCCGACCTTGGGCAGCTCTTCGGGACTTGGACCTTTGTCTTTTGCGGTCTCATTTCCGGTGACACCGATGGTGTCGGACCTTACGCTTTCGCTACTGGAGTCAAGCAGGTCGATTACATCTTATTGCTTCTGGAGTTCATCATCAGGCTGTGCGTTCGAGAGCACTGCGCATTTCCTCTTCTCGGCGATGAGTTGCGTCATTACTTGGGCCATGTACCCGCAGGCACGTCGCTGCTCGGTCCCAGTCGGTGGTTGATCTTTCGAGCTGGAAATCGCTGACTCAGTCGGCACAGACTCCTCGTTAGCTTTGATCTCAATGTCTTCACCTGGGTTCTTTTCAACATCGTCAGCCACAACCTCTTCGACCTGCGCCACCGCTTCATTCATCGCCTCAAGCGCCATCTCGAGCTCCTCCGCAGTCTGGTCCTGCAAGAATGCCATGTCACGCTGCCAGTTGGGGAACACGCGCTTCACGACAACTGGTACATCGTCATTGACACTAGGAGTCCACCTAGAGGTGGCATCAACACTCTCAGAAGCGGACACGGTTTCTGCTCTAGCCTCCGAGTCAATTTCGCGCTCGAGCTCTGCATCTTCGTCGTCGTTATCAGCGCTGTCGACGTTACCCAAGTCAAAGCTATCGTCGTTCACATCGTCATGATCGTCAAGAAATGTCCGCAGCACGCTGTTGCGGTACAGCAGCGTATCGCGCTGCAGACCAAAAAGCTGCTGGGAAGCGCGTGCCCACATGGAAATCGCAGCCACCGCCGCTAATTCAGCTTGCTTGTCTTCGTCAAAATCCATAGCATCTTCAGCCTCGCTCCACTTACTCGGAGCATACCGCTTCGCCACGACGGAACCACCTTCTGCCTCTTTGTCGCTTGTATATCGATGTACTGGGTGCGCCTCCCGGTCGCCTGGGAATATCGCATCTAACGCTGCCTTCAGATCCAGGAATTTTGTCACCTTGCCTGGAGGGAGCACTTGGGACTTCCGTAGTTTTTCCTTCGCCCTCTCCAATCTATTCAACGTTTTCACGAGGTTCACTCTCCTTTTAGCAAGTTTCGCCATTTGAGCGTCGAGCTCCTCCAGTTTCTTCTTCGTCGCTTTAAGCTGCATGTCCGTCTGCTGTTCCTTATTCATCTTCGGATTGCCATTCAGCGCCAGAGCTAGCTCTATACTTTCTCCAGCATTAGCTCGCTTTCTCTTTCTGGGCTTTCTTGGCTTGGGTACAGCGGCAGCGTCGTCGCCTGCACCATCTCCTGCCTTCGGCTTTCTCGGTTTCTTGGCCCGGATGGCACCGCCTGCAGCATTCGCACGCTTCCGTGACTTCGGCTTTACTTCTTCCGCACTTGTAGCTTTGACCGCAACTCGACCGCCTAGACACTCGTTAAGGTGCGCTTGCTGCTCGAGCAGATCCAACAGTCCGATCGTCGCTTTGCACACGGTACACGTCGCTTCCTCGGGCGTAGATTCATCCACACCTCCAGTTCTGCATTTAACTTCCTTATCACCCTTCGACTTCTTTTTCAAACTTGATTCAACGTCGTCCTTCTTGCTCTCCTCCTCGTCATCACTACCCACCACGCTATTGAGCGGTTTGGGCACCAAGTCGTCATACGCAGGCTCTGTATCAGGTTGATCAGCACGATTGTCAGTATCGCCCGGTCCAGCAGCAGAAGCCGAGGCCGAAGCTGACGCAGAGACGGAAGCTGAAGCTGAAGCAGCAGCAGACTCCTCTCTCTCCTCCGCTGACTCGTCGTCCAGCACAATCACCACGGGCGCTGCTGCAGGTTGAGCCACTGAGGAGGAAGCACTTGACGTTAGTACAGAGCCACTCGCAGGTGCAATAGCAGAACTAGCATTAACACTAGCAGTATCAACTTCTCCGTCCTCCCCACACTGCGAGCCGTGCACAACCTTCACGAACCGCAGGCTGGTCCTGCCCACTGCCACCTGGTCTCCGTCACTCAGCGGATAGTCCTGCAGAGGCTTCAGCGGGCTGCCATTAAGTTTGGTCCCGTTCGTGCTCTTGACGTCGCGCAGCGCAACGCCCGTCCCGCTCTGTACGAGGCGGAATTCGGCGTGGACGCTCGACACCTCCAAGTCCTTGGGCAGACGCAGCCAGCAGCGCTTCTTCCGGCCAATGGACAGCGCGCGCGCAAGTGAAGACGGTGATGGGGCTGCGTGGTCTTTGTAGCAGTAGCGGTGCACGCTGCCGCTGTGCGGGCCCCGCGTGGCCTCCAGCCGCAAGCAGCACGGCGGAGACGCCGCCATCCGCGTCAAAATGTGCAGTCAAAAAAGTCAAATGTTGCACTTACCAATAGAAAGGCGGGAAACTTGGAAATTCAGATTAGAAACGTTTCTTACATTAGATACGCATTCACTCCGGTTGAAGTTGACCTTCACTCCACATCGACAAGCGTAGTGACACGTCACTGTTCCGCGTTTTGGCTCGCACAACGCGGCGATATTTCGGGTCAGACAAGAGGGAGGGACCTTTTCGAGGACGCGAAATCCGTTGTAGCAGCGCGGCACCCGCCCCCCATCGTGCCATTGCGCCTCCGACAGTCTACACCCGAGCAGCAGGAACCCGTGAACAATGGCGGCGGAAGCGGAGGCGGCGCTCAACGCGCTCAAGAAGCTCGAGGCCAACAAAACGTGCGTCAACTGCGGCAACTACAACCGCTTCGGGCACCAGAACATCTGCGAGAAGGTGCGCACGTTCGTGTGCTCCAACTGCAAGAGCGCGCACCAGAGCTACAGCATGCGCGTCAAGAGCGTGAGCATGAGCAACTGGACCATGGACGAGGTGGACGCCCTGCGCGAGCAGAACGGCGGCGGCAACGCGGCGGCCGCGCGCGTTTGGCTCGGCCGCTGGGACGAGGGCCAGATGCGCAAGCCCACCAAGGACGACCCGCTCGACTACTACAAGCAGTTCATCAACCACGTGTACAACGACAAGGCCTTCTACGACGAGGACGGCGCCAGCGCCCCCGTGTCCAGCAGCCCCACGGCCAAGAGCAGCAGCAGTCGCTCGGCTGCAGCTGCAACTGCGGCGGCGGCGGCTCCGGTCACCAACTTGCTGGACTTTGACGCCCCGGCACAGCAAAAGTCGGCGTCGGCCAGCTTCGACGCCTTTGGAGCTGGCAGCAGCGCTGGAAACGATGGGTGGGGCAACTTCGCTACCGCTGCTCCCGCTCCGGCGTCTGGTAATGACGGCTTTGGAGCCTTTGCGTCGGCTCCGGCCCCGACTGCATCGAGCAACGATGGATTTGCAGACTTCAGTGCTGCACCGGCACCTGCTAGTCCGGATGCCTTTGGCGCGTTTACCTCGGCCCCTCCTGCTCCGGCGTCGAATTCGAGCGCCAACTCGTTCGACCCATTCGCTGTTTCCGGAGGAAGCGCTATGCCCGCGTCTAATGGAGCGGCGCCATTTGACCCCTTCGCTCCTGCGCCGACGGCCCAGAGTCAGCAGCCGAACAGTAACATCATGAACCAGTTCAATGCGGCGCCGGCGCCCAAGGACTTCAGCGTGTTCGACGGACTGTCGGCACCGTCGCTGGCGTACGGCACTCCTCAGCGCAACAACAATGGATACGGCCAGGCGCGTGGTCCTAGTGCTGGAATGGGAATGCAAGGCCAAGGTCAGCCGCAGATGCACATGGGAATGGGGATGCAGCAAGGTATGGGAATGCAGCAAGGCTTCGGTATGCCGCAGCAGCAGCAGTATGGAGGTTTCCAACCACAGCAGCAGTATGGAGGTTTCCAACCACAGCAGCAGTATCAGCAGCAGCCGACGATGGGCGGTGCCAATACTGGCGCGAACATTAGCACGTACTTTTCGCCGAACGGAGTCACCGCAGGCGGCAACCCCGGCGCACGCTCAAACGGAAGAGATCCGTTCGCCGGCCTAGGACTGCCGCAGTAGGCTGGAAGTAGTAGAAAATGGTACCTAATGCAAATAGCTAACATGAACGCACACATGCGATTGAAGCATGTGTAGTTGCACCGTATCACTGTCATCTCGACAAAAAGATACTTCTTGGTAAGATGACCCAAGCGCTGAAGGGTCCAAGATGCCATCAACACAAGAGGCCCGAGCATCAAAAACAAAAGTCACGTGAGATTATAGCGCAGCTCTGTCTGCTCTCCTCTCTCCATCGTATGCTGCCACGCCGTTAAACACAATTAAGCCAGCCAGACGACTACTCGCGGAGTCAAAACGGGGCGATTCGACCCTCTCTCTCTTCGTCGTCCTCTTGGGGGTTTACGTGGCCACGGCCGTGGCAGCGACGCCGTTGCCGTTGGCCGTCGCGGTCGCGCTGGCCGCCTTGCCGCCTTGCGCGATGGCGGGCTTGGCCTGCGCCGGCACGAGTCTCTTGATCACGGCGGAGCTGGCGGCGCCGAACATGGGGCGGAACTGCGCGTAGAAGAAGGCGACGAACGGCACGTTGGCCAGCACCGAGTAGAAGTCGTAGTGGTCCGTGTGCGACGCGATGCGGCCGTTCTTGAGCTCGAGCACCGAGAAGACGCGCAGCACGATCTTCATGAAGCTCGGGAAGGGCTTGAGGCGGAAGACCTGCGAGCTGTCGATCGTCAGCACCGTGGCGCCCGCCATGGAGCCGCGCACGAGCGTGGCCTTGGACGCCTTGACGAACTTGGACAGCACGCGGAACTGCGCCTGGATGTTGTCCACGCCGCGCACCGACACGAGCGGGTCCGTGAACACGGCGTCGGACAGGTAGTACTTGGCGATGGTGGCGTCGCGGCTGGCGCTCACGTCGTACAGCGACAGCACGTTCTCCGCCAGCTCCTGCGCGGTGCGGTTAGCCATCGTCTAATGCTGTGCTTGGGGCCTTGGTCTAAACTGTTCCAGAAGGGGTTGGGAATGGCAGGCAGGAAACTGCGGCCTGATTCCTGTTCCGCCCTTACTCCGATGCTCCAATACACTTGTGAAGACTAGAGTGTCAGCGGCGCAGTTCGTGTCAACGGGGCCTTCTTCGTACCATGTTTGTGGTACAGAGGAGAGAAAGCTGTAGCCATGTTGTCACCGAGTTGAAGTGGATGACGACGCACGTGGCCAGGAGCAGGTAGATGCCCGAGGAAATGTGCACGTTGACGAGCGCGACGGCCGCCATGAACACGGCGAGGAAGGCGTCGTCCTGGTTGAAGCGCTCGAAGTCGATGCCGCGTCGGATCTCGAGCGCGCACGCGATGAAGTCCGTGACGACTTTCAAGGCCGAGCTGCAGCCCCGTGATGGCTACATTCGTGCCCTGACTGGTATTACTGCTGCTGCTGCTGCTGTTGCTGATGTGGTACTTCGGGTGCGAGCCGAAGAAGAAGAGGATGCCGTATGAGCAGCCCATGGCGATGTACTCGGCGTACATGTCGGCGTACACTTCGTCGGCGTGCAGGGACAGCAGCCTATGAACGCGGTCTTGAATCGGATCAATTATACGCAGCGAAGACGTGGTGCGGAGAGGCGCCACGTGGATATGTGAGACTTTGGTCGTTCCTGGCGTGGGGATAACAACCGACGCAGGCTGCTGAGCTGTAACTCGACGCACATGCCACCACACGTGCGCTGTCTTGGATCACTTCCGCCAGAGCGAGCAGAAACGACCCCACGACCGTCATGGACGCGTTGTCTTGGCACAGCAGCACCGTCCGCAGCTGAGGGTCGATCAGAATCGTAGGGGCCGCTACAGTGATGGCCATCATGCGCATGTTGGGCGTCCGTCTCTTCTTCACCATGAAGTTCTTGGCCAGCTCCTGCAGTAAAAGTTTGAGGGAGACGCTGCACACTGCGAAGAGCGCCAAGTCCCATTGCGTGGCGATCTCGACGCTGCTGACGATGTGCACGTATGCGGTCGTGAAGAGCGCGGACGCCATGAGAGGTAAATCGTTGAGAAGCACGCGAAGAAACCTCCGCCGGTGAGGCGACGACGGCTTTTTGCGCGGATTCTTTTCGGATTGACGGCGTTGGTATGCTGGCGCGTTCGCACTTGGCCGCGCGTGGTCTCCGTCCGAAACAAATAGCGAGACTGGACGTCCGTGCAGCCGACGAACACGTAAAAGCACAAGTGCGTGAAGTACACGCTCACTTTGGAGCTGTCCTCCAGCCAGCGAGACAGCAAGATACAGCCGGCTACGACACATAACGCGACAATTACACAGTACGGGAGTGTAAGCCGGGCGAATCTCCTCACCCAGTAGCGAAGAGGTGAGCGGGTGTTGATGAAGCCCGCGAGCTGCTCGGTAAGCAGCAACGATATGAATATCGCGATGGTCACGACACAGGAGAAAAGGTGAAACCATAACATCTTGGCCACGAGGAATTCCTCATCCGATTGCTGCCGCGGGGTGCGACCCGAGAAGATATCGCCGACCGTACAGCAGAACGCGAATACCCAGGCGATCGTCGTACTGAGGAGGGAGTTCTGAAGGATCTTACGAAGTGTCCGGGCTGTGCGGGTGACGATTAAACCTGGTGTATCGCTCTCTGGGTTCTGTGCGGTGGGGATCGCTGCGCGCACGAGGTTAACTGAAGCCATTGGCCGCGCTAGTGAGTCTGCTTGGGCTTCTCTTCAGAAGGGTGAAACATCAGCTTCGTTGGCGCTCGGACTACCGGTAGCCTTGGGCAGACACAAGTACCATCAAACGAATGCGAAAGTCGACACCCTGTTCCTATTAAAGCTAATGTCGTCCAACTAAGCTCGTTGTTATTTTGAATGACGCTACGCCGCGCAGCTGCACACGGAGAGCTATCTCCACGATGAGTAAAATGCTGTGGGTCTCAGTAATCAGTGGAGTGGCCGCTTGGCTGTTGGCTTTTGGCGTTGCCCAGGGGAACGTACTATCAGGACGCTCACCAGAGCAGCAGTCCTACACCGAGTTTCTCGTGGTCAAGATTCTGTGGTTTGAAGCGCTCTTTTGGGCCTTTACGATTGCTGCGTCCGTGCGCCGACTTCTCCCCGAGCGAATTGTCTCGCACCCGAAACAAACCAAACTCTCGGCCGTGCAGATCTTTTGGAGAATAGCACGGAAAGTGTTGCCATACGGCGTTGGAGTGATTCTTGCGAGTGTTGGCGGAGCGGTTGAGCTCAGGGGATCGAAAGCTGACCTGTACTGGACATTGAGTTGCTGCACATTCTTCGTGGTGTCGGCGGACACACACACTCGCCACATCTTCCGGAGCGATACACTGAAAGGAAAAGCACGGGAATTGCAGCGGATGTTGCAAATTCAATGCAACACTGGGACGCCGATGCTGCCTGCTCCACACCGTTCAGTATCGCGAACTGACTTCGTTCGAGTGCTCCGGCAAACGATGCCCTTGCTCGTTGTTGCGTTATTTTCCGCGAGCTATGTAGTTTCATTCAGATTGTCACTGAGCGGCAATTAGCTACGTTTGCAGCCTGCAGTTTCCTGATAAAGCTGCTCACCCAAGAGGTAGCAAAGTTGTACTTAAGCAAGCAGAGTAGACCGCCGACGATGCGTTCTATGGTAATTATCGTAGCAACACCAACGATCATGGTCGATACTCAGTTGCGGACGGTGTTGATGTGTCAGGACAGCGCGTCGTTGAAGCTCGTTGGGTCGGTCCTGCTGGCAGTGGGCGAGGTCGCATTTAGAGTAGCGAAAACGCTGTTCGTGACACGAAAGGCACGCCGCATTCTGCCCAAGAATCAAAGTCTTCGGGCGTCGATGACGATTCAATCTCAAAACGCTGCTACCCCCCAAGAGGGCGACGTTGGCGGTGCGTCTCCAAGCTTAGAAGATGTGCTTGAGCCTACGAAGTCGTGGCTTTTCACTCCGCCGAGACGTATGCAGATATGAGCGCAGAGTACATCGCTATGGGCTGATCCTACGCAATTCTCGTTCTCTTTGGCTCGCACCCGAAGTTCAAGCTGAACTGCCACGGAGAGTCAACTTCACATGCATTGCAAGCTGCAACGATTCTCACGCAGGTGGGGGTCGAAATCGTGGTTGATTTCGTGGCGAGTGTACTCGAAATCCGACGTGGAGTGAGCTTTGACCGCATCAATGCGGATAGTGCCTACCTCGCGTTCTTCTCGGCGGTTGTCGCGGTTGCCAATATCCACATCTCCGCTATCTACCTAAATCCTACTACAAAGTGATGAGAGCTGTTGATATAAATTTCACAAAAAATGCAAGTGGTGTCAAAGTCTACAACAAGAAATCCAAAAGATTTATAAATTTAATGCGGGCACCTGGCTTGCGCGGGTGAAACTCAATATAGTCATGACTGGCATCACTGCCCGTGCCTTCGTCGCGTTCAGTTCTTGCCATTGAGTGTTGCGCTTGTGTTAACCTTCGAATGCAGAGATGTTTTTAGTACATGCAGTGAAGTATCGAGTACAGAATTCCACCGGTTTCGTATTTCGGGATCAAGTCCACGATCATTTAGAATCAACTATCACGACTTGCTTTGTTCGTCCAACGATCAAGCAATGATGAATGCAAAACTACAGACTTGTCTATACAAATACTCCTCATTATTCTACGTCATTAAATACGCATATAAACACCAGAAGCGATGTGGATGTTGACAACTGCGACGAGGACCATGAAAATGGCCAGGAAGGCGTCGTCCTTGTGTAACTTCTCAAAATGTACACCAAATCGGATCTCCATCGGGATGGCAATAACATCCGCAACCACCTCGATACCCATTTGCACCAGTACAGTAGTGACCTCAAAACTGTGGGTTGTGCTGGTCGAAGCGTTCCCCCCCAGCAGAAACCTTGGATTTGAGCCGAAGCAGATGATGATAACGTACGCACAGCACATCGCGATGAATTCCCCATGCATGTCAGCGTAAACTTCGGCGGCGTGGAGTGCAGTGAGCTTCTGGACTCGAGCTACGCCCTCCAGTTCCGGCGATGACAGAGACCCTGTACTCACCACCAGAGATTGAGCGCGAAGCGTTTCAACCAAACCATCGTCAGAATTCATCTTAACCCGTGGGAGGGGGTACTTGGCCTACGTTTTACGGACCCGATGCCGCATCATTAGTCCAGTTACAAGCCGCAGTCCCATCTTGGCTATGGCGAGTAAAACGGAGCCGGCCAGCGTCAAAGATTTACTGTCCAGACACAAAATCACTGTTCGTAGCTGGGTGTCGACCAAAATTGTGGGAGCTGCCATAATGATCGCCATCGTACGGAGTGAAGGGGTCCGCTTTCGCCTCCCTAGGTACAACTTTGCAGCCGCCTGGATCAAGAACTTGAGCGTTTGGCTGCACATGGCGAACACTACGAGCTGCCACTTCTCCCTCATTTCAATTGAGCTGGCCACGTGCACGAAAGCTCCTGCGGATAGCCCAGAGACGACCAGCGCCAAGTTTTGATTAAATACTCGGAGGAACTGAGTCAACGAAGGAGACCGACGTGGAGAAGGTGCCGCTGTAGTGAGTTGTCGCGCCCGTCGACTCTGACGCAGCGCCTTCGTCTGCCCATTAACAGTCTCTACCTTAAAAATGTAGCGCGTGTGAGTATCGGTGACGGTCAGGATGAAGTTGTAGCACATCATGGGCCAGTACACGTCGGCCTTGAGCGTGTCGTGCGTGAAATGGTGCGATGCGATAGCAATGCCGACTCCGATACTCATAGTGGTGACGATAACTATATGGACGAACATGGCTCGCACCAACTTGATCAAGATCTGGACAGTTGACAGTTGAGTAGGCGCTGAGCCGGTAGTGAACGTCTCGGGCAGTAACTTTGCCACACATTCGGCGATCGTGAAGATCCAGGCGAAGACCCAGAACCAAATCATCTTGGCCGTGAGGAATTCGCTGTGCGGTTGCTCGATCGGCGCAACGGAAGAGAAAACATTCCCCTGGTCGATGAGAAACGCCAGCAAGCACGAGATCGAAGCGCTGAGCAGCGAGTTGCTCAGTACGGTGCCAAGGATTCGGATGGTTCTCCACGCGACTGCAGATGCTTTGGGGAATACTCGCTCCACCCACGCCACATCCTGCTGCTTTGAGCCGTCACTATCCAAATCTGAGCCGGGGGAAACTTGGTGCCGTGAAGCCCACACCATCGCGCACGTGAGATTTCGCTGGTCCTGGGCGGCGATGTCCGCCTGATGTTGAAGCAGTTCTCGCCAGATCGCCACGTTTGACGCGTAGCCACGAGCGAGAACATGCAGCAGCGTCTCCTGCTGATTGTTGCGGACGCGGGCGTCGGCTCCGTGGGCAAGCAGCAGCTTCACAACCGAGTCGTATTCATTGCGCACGGCGCCAAACAACGCCGAGTCGCCGTCGTCATTCACCGCGTTCACCTCAGCTCCGTGCTGTAGCAACAGCCCAACCACTGCAAGTTGCGTCTTCTCATCGCCAGACGCGAAATGGGGCGCTGCGCTTTGGCTCACGAACGCTGCGTCGATCAGCGGCGTGTCCCCACGTCGGCGAGGCCTCCGATGCATTCCGAGCGTTCACATCTGCCCCAGCAGCAAGGAGGAACTCTACAACTGGCAGTGCGCAGTACGCCGCGGCCAGATGCAGGGGCGAGTTGCCATCAGCATCGCGCGCCTCAATGTCCGCTCCTCTGCCAAGCAGCCACTGCACTGCGTCTAACGCTCCAAACGTGGCCAGCACGTGCATCGAAGTCTGCAGCGCTGCGTTCCCATTGTCGACGTCGCATCCGTACGTGGCCAGCATGTCCGCAGCTTGGAAGTGTCGGCCGATCAGCGCGGTCGTCAAGGGTGAGGCCCCGCAGTCGTCCACAGCGTCCAACGGGGCTCCACTTTCCAGCACAAACTCGAGCAGCTCCAGGTCTTCCGCCAGGACGGCGAAGTGCGTCACGGATCGCTGGTGCTTGTCTCGGAACGCAGCGAGTTGGGCCGCGGGGAACTCGCACTGCAACTTGACCATCCCGTCGCTGGCCGCGTGAACCAGACGAGCCCAGAGCGATTTGTCACTCGTAGACACTCGGGCCGTCGGGGACCCGCCCATAAAGTCGGCAAAGAGGTGAGGATCCATTGTTTCGCTTTCACTTTAGTGGAGACTTTCGCTACTGAGCGGTCCCTGCTTGAGGTTCGCCATGAGCTCGCTCGACTATGCGTTGGACAAGTGCGTGTCTCTGGATTTTTACTCGAACGGGAACAACTGACTGATTAGTGCCGCGTGCAGGGCAACTTCAGCTTTCGAGTGAAGTTTACCACTGCAACGACGGTCGTCGCCAGGCGTAAGCTTCAAGGATGACTCCTCGCTGCCGTAAACGCCCTGGCTCACCGCTAGCAGCTCCTTGCTAGCGGCGCCGGCGTCTCGGGCTCGATGTCGCGCTCGCTGTGCTTGGAGTCGGCGAAGGACGTCGCGTTCTTGGTGACGAGGCCGGCGAACAAGTCCTCAGTCGGCTCGGAGGCTGCTTGGTCCGGTTCATCGTCGTCGTCCTCTTCGTCGACGGCGTCTTCGCACTCTTCAGCTGCTGGACGATGTCCTGGCGGCTGTGCCCCAGCGTCGCTGCTAACTCCACTCGCTTGGGAACTGTCGCTGGGCGGGCGCTCGATCTCGGGCATGCGCGGCTTCAACCGATACGCCTTGCTCTGCGGAGGCTCCTTCTCCTCCTTCTTTGGCTTCGTCTTGTTCTCGTTCTCCTTGCCCCAGCTCTCGCCGACCTGCCGCATGCTCTTCCTGCCGGCCGTTTGGTGTTGCCTCCAGCGTGAGACGGAGCTCGCCTCACTGCTGCTGGACGATCGCCCAGCCCCGCGGCCGGCAGAGCTTCTCTCGTCCTTCTTGTGGATGACGTGTCGGCCGTTGCTGCAGAGATCCTGCAGGTCCGCCAGCTTCAACGGGGCCTTCTTCAGCTCCGTCGTCAGCTTCAGCTCGACCGCAGCTACCAGTCTGTCCACGACCGTCATGGAGCAAGTGCCGGCATCTCGCATCCAGAGGTTGACCGCCACTTCCTCGCAGAAAAGCTCCTCGAACGTCAAGAAGGCGAGCGCGAAGAGCTGGAAGAAGCCGTCGTCCCGCTCAAAGAGCTGCCAGAAGAGCTCGTCCGTGACGGGGAACGGCCCCGGATTCCCGCTCGTGTCCATCAGGTGCGTTGTCAAGCTCAAGGAGCGTACGATGGCCACCGCGGCCTTGGCGAACGGATAACCGCCCCGACCGCGCCGCATCATGGCCGTCTCGGCCGGGTACGTCTCGACGAAGAACACGAGGCACTGCAGCCCTAACTCGCCCATGGGGTTCAGGTCGGCGGCCGGATTCGGGTCCGAGAAGCCCGCCTCCGTCCACAGGTCGCTCACCAGCACGAAGCCCGGCATTTGGTCTCTGCGACGGAAGCTCGCTGTCCAGTATCGCTGCAGCAGTTGCAGGTGCTGCAGTATAATGCAAAGGTGGTTAGCCGGGTGAGGTGATAGTTGGTTGTTCGTGCTTGAACGTGCGCACCTCCGGAGACGCCACGAGGCGGCGGAACAGCGCGCGCTGCATCTTGAACAGCACGAGCATCTCCTTGTCGTTGGGCCTGCGGCCCCGCTCGGCCTGGCTCAGTTCTCGTCCGGCGGCGTTCCCCATTAGCGCGTCGACGTGTGAGTGCAAGTATGGATAGAGGAATGCGACCAAAGATCCGCGGTTGTGTTGAGTTGGTTGGCATCCGTCCCTTCGGACGAGACCTTCCGGGGATTAGATCCGCTGATCCGACCCCTTCAACTACGCTAAATGAGAGACTACTAGAGCTAACGGAGCTACGACGCCGCTGGCCTAGGCCATGTCCTTGAGCTCGAACGTGATGAACTTCTTGGTCTGCAGGCGGTCCGCCAGCTTGTGGCCGAAGGCGCTGGCCGGCGTGTAGAAGCCACCTGGGAGACTCGACGCGTCGCCGAACTCGCCCTTGGTCAGGCAGAACGCGCACTCCGAGATGAGGCGCGACGTGAGGCGGTAGCCCGGGTCGCCCGAGCCCACCGTCTTGGCCTTGACGGCCAGCTTGCCGTCGTCCGAGTAGCCCGCGGCCTCGGCGATGAAGTAGCCCTTCAGCATGGACTCCTCCGAGGGCCCCTGGCCGGGGGCAGGCGACAACCGCTTGACCAGCGCGCGCGTCCAGCTGAAGTACAGCATTGTGCTCGCCACGATCGTGCCGAACGTGGCCAGAAGCTGCATGAACAGGCCGCCGATGGCCATGCGCTCGCGGTACACGAACTTGCTGCCGTACTTGTCTTGCAGGCGGTGGTTGCTGCGGTGCACGACGGCCTGGTTCACAGAGCCGCCGATGAACAGCGAGTGCCAGAAGCCCATGACCTTGTCATAGCGTACAGCGACGCCGCTCGTGTTGGGCCCGACGAGGTTGGCCGCCTGCTTCTCGGCACGCGTCTTCTCGTCCGTGAGGAAGAACGGGTTGCGCGAGGCCAACAGCTGCTTGCTGGTGCAGGTCTCCATCATCGCGAACACCGAGGCCATCGTGCCACCGCTCGCCTCGCCCTTGAGGTCCGTGAAGTACAAGTCCACGGCGCTCGTGGCCGAGTTCAACTTGCTCTGGATGCGGTCGGCCACCAGGAACGTCGTCATGTCCGACGGGATGCTCTCGAAGCCGCAGCAGTTCACCAGCACGGCGCCCGACTTGGCCGCCGCGGCCGCGTACTTGCGCGTCATCTCCTCGATCCACACGATCTCGCCCGTCAGGTCGCAGTAGTGCACGCCGTGCTCGGCGCACGCCTTGACCAGCAGCTCGCCGTAGAGCTTGTAGGGCCCCACGAGCGACACCACCACCTTGGTCTGCTGCACCATCTGCACCAGCGACTGCTCGTCGCCGCTGTCCGCCACCACAGTGGGCAGCGCGTCCAGCAGCTCGGACGCCACCTCGGGGAGCTTGGCCTTGAGCTGCTCCTTCAGCTGCTGCAGCTTGGCCTCGTTGCGAGCTGCCACCGCCCACTTGAGCGCCGACGCGCTGCCCAGCGCCGACTCCGGCTCGGCCGCCAGGTAGCGCGCCACCAGCGAGCCCGTGAAGCCCGTGGCCCCGTACACGATCACGTCAAAGCGCTTGCTCATGCTCGGAAGGAACTCGAATGACGCACGATGCCAATGGATCCCTTTGCCTGTCAACTGTAAGCACACGTCATCGGAAGAGGTTTCGCCCAATGGGTGTGCAGTATTGCGACCGGGTTTTTTACTCCGAGGGTGATGGGCTGATGTTGACTCGACATTTGTATGGGACGTCAGCGGTACGACACCGGTACTTAGATCGGTTTCTGAAGTTGAAGTCGAAATGTGGACGTTGAGGGTGGCGATGCCGACCATGAAGAGCGCGAGGAACGTGTCGTCGCGGTTGAAGGTCTCGAAGTCCAAGCCCATGGATATCTCCAGCGAGATGGCCACAAAGTCCACGACAATCTCGATCCCCAGCTGCAGCGCGATCGTGGCAAGGTAGCCGTCGTTGATGAACGCGGCGGTCGCGTCGCTGCCGAGCTGGAACTTTGCGTTGGAGCCGAAGAAGTAGAGGATGCTGTACGAGGACCCCATGGCGATGTACTCGGCGCTCATGTCGGCGTACACCTCGGCCGTGTGGAGCGATAACAACTTTTGTGCCGGAGAGCTGGCTGGCGGCAGAGCGGATGTCGATGTGAGTGACTCTTTCTCTAGGCCGTCTCAATGCGGCTGGGCGTGTGACTTGGCGTCTGGGTGGCTTTGAGGAACCACGGCAACGACGTTACGTGGGCGTCGTGAGGATGTGCGTCGGAGCTGGCGCCTCACTTGTAGAGTCTTCGTTACTCTCAAAGAGATCTCAGCTGCCGCAAGCGCTACCGAGCTCACTAGAGTCGATGCCACATTGGAATGGCACAGCAACGTAGTCCGCAGTTGTGTGTCCACCAAGATCGTCGGCGCTGCAACGATGGCAGCCATTGAACGCATCGACGGAGTTGTTCTCAGCTTCTGCAGATACCGCTTTGCAAGCTCCTGGACAAGTATCTTGAGCACCAAACTACAAAGTCCAAGCAAGACAAACACCCACTTCGTTGTGATGGGGGCGTAGTTGACAAGGTGCACGTAAACCGCTGCCAGAAGCGCTGAAGCTACAAACGGCAGATTCTGGACAAAGGACCGCAGAAACTGAGAGCGCGAGGGTGGACGAGGTGAAGACAGTGATGACAATCTCGCGATCGCGGTCATATCCTTTTGCTGCTCCGCTTGGCGCAAACGTACAAGACTTTGCGTACGGCCTCTGACAGTCTGAAACCGGAAGATGTGGTTGGTGTACGTGCCCGTGAGGGCCATGATGAACGAGCAGCAAAACAGCGTCCAGTGCAAGTCGGCCTTAAATTTGCGAGTGAACAAGCAACCCCAACTCCACCGGCACCACTTAAAAGCATGACCGCGAGAGCGTAAGGAAGCATCGGTCGCAGCAGTTTAGAGTAGACCCGGAAGACTGAGAGAGAGGAGTCATGTGTGGTGAAAGTCTCTGGCAGCAGTCGAAGCGCCGACTGGGTCACTGTGAGAAACCAAAAGAAGACGTAAAACCACGTGATCTGGACCGCAACGAACTCTGCATACGACTGCTGTTCGGGGCTCAGTCCAGATACAGGGTTCCCCTTCGAGATGAGAAAAGCGAGCAGCCATGACACAGTGGCGTTCATGAGTGAGTTGCGCAGAATTTTACTCAGTGTCTGCACCACATTCCGCGCACGCTTAACAGTTTGGCGGTCTTGACCGTTGTCTCGTTGCTCTGGCTAAACGAAGTCTCTTGGTAGAGTTGAGGCATTATTCCAATCGGCGTGGACTAAGTCGGTGTCGGGGAACGATCACATTGTCATGACCACGCCTTGGAAGCAGGCAGCGAACTTCTTGAAATAGCGATCCATTATTATGTCACGGGTCTTCGTGACGCTGCGGTAGATGTTCTACCGTATTGTACGTCTCATCTCAATCAATGTTGCGCCACCATAGAGACAACCTCCCCGTACCGGTAACACTGCACAGGTAGGAGAAGCCGTGCGTCTGCTCAACAGCATATCAACATCATAATGCATGGTGCTAATACTCATCAACCGATATCCAAGTCGGCCCACAACCATCTTGCTTGTAGATTGTGCCGATTACAGCACGCCGGCCGTGCGCAGCATCTCCGTCAGCTTGCCGGACTGGAACAGCGCCTGCACATCCGTGCCGCCGCCGATCGACTCCTTCTTGATGAACACGTTGGGGACCGTACGCCGTCCTACAGCAACACCAGCGACAAATACAGCGTTGAAGTCAACTTCAACGAGCCCGAAATAGTTCCGCTACATATACATATAGTTGGTTGCCTTGCCCTACCGGTTGCAGTAGCCAGCGCGTTCTGAATATCGGCGCCCGTGGGCACGTCGTTCTTCAGATCCAGCTCCACGACGTGGTACTTGACCCCCGCTTCGTCCAGCACGCCCTTGGCCTAAGAATTGACGCATCGAAATAGCCTACGTTTTAGCACCCTTCTCTTTATCTTGAAGCTGCTAGATAGACAACAATGCGCCGCCGCACCAGGTTGCAGTACGGGCAGTAGCTCTTGCTGAAGATCGTGACGCCGTGCTCCGTCGTCACGCGGTCCACGAACTCCGCGGCCGCCGCCTCGTTCTCCCTGGAGCTCGCTGCCCCCATGCTGCAACAAATGAAAGTGTGGTGTGCGCCACATGGATGTACCTGATATTCGGTACGACCCGGCGGGTCGGCGGGTTCCCATACAAAGCGCAAGTCCAAACTGGTTCGACCCAGCAGCGCTCTTTTCATTGGTTGGCCCGACGCTTCTCGACGGTCACACCCCAAGCAGGCAAGGCATCCCCGAGGCCGCCCTCCAGCCAGCAGCGACCACAGCAGCAGCAGCATGGACGGCGACGACAGGGACTTCCTGCGCGAGTGGCTCATCCGCAACCTCGAGCCGGTGTACGCTATTATTTATGCATTGCTATTTATTTCTTGATGGACTCGGAATATTTATTTAAGTTTACTTTATTTTTCTCTCTTGCTGCTGCGAATCTGATTCCTGCAGATGCGACGCCGACCCGGAGGTGCTGAGCAAGTATGTGCTGGCGCTGGTGCAGAACGACCCGCAGAAGCCGGGACTGCAGGACACGTGCGTGTCCAAGCTCGAGGAGTTCCTCGGTGACGGTGCGTCAGTCAGTTTGAGCAGAATGAGGGGGGAACAGTGGAAAGCAATGTATTTACTTATGATTATTGCTGGTTATTTCTTCATTGCAGAGACGGCGGGCTTCGTGGCCAAACTGTTCAAGGCGCTGGCCGATGGCTCCTACAAGGCCTCGAACTCGAGTCGCGCCAACAGCGCGGCCCCCAGTGACGAGCAGCAGTTCCGGTCATCTAACGCATACGACGACGACTACTCGCGGCGGCGCGAGCGCACCCCCTCAGACGACGAGGAGGAGCAGCGGCGGTATAACAAGCGGCGTCGCGACGACGACCGCTCGAGGGACGGCGACTACAAGCGGCATCAGGGCAGTCCCCGGAGAGACCGACGTCAGCCCTACCCGTCGCGGGATATGCGCGGCGGACCAATGGGCGGACGTGGCCCGGCGCCGTATGGCATGGGCGGCGATCGCCGTAGGAATTTCCCTCCGGAGTGGGGCATGCCGCCGCAGGGAATGTGGCCGCCGCACTTCCCGCCCCCGCGCGGCGGGGCCTACCCGCCAGACTTCGACCCCAATGTGTATATGGGAGAGAACGGTGGCATGATGCCGCCTCCGCACATGATGATGCCCCACCCCATGGGCGGACGGGGCCAGTACTACCCTCCTGGAGGCCGAGGAGGCCGCGGTGGCCGCGGCAACTACTTCGGAGGCCGAGGCGGCAAGGACGGCGAGAATGGAGAGGCGACCACTGCGAAGACGACGCTCCACGTTCGACATGTGGACCCCAAGTACGTCAACATGACCGCGCTCAGCCTGCACTTTTCCAAGTTCGGCAACGTGGTGAACGTTCAGATGCGGCCGAGCGCTAAGTGTGCATTTGTTCAGTACGCGACCGAGGAGGAGGCGAAGAAGGCGTTCCACTCGCCTCTGCCTGTGTGCAACAACCGCTTTATCTCTGTAAAATGGGCAAGGCACGACGCGCAGGGTCCGGAGGAAGCTGCAGATCATCAGTCCGAGGGCGCCTCGAAAGAAGAGTCTGGAGAGGACAGCGTGCCTGCTAGCGGTGAATCGGCTGAAAAGAATGCGGACGGTGCTAGCGCAGAAGGAGAAGCACCCGCCGTGCTGCCCGAGCACAATATGACCGCTGAGGAGCTGCGTGCAGCAGCATTAGAGAAGGGCCGCAAGGTGCTGGAGCAGAAGCGCGAGTTGCTCGAGAAGCAGCGCGCGCTCAAGAAGCAGAAGGAGGCACTGATCAAGCGGCAACTGGCCCAGCAGAAGGAGCTGCTGGAGCGCATGAGCACCAACAGCTCCCAGTTCTCCGTAGCGGAGAAGCGCGACCTGCTGAACAAGATCACAGCGTTGTCTGCAGAGCTCAAGGCGCTGACCCCGCGCCACTCGGCCATCTCGCCGACTGCGGCGACGCGGCCAGCGGAGGAAGGCGAGGGCGGCGAGAACCTGAACGGACTCAAGGCGGAGCTCAGCGCGTTGGAGGCCGAGGCATCCGGCGGTCGAGGAGGTCGCGGTGGCCGGTGGTCTGCTGGTCGCGGCTACAGAGGAGGCCGTGGCGGCCGTGGACGCGGAGGCTTCGGCCGCGGCTCGCACACGCTGGACAACCGCACCACGATCGTGAAGGTGGCGAACCTGCCGGAGGAGGCGCGCGACCCGATTGTGCTGACTCAGCACTTTGGCAACTTTGGCTCCGTCGAGCGCGTCGTGATGGACGAGGCCGCGCCCGGCCAGGGCTTCATCAAGTTCCAGGACCGCTACGCCGGCCAGGCAGCGCTGAACCACGGCACCATGTTCGGCGACAAGCAGTTGGAGATGGGGTGGGTGGAGTCCCAGGAGGCGCCCGCGGAGCTAACACGGAGTGACTCACCGACAACAGCAGCAGCGTCTGCTGGCGCGGAAGCTGGCGACGGCAATGTGGCGGCGGCATCAAGCGACCAGGTACGATTTGCTCTTTGGCGTGATCAGGACACGGCGACCCACACCGCACACACACGACTAACTTGTATCTGTTGCTGTTGCTGCCTGGATACTTTCACGCGAGCAGGTCTCCGCGAGTGCGTAGCCGGCCCTGCGATCCGACGCCATCGTCCTGAGTCATGACTCATGACAGGGAAGGAAGCTCCAGCAGCTGAGCAGCCCACGCCGGACACTGCTAGCAGGTCAAGTAGTCGGTCCGAGCTATAAAGCGATGATATAGGAAGCCTGCAATTGGCTAAAATACGCAATTCAAGTGGAATGGTTGTATGTTCTTTCCTAGAGAGGTCTTGCAGTGCATGTTGTGTCCGACAGACACCACCTGTGGCGCAGAGGTGTCTGCGAGCTGCTCTCTGCTCGGAGCGTCCCAGAAAATGTCAGTGTGTTGAGACGGAGGGGGCGGCGGAACCAATGTTTTCCAGGCGGCAAGATGGCTCGGGCCTGCTGTCTGCCACGACTGTGGGGCATATTACCCAGCAGGCTTGGGACACACCAGAGGTCCTAATAATCACCCGCGATCCGGTGCTTCAACGCAACATATCAAACTTGCCGCGGTCAGTCGTCTGCTTGCAAGAGAGTGCTGTGCCGCGATGTAAGAGCTGGGAGCTGCCCACGCAGTCAGTCGCAGGTAACGCTTGGCTCGTTTTTCCAGGTTGCAGTGGTCAAGGTGATTACGCCTCCAGCAGAACCTACAAATTCAGGAGCCAGTCGATTACGCGGTCCTGCAAAATCCTGGCCAACCCTGGCCAATCCGATCCTTCTTATTGCATCCACAAGACGCGCTGCGTCACGAAACGGGGCAGCTCGCCTCATTGAGCAGCGCTGGACGATCGCCAAACTTACTTATAGGCAGGTGCAAGACGCTTGCATTTCCGTTAGAAGACCGTTTCTTTTGATCTTCCGTGGTTGGCCTTTGCTCTTGCAGTCAAGTTCGAAGGCGATAGCAGTAACTTATTCTGAAAAATGACTGCGCTGAACTCCAGTTTACACTAGTTAATGCAGTCAAGTCTCAACCGCAGGAATGATTCATACGGGAAAGCTGCAGCACGTCTACCCGGAGTTTGTCCAACGTAAGATGTGATAGTACAGTGACGCTAGTTGCCGCCAGCGACCCGTGCCGCACGCCGGAATGGTTCGCACGAGGTCTGACCACTGTAGCATGCGAAAATTAACGCGAAAGAAAGCGTCAGCGCTGCAAACGCGGGCAAAAAATTCCAAGTTGCTCTCCATTGAGCTTCTCGACGGCCCCAACACCGAGCGGCCAGGTATAAACGGTATAAAAGCACGATGCGGTCATTTCGCCTCGAGCGCTGAGGTAGCGGCGTTCCTCAACGCGCGATGAGACAACCCATAGATGCACCGGTTTTGTGTCGTTTACTTTCCAATCTACAGGCAAACCTAGAGCGACCTACAAAACCTCCGTCTCGAAAAGACCGCCCGTGCTCATCAACTCTTCCCATACATCGCAACTGTTGAGCGTCACGCCATCGCTGCCATCTTTCCGACACGCATCGACGATTACTACGCCGCTAAAAATACCGACCTCCTGGAATCGCGGCGTCAGTCGCTATAATTCCCGGCCCGGGACACCTCGCTCTTTGCCTGTTAATGGACCGCCGCGAGAGCGACGCCGGCGCCACGGGCGGCACGCCCCGCACCGCGCAGGCGCAGTACCACCGCCTGCAGTCGTCGCCCCAGGCCGGCGCGCACCGCAGCGAGTCCGCCGCCTACCCGCCGGCCACCGCGCCCTCGGCGTCGCCACTGCGCGCCACCGTCGCGGACGCCACCAGCGCGAGCGCCGCGGCCTTCAACCCGTCCAGATACTTCCACCGCAACCAGACGGTCGAGGTGCTGCCGCGCCAGCCCGCGGGGCCCTCGGACCTGCCCAAGTCGCGCCCCAACTCGGAGCTCTTCCGCACGCTCACGTCGTCGCAGCTGCTTAACTTCCGCCAGCGCCTGCTGGACGACGACGCCAGCGACGCGCCCATGCGCGCCGAGTTCCTCACGCGCCACGGCACGACGGCCTCGGCCTCCACGCCCAATGGCTCGGCCGCCGCCGCGCAGGGCTACGGCTACGGCAACGGCTACTTCCGCAGCGAGAGCTGGCGCATGTTCTACCGCAACCTGCCGCGCACGCTGCGCTTCCGCCAGAACACGCGCTCCACCACGCGCTACATCGACCCGGCCAACGCCGCGTCGCTGCGCTCGCGCGTGCGCGCGCGTAAGCAGGAGGAGCAGGCCCGCAACGAAGGCCGCACGGGCCAGGGCTCCCCCATGCCCGAGCGGGAGCTCACCGACTTCGAGCGCGAGATGGCCAACGCCCGCGGGGGCACGACCACGGACACGAGCAGCGCGCAGAACGGAGGAGGCTCGTCTTCTGCTGCTGCCGCGGCCGGGGCGACCGTCATGACGCCCAAGGGCAGCAGCCACAAGACGATCGGCCGCATGAGCAGCCTCATGTCCACGGACTCGCAGGGCGCGCCCATCGGCCAGCGGAAGCAGTACAAGATCGTCAAGATCAACGACGGAGGCAATGCGCCCAAGCGCGAACCGACCGGCGGAGAGGACGGAGCAGAGGACGCGGACGCAGAAGGAGAGGAGTTCTTCGTGTCCAACGAGGTCAAGACGTCGCAGTACACGTGGTGGAGCTTCGTGCCCGTGTTCCTGTACCTGACGTTCCAGAAGACGGCCAACCTGTACTTCCTGCTCATCGGCATCTTCCAGATCATCCCTTCCGTCTCGCCGACGAACGGCGTCCCGCTGCAGTTCATCCCTCTGGCCATCGTGATCGTCATCGACGCCATCTTCGCCGGCTACGAAGACTACAAGCGCCACATGGCCGACGACCTCGCCAACTCGGCCAAGACGCGGGTGTTCAACCGCCAGCTGCGCGAGTTCGAGGAGGTCGAGTGGCGCGAGGTGAAGGTGGGCGACTTCGTCAAGGTCGCCAACCACGAGATCCTGCCGGCCGACATCATGATTCTGGCTGTGATTCCTGCGGAAGGAGCGCGCTCCGGCGGCAATATGGGCCTCTGCTACGTGGAAACCAAGAACCTCGACGGCGAGACGAACCTCAAGCTGCGTGAGGCGCCCCAGCCCACCCGGAACATGTTCATGAACGAGGATGAAGCCGGCTACATTGTCCAAGGATACGTAGAGAGCGAGCTTCCGAACGGCGACATCAACACGTACTCGGGCTCGCTCTACCTGGAGGAGAACCCGAACGGGGGCAGCAATGAAGGGATCCCCCTGTCGCTGAAGAACATGCTGCTGCGCGGCAGCAAGCTCCGCAACACCAGCTACGTGTACGGCTTGGTGGTAAACACGGGCATCGACTCCAAGATTATGATGAGCTCAGGCGATGAGTTCCCGGTCAAGGTCTCGTCTATCGATGAGATGACCAACAGACAGGTGATCGTTGTGGTTGTTATTCTGGTGGTGATGTCGCTTATCGGCGCGATCGGAGACAGAGTGTGGATGAACGGCCTTCATGTTCCAACGTACTTGGAATTGACCAGCTGGGACGACAGCTTCATGGAGACTTTCGTGTACTTCTTCGCGACGCTGGCTTCGATGGTGCCCATTACGCTGTACGTGTCCATTACACTCGTGAAGGCGTTGCAAGGCTACTTCATGGAGCGTGATCTGGACATGTACGACGAAGAGACTGCCACTCCGATGAGCGTCCGCAACATGCAGCTGAACGAGCAGCTGGGCCAGATTTCCCACATTTTCTCCGACAAGACGGGCACTCTGACCTGCAACAAGATGGAGTTCCGCAAGTGCAGTATTGGTGGTCGCAGTTACGGCAAGGGCACGACCGCTATTGGTATCGCAGCTCGGATGCGGAGCGATTTCAAGGGTGACCGGACCGTGGATGAAGACACCGCAGACGAGAATGATGTCTCTCTCTTGGATCCACGCATGGAGGCCCCAGCTCCTAACGTGAATTTCAAGGATAAAAACTTCTGGCGGGATATGCAGAACAAGGAAGACACCCAGAGCGGGAAGATCGAAGAGTTTATGACCTTGTTGGCGTTGTGCCACGGTGTTTTGATTGAGCGTCTGGACCCGACGGAAGAAGATGCCAGCCCTCCAGTTCACTACTCGGCCTCCTCTCCTGACGAGCTTGCGCTGGTCTGCGGTGCCAAGTACTTCGGCTACGAATTCATCGACCGCCAACCTGGAAGTGTTTCGATCAAGAAGCCTGATGGAGTCGTGGACCAGTACGACATTCTGGAAGTTTTCGAGTTCGACTCGAACCGTAAGCGTATGTCTGTGATCGTGCAGCGTCGGAAGCGTGATGATGAACTCCGTCTCATGTCGGAAAGCGAGGAAGATGACGTGCTTCTTCTTACCAAGGGCGCTGATAGCATGCTGTTCCCTCGTCTTGCTCCGATGTCGGCCAACAACGACCGGATCCGCGAATCAACAGAGAAGCACCTAGAGTCCTTCGCACAAGATGGACTTCGAACGCTGGTTGTTTGCGCGAAGAAAATCAGTCCTCAGTCTTGGGAGCAATTCTACGCCCAGTATCGCCACGTGTCTGCTGACCTGAGCCAAGTCGAGGCGAAGTCCAAGGGAGAGCCGAATGCCATCGATGCTCTGCAGGATGAGATGGAATCGAACCTGGAGTTGCTCGGTGCCACTGCTATCGAAGACCGACTGCAAGACGGTGTGCCTGAAACGATGGAGAGTCTAGCCAAGGCTGGAATCTGCATCTGGGTGCTGACGGGAGACATGGAGGAAACGGCAATCAACATCGGATATGCTTGCCGCTTGCTCAACAACGACATGGAACGACACGTGATTAATGCGGCGAAGTACCGAACGAAGGGCGCCATTCTGCGCAAGCTGGACGAGATTTTCCACGAGATTCACGACGCTAGTGACGATGCTTCTCGTACGTCAACGGTGGCTGCCCATTCCGTCTTGTCTCCGCCATCAGGCCAAGTTGAGCACGCTCTGGTGATTGACGGAGCTTCACTGAGCAAGATTCTCGAGGACCCGCTGCACAACTTGCATCTGCTGCGTGTGTCGCTGCTGTGCAAGGTCGTCGTGGCTTGCCGTGTGTCGCCTCAGCAGAAGGCACAGCTGGTCGAGCTGGTGAAGTTGAATGTGCCGGAATCGCACACTCTTTCCATTGGTGACGGAGCTAACGACGTCCCGATGATTCAGAGTGCACACATTGGTGTCGGTATCAGCGGGCAGGAGGGTCTGCAAGCCGTGAACAGCTCGGACTACGCATTGGGCCAGTTCCGCTTCCTGAGCAACTTGATTTTGGTCCACGGTCGCTGGAACTACAACCGCGTTGCAGCTCTGGTCGTCTACACGTTCTACAAGAACATCGCGTACAACGTGTCCATGTTCTGGCACACGCTGTGGCCTACCGGGTATTCCGGTACGATGATTTACTCCGCGCTGATCCAGCAGGGCTACAATCTGTTCTTCACTGCGCTCCCGATCGTCGTGTTCTCGGCGTATGACAAGGATTTACCGAAGAAGACGGTGCTCGAGTTCCCGACGCTTTATCACGCCGAGGTGCGCAAGACCAGCTTTTTCAGTCACATCATGTTCTGGAAGTGGATTTTCCTGGGCATTATCGATTCCGTGGGTATTTACTTTGCGATTGTGGCCATTGGGTGGAACATCGAGCGTGGTGGCAACACCCTCGAGTTCCTGTCGATGCAGACTCTTGGCTGGACCATTCTGTGCATCGTTGTGAACGCGCGCTTCTGCTTGATGGTGAACTCGTGGGACGTTCTTGAAATCGGAAGTATGGCGCTCACTGTCATCGCGCTGTACTTATTCCAGTACGTGCTCGACCAGATCGACTGGTCGTACGACACGGATTCGCTGCCGTGGCAGTTTGGACGCTCCCAGTTCTGGCTTGGCCAGTTGTTCGCTGTGGTTGCCATCCTCATGAAGGACTTCTTCTACGAGGGATGCCGACGCCGCTTTGTTCCGGAGTATCTGGATCTGGTGAAGGAGTCGCAGGACGAGAAGTCGGCCATCTCGCGTGAAGAGCTGGCCGAGTTCAAGCCCCCGCAGGTCAACTACCTGAACCCGGAGCTCGCCGGCATGATCGACTACCAGGATCGTCGCGTCCACGAGAGCGCGCCCGTGAGGTTCACGGCCTCGGGCCGCTCGAAGCTGTACACGGGTTTCGCGTTCGACCAGCCGGCCAACGTCGTGAACTGGATCCTGACCGGCACCAACAACTCGGGCGGCCAGAACAGCAGGAAGAGCATCAACGCCGACGTGCGCAACCTCATCCTGAGCTCGGACGACCCCGTTTTCTTCGAGAACCAGCGCTACCAGCCGTTCTGCGGCTACGGCAGCTCGTTCCCGGGCTACCTGCTGCCGACGGACCGCAAGCGCTGGAGTGATCGCTCGGGCAAGATCAGCGCGCAGGCCATCCCGCTCGCCGGTCTGGAGCTCAGCCTGGACGTGCCAGGGTGCGACGCCGAGGGCTGGGTGTACGAGAACGACTTCGCCTTCTTCCCGTCGACGCCTCCGAACGAAAACGACGAGGAGGAGGAGGACGTGGAGCTGGCGCTGAGCACGGGCGACCGCAGCAGCAACGGCACGTTCCTGTCGTCCAGGCGGAAGAACAAGAAGAAGAAGGCCAAGAAGCCGCGCCCGCACCACGGATTCGTGCGCCGCCGCGAGTGGAAGCTCTCGGAGGAGTTCAAGGCCCAGCAGGAGGCTCGGCGCGCCTCCAACCTCAGCACCATTTCGGCGGTGCAGGTTGAAGATTGCAGGCAGTCAACGCTCTCCAACTGATGACCAGACGTCAAATACTACCGGCCGGGGGTATTGCCAAGAGCTCACACATATAATAAAACAACAGATTTTGGCATGTACACTTGTCTGTTTAGTATCTACCCAGCCTCTACGGTACACGCACCACGTTGAACACGTAAAGGAGCAGTTGGCAGACGTTGAAGTGAAGATCCAAAGAAAAGGGGGGGTGTTTGTATGTACAGGGTGAGCTTGTTTGTGGTGATTATTGGCGACACTAGAGCCGCTTCTCATGGGCGCGTAGATTACTCGACGAACTTCTTGAAGGCTTCGTGCTCGGCCAGCGCGGCGTCGTTGACGATGGCGTTGAGCACGAGCGCCAGCTGCGTCTCGCGCTCCGCGATGAGCGCCGGGTTGTGCTTACCGCGCAGCTTGGAGCCGAGGCCCGAGCCGGGCAGCGCCGGCAGAGTCTTGGGGCTGCCGAGCGCCACCACGAGCTTCTTGAAGTCGCTGAAGCGCTTCTTGAAGGTGGCGTCGCCCTCCACGGCCTCCACAGTGTAGAAGACCACGCCGGCCTCGTCGATCTCGTGGCCCGTGACCTTGAACAGCTCCTTGGCGGGTGTCTCTGGGGCCGCAGGCTCTTCGGCGGCCTCCGCTTCAGGCTCGGCCCCAGCGGGCGCAGCCTCCTCGGTCTCAGCAGCAGCTGCAGGCTCCTCGGCCTTGGGCTCCTCGACGGCGACCGGCTCCGCCTCGGCCGGGGCAGCGGCCTCGGCCTCCGGCGGATTCGTGGCGACGACGTCCTCAGTCTTGGATTGCGCGCAGCCCATCGCGTTCGGTTGATAGATAGGACTGAGCAGAAGGAGGAAGCCTTGAAGCGACTTGTGCAGATCGAGGCGAGATCGATAGTGAGCGAGCGAGTGAGCGGGCTGGGGAAGCAGTGAGGAAGCCCCACGAAGCGTCTGGGAGAGAAGGCGAGAGGAGCGCCGGCAGCTGGACGTGCCTATACTGACCGAGAAGCATGCTGGGCAGATCGGGCATCTCGCCGAGATGTTACACACCAGCGCGAGCCTGCGGCTGACGCGGGGCCGCGCCAAAGATACGAGCGGCGTAAGTCGCTTTTGCCGCGCGTTCGTGGGTGGCGCCACAATCAACAACAACCGAACCGGCGGCGCCGACGGCAAAGGCAGGCAACGCCGCGATGCCAGCGAGAACATGGCGATCGTCCGCCCGCAATTGGCTAAGACCGAAAAGCGACTTACGCGCGTTATGTCGCTGCGGCAGAGAAGGAGCCAGCTGCTCGACGTTACTATCGCCGCGATGTGGTCACTGCTGCCAGGGAGGAACTGATATCGGCCCAACCCTACCGTCTGTTTGACGGTCGTTAAAGTCGGGTGCAGGTAGACGCGTTTCGAACCAGGTCCATCATTTCTCGGCTAAGTGCGAGAAGCATCTTTGCGCCGGCTCTCACGTTGAAGCTGCCGTTCCCACCGACATGGCTACAGGGCACTCCATGCTTGCTCCATGCTTTTGTTTGATGGTAGGTATGGAAAAGTGACGAGTAAGCACGCGCTCCGAATTGTGAGCTGGTCACTTCACAGCGAAGAAGATGGCAGCCGAAGATCTTCAAAGGATTGCGCTCTTGTACCGCTGTGAACTGAGTCTTGTGTTGGACGGCGGCGGGGAGACTTTCAATTGCTTGCACTGAGGCACAACCTAGGGCAGAAACAAGCTTTCCCCTGTTCCTGGCTTCAGTAGTGCAGTGAAATGCATCTATATGTATTGCTGCCTACACACACGTTCCCTGGTGTCACGACCCGCTCACTTGTTGACGCTTCTTCACCCGCTCCAGCAAAGAGCCCAGCCTCGACTGCAACTGCGCCTCGTCGTCGTTATCGCTGTTTTCATCGAGCACGGCAGCTCCAGTACTTGATGGCGTGTCTGGAGGCTGGTAAAACGAATCTTGCCTTATTGCAGTCGGCTCCGATAGCACTGCAGGCCTGAACGCTGTTGCCTGGAACTTGTCGAACGCCGACGGCGTGGTGGCCCGCGACTTCTTCGGACTTGCGCAGAGGACGTCACCAACTGCATATTCACGACCCACAGTGCTGGAGAATGACGCGCCACTCGATTTGTGGTACGTCTCCGTAGCAATGAAGAGAAACTCGTTGGCATCCACCAGCCGCGACGGAGTGCTCGCCCTCACGACGCTCGAGTCGCAACTTAAAAAGGCCTTCATCGCGTGCATGAACTGGGAACAGCAACAAGATCAGTTTTAACTACTACATAGGTCTGGGATCGCTGTACGTGCCTCAATGTACGTATCCTCTGCCTTGGATCCAAACACGGTTTCTGCGAGAGTCTCGGCTTGTGTCCTTGAAAGCCACACCAGAAGATTTGGGGTCGAAGTTGCCGGCTTTCGCTTCCGTTCGGACGCTGAAGAAGTTTTGACAGACATCGGGCGATACGCGGGAGCGCAGACCAAGCGCTGCAGACTGGAGCGTGCAAACAGAAAGAAGGAGAGCGTGCGCTCAGGGTATTTGCCCTGCAAGAAGCAAGAGAATAGCTCCACGTCGACTCGCTGCTCGGAGAGTTAAAGGTTAGCGAGGTTGTCGTGAACGAAAGCTCAATAATAGGGAGAAGCTTACGTGCTGGAGAGCGTTGAGTCCTTCGATGAGATCCCATGCCTGCTGGTCCACCAAACGCTTGAGGCCGAAGCGATTCGTGAGATAGTGCCGAATGAACTTGGCGAACTGCAGTGGACACCAACGCATGAATGAACACTAGAGCCACACACAGCACCCGCACCACACGTACACTGCCGCAACTGTTCATGCACGACGCGGACAGATCTTCATACCGAGCGTCGTACACTTCGTTGATGAAGCGCACCAGCCTGATCTCCTTGACGTACGTGCCTGGGTCAGCGACAGATCTTGCTGGCCTCTCTCCGATCTGCATGCAGCAATCTCATTGTCAGTACCCTGCTACCCCTTACAGCGTCCGCAAGGGCCAGCGTCCTACCAGGAAGATGAGGTTCGCGTACGCACGAAGGGCCTCGGGCACTGCTGCCAGGCGCTTGTCGACTGGATCTGTGTCCTCATCTTCCTCCTCGTCCAAGACCTGGTTGCCGGGATCCTTGTCTCCGTTTGAATCGGTCAGTGGTGGCCTCACTAGGCGGATGTTCGCCACGAAGCGATTGTCCGAAGAGCGCTGGTGGAACTTTGGACCAGACACAACGCAGCGGTGAGCGCACCGAGGGCAGCCGACAATATGTAAAACGGGCTGCATACCTTCACGTCGTTCTCGATCAGGAAGCGCGTGTACTGCACCTTCGCCCTCGGGCTCAGGTCGGCGAACACGACCACGTGCGGCGTCACGGCGGCGGCCTCGGCCATTGCGCAGGACACTTCAGGTGCTTACGACCTTTCAAGGTCCAATACCGGTATCGTACCGGTGATAATTCACTGAAAGTTTCATATCTATCTTTCAAATCTGTCGGCATCCAAACGTAGAGATTACCAGGTTAGCTCATTGCACATAAAACACCGAAGATTTAGGTACCAGTCTACCATTTTCGAGCCTATTCAAATTGCTGAGTGCAGAATATGCTGACCGAGTCTAAAACCTGTATACTCCTTCTCTTTCAGATGCTGTAGGGTGGATAGATAGATGGTCATGGTGTGAGAGCATTGCCTTGGCCCCTGTGGGTTTACTTTTTTAAGATAAAAGAGGCGACCCATTTTCTAGAAAAAGGGCTCCGATGGTGTCCCGTTTCAGCGCGCGAGAAACCAGGAAACCGGGCAGATTGTGCGACTGCACCGCGCAAACGCAATGTGTTTGCAACCGGCATGTGTCTGCTTACGCTAATTCTGGTGGCGGTGGCGCTCTCGGGCAGAGGACACCGAGCACCAACCAAGATGCTCTGTATCAATTCAGATTTCTAGATCGCGAGGGCCACAGCATTTATTAGTATCCTGTGAATCGCGGTAACTTCAACGTCCGCCGACCGCGCTCACATTCAAGTCTCCATGACAGCGGATGTACTGTAGTTGTCGCCTTCAAACCTGGTTGGAGACAACCGACTTGCTGGTGCTTGGGTTACTTGGCCATAGTCCCGAGCCGCATTCAACTGTTAAATTACCGGTATACCGAAAATGTCATTGTGACTAAATGTCCTCCGTCCAATCAGCGATCGCTAATTTAGGCCGACGCAAGTTACGTCACTTCCATCTGGTGCCACAAGAGCATTCCGGTGCTCTAAGTACGGTTTCAGATAATGTCGCTAAACCCAGTACGTTTCCACACCTTCTGTATGGTATAGACTTCAAGTCCGTATCACATGCTGTCCGAAAGCCGCGGGAAGGCTCTAAATGCTAAGCTTTTTCTTGTGGAATGGAGCCCGGCTCTAACCGCAGCACTCCTTATCAGAAGCCGGTCGTCTAAACAGCCTCACTTCAGCCCCGACCGCCACCTCTGCGTGGCCACCACTTCCACATCGACGGTCTCCATCGCAGGCAGATCCCTCCCCCCTCCCCCCATAGACACTAAAGCCATGTGCGGAATCGTCGCGATCCTGCGCTCCATGATGCCCGAGGCGGAGCTGCGCCAGGCCGCGCTGGCTGCCGGCAAGAAGATCCAGCACCGCGGCCCGGACTGGAACGGCGTGCGCGTGTTCCCGGAGCGCGGCATCGCCATCGAGCACGAGCGCCTGGCCATCATCGACCCGGAGTCGGGCGCGCAGCCGCTGGTGAGCAACGACCCGGAGCGCAACATCACGTGCAGCGTGAACGGCGAGATCTACAACTACCGCGAGCTGGCGCAGACGCTCAAGACGCCGTACCAGTTCATGACCAAGTCGGACTGCGAGATCATCATCCCGCTCTACCTCGAGCACGGCCCGGACTTCGTGCACCTGCTGCGCGGCATGTTCAGCTTCGTACTGTACGACCACCGCAAGGACTTCTTCCTCGCGGCCCGCGACCACATGGGCATCACCCCCATGTACTACGGCTACGGCGCGGACGGCAGCGTCTGGTTCGCCTCGGAGATGAAGGCGCTCGAGGACGGCTGCGTGCGCTTCGAGGTCTTCCCGCCCGGCCACGTGTTCACGAGCGACACGGAGACGTGCAAGCCCTGGTACACGCCCGAGTGGTACGCGCCCGGCCACCTGGGCAAGACGCCGCTGGACCTGCCGGCGCTGCGCGAGGCCTTCGAGGCGGCCGTCAAGCGCCGCATGATGGCCGACGTGCCCTGGGGCGTGCTGCTCTCGGGCGGCCTGGACTCGTCCCTCGTGGCCTCCATCGCCGTGCGCGAGAAGAAGAAGCTCGTGGCGCAGGGCGGCGAGTGGATCAACAAGATCCACTCGTTCACCATTGGCCTCGAGAACTCGCCCGACCTCAAGGCCGCCCAGGAGGTGGCCGACTTCCTCGGCACGATCCACCACTCGTACACGTACACGATCCAGGAGGGCCTGGACGCCGTGTCCGAGGTCATCAAGCACCTGGAGACGTACGACGTGACCACGATCCGCGCCTCGACGCCCATGTTCCTCATGTCCCGCAAGATCAAGGCCATGGGCATCAAGATGGTGCTGTCCGGCGAGGGCGCCGACGAGGTCTTCGGCGGCTACCTGTACTTCCACAAGGCCCCGAGCGCCGAGGCCTTCCACAAGGAGACGGTGGCCAAGCTGCAGGCCCTGCACCAGTACGACTGCCTGCGCGCCAACAAGGCCACGAGCGCCTGGGGCCTCGAGGCCCGCGTGCCGTTCCTGGACGCCGACTTCCTGGACGTGGCCATGAACATCGACACGCGCGAGAAGATGATCGACGCCAAGGCCAAGAAGTTCGAGAAGTACATCATCCGCAAGGCCTTCGACGACAAGGAGGACCCGTACCTGCCCGAGCACATCCTGTGGCGCCAGAAGGAGCAGTTCTCGGACGGCGTCGGCTACGGCTGGATCGACTCGCTCAAGGACCTGGCCGAGAAGACGGTCACGGAGCGCCAGATGAAGCACGCCGAGCGGCTATTCCCGTACAACACGCCGCAGTCCAAGGAGGCCTACATGTACCGCAGCATCTTCCAGCACCACTTCCACCGCGAGGTGGCCGCGCAGACCGTGCCCGGCGGCCCCAGCATTGCTTGCAGCACCCCCGCCGCTATCGAGTGGGACGCCGCCTTCAAGAACGCCGCCGACCCGTCCGGCCGCGCAATCGCTGGCGTGCACGTGGACGCCTACGCCGAGTAAGTCCATCGTTTAGATAGTCGCTGCGCTCGTCGCCGCTAACTGCATGAAACAATCATACAAGACTTTGAACAACTCTTCAACGCGCGCGAGCTAGCTTGGCACATTACTTGTATCGCCCCGATCTCACGTGAGGAAACGGCCGACAGCGTGTGCAGTGTGCATGCTCCCATGTAACGGAGGCGATGATACCATTATAGGCCTGTCGTGTCGTCCAAGGAACCTGCGGGTGTGTGCACTAACCAGCACAGTTCGTTGCTCCGTGCTTGTAGTGTGCAGTAGTAATGAGCTCCATTCTCCCGCGACTCCAAGACGGACGAGCCAAAAGTCCCACGCTTGGACTGCTGCCGCCTTTAGTGAATGACGCTGCTGCTTCGGCCAGCAACAACCAGCGCAGTCGCCTCAAGCAGCCGCATCAGCGAAGTCTGCCGCCAAAGGCTTCATCTTCGTCGGCCACCGTCAAGTTTCCAGCCTTGGGGAAGCCCCAGCAGCTCAGCACTCTACCTCGATGCAACCAGGAGGAGGACGACCATGGCCGTATGACGGAGCGTGATAATAACCACGAGGAAGAGGACGACGACAAACGCCACGGATTGTCCAGTAGCAGGACGTCCGCCTCCTCTCGGTCGTCTTTGAACCACGCGCACGACGTCAAGGACAAGAACCGAGATTTCATCAAGGAGTTGGAGGAGAAGAAGCGCAAGGAGAAGGAGGAACGAGCTCGACAGGAGCGACGAAAGAAGAAGCTCCACGAGAAGATGACGCGCAAGATCTTGCAGGACGCCGACGCTCGACAGCAAAAGCAAGCAGCTTCTTCGTCCCCGGAGGTGGATGACCTCACCAGTGAACTACTGCGTCAAGAGGAGCCCCAGGAGGACGAAGAGGTCGATCCTGCTGTGATCGAGAAGCGGAAGGAGAAGGCCAAGAGACAAAAGCGTTTGCTCAAGAAGCAGCAGGCGCATCTGGCCCGCATCCAAGCCAAGCAGCGCGAGGAGCAGGAGCAGCTCGAGCTGGAGAGGGAGCGCGAGCAGCGCAAGCGTGAAAAGGTCACTCAGACGGTTCTCCACAAGCTCCAAGACGCCATCAACAGGGAACAAGTCGAAGAAGATGACGCGGATGAAGCTCCTCTTCCGACTGTGGTGGAGGAGCAGGAGAACGCCTCGCAGGACACTGAACGCAGCTCAAACAACCAGGTTCTAGTCGACGAGCAATTGGAGGAGGAGCACAAGCAGCGCGCGAAGGAGCAGCGAGACGCCTTCCAGCGCAAGCAGCAGAAGTATCTGCAGAAGTTGGCCGACCAACGCAAGCAGAAGCAGAAGGAGGAGGACGAGGCGCGCGTGTTGCAGGAGAAGCGGAAGCGGAGGATCCAGAAGGAGGCTCAGCAACGACTACAAGAAGCTGCAGCCAGACAACAAGCACTAACTGAAGCGAGGGAGAAAGAGGAGGCTGCTGCGGCCGCTGCTGCAGCCGAGAAAGCAGCAAATGCAGGCCCACCCGTCGACGTGGAAGCTATGATAGCTCGACTGAGCAAACTCAAGGACCGAGACGCGCAAATTATCCCCGAAGCGCGAGACTTTGCGTCCTGGAAGAAGCGGCACGGCGTCGCACCGGATCAAAAGGTCTTCTGCATGACGGGATGGTACCCGGTCATCCGAGAGGAGCTGGAGAAGCGCGGGTGGTTCTACAACCAGGAGCGGGTGTCGCCGTACTTCGACTTCAAGTGGTCCCTCAAGAGCGACGAGCTGCGGGCGTTCAAGCTCGAGAAGTACCAGTACGTCAACCACTTCGCTCAGAACGCGGCCATCACGACCAAGGTCGGGCTCATCCACAACTTGCGCAGTGCCGTGTGGCACCAGAGCGTGGACATCGACGCCATGTTTCCTCGCGCGTACGATCTGAACGACCTCATGGACATGGACAACTTTGTCCAGGACTTCCGCTATGGCGTAGCCGAGGGACTTCTCAAGCAGCTAGCGAGACGAGGGCTGCAGCTCAAGCAGAAGCTGCCAGGGACAGCTTCGATGGGCGCCAACGAGGCTCTGGTCGACGTTGTGCTGGCCATTGCGAGGAAGAAGGTCAAGAGCAAGCGGCCGGAGAGCAACAACGTCGAGTCTGTCGGTGGTGCGCTTGATCCACTGGAAGAAAGTGTCGACGATCCATTGTCGACGGGCGTGAACGAACTCGTGACCGACCTGCAGTGGGAAGTGCTAACGAACTGCTCGCTGGACAAACCGGGGCGTCTCCGCGCGTCGTTGGTGTACAAGAAGAAAGTGTACGCAGAAGATAAAGACGTCACTGCTGGAGTTGACGGCAAAAGCCCCGACACGGTGCTGTCGGCTCGAGAGAAGCGAATGCAGCGGCATGCGGAGAAGCTGCAGGCCGACGCGTTCAACCGGGAGAAGGCTCGACTGAGCAACCTCATTGCTCACGTGTCGCTAGTGCGTGAAGAAGTCTTCGAAGAGGCTATTCGACTCGCTCGAGAGCTCGAGAAGTTGTGCGCGCAGTTTCACATCAATGGCGGCGCGGAGTTCTTGTTGAATGATGAGCACCCGGCCGCAGCCACGAGTACGAGTCAGAACGTGTGGATCGTCAAGCCCGCAGGGATGTCCCGAGGCCGCGGTATCCGCGTGTTCAACGACCTGGATCAATTACTCGAGTACGTCGACGTGGAGAACCACAAGGAGTGTCAGTGGGTGGCGCAGAAGTACATCGAGAACCCGCTGCTGCTCTGCAAGCGCAAGTTCGACATCCGCCAGTGGGTCCTGGTCACGGGCTGGGACCCGCTCACGGTCTGGTTCAACGAGGACTGCTACCTGCGCTTCTCGTCCGAGGAGTACTCGATGGACGACCTGAGCGACCAGTACGTGCACCTGACCAACAACTCGATCCAGAAGTACAGCGACAAGTTTAACGACGTGTACGCCACGGACGACGGCGAGATGCAGGTAGAGGGCAACATGTGGCACTCGGACGACTTCAAGAAGTTCCTGACCTGCAAGCTGGGCCAGCCCGACGTCTGGGAGCAGCGCATGCACCCGCGCATGAAGGAGATCGTGGTGCAGTCGCTGCAGTGCGTGCAGGACCAGGTGCAGCACCGCAGCAACAGCTGCGAGCTCTACGGCTACGACTTCATGGTGAGCGAGGACCTGACGCCGTGGCTCATCGAGGTCAACAGCTCGCCGGCTTGCGACTACAGCACGCCCATCGCCCAGCGCTACGTAGAGTCGGGGCTCTCGGGCATCATCAAGGTGGTGGTGGACCACCGCGAGTACGAACAGAGAAAGCGGAGCGGCGGCGGTGGTGCGAGTGCGATAGATGAGCCCGACACGGGCTGCTGGCGGCGGATCCACAAGGCCGAGTACGTCGGCAAGCCCATGTCGTCCTACGCCGTGGACTTCCAGGTGAAGGGCGCCAAGGTGCAGCGCAGCCGACGCAGCGCCAAGCTGCACGCCTCCAAGACCAAGGCGATGGTGGCCAGCAGCAGCACGAGCAGCGTGGCGTCCGTGCCGACGTCGACAGACTCTGAGGCGGGCGGACGGGCGAGTCCGCTCGCGGATAGCGACGGAGACGATGCTGACGCTGACGTTGTGCCGAACGCACACGATGAGGAGGAGCGTTCGGATGCGGCCATGGAGGACGGCGCTGATGACCACCAGGATAGGGCCAGCATCGACAACACCAACGGTAACGCCAGCGAGCTGCCAGAAGAGGACGATGCAGTTGAAGAAGCAGGAGAAGGCCGGATCGGCGCGGAGGACGACCTGGTGACAGGGGGGACGCCGGAGGACGCAATTGACCCGTTATTGTAGGATAGTGGCTGCTTGCACCGGGCCAGCCTGTATTCTTTTTTATGAGTAAGAGATCTTGAGATGTGCTTAGAGCTACAGCTGGTGATTTGACGTTCAACACTCCAAAATCGGTGAAGGAACTCCGAAAAGGACGAGAAGGAGGCAAGCGGACGTCGGCAGGTGCGAGGCCGTCGAAATGCAAGCCCCTGCTAGCTAGGAGAGGGTGTGCGTGTGTGCTAAGATCATGGTATCATTTGCGTGTTAGCTGGGGGGAGGGGGGAGTTGTGCGCACAGGGCCAACACAAGCACGCGGTATTTGCGGAGGGGGGCCCTGCACCGAGCTTTCCAGCGCCTCGTGCAGTACTCGGCTCGCTAGACTGCTTGGCGCGGGGGCGTCCAGCCAAGCGCAGCCCGGCAGGCAACATGTTGTGGTAACAAGTAGTTGGAACTAAACATTAAAGTAGATCCAGCGTGTGTTGCTTAGCGCCTCGAAGCACTTTTGTCAGTACTGTAGCTACTTCAGACTACACGCAATGGTACAGTAACATACAGAATACAGCATTTAGTGCAGCTCAGCCGCTTGCTCTCGAACCGAAGTGATATGTAGTGTTACTGTGAGGACACTTAGACCCAAGGACTTGGCGATCAAGTCCTCCAACTCGGTGGCCAAATTGACCAGACTTGGCCACTTGGCCCATGCTCGTGCTGGTGCTCGCTCGGTCGGTTGGTTGCTGGCAGCAACTTGCTGCCAACTTGGTTGGAACGTCCAACCAACATACGGAACTGTTCTCGACAAAAAACAGAGTGTCAGCCTATTCTTTTACCGTGCACCGGGCCAGTCGGTGTGGCCCGGTGCACCACGCTGCACCGACTGGAGCTGACCCGGTGCAAGTATCCTCTGTCTTATTGTAGACAGACTCGCAGAGACGGGGCGCATTAATCAATCGTGACGTCGTCGAATTGCGATCTTCCCTCGACCTGGTCGACTTTGTGGCCGGCCAGCCGTGCTTGTGTTTACGAAGGCCTTCAGAGACGGGAGGGTTTCCGATGTTGTGGCCGAGCGACGCGAGTGATTTGCAGGTGGCCGAGCCTTCCGTTTCTTGGGGTCGCGCGAGGCGCCCATTGCTTGATGCAGGCGCACCGATTCTACTGCCGGGTGCGCCGCGGAATTGAGATGGCTTCTGCAGTTCAGAGTGATCCCTCGCCTCGCCTGCCTCAATGCCTACTCGGTGCCCGCTCTCTCTGTGCGTGCGGTTCTGACCGGGGGCGCGCAGCTGATTGCAGAGCGAGGGGATCGCCGGCTCGTCGCCCGCTGACTGTAGGTCGGGGGCAAGTTGCAGCCGGAGAGCGCGGCAGGGTCTCTGGCCGCGCCAATCCATCACCGGTGCCGAAAGCCGAGCCATCCCGGTCATTACTGCGGCCACAGCCTTTCCGACTGGCGTTGGCTCTCTTGTGCGACAGTTCCCGCCGCGCAGAGGAGCACGCACGTACGGGTGCCGCAGTCCAAGCCGAAAGCTCTGCACGTTGGCATTTCGTTGAGGGGCACGCGCACCACCGCACCGTACTGTACCCAAACAGTAAGAGACACCCGGCGCTCGTATTGCACGCGCAGATTGCACTCAGCGACCAGCGTTGCGCCAACTGCCATCGTGGAGCCTCCGCCAGTGCAGATGGCGATGGCCAGCGGTTGAGCTCTTGGCCTGCAGTCACTGACGCCCGTGGCGCGATGCACAGACACGGCTAGCCAAGATAGGCTCTGGCCTCGATACGTTTAGGTTAACCTCTCGGAGCCGATACAGTAGACTCATCTTGACGGGCCGGCGAATCCGCGCGCGCCAAACTGCTTCAGAAACCTCCACTACCTGCTGATACCTGCGCTACTCAATATATACTTTTGTTGAGTCTCACGTAGAAGTACAGTAATCTGCCCGAGTAAGGAACGCCTGATATATAAAGACGCAGAATATACAAATTGATGTTAAGTTGAGTATACTTTTCCAATGTACTGATTTAGATATTTCAAAATGAACTGAAGAGCAGCTTTACCTACGAGTCCGGAATGATTCGAACAGTGGCGTATGGTCGAAGCACTAACCTTTGACCAGGCATCCTCGCACCACAACAGCGCTGTCAACTGGTCAACCTCGTAGGGATTATCTAGCCCTTCACCTTGTCGAGGATGCCCACTTTCTCAGACCAAGTGAGACGGAGACGCTTGGACGGTGTGGACTTCATGGGTGGAGTGGGGGAGGAGGTGGGCTTGTGGGGCGAGGTGCAAAAGCAAAAGTGCGAGTCTACCACTACGGTACATGTAGTTTGAAGTCTAGTAAGATCGCTAAATGCGTGCCATTTTTCAAACGAGGGTGGAGAGCTGATGATTGGCACTGGATTTTTCACCTTAGTACCTCAGTACCTTGCAGTACCGTGCACATCCCCCTATCGCCACATCGACTGGAAAATAATATTAAATATGTGAGGCTATTAGTTGTACACCCGTTCCTTATTCGGGCAGAATTCTGTACAGGTTACCGGCGTCGCCACATCGAGGAGCCGGTTTTCGACCAATCACACGCCGCCTAAATGTGCATAGAAAGAGCCCGTAGAGGTCCCGGCCCGACCGAGCCAGTCCACGTCCGCCTGACTGACTTCCCCTCATATCTCCACCTGCCAGGCAGAGCGTCTCGGTTGGGTCCGCGCATTTGCCGTCGCCGACTCCGCGTGCCGCTTCCACGGGTCCTCGGAACCCCGCGAGCGTCTGTCTCTGTAGCTGAGCTCCCCGCGCGTCGAACGCAGTGCCGCGCGCGCTTTCCAGACCCGTAGTCGCCGCGCAATCCCTCTTTGAAGCAAAATGCACGCCGTGCTCCGGACACTGGCGGCCTGCGCGCTGCTGCTGCTGACTGCGCGCAGTGAAGCCGCCTCGTGCGACACCGCCGGCACCGTGGTGCTCATGTCCGGCAGCGACAACACGCAGGCCGTCGTCGTGGACGCCGACTGCAGCGAGACCGAGGTGGACGTGAGCAAGAACACGCTCACGGCCAGTAGCATGGGCATCCAGAAGGTGCTGAGCGCGCCCGACGTCAAGACAATGTACGTGCGCACTACTCTTGTTATTTAGAGGCTCGGGTGGACTGACGGGACCGAGTGACTGACTGACTGGTGGGGCTGCTTGTCTGAACTCTAGTGACTTGTCGCTGAACAACATCTCCTCGGTGGCGCTGACGGACCTGACGACGCTCAATAAATTGTGCGTCCTTGCCTGGCTGTATTGATGAGGATGAGATGGGGGAGGGACTAATGTGTTGTTGCCGGTTTGCAGGACGCTGACGTCGAACATCTTCACGAGCTTCAGCAAGCTGGCGATCCCCGACTCGGTCACGAACCTGGACCTGAGCTGGAACGACATCGCGTCGTTCGACGGCATGAGCCTGCCTGACACCATGACGCAGCTCTTCCTGGGCGGCAACCCCATCACGTCCGTCGCGGGCGTGACCTTCCCGTCCTCGCTGACGCTGCTGTACATCCACAACCTGAAGCTGTCCACGTTGAAGGGCGCAACTTTCCCAGACTCCGTCCAGTACTTGTCACTGGTGCAGTCGGGCCTCTCCAGCTTGAGCGGCGTGAGCTTTCCGGACAGCCTGCAGTACATGTACGTTCCTATTTGTATCATTTGAATACGCCGGGGAGTGTGCTAATGTCTTTTGTGTGCCGCAGTGACTTCTCGTACAACACGATCACGTCCATGCCTGACGGATTCCCCTCTACGGTGATTCAGATCACCGCTACGAACAACATGATCGCAGAGCTGTACAAGTACTCGTTCCCGTCCAGCGTCACGACGTTGAACTTCTCTGGCAACCCCATCGAGTCCATCAGGGGCGTTTCGTTCCCGCTCGCGCTGTCGAAGCTGGATCTGGGCTCCAACGAGATCACGAACTTTGAGATTTCGCGCTCGGACTACTCCACGTTCAAGGACCTGGACATGTTCAACGCAGTAGTCGCCCAGACGAGCTGCTCCACCTCCGGCGCGGAGCTTGTCGCCGTATCCGGCTACAGCATTTGCGTCATCTCGGACGAGCTGTTCGAGTCCACGTACGGCAACTCGTCGAGCAAGTCGTCGTCGAGCGCCGAGAGCGCGAGCACCACGCCGATCAGCAACAGCAACGGCAACAGCACCATCCTCATCGTGGTGATCTGCATGGCCGCCGTGCTGGCCGTGGCTCTCGCGGCATTCGCCTTCCGCACGTACCGCGTGCGTCAGACCAAGGATGTTTCTGGAAGAGACGTGGGCGACAATTTCTTCGCCAACAACACACTCATGGACACGGCGTCGCATTCTGGCCGAGGCAACCATCCCAGCAACCCGAGCAACCAGCAGAACTCGGCCTCTTACAACACGATCTTCAGCGGTGGCAAGATCACCATGATGGGCGGGACGGCCATCGAGTCGGCCCTCGTCAAGTACCGCGTCCCCGCGAACGAGGTGCAGATCGAGCGGTCTATTGCCAAGGGCGGCTTCGGCATTGTGTTCCTCGCGACGTACCAGAGCCGCCCCGTTGTGGTCAAGAAGATCCTCCCGGAGAAGGCTGCGGACGATCGCTGTCTGAGCGCGTTCATCGAGGAGATCAAGCTCATCTCGTCGCTCTCGCACGCCAAGATCGTGCGCTTCATCGGTGTGAGCTGGAGCATGCTCTCGGACATGGCCGTGCTGATGGAGTACATGCCCAACGGCGACCTGGACATGCTGCTGAAGCAGCAGCACGAGCGGCAAGAGATGTACCCGAAGGAGTTCGACTGGTACCAGAACTCGTCCGTGCTGCCGGCCAAGGCGGCCATCGCTCTGGACGTGCTGGAGGCCATTGTGTACCTGCACTCGTTCCCGTCGCCGATCATCCACCGCGACCTCAAGTCGAAGAACGTGCTCCTGAGCGCCTCGTACGAGGCCAAGCTGAGCGACTTCGGTGTAAGTCGCGAGTGGCAGGTGGACACGACGATGACTGCGGGTATCGGTACGATGGCGTGGATCGCGCCCGAAGTGCTGCGCGGCGAGCGGTACACGGAGATGGCCGACATCTACTCGTTCGGCGTGATCCTGTCGGAGCTGGCCACGTGCATCAAGCCGTTCGAAGGCGTGACGAACGCGCTGATCGTCCTCAAGGTCACGAGCGAAGAGAAGCCCGACCTGGGAACCAACTGCCCCGAGGACATCCGCGAGCTGGCCGACCGCTGCTTAAGCTTCAACCCCAACGACCGCCCGAGCGCCAGCGTGGCACACTACGAGCTGCGCACGCTGCTCAAGCTGCACTCGGCGTTCGAGCTCTAGGAGTAGTTGGCCCCGTATCTTATATGAAAGTAGCAAGTTCCAAGACGGAAGCGCGAGGAGGGAGGCGAGCAGAGCGAGAGAAAGCGGCGACGAGGTTCCAGCATCAGCATGAGCGCACGCGCCGCACCCACTTTCCTGGGTAGTGTCATTAGTAAATCTGTTAAAAAAGCGTGCGTTTGATCTCTTTACTACAACTGGTTCAGCTACAGAAACTAAATCTTCTCGAGTTCTACATGTACAAACACGTAACTGGGTGGGGCGATTGCATGAATCGCAAGCCCATCAACATGCTCGATCGATGAAATGGGTTCCAATGCTCAACTCGAGGAGCTTTTGTGCTCGACTGCTCTATCGGACAGGAGTGCTACGTGAATCTGCCCGCTGTGCACTATGGAACACATCAGTTTAGTTGAGATACCCTTCTGTAGTCATTCGGAGGATGAACACAGCCTCCGAGAGAAGAACCGCAGCTGCACCAAGCGCACCACTATCTCGCATGCCATCATTGCTTGCCGCTGCCATCGTTATCGGCGCTCATGCGGGCAGTGCTCGAGTTGGGCGAAGGCTGCCGAAAGCGTCATGGAATGGTACAGCGAAATGCTACCTGAAACTCAGTCGACCCACAAACCAAGGTAATCCAGCAATAATTTAGTGGAAAAGTTGGAAGGTGAAGACGATATTTTATTCACGACCATGAGCCCTTGAGCTCGATTCTAGCATCGACGTTCGCGATTGCACGGTTACAGGCTCCACCAACACTATCATTTACTCTAATTTGTCGGAGGAAGCTGCAACACTCGTACACTCTTGAACATCTCGAACGAATTCACGCGTGGATTCAAAGTGCGCAGCACACCGTCATGTGCTACGGGTTTGTGATCCGACGCACCACGAGAGACTCCCGATGCAACGAAGCGCTGTCTGCAATGATGGCAGCGCTTGGTCGGTCTGGGAAAATCTCCGTGAATGCGCTGACCCCATGAAGGGTGGCTAGGCCTCTGACCAGCCCCCACCCGAATTCAGAGGGTCCCGCGGAATCGTCGACTACAGCAGTTTACACGTTTACTGCGCCGCCTCCTGAGGAGGGACGTACGATTGCAGCGCCTGCGAGAGATCCTTGATGAGATCCTTGGCGTCCTCGACGCCGATGGACAGACGCACCAGGTCCTCCGGGAACGAGCGCGCCTTGCGCACCTCCTCGGGGATGCTGGCGTGCGACATGGCGCCGGGCAGCGAGATGAGCGAGTTGACGCTGCCGAAGCTCACCGTGATCTTGAAGAGCTTGGTCACCGTCAGCAGGTGCTGCGAGAAGGCGAGCGAGCCGGTGCGGAAGCAGACGACGGAGCCGCAGCCGCGGGCCTGCGAGTCGTGGATCTGGCGGTCGGGCGAGCTCTCGGGGAGCAGACTGGTGTAGTGCACCTTCTGGATGAGCGGGTGGTCGTTGAGGAAGTTGGCGACCTTGGCGGCGTTCTTCTGGGCCGCCAGCACGCGCAGACTCATGGTCTTGACGCCGCGCAACAGCAGCCAGCAGTCGAACGGCGCGAGGCCCGTGCCCTCGGCGTTCTGGTAGAAGTAGATGTCACGGCAAAGCTCCGGGTCCTTGGCGATGACGATACCAGACATGGTGTCACTGTGTCCACAGATGAACTTGGTGGCAGAGTGCACCACGATGTCGGCTCCGAGCTTGAGCGGGTTCTGCAGGATGGGGCTCATCATCGTGTTGTCCACGGATAGCAGGGCGCCGACGGTGTGCGCCGCCTCAGCGAGGCGCTTGATGTCGCAGATGCGCTGCATAGGGTTGGTGGGGGACTCCATCATGACCAGCTTGGTCTTGTCCGAGAGTGCCGCCAGCAGGTTCTTAGGGCCGTCCGGGCCCGAGAGATCGACGTACTTGACGACGACGCCGTTCTTGGTCGCCACCTTGCTGAGCAGGCGGTAGGTGCCGCCGTACGAGTCGTCAGAGAGCACGATCTCGTCGCCGGCGTGCGCCAGGCGAGAGACGGCTGACAGCGCGGCCATGCCACTGGTGAAGGCAAAGGCACGGTGTCCGCCCTCGAGCTCGGCCATCTGACGCTCGAGCGCCGCGCGCGTGGGGTTGCCCGAGCGCGTGTAGTCGTAGGCGCCGAAGGTGGTGCCCGAGGGCTGTGCGAAGGTGGACGTCTGGTAGATGGGCATGGTGGCCGATCCGTGCGGGTCGTCCTTGCAGGCCTCGAAGCTCACGAGGCGCGTGCTCATGTTGAACTCGTCGTCGCCCTCCTCCAGCGTGTTGCGGTTGACGTCCTCAATCTCCAGCGCCTCGTTGCCGTCCAGGTTGGCGCGTGCGCGCTTGGGCGTGGCCTCCACCTCGTGGCGCGGCACGAAGATCTTCTCGGGCTCGGCCTGGCCCGAGCCGGACACGAGCTGCGTCACGTAGCTGCGCTCCAGCATGAACTCGAGGCGCGAGGCCAGCGAGGGTGCGGCGGCGTCTTCTGACGGCGGCGCGCCCTGCTGGTTGGCGGCCACGGGCGACGCGGCACGGGGGGAGCCCGTGGCCTCGGCCTGCTCGCGCTCGGAGCGCAGCGTGCGCTCGGCCTCGAAGAACTGGCGCGTGCGCAGGTAGTCGCACACGAGGTCGAACACCTCGGACTCGCCGAGGCTCTGCTGCAGCGCTGCGGAGGAGGACGCCATGGGGCTGTGCTGTGTGTGCCGGGGGAAGAGGGGACGGTTGTGCTCCTTGTGAGCTCTTGGACGCCAATTCCGGAATGGACGTAAATTTAACCGAAAAGAAAGGCAGAGCACCGGTTAAAACCGGTGTGCTGAGAAGTGGGTGGCCAGACGTGCTGAATTGGTTTGTACGGGGCATTTGAAAATACAGGTCAAACTCAACTGTATTATGAGAGGTCTAATAGTTGTGTGGACCACACCATGGGATTATACAGGGAAGGCTAACTTTTACCACCTGCCACTTTGTTTTGCGGGCGTGCATGAGTGTTTCCCGACGCAGGCGTGTCAGTGCACAGCATAAGTTGGTGCTGTAGTGAGGCTAGTTCCGCAGCAGCATAATAGCTGGCGGAAATGACGGCCAAGCCGCGCGAGAGCTGCGCGCAGCAGTCCTGGCGGCCAAGGCGCGGTGCTTGGTTTGCCTGCCAGGAGATTTTTCCGGGCACCGAAACGGCCGCTCCGCATCTTGCGAGCAGCTGGTATGGAACCGGCTTGAGCAATTAGAACCTGTTTTACTTATTTAGTACCGGTGTATTTGTGTTTTGCACGCAAAATTAGGTGCCACACCTTAATCGAGGTGGTCCACAAAAGTGTCCACCCCATCGCCAAGATGACCCCACCATGGCGAAAGCAGTCTTTGTCAACGACAACTGGTCGGTGACAAGAATTGAGCAAACTGAATTGATGGGACGTCTCAAATGACCGCTCCTCCAAAATGGATGTGTACGTACTGTAATCCGGGGGCAAACCGCTGCATAACGACCGTCGTCGTCGGCAGTGCCGCCCGTGACGTGTCAGCGGTCCACTGGAGCCATCACCTTGCCGATTTGCAGCTGATCCCTTCAACTCGACGAGCCGACGAGCACCGCCCCGCGCGTCCATCGAAGATCAAAGTGGTGCCTGCACCGGTGCTGGTGCGCCGCGGCGATCTGAGACACTGGCACCGTCGTCTTCTTGCCGGTGGCGAAGCTCGCTGCTGCTGCTTGCCCGTTGAGCCAGGATGCGCCACCACAATCGACTAACGAGCCGCTGTTTCGATCCGTTCGTTCACTGCCGCTCAACACCTTGAAGCGCCAACGCAAATGCCAGCACCGTGGCGCTGGCAGCAACCGCACGCGCCCGGGACTCGTACAAGGCACGAGCCCTGGGGCCAGATAGTTGGCTGCTGGGATAGGACATGGCCTTGGCTGGCGGGGCAGGGCGATGCGGTGGCGCTCCCTCATTTGCTGCTGCCGCGTGGATACAAGGTGAAACCGAATGCCAAGCAGATTGATGCACGAGCTGGCAAACGCACTGGGCAGGGGGAATCGATGGCTGCAGCAATCAATCGGGCCAAGGCGCGACGCGATCATAGTCGCAAGGATGAGATTTGCTCGCAGGCAAGGGGCTTTCGCTGCTAGAGAGCAGTGGCGCCCCGATGGCCGGCGCTCATCTGTAAGAGCCTCATCCCAGCAGAGCAGAGAGATGGCTACAGGACGGACGCAATGTGCGACTCGGTACATAACGTTGAAGATTCCGTCAATATTACACAGGACCCCGGAACCTGCGATTTCCACTGTGCGGTCTTGGTAGACGCGCTAGTGGCAGCTCGGATGAATGGCCAGCGGTGCTTGCAGGAAGGCGGCGAGGCAAGCGTCCCGATGTCGCTCGCACCGCTGCAGACCCCACGTTCTGGACATGAAATCCGAATGCTGCGTCAACTTGTCTTTGGAGCTCGTGCTGGGCCGGTAGTTAGAGAGCGGGGAAACTCGTTGGTACCATGCTAACGGACCAGCACGCATGACTTGGTGTAAGCGTGGGACACGTGCAGCTGGGCGGTGCCCAGGCGGTAAGCGCGCGCACGGGGAGGATATCTTTGCGGCCCGCAAATTGCGGACGCATTCCGCTGGTCACAACCGGGCCAGCACCGACGGAACCGCGAGGACCATGTCGACGACTCCTTCGCGCCTGGGCTCGGGGACTCGCTTGGATACGCGTGGAGTGCCGCACACGAGCTGTTTCGCCCAGTTGTCCATTGTAGCGTCGTGAGTGACTTTTTTGACTTGCGCCCAGTATGGCGAGCCCTGTCGCTTTCGGTCGCACTTAGCCGGAGGCGTCCGTTTTTGCCTCTCCGGTCACGTACCTGACCTCATTCGCCCACTTTCGATTTTGCGGGGCGCGGGCGTCGAGCGGCAGCGAGCGGATACTGTACCAAGAAGACAAGTGGAGTAGGCCAGCATGTGCAAGGTGGAGGAGAAGAGCAGCCTGCCGCCCATGGCCCCCGTGGAGCCGCAGGCCACCAAGCCCAAGTTCGTGCTGCCCCACGAGCCGCAGAGCGACTTCCACTGGACGCCCACGGACGAGCCGCACGCCACGCGCCGCAAGCTCATCATGGCCAAGTACCCGGAGGTCAAGAAGCTCTTCGGCCACTGCTGGAAGACCAAGTACATCATCACCGCCACCGTGGCGCTGCAGACGTACCTGGCGCTCACGGCGCAGTACATGTCGTGGCCCGTGTACATGTTCCTCATGTACGTCGTGGGCGGCACGGCCAACCACGCCATGATGCTGGGCATGCACGAGGTGTCGCACAACCTGGCCTTCAAGAAGCCCTTCCACAACAAGCTGCTGGGCATCTTCGCCAACCTGCCCGTCGGCGTGCCGTCCTCCGTCTCGTTCAAGCGCTACCACCTCGAGCACCACCGCTACCAGGGCGAGGACGGCGTGGACGTCGACCTCCCCACGGAGTTCGAGGGCAAGATCTTCACCAACAAGTCCACCAAGCTGCTCTTCGTCATCTTCCAGGTCTTCTTCTACGGCGGCCGCCCGCTCATCGTCAACCCCAAGGTGCCCGGCGTCTGGGAGTTCTTCAACGCCACCGCTTGCCTCAGCTACAACTACGCCATCTACGTGTTCGGCGGCTTCTCGGGCCTGCTCTACCTGCTCGTCGGCACGATGCTCGGCTGCGGCATCCACCCGGTCGCGGGCCACTTCATCGCCGAGCACTACGAGTTCGTGCTGGGCTACGAGACGTACTCGTACTACGGCATCCTCAACCGCGTCACGTTCAACGTGGGCCTGCACAACGAGCACCACGACTTCCCGTTCGTGCCCGGCTCGCGTCTGCACCAGGTGCGCGCTCTGGCCCCCGAGTTCTACGAGAACCTGCCGAGCCACAAGTCGTGGACCAAGGTGCTGATCGACTACGTCATGAACGACAACATCAACGCCTACTCCCGCGTCAAGCGCCACAACCTCTCGGACGAGGTCAAGGACAAGATGAAGAGCGACTAGATGGACGGACGGACGGACGGACCCCGTGGACGCGTCGTGTCGTGCGCGAGGGGAGCGCTGGTGTTGTTGCCCCCGCCCGCTGCAATTTCGATCGGCCGACTCGCGTTTTGTATCAATCCATGTCGCTAGGGATTTTGTGCTAACAAATATCAATAACAACGGCAAATGTATCTTTGAACAAACAGAGCCGTTGCCCCATGCGCTGCGATGACTTCCAGGCATTCACAAGTGATACATCCATGGTGGCCTTGGATCGCGTGTGGAGCATGGTTGACATCTTCACTGTCGATTTGAAGTGAAGCCACCTGCAGTGCCCGGCACATGGCACGGCCCGTGCCGCACCACCAACCACCAGCTGCTGCCTTCAACATGCATAGACGAGTGCGAGGAGGGGCGTGGCACTTGCTTGCTGCGGCGGCCCGCATCGTCCGTCAGTTTGGGATTGCATTCGTGTCTTATTTTTTCCTGCTGAGCTACCGCTACAACCTCCGAAATGCAAACGACATGCATCTCTCACCCTTCACTGTCTCCAATACACTTGGCCTGGCCTCTCTACGCCCGTCTTTCAGCTCGACATGGGTGCCATTCATCTACCTCGCTTGACCATCCTGGCTTGACTTGCCTTGACTAACCTTGACGGGCCTTGGGCGCGTTCGGGTTGCCCAGCGTGAACAAGCGCGGCGCGATGGACATGGCCATGAGCTCCTGGAAGAGCAGCTTGCACGAGTACGGGATGTGGACCTGCGAGATCTGCGTCTTGTTGCGGCACGTGCGGCACTCGAACGTCATCTTGCGCAGGTTGGCGATGGCGATGATACCGCAGATATCGCACACGTGCACGCGGTACGCGTCCGAGTTGGCGAACAGGCGGTCCATGAGGAAGTTGGCCGAGCCGTGCGAGATCAGACAATCGCGCTCCATCTCTCCCATACGCAGACCACCCTCGCGCGCACGACCCTCCATGGGCTGGCGCGTCAGCATGGTCACGGGGCCACGCGAACGCGAGTGGATCTTGTCGTCGACCATATGCTTCAGGCGCTGGTAGAACGTGGGGCCGATGAAGATCTGCGCTGTCAGGCGACGGCCCGTGTGGCCGCTGTACATGACCTCGTTGCCGTGCTTCTGGTAGCCCAGGTTGTGCAGCGTGTCGGCGATGGCCTGCACGGTCACGTCCGTGAACGGCGTGGCGTCACCCTCGTCACCCGTCTGCGACGACACTTTGCCGAGCAGACACTCGACAAGATGCCCCACCGTCATACGCGACGGAATAGCGTGAGGGTTCACGACGATATCGGGCGTGATGCCCTCCACCGTGAACGGCATGTCCTCTTGGCGGTACGTCATACCAATCGTACCCTTCTGTCCGTGACGCGATGCAAACTTGTCACCAATCTGGGGGACACGAATGTTGCGGAAGCGCACCTTGGTAAACTTGAAGCCGTCGGCGTTCGTCGTCAGCATCACGCTGTCGATAATACCGTTCTCGTGCGAACGCAGAGCCGTACTAGCATCACGCTTCTGGTGGCGCTGCTCCAACGAAGAATCTTCCGACTGCGGCAGCGGCGACGTCTTACCGATAATGATATCATTACCACTGACACGCGTGCCAGGAGCCACCAGACCATCGTTGTCCAACTTGTGATAGCTGCCGTGGCGGAGACCCAGGCAGTTCTCGCGGGAGGGCTTCTCGAACTCTTCGCAGTTGGCGCCGCCTGCACCGCCACCGGGGCCGCCGTGCGGGCTCTTGTTCCGCTCTTGGTCAATGTAGCAACGGTAGAACGTGGACCGGAAGAAGCCGCGGTCGATGGCACTCTGGTTCATAATCAAGGAGTCTTCCTGGTTATAGCCCGTGTACGACGCAATACCCACGATAGCGTTGATACCCGACGGCAACTCACGGAAATGCAGGTACTCCATAGCACGCGTCGTAACCAGGGGCTTCTGCGGGTAGTTCAGCACGTTGGCCATGGTGTCCATTCTTGCGCGGAAGTTGGAGCAGTAGATGCCCATGGCCTGCTTACCCATAGCGGACTGGTATGTGTTACGCGGCGACTGGTTGTGGTCCGGGAACGGAATAATACTGGCACAGATACCGAGGATCATGGACGGGTGGATCTCACAGTGCGTGTGGATCTGCGAACCGGTGCCGACGTCCTTGGGCTCCATGGCAATCATACACACTTCCTCTTCCTCGGTATCGATCAGTTCCACGACACCATCCGTCAGCAGGTTGTGCCAGCGGTAGTTTGTGATCTTGTGGTTCTGCAGCTTCACGACCTGCTCCTTCTGCAGCAGCAGTTGGTTGTCCTCCACGATGAACAGCGGACGGCACACGCGGCCAGCGTCAGTGTAAATGCGCAGCTCCTTGTTCATCAGATCGCGAATAACCGACACTTCGGCGTCGATATCCACGCAACGACGCAGTGACCGCAGCGTGCGGATCAGCTCGTTCGGTTCACGGTGCACACCCACCCAGTTACCGTTCACGAAGATCTTGGTCGAGTGCGGGATGATCTGCGGCTTGATCTCCTCCAGGTTTTCTGTTGCCCACTCTTCCAGGAACTCAAGGATGGGAGCCTGCGGCGAACCCACAGAAATGTAGGCCATCAGGGCCAGGTTCTTCACGAGACCGACAGCCTGGCCCTCGGGCGTTTCGGCAGGACAGATCATACCCCAGTGCGTGTTGTGCAGCTGACGCGGCTGGGCCTGCTTACCTTCACGGCCGAGCGGTGTGTTCAAGCGACGCAAGTGCGACAGCGACGACGCGTACGTCAGTCGGTTCAGCACCTGCGAGACGCCGGCCTTCGATGCGCTCTTCTGCATACCCCAGTTGCCCGTGGCCAGCGAGTAGCGCAGACCGTTGGTGATCGTACGCGAGCGGATGGCCAGCGTCAAGTTGAAGTCCTTGCCGTTGTCCACGCACTTCTGCAGGAACGACTTGACGTCCTTGGTCAGCTTCTTGAACAGGATGCGGAACAGGCCGCCCAGCAGCGGGCCGGCCAGATCCAGACGCTTGTTGCCGTAGTGGTCACGGTCGTCCTCGCCGATGCGGCCCAGCGAGCACATGAGCAGCTTGTGCACCACGTAGCCGAGGAAGTAGGCCTTCTTGGTCTCGTTGTGGTCCTCCACGCCGACGTGCGGCAGCATCTCCTTCTGCAGGATGTCCTGCGCGTAGCGGATACGGTCGGCCTTGCTCACGTTGATGGCGCTACCACGACGGCCGATGAAGTCCAGCGCGACCTCCTGCTCCTGGATCACGAAGGCCTCCTCGAGCGACGACTTGAAGCGCTCCATGAGCTCGGCGTCCGAGAAGTCGTAGCAAATGTGCTCGAGGATCTCGCGGTCGGCCACGAAGCCGAGCGCGCGGAAGATGATGACGACGGGGATGTCCTGGCGGATGTACGGGATCACGGCGCGGATCTGGTTGCCCGTGATGGCGCTCTTGCCGCCGCTCTTCTGGTACATCTGCACGTACATGGTGCTCGTGGGGCGCACGCCGTGCTCGACGTGCGAGCGCGTCTCGCAGACCCAGCTGTACTTGGACGCGGCGTTCTTGCGGAAGCAGTAGACGTGGTTGTTGCTCATGCGCTCCTGCGCGATCAGCACCTTCTCGCTGCCGTTGATGATGAAGTAGCCTCCCTGGTCGTACACGCACTCGTTGAGCTCCGTCAGCTCCTTGTCCGTCTTGTGGGTCAGCACGCAGTACTGCGAGCGCAGCATGATGGGCACCATGCCGATGAACTCCTTGGGGGTCTCCACCTGGTCGTACGGGTCCATGTCCTCGAGGTTGGCCGGGCCCGAGGCGGGCGCCTGATACTTCTGGCACACCACGTCCACGTACAGCGGCGCCGAGTACGTGAGGTTGCGCAGGCGCGCCTCGTGCGGGAACATGACGCTTGTGGAGCCGTCGGCCTCCGTCATCGTGGGCTTGGACAGGTAGATCTGGCCGAACGAGATGTTGTAGATGGTGTCCGTGTTGGCCTTGGCCTGGCCGGGCGCGTACTGCGCCTCCGGGTTGATGCGGATGGAGCGCGAGTCGTCCACGAGCTCCTGCATTGTGTTCTGGATGAACTCGTCGAACGAGTCCAGCTGCTGGCGCACGAGGCCCTTCTCCTCGAAGTAGCTCGAGATCACGGCCCACGCGTCCTCCTGGGACACGGCGGAGCCCGCCGCCAGCCCCAGGTCGCCGCCGTCGTCGCGCTCCGTGTCGCTGTCGATCGGGTTCTCCCAGCTCATTGTTGGCGAGACGTGCACGCGACCGATACAATCACCAAATGACTCGAGGGGGCCGGGCGGCGGGCCGTTGGCGGGTTTGAGGTGGGCCACATCATATAGGTAGGGAAATGTGGCCAGGTTCCAGTACACGGAGAGCATTTCTTACGGTAAATTACGAAGAATTACGAAGATTGTCGTGTTTGCATAGTTTGCTGTCGGCACTATTTGTTACCAGCATCTTCATCCGACCCACTAAGCTTACAAGATGCATGGTGAATTATCTTGTCATGTGAGCAAAATGGCGATCTTTTTCATTTGATTCAATCTCAAACTACTGCATACTCCAGATTGTGCGTTTCTACCGTGCTTGGGTGTCTCCCGCGTTTTCGACGCGCATGTAGAAGTAGTAACTACCGGTGGATAACGATGACAATACATCCCGTATCCACCGTGTCGATGATTCTAAGCAAGTCACTGCGAAGAGCTCAGACTCGAGTTCAAGGCACCGTCATACACATCGTCAGTACTGAAGTAGTACGTCTCGGTGTCGACTGAAGCTGTCGGGTTGAACGCAGGCATTTCGTCCACGCACGACTTGTCCAGGCCTTCCATATCGCCCTCGTTCTTGACAAACGAAGCAAGTATCTTCCCACCGCAAGTTGGGGACCAAACATCCTCTGGATCAAGCTGGGTCCACACAAGCGCTCCGTGGATGGAAGTGTTGAACGTAACCAGCTCCTTTCTGTCCCCATCCAGCGCTTCCAGCAAGTATTTGTGAGGCGTCTGCGGGTCCAACTTGCTACTCAGGAGCAGCACGCTGGCCTGACTGGGGATCTTGGCGCTCTTGTTCCAGTACTCGTCACGTTCGTAGATGATCCCATTGGCAGAATAGTTGCCGTAGTGGAGTTCATCTGAGTCTTCTTTAGAGAAAGCGCAGTAGAGAAGGTCGAATGCGTACAATCCAGAGGTGACATTTTTGTCGGTGAATCTTTTTCCCATCTCGGACAGCGTAGGCGTCGGAGTTTCCCACATTTCCGAGAATACGATGAGATAATAGAGCAATGGCGAGTAGTATGCGGCACTCTGCGTAGTGGCGGTGACGTACTCCATGAAACGTTTCGTGAAGTAGGTCAGGACGTCGACGTCTTGTTCGTTGCAGCGCTGGGATCGGTACACGACCGGTGGGATGAGTTTCCGCAGATCCGCATCCATCAACATTTCACCGAGCATATCTCTCAGCGTAAAGGAGGGCAGAGCATCGTCTCCCAGAGTTTTCACGTTGTCCATGACGGTTGCGCAAGTCGAGTTTGGGTCCTTGTCGAAGTCTGCGAGCAACTCTGGAAGAGCTGTAGGCAGCGTCTGTGGTTGCTTGAAGTGGCTGCTGCAGATAGTGTCTTCAGAGCACAACTCCAAGAACCGGTCGCCCACTTCACCATAGTCCGTTTCCCACATCGACATGTACTCAAACTTGCCGGGTGGCGCCCCCGACGCCGTCGCAACGCCGTCCAGAACGTACCCCGTCACCGTCGGAGGATTCAGATGCATCAAGCGTTCCACCAGCATTGTTTCGTAGCTGGCGCCATACACAATCGTATTGGCTCCATTCGTGTACTGCGAGATGAAGGTCACCACATCAGTGGCTGCACTGGTGCGAGGAGAGATCGCCGTACTTATCTTGAAGGTCTTGGGCACAAGAAGCAACTTCTGACGGGTCGATCTCCTTGCCATTCGGAGATCCGGTGGTCGTAGCTTCCGCCGCGACGCAGTCCAAGAACGTGCTACGACCCGTACCGCGGTGGTCCATCGTGTAGATATTGGCTGTCCCATTCAGCTGGTAGAGCAAACTCAACAGCGGATTTTCCACTGGAAACGGTGAACACAACCAAGTTAATAAAACTAAAATGGAATTTTTTTTTTGAGTGAGTACGTACTGACAGAGGAGGAGTATCCGGGACCACCTTGCAGGAGCCAGACGTTCGTAGTGGTCTTGGGACCACCGTTCGTTGCCGGCATGCGCTTCACGAAGACGTCGATCGTCGGGTCGGCGAACTCTCGAGACTGGCGTCTCACAGATTCCAGGGTAGCACAGCAGTGCATTGAAGGTGGCACACTCGGATTCCTCTTCGTTTGGGCTTCCTTCGTCGGAGAAGGTGTAGTCATAGCAGTTATACCAGCCATTCAGTCGCGTCTTGACGATAGTGTTGGACGCCGAGGCATGGACGCCAGCACAAATACTTAAGTAGCTAGTAGTGGCGCATTGGCAGAGAGCTGGCAAATTCGAAAATGGTTGGGACTCGAGGCAACCGGGTTTGGTTGATTGGCACCATGGTACTTGAAGTGTTTGAAGGAGGATTCGCTCTGGTGCCATCACTTTAATCTCGTTGTCGCAGTTGGTTGGACAGTGAGGCTCTGACACAGCGTTGAGCGATGCCTGAACTGCTACAGTACTAAAGCGTCACGTTGTTTGCGATGATACTGTTCCTTGAATCACGATGAGATGAGCAAAATTCACGATGGGCTTCGTGCTTGTATTATTACGAAAATATCTAGTGGTGACAGGATATGTATTACTGCCCCTCCCTGATCGATTACGCGTTAATAGACACGACTCGTAATACACCCGTTCATGCTCTGTTTGGGTAGCACATGTACAAGTAAAGATAAAAAAGATTTTCTTACCGTCGATAAAAAAACACCGGGGGAAACCCCTTGCATGCACCATAATTCCTATGTATGCTCCCATTCGTATCCACAAGCCATCGTGAATACGTTTGTACTACAGTCTGTAAACCGTTTTTAAAAACACCAGCTATTTTTTAAAAAAATAGCTGGTTCTATGGCGTTCACGGCTTTAGAATAAGTACTGCTACCGCAGCTCAGTAAAAAAAATCAAAATGTTTTATAACCGAGACACATTGTACTTCTCTAGCCATGTTGCGTTGTATATACTTCACCCAAGTACCACAAAATAGCGAATGAAAAAAAATGCACAAACTATGACAGTAATTCATCAACTTTTCTTCAAAACAACACTCGGCTGCGCGACCGAGACGGGTATATCGGATTGGTCTGCAGTACATGTAGATATGTACGAAATGAGAGAATACTGTACGCAGAGATCATGCGGTTTTTCCGTTTTCTTTCTTATGTCTACATTGTACCAACGCGTAATCGACCAGGGAGGGGTAGTAATACATACCCCTGTCATCAAATACGGAGCCTTCACGAAGTCCATAGTGAACAACGTAACGCTGAGCTGACAAGACAGTTCAAGCACAATTCAACGCTGTGCCAAGGAGCTCGTTGGCAACGGAAGTCCAATCAACTGCGATAGTACGGGTAAAATGAAGACTTCAAATACTTCAAGTACCATGATGCCAATCAACAAACCCGGTTGCCTCGAGTCCCAACCATTTTCGAATTTGCCAGCTCCCTGCCAATGCGCCACTACTAGCTACTTAAGTATTTGTGCTGGCGTCCATACCTCGGCGTCCAACACTATCGTCAAGACGCGACTGAATGGCTGGTATAACTGCTATGACTACACCTTCTCCGACGAAGGAAGCCCAAACGAAGAGGAATCCGAGTGTGCCACCTTCAATGCACCGCTGTGCTACCCTGGAATCTGTGAGACGCCAGAGTTCGCCGACCCGACGATCGACGTCTTCGTGAAGCGCATGCCGGCAACGAACGGTGATCCCAAGACCACTACGAACGTCTGGCTCCTGCAAGGTGGTCCCGGATACTCCTCCTCTGTCAGTACGTACTCACTCAAAAAAAAAATTCCATTTTAGTTTTATTAACTTGGTTGTGTTCACCGTTTCCAGTGGAAAATCCGCTGTTGAGTTTGCTCTACCAGCTGAATGGGACAGCCAATATCTACACGATGGACCACCGCGGTACGGGTCGTAGCACGTTCTTGGACTGCGTCGCGGCGGAAGCTACGACCACCAGGTCTCCGGATGGCATCGAGTTCGACCCGTCGGAAGTTCCTGCCTGTGCCCAAGACCTCCAGAACAAGTAAGGTGCTCGACCAGTTTACCGCAATGTTTTACTTTTTCCGCGGAAAAATGGTCATAACTTTTTTTCTAGACATCCTCTCAGAAATTTAAAAATATGCCGCAAATCTACAGAAACTCGTCTACAACAAGGTGATCTTGTCGTGGTTCTAGTGTTTTGTAAGCGAGCTACCTGCATCAAGGAAAAACCAGGATGCTTTGACGAGCGCCGGCCAGTTTAGCGCAGCGAAACATATTGGGGTTTGTATGACGAAGCATCCCCATTGCAGAAAACGCGTAATGTGTTACAGGAAGAGACAAAGTCTGTACGCTCTTCACCAAAGTGCGTACTTTTTTCACCACAAGGGCCAAGGGGGATGCTTCGTCATACAAACCCCAATATGTTTCGCTGCGCTAAACTGGCCGGCGCTCGTCAAAGCATCCTGGTTTTTCCTTGATGCAGGTAGCTCGCTTACAAAACACTAGAACCACGACAAGATCACCTTGTTGTAGACGAGTTTCTGTAGATTTGCGGCATATTTTTAAATTTCTGAGAGGATGTCTAGAAAAAAAGTTATGACCATTTTTCCGCGGAAAAAGTAAAACATTGCGGTAAACTGGTCGAGCACCTTACTCATGGAATGATCGAGTATCGTGGGGTCCAACTTGCGCCATGAAGATACTTACTTCGTACGCCAGGAACAAGGGCGACCTGAAGGGGCGGGACAAGTCGTGCATGGCCGAAATGCCGGCGTTCAACCTGACGGCCTCGATGGCCTACCGGGCCTACTACTTTAGTGCCGACGACATGTACGACGGTGCCTTCAACGAAAGTCTGAACTCGTCCCAGTGAGTTTCTTTACAAACCTGGGGAAACGATCGACGTACATGTAGGTACTACTAGAGGTACAGTGACAACACCAAAAAAGCTAGAACCGCATGGTTACGAGGGGTTTAGAGGCTTGAATAGAATCTACAGAACATGTAGTTCAACAGATACCAATCCTCGCCATACGATAAGCAATGCAGATATTCCGTCTTGCATTTTCCAGATATGAACTGGGTTTATGTGGCAGTAATGAGGCCCATTACCTGAAATGGCAACATTGGCGGGCGTGGTCTTCCCCAGAAATCCTGCTACTGGGCATATACACATGTTTACAGATACATGTACAGATATCGTGACAAGCTCACGGAGTGGAGTGCAGTACGTGGCAAACTTTCCTGAGCGACGGTTGTCGTGCTGCGTGGATGAGGTATGTACAACTAACCAAGAAGTGCTGTCCACGAGAGGCAGATGACGGGTGAGGCGTTGCAGTTTCGGGACGATAGTCCGTCGTCACCACTTAGCATGAGTATGACGCTTTCATATGATATGAAAGCGTCACTTTCTTAGCAAACCTACGATTAAATACCGGTAATGGTCGGTACTACTAGGCTGTGGTCGCCTCGCGTCTCACGCCGTTGGCCGCTCGAAGCATTAGCAACTGGCGCCTCGCATGTCTGTCCGCCAGCCTGTCGCCGAGCTGTCAGCTTCGCCAGCAGCAACGGCATAGCGTGCACCTGTTCTTGTGCCGCTGAAAAAATGGCCGTCCACCCTGCGTCGTTTGTTTGCAGGGACTGGCATAGAGCAGATGGACACAGCCACCTATACAAAACACGCTCCTTCCGACTCGAAACCGCAAGTAGTATCAGCGTGAGTACTTAGTCGAAAACGAAAGGGAACCGGTACGTGATCGGTATTACACAAGTGAAACTCAGCACTCTTTCAACACAACGCGAAAAGGAGACACGCGAGGCCTCTCCCCCCTCCTAGGCGCCTGAAGCACAGTACGGAACGCGCCAGTCGAGGCTCAAGCAGCGCACAGCAGTCTGCTGCTGTAGAACGCCCTACCTCCCCTCTACACCCCCCCCACAGGACCCCCCCCCCTTCCCCCTTCCCCCTTCTCCCTCTTCTGCAGCCATGGCGTCGGTCGCGTGCATCCAGTGGATCCGCGACGAGCTGGAGGCGCACGGCGACCTCAAGGAGCTGAGCCCGCCGCTGGTGGAGACCAAGTCGCTGTGCGAGTTCGTGACGGACGGCCGCGCGCTGTGCCTGCTGACCAACGCCGTGCTGGAGGGCGAGGAGAACGAGCTGCCCAAGAAGCTGCAGCGCTCGCTCAAGCAGCTGAGCAAGTTCCACGCGCTCGAGCGCGTGCAGTTCTTCATCAAGTGGTGCCGCACGCGCGCGCTGCTGGAGGAGCACCAGGTCTTCACCACGGTGCAGCTGCTGGACGAGGTGAACGAGACGGCCGTGTCCGAGACCATCGTGGCGCTGCGCAACAAGACGCGCCCCGGGCTGCGCGCCTCCAACCCGCTGTCGCAGTACTACTTCGACGGCGACAGCAATAACAACGCGGCCGGCCGCGCGTCCACGAGCAGCACCACGAGCACGGGCAGCGGCAGCGGCGCCAACAACGCCAACCGCCTCAGCTCCTTCCTCAACAAGTTCCCGTCGGCACCTGTGGTGGCCACCAAGGCCTCGCAGCCCAAGCCGCCCATGTCGGGCCACCGCGCGTCCCTCACGTCCAGTGTGGCCAGCAGCAACCCGTCCCCGAGGCCCGACCTGGAGGACCCCGTGCCGGCGGACGAGGACAACAACAACAAGTCGAGGCTGCGCATCCCGTCCATCTTCAGCAAGAGCAGCAGCAACGGCAACAACAATGCCACTCCCCGCAGCAGCGTGCTGAGCAACCCGTCGTCCACGGCCTCCACGGCCAAGGAGGAGGGCAACGAGGCGCGCTCCCGCTCGTGGTCCAGCAAGCTCTCGGCCTTCTCGCGCAGCGTCTCCACGTCGTCCAACGCGTCGGCCCCGCAGTCCACGCCCACGCCCATTACCCCGTCGGCTGGAGAGCAGGGCCACAACACGCCGACTTCGTCGCCGCCTGCCTCCCCGCACAATAGAGTGAGCATCCCCTCGGCCTTCTCGGCACCGGCTCCTGCTGCCCCCAAGTCCATGTCGAAGCTGTCGGCGTTCTTGAGCAGCGTTGAGCCGTCGTCGTCGGTGGGACCCGCGTCGAGTGCGCCGTCTCAGGACAAGAAGGCGCCGGAGCCGGCCGTGGAGGCCACGCCCGAGGATGACGAGGAGCCTGCGATTGAGGACAACCAGGCGGAGGAGGAAGCCGAGCACACGCCCATTGAGGAGGAGGTCCCTGCTGAAGAGAGCGCCACGCCCGAGGTCGAAGCCGTGCATGAGCCGCTGGAGAAGCCGCCCTCAAGCTCCAAGCTGTTCGCCTTCCTGCAGGCCGTTGAGCCGGCTAGCGTCGACCCGCCGAAGGTGGAGGTTGAAGCTCCGGAGGAAGACGACGATGACTTCGTTGCAGTGGAAGCGGAGGAGGCCGTTTCGACGGAAGAGGAGACCCCGGCCGTGGAGGAGGAAGTCGCCCCTGTTGAGAAAGAGGAAGAGGCTCCCGTGGAGAAGGAAGTAGTCGCAGCTGAGAGCGAGGAAGTGCAGGAACAGGCGGTCGAGGAAGTTGCAGAAGCCGCCCCTGAGGTGCACGACGAGGTGGTGGAGGAGACTCAGGTGGAAGTATCCAAGGAAGTGGCCTCGGACGAGGAGATCGAGGAGGCTCCTGAGGACGAAACCCCGGAGAAGTTGGAAGTGGAGGCTGCTGCTGTCGTAGAAGCCGCTACACCCTCACCGGAGCTTGTCCAGGAGAACGAGCGTCTCGCCGCGGAGAACGAGGCTCTTGCTCAGAAGCTGGAAGTCGCTGAAACTGCCGTTTCAACAAAGGACACAGAGCTGGAGGCGCTCAAGCAGGAGCTCGAGCAGCTGAAGGCACAGCTTGCGGAGGAGCAGGCCAGTGCACACGAGAAGATTCAGTCAGCAGAGAAGAAGCAGGAGTCGCTCGCCGCGGAGGCTGCCGAGGCCCGTGCCGAGCTGGCCAAGTCGCAGAAGGACGCCAGCGACGCAGCATCGGCTGTGAAGGAGGCAAAGGAGGCAAAGAGCCAGGTGGAGGAGCTGTCCACGCAGAACGAGAGTCTGAAGTCCGACTTGGCGAGCCTCCGTGAAGAAGTACAGACCCTCGAGCAGTCCGTGCAGCTCGCGCGCGACAGTGAGGAGGCAGCAAGGTACGCGGCGCAGGTCGCGTTTGCAGCTCGTGACTCTGCGGACGAGGTGAACCAGCAGTTGAAGGACCAGCTCGCGCAGCTCGAAAAGTAGACCAGGACACTGTAGGCCAAGCATGTACGCAAAGATCAAAGGCCAAAGAAGCGTGAGGTAACGAGATGATTAATTTTGAATTGGTTTCATACTGATTGCTGCTTGCCCCTGTCGAAGATGGGAGCTCTGAAGCTAGATGGAGTCTGTCTGGTATCCTGCCAGACTTCGTCGTAGGACCAACGCGCCAGCGAAGCCCACGATCATATAGAGGACGACTACGACGGCGAATAACCCCAGGAGGTGCAGAGTGCTGCGCAGATACGCCTGCACGTCTGCCGCTGACCACTCGGGGCACTTGCCGCAGCTTGCAATCTGAACGAAGCACACAGCAACACGAAACAAAGGTTAGTCATTTTGACATGCCAACTACGTGATGGATACCGCAACGTACGTCGTTTTGTTCGTAGCCCTGGTCGGCTTCGGCGTTCAGCAGCGTCATGTCTTCAATGCAGCCGCTGTCTGATGTGGCGTTCGAACCGCTGGACGAAGTGGCATTGCACGACACCCAGAGGTTGTCGGAGGTCTGCATGACGCCCTCGCACGGGATCATCTCAGAAGTTACGTCGGTGCAGTTGGTGCAGCCTGTGAGGCCGATATCACAGGCCAACGTAGAGCTCGTGTGCGAATTGTACGTCGACGCCAGGTGGTCCGAGAACGAGAAGGCGCTCACTGAGCACACCAGGAGTGCAACGAGGCAGCCGCCGAGACCGATGATGTACTGCCCGAAACAAACCCAACAACTTCAACGTCAGCACCAATTCACCCTCAACCTGCCACCAGCTCTCGACGTACAATGAGGAGCAGCGACCGGCTCTTGGCTCTTGATCCGATGATGCCCAGCACCGACAGCGCGACCATCAGCGTGCCGACAACGATGAAGATGATCGCTGCACATACAAACAGTACCCCACACTTTCAATCAGCACCCTAAACTCCCTACACCAATACCGTTGCCAGCACGTACCGATCCACCGCTGGCCGGACGTCATCTCGTCGTGCACCTTGACCGAGAGCCCGAAGATGAAGAGCCCCGTGCCCAGCAGCGAGAAGGCGGCGTTCGTGACCGACAACATGCTGCGCATGACAATCGGCACCGTGACGATGCGCACGACGCAGTACATGGAGGCGAGCACCAGCAGCATGCACGTGACGCCCACGGCGCCCACCACGGCCACGCGGTGCTCCAGGTACTGCACCGCGTCGCTGTACGAGGCGCAGCAGGCCTCGGCCCGGAGCGCCGCCAGCACGCGCGCCGTCCAGTGGTGCTTGACCCACGACTCGAGCGCGTCCTGCAGGAAGAAGGCGGCGTAGCAGGCCACGAAGAGCCCCGTGACCAGCAGGAAGTCCACGAAGAAGTAGACGAGCAGCAGGCGGCTCTTGTCGCGCCCGGCGCCGACGAAGCCCAGCGCCGAGAGCAGCACCACGCAGCCGCCCAGCGCCGCGAGCGCCGCCGCGCTGGCGCCGAAGCTCGTGGCCAGCACCAGGTGCAGCGCCAGGCCCAGCAGCGCCACGCCGCAGCCGAAGCTCAGCAGCGTCAGCACGCGCAGCAGCTTGCGGGACGGTCGCATTGATCGATTTGATGCTCGAATTACAAATGACTTGGGTGGAGATGGCTACTTTTTTCAGATGGATATTTTTGGAGGTTAAGCGCGTTGTCCAATGGTGTCGCGTTTAGAGCAGACTTTTGGCCAATAGTGAGGCGGGTTGAGATTATCTGATATATACGTTTCCGAGGGCTTAGTCGAATATTCATTTATGGAGGTTTTACTTCAACTTGCTGATGCTTTTTTAGGTACTTGGCTTATTTGCCCCACAGTCTATTGGGGGGTCAAGTTGCGGCGAATTGCGATGCGTTGCGGTGTGATCTAATCTCTCCGTCCAGACAGCTTCAGCTTTGGCATCCGTTAAACTTGACATTGCCCATTGACCTGCGTCCATTTCGTCACCTGACCCAGTGCGCAGTCTGCAGTCTCCAGTTCATCAGCTCAATGTTGACGAAGACGCTCTCGCTGAGCCGCTCCATGTCGTCGGTATTGCTCTCTGACCGTCAGCGCCAACATGGCTGCACCGCGGGCTTGACGCTCATCCGAGTGCTGCGCAACGCAGGCTTGAGCATCCTCGTGGGCTGGCTGTCCGGGTTCGTCTACACTCTGGGCAACGTCGCGTCCGGGAAGCCGCCAGCCGAGCAGTCCTACGCCTCGTACGTCACCACCAACGGCGTCTGGTTCCACGGCGTGTTCTCGGCCACAATGGTGGTCATGTATGCGCTCCGGTTGACGCCCGAGAAGTTCGTCGCCCGTTCCAGACGCAAAATGCCTGAGCCGACGGAGCCTACGTCGCGAACGCTGACGCTGCTGCAGTCCAGCCTCAAGCAGCTGTGCCAAGCTGCTTGAGTCCTGTGAGTCGAATTGAGAACTGATTGATTGAATGAAGTTACTCCTGGCATCTCCTAGCAGCTAGACTACTCATGTAGCGCCTTGAAGGCACCGTGTGTACCCAAAGCAAGGGTTCAAACGAACCCAGAACGAAACTCAGATGAAGTCAACCCTTACGCCAGGGAGGACAGGCGCTAGTGTCGACAGGGTGCAGAAGGAGTTGTCATTCTCCCTCATGCCAGGATGTCAGTGCTGTTAAATCAACACGGGAAGATTCGCCTGATGTTGACTCGGTACTCGCTTGATCCAGTGTCGAGGAGCACATTGCCGTTGTCGTAGACGGCCTTCACGACGAACGGGCCCTTGGCGACTGGGTCGGTTTTCTTCCTTTCACGAGCAGGGACACGGAGCATGACGTTGTCACCTACACGATAGAAGTGCTGCAGTCGCCGCATATTTTCACGATCGTTGTCCTGCATGATGGCCATGAATCGCTGCTTTGAGAGGAAGTTCCAGTTGGCGAAATGCAACTCGCGCGTGATCATGTCCTCGCCAAACATCAATTGAGCGGGGGAAGCTCGAAGTACGGAGTGATAGCTGGCCCTTATGGCGTAGGCAGCATAGTCGAGGGCGACTTCCAGCTGATCATGCAGGTCCGGGCGTACGCGAATGATGTTCATAATTTCCAAGTGCACGCGCTCGCAGATCGCGTTGGCCTGCGGGTTCTTTGCGGTGATCGGTTTGTCCTTGATCGCCATCGAGGTCAATAGCAGCTGGAACTCGTCTCCCGTGAATTCAGGTCCTTGGTCATGCACGACCAGTTTTGGGCGAGGATAACGGCAGAGCCACACGCGCTCAAAGCTCAAAGCCGTAGTTGCCGAGGTCTTGTCGCGCTGCATCAGGACCTCTAACCAGCGAAATTGCTGTTCAATCACCGTCAAGCAGTAGAAGCCCCCAGTAAATGGCCCCACCAAATCCGCGTGAACGACGTCGAATGGGCGATCGGTGTTGGATGCAGGAGTTGGTGGCAGGTGTCCATACTGTTGCTTCCCACCGTGCAGCTTTGCCTTTTTGCAGTCCACGCAATCTTTGACGTACTTCTCCACCGCTGTCTGCATACCAGGCCACCAGAATGTGCTCATCGACTGATACTGCTTTTCAGCGGTAGAGCTCCACGATACTACGACGCAGCGTCTCCGGCACTACGACACGTTTCCGATGGTGAAGTAGCACGACGCCCAGCGCAGGACGAAGTGAATAATCAGGATCCGCTTCATTTTTCTCCAGTCGTGCAATCACTTTCTTGCAGGTAGCATCTTGAAGCTGGTGCTTCGTCATGACGACGCCATCAATTGCTACTTCTTCTTCTTCAACTACGAAAAGTTCCTCTTCGGCGATCTGCTTCACGAAGTCGTAGCGGAGTCGGGAGAACGCGTCAGCACCCACGTTTTGCTTGCCTGGAACGTACTCAACCTGCAAGCGATACTCTTCGAGGATCAGCTTCCAACGCTTGACTCGCAGAGGGTTTTCGCGTGGAAACAGGAGGTTCTTGTGATCCGTATGCACCACCACAGGAAATCCCAGCAACATTGTGCGATATTCTTTTAGTATTTCCACAACGGAGAGCAACTCCCACTCCATCGTGGAATACTTCCGCTGTGTGTCTGTCATTGAGCGAGAGAAGCACGCGATGATCCGCTTGCCCTGGAGGATGACACCTAATCTGCTGGCCGCTCGCGTCCGCGAACACGTGAAAAGGACGGCTGTAATCAGGAAATGCTAGCCATATATTGCGAGCCAGCGCCGTCTTGATCTCTAGAAAGGCTGCAGCATCCTCTGGCGTCCAGGTGAACGGGACATTCTTTGACGTCAGGCGGTTGAGTCGGGCTGTCAACGCCGACTTGTTCGGGACCGTTTCTCTGTAGTACGCGATCATACCCAGGAAGCGACGCAACTCCTTCTTGTTGCGGGGTTCGGCGATCTGCTGGATGGCTTGTACCTTCTTCGTCTGGGGCTGGATGCCGTCCGCTGCTAGGGTGAAGCCCAGGTAGTCAACCCGATCGCGAAGAATGTGACACTTCTTTGCGTTGAGGGTCACATCGTATTGCTGCAGGCGCTCGAACACGATCGTTCCATGCAGGCTTGATACTCGTCTGGGGCTGTCGAAATGCCCATCGGGAGCCTCTTGAACTGAAATTTGCCAAACGGCAGGCAGAATGCCGTGGCTGGGCGACTTTGCCTCGCCAGCCGCCTCGCGAAGTAGCCCATGTTCGCATCCAGAGTGCTCATGCACTTGGCGTTGCCCAGTCTCAGCAGTATTTCGCGGATTTTCGGTACGTAATACGGAGATCTGCGCAGGTACTTGTTCAACTGGCGGAAGTCGACTAATAAGCGAAGAGATCCGTCAGGTTTCACGAGAAAGAAAGCTGGCGCAGAAGACTCCGGGCCGTAGATCTGCTCGATCACATCGAGCTCAAGTAGCCGCTGCATCTCGCGGCGGGCCGCATCTTCTTGGCTGCGGGGGACGCTGTATGGTCGCGCGTGCTCTGGTGTGTAGTCCGCTCGCAACGGGAGGATGTAGTCGTTCAAGCGGATGCGGCCGAGTCGCCCGCTGTACAAGTCCACATACTCTTCCAGCAATTTCAGGTAGCAGTGCTGAAGAGCTGCCTCTAAGTGCAGAGGCATCAAATCCAAAGGCGTGGCGGCTGCTGCTTCACCTGCAAAGTATTCCAAAGCTTCTTCCACAGTCAAGTCGGAGTCAGGGCCGGTAGCTAGGTCGAGCTTCTTGCCAGTGGTGTGGACGGCGAGCTCGCTACCGTCCCATTGGACGATGCCCTTCCTGAAGTCGATCACTAAGCCGAGTGCCGTCATTAAGTCGCGCCCAATCGTCATATCGTCCGGAAGTGAAGATAATACCTCGAATTGGTGGACAATGACCGAGTCGCGTTTAAGTTGCGGGATCCGAAAGCGCACAACCATGGCGCCTTCACTTTGCGTTTGCCCCTTGACCAATTTAAATGAAGTTGTAGAGTTCTCCAGCCGGGCCTCGTGTGACTGCAGCGTGCGCATGAGAGCTGAGCTGATAATGCTGCGCGAGCACCCACTGTCCATCAAGGCTTGGTAGCGGTCCTTTCCTGCCTCGAGCTTGATCATGACGCGCATTGGGGGAGGCGAGCTGGCCGGCGACGCGTGCAGACCCACGAAAAGATACTCCTCATCGCTGGAGCTTCCGGCGCGCTGGCGCTGTTCGACGCGCGTTTGTTGCTGGCCACGCTGTCCGCGTTGATCACTCCTAGGCCCGCGTCTCTCGTCCAGTTGTTGGTGTTCCTCCTGCTGATTATCGTGGCGAAGAGCGCGGCAGTCCTGGGTGTTGTGCGTGTTCGTCCGGTGAAAGCTACACTACTTGTTACTCGCCGACTTGTTGCCGGTGTTGTGGCCGTTGCCGCGACCACGGTTTCCTCCTCTGGACTGTTGCCGATTGTTGTTGCTGTTGCTGCTGTTATTGCGATTGCTGCCGTTACGGTTGCCGTTGCTTCGACGGCTGTGACCTCGTGGATTCTCGTTGGCGTAGTTACGCTTATCCTGTCCGCTGGTACGGTGCAGTCGCTGTTCGCCCTGCTCAATGCGCTCGAAAAATGGCACGAGGGCGGCCACGGTAGTACAGATCTGGCCGCTCGCATCGTACTTGTTCTGCCACTCGTACGGGAGGCCGCGCTTGTAGAGGCGACAGAGCGCGTCTTCGCACATCGGCGAGTTCTCGTTCAGCAGCGCGAGCGTGTGCTCCATGCGCACCAAGGCGCGGAACCGCTTGCTTACTCTGACAGCGATTCATTGCGGGACTTCTTGATCTCCCACAGCTCCTCCTGGAGCTTCTCGCTGTAGTCCGTCGGCAGCACGACAACCGATGCCTTGCGCAGTGCGCGAGTGAACTCCTCGTCCATGCGCACGTCGTCGTCGGTGATCGACGCATCTTCAAATGCCTCGCGGAGATCGCCCTCGAGCAAGATGGTCGTGTTGAGGAACTTGTCCTCCGCGTTCCAGTGTTTCAGCTTCGCCAGCTGGTTGAAGTGGTAGGTCCACTCGAGGAAGTCCTTGGGGCCGCCGTCAATGAACTTGGCCATCTTCTTCGTGACGACCTCCTCCTCGATGCCCTTCTCCTTGTTCGCAGCACGCACTGTGATTGAGTACGTGAGGTAGCGCTCCTTGTCGTCCTTGTTGGTGGAGCCGCTCATGGTTGTTTGGGTTGGCCGACGGGTAAACCTGGTCGGTCTTCTTTGAAACGTTTCAAAATGCCAAGCCGCTTGAGTCCTGTGAGTCGAATTGAGAACTGATTGATTGAATGAAGTTACTCCTGGCATCTCCTAACAGCTAGACTACTCATGTAGCGCCTTGAAGGCACCGTGTGTACCCAAAGCAAGGGTTCAAACGAACCCAGAACGGAACTCAGATGAAGTCAACCCTTACGCCACGGAGGACAGGCGCTAGTGTCGACAGGGTGCAGAAGGAGTTGTCAGCTGTGGTACATGGCCCCGTATCTAGCATTTTCCCCGGCGGCGGAGATCGTCGGCTGCTACATGCTCATCAGACAATTGCCAGAGTCAAAGCGCAAGTACAAACCGGCCATGTACATGAACTCGTTCTGGAGCAACTTTGTGTTGGTCAGCGTCGAGTACTGCACGCGCAGCATTTTCAACGCGGAGACTGTTCGAGGCTTGACGCGCACACAGTTGAGGGAGTCGGGACACCAGGGCCAGCAAGGTAACAACAAGCCACAGCCGCAGCACCGACGCCGATACTCGCGGATGTCGTCGATGCGGCGGTTCATTGCCATTTACCTGCAGACCCTCCCTGGGATTGTGACATCTTTGATCGCCATCGTGTACGTCCACTCCATCAGTCTCTTCGCCACGATCGATCGGGAGACAGAGCTACTGGCCTTTGCTATCGGCAGCATCGCGCTCAAGCTCACGCTGCAGGAAGCTGCCAAGCGCCACTTGCTGTCTACCAAGGAACCACTGCCACGACGGGCGATGATCGCGCTGATCTCCACCCCGACGATTCTCGTTGACACGCAGGTGCGAATGCTGTTGATGCGGCTACAAGACGTGACGATCTCCGTCTTAGGGTCGGCACTGCTGGCGCTCGCGGAGATCTCAGTGCGCGCGTTCAAGTCGATGCTGGTCCATCGACAAGTCCACCAAATCCTCAAGCAGCGCGTCGCCCCCACGATCGCCAAAGTCCGGCGCCGAGCCACCGTAACACAGACACCGTCTGCTTCCGCAGCAGACGCCGGTCGAGCCAGTCGTCAAGAGACGAACCACCTCGCCAGCGCGCCCTGCGACTGATGAGACGGAGGCGCAACGACAGAGGCACCTCGTGGTGCACGCGGCCGAGATCTACGCGGACATGTACGCCGAGTACATGGCCATGGGCTGCTCGTACGCCATCATGTTCTTCTTCTGAAACCACCCGCAGTACCAGTTCCTCTCCAAAGCCGCGTCCGCCAAGTCCGAGTCCGTGCAGCAGCTGCACTACTTCCTCATCTTTGCCTTCCAGGTGAGCGTGGAGGTGGCGGTGGACTTTGTGGCCTGCAACGTCGAGGCCCTGCAGGGCGTCGACTTCGGCAGCTTCGACCAGAACGACCCGTTCCTGACCTTCTTCATGTCCATGCTGGCCTTCGCCAACGTCTCCATCTCCGCGGGGCTCTACATCCGCTCGTGACAGCATTGATCAGCATTGCTGATTAACAATGCGTTGCACCTGAGACCGCGGTTCAGGCCGTGACTACCGTGGGACGATCTCGTATACGAACTGAGCCGGACCACACCGTACCCACTTCGGACAGCGCGCATGCAGGGCAACTACTGGTCTCCTGGCCCCCGAGAGCCCTCTGCGAGTACCTTTGCTCATTTCAGAAAGTATCGCGTCGAGCGCAAGCGCTTCCTTGATCCAGTATTGGTGTACCATGAAGCTCCTTCATCTCATTCCGATGGTGACGGTTCTCGCTCAGCCGGCTACCTCTTCCTCCTCCAGCTCCTCGTCCTCAAGTAGTGGACTCAACGGATGGTATCCGTGCTCGGAGTCGACTTTCTCGGACGAAGGGGGTTCTGGGGACCAAGACGCTGAGTGCGCGGTCTACACGGCCCCATTGTGCTACCCTGGTGTCTGCGAGACCCCCGAAGGGATCGACTCGACCGTGGATATCTTCGTCAAGAGGGTCGTTGCTTTGAACGACTCGGACACTGCCACCAACGTGTGGATCATGCAAGGAGGCCCAGGCGCTTCCTCCACTGCCAGTACATAGCCGGTAGCTGAAGTAGCCATGAATCGAACACTGCCCTAACCTTTGTTATCTGTGTTTGCAGTGGAATCGGCGATGGTGGAGCTCCACGCTCGTCTGAATGGCACAGTGAACGTCTACACCATGGACCACCGCGGCACTGGTCGAAGCACTCTACTCGACTGCGTGGCGGCTCAAGCCACGACTACTGGTTCCCCGTACGGCAGCTCCATCGACGTGACGGAGGTCCCCGCCTGTGCTGAGGCTCTGGAGAAGAAGTACGGCAACCTCTCCTCTTTCTCCATGACAAGCGCCGCCTCGGACATGGCGACCTTCATCTCCAACTACTCGAACGGAGCGGATACCATCGTGTACGGAGTGAGCTACGGTACTGCATTAGTGGAGCGCGTGATCCACTTGGATCCCCCCGAGGTGACTGGGTACGTGTTGGACGGCGTCGCCACGAGCTCGGGCGCGTCTGGTGACAAAACCTTCGAGTACTTTTCGACCTGGGACGCCGACTTTGGGGAGGTGGGGGACGCCTTCATGGCGCTCTGCAAGACGCAAAGTGAGTGCAACGACCGATTCGCATCGACTGATCTCTCCACAACGCTGCAGAACCTCATCAACGACTTCGACTCCAACCCCAACTCGACGTGTGCGGCCTTGGTGAGCAGCGGCAGCTCTGACCCAGCGTCGTACACGGTGCGGGAGGCTCTGGGGTCGCTGCTGCAGGGCTCGCGTATGCGCACGCTCATCCCTCCCGTCGTCTACCGCCTGAATCGCTGCGCGTCCGAGGACATCGACGTTCTGACGCACTTCTTCGCCGCTTTGAACTCGGACCTCTCGGCCCCAGACCAGGAGAACGCGTTTGAATCCACGCTGCTCTACTACCTCATTGTCTTCTCCGAGTTGTGGGAGAAGCCCGAGCCGTCCGCGTCGGAAATGCTGGCGCGGTTCACGAACACGACCATCTCGAACGGAGGGACGTACACGGAGATCCCGGACTATTGCGCCTTCTCGAAGGAGAACTCGACTACGTGCAATGGACTGGAAGTCGGCAACTACTCCGCCAACGGGATCATCTACGAGCGGGACGAGTACTGGAACAAGAGCGCCGTGATCCCCAGCCAGGCCAGCGTCTTGTTGCTCAGCAGCAAGCTGGACCCGCAGACGCCGCACAAGTACGCCAAGTATCTGTTGGAGGCGTTGGATGGCGACCAGAAGGAGCTGATCACCTTCAACTATGCAACGCACGGGACGCTGTGGACGACCCCGATGGTGGACGGGGACTACTCGAGCGAGACGTGCGGCATGATGCTGCTCATGTCGTTCGTGACCAACAACGGCGACTTGGCGGGTCTGGACAAGTCTTGCGTTGAGGAGATGCCCGCGTTCAATCTCACGGTGCCGCTCACGTACCAGCATTACTATTTGAGTACGGACGACGTCTACGACGGCGTGTACAGCGCCAGTCTGAGTGCGAGCGGATCGACCTCAGGCAGTGCGAGCTCTGCATCAGACGGGAGCTCCAAGTACAAGGCCGTCTTTATCGTCTTCCTCGTCCTCTTTGTGCTAGCGCTAGCGCTGGCGCTCGCTGCTTTCTTCGTCTACCGCTGGAACAAGCTCAAGCATAGCAAGACGGACGAAAGGACGACCGAGGACTTGCCGGGGCACGTAGAGATCCTGTCTCCAGTCGAGCTAGCCAAGTAAACCTAAGAAATAATGGGAACTTCACTAGCGATAATTCGTTGGGATCAAGCTGGAAGGTATCCGGATAATGATCTCAGGAGCACCAACTCCATCACATTTAGACTAAGAGATGGCTAGCAGCATCGCGTATCAACCCAAACACGGCAAAACGGACGCCGCCGCCTGTCAGTCCTCACTCTCTCAGTTCAGAAAACATTCTGTCGAGACTGTGCTGTACCAAAGAAGCGCTAGACGCGCTCAACACGCTCGACTAATCGACACCACACTTCTCTGGTCGAGATGCAGCTCTACCATGCGATCGCGCTGGTGTCGATGCTCGCGCAGGCGTCGGCTGCCTCAACTTCATCTTCATCTTCGTCTTCGTCTTCTAACGATTTGAACGGCTGGTACCCCTGCTCCGAGTCCACCTTCGCGGACGAAGGGGGATCTGGCGACCTGGATGCCGAATGCGCCGTGTACACCGCGCCGCTGTGCTACCCTGGAATCTGCGAGACCGCAGACTTTATCGACTCGACTGTCGATATTTTCGTGAAGCGCGTGCCGGCTTTGACCGACCCCGACAGGGCGACCAACGTTTGGCTGATGCAAGGCGGCCCCGGAGCTTCATCCACTGCAAGTAAGTGCTGTCCGTCTTGGATTAATTACCGCTATCGAATAGATAAACTAACGTTTATTTTTTTGTAGTGGAATCGGCTATGGTGGAGCTCCACGCGCGTCTGGATGGAGCCGTGAATGTGTATACAATGGATCATCGAGGTACAGGTCGCAGTACACTATTGGATTGCGTTGCAGCGCAAGCAACTACAACGGGGTCCCCTTGGGGTAGCTCCATTAAATCGTCAGAAGTCCCAGCGTGTGCTCAGGCACTGGAGAAGAAGTACGGCAACCTCTCTTCCTTCTCCATCACAAGCGCCGCGACAGACGTTGCGACTTTCATCTCCAGCTACTCGAACGGTGCCAATACTATCGTCTATGGTGTGAGTTATGGCACTGCGTTAGTGGAGCGCGTTATTCACTTGGACCCACCGGAGGTGACTGGGTATGTTTTAGACGGCGTTGCCACGAGTTCGGGGGCATCTGCGGACAAATTCGAGTACTTTTCAACTTGGGATTCGGACTTTGGCGACGTGGGGGACGCGTTCTTGGCGCTTTGCGCGACTCAAAGCGACTGCAATAGCCGATTCCAGACGAACACGCTCCCAGTCACGCTTCAGACTCTTATTACAAACTTTGACAACAATCCCAAGTCCACGTGTGCTGCGTTGATCACCAGCGCGTACAGCGACCAGAACAGCGGCCCACCGTCTTACATTCTACGACGAGCGCTGGGGTCGCTGCTTCAGAGCGCGAAGATGCGGACGTTGATCCCTCCCGTTGTGTACCGATTGGATCGCTGCGCTTCACAGGACGTCGACGTGTTGACCCACTTCTTCGCGTTCTTGAACAAGTTCGAGGGCTACCCAGACGAGGACAACGCCTTCGAGTCGACGCTGCTCTACTACCTCATCGTATTCTCCGAGATGTGGGAGCGACCGCAGCCCTCCATCTCCGAGATGCTGTCTCGATTCACCAGTACTCGAATCTCAAACGGAGGGACGTACACGGACATCCCGCAGTACTGCGCGTTCTCAAAAGAAAGCTCAACAGTGTGCGACCATCTCAACATCGGGAACTACGATGCGAACGGGATTATATACGAGCGCGACGAATACTGGAACAAGAGCGCTGCGATCCCCAGCCAAGCCAGCGTCTTGTTGCTTAGCAGCAAACTGGATCCACAGACCCCTCACAAATACGCCGAGTATCTGCTAGAGGCTCTTGACGGCGAACAGAAGGAGTTGGTCACCTTCGAGTATGCTACCCACGGTACAGTGTGGACGACCCCTTTGGACGAGAGCGACGAGGACAGCGAGACGTGCGGTATGAACCTCCTCGTGTCGTATGTGAGCGTTGACGGCGATTTGGATGCGCTGGACAAGACTTGTGTGGACGAGATGCCCGGCCTTAGCCTGACACCGCCGCTTGCGTATCAGTACTACTTCCTGAGCACGGACGATGCGTATGACGGAGAATACGATGAAAGTCTGGCTGCTCTTGTCATCAGTTCAAGCTCTAGTTTAGCTGGCTCTGACAGCAGCAATACGTTGGCCACAACCACCAAGGAAGATGCGACATACAAAATAGTCTTCATCGTGTTCCTGGTGCTCTTCGTGGTGGCGTCGGCGATTGCAGTCTTCTTTGCGTACCGATGGTACAAGCTCAAGCACCAGAAACCAGCGAGCAGAGAGACCGAGGACTTGCCGGAGAATATCACTGTCTCGACGCCAGCTGAAGTGGCTTCGGCATCCCCAGAACTGGCGACTTCCTTCTCGACGCAGCGAGTTTCGTAGGAAATGGGCCACTAGCGAGTGGCCAAGAAGTAGTTTCAGCTAGGATATACACTATTCAACACAAAAATATGCCTATGACAGCTTCAGACTGATTGTCGATCCAAGTATTCATTGTTTTTGTAATGTCTACCGAAGAAGGCGCACCGCATTGTACAGATAACAGTTCCATCGCTATCTTTGATAAGTTCTGACTCGTGCAGTCCGCCTGAACGCCCGACATTGCTGATGGTCATCGAACAAGTCGAGTTTGGAGTTTTGCCGCAAGCCCTTGAGCACAGGCAAAAAAGACGGTCAAACTCTCTTGGGATACTCGATACTGTAACTATATTTGTGGGAGACTGTGGATCCAGTTGCCAACTTGCCAACTGGCAGTTGGCAAGAAGTGTACATCTACCTAAAATACCACTATTGCTGCAATCAAATGGTGCGCGATACGAAGGGTCGCCACCTGGGTACATAAAACATAAAGCATTGCCCTTACTGTAATTGGTGTAGTTAATCAGCGTAAGAAGTCTAGTTTGCGCTTCACTATTGTCAATTCCGTTGAAAATTTCCAAATCGGGCCGATTTCGAAAATCGACCAATACAAATTCAAGTACAGATCGAAACCGCTCCAAACAAGAATGCCATATGTAAATCGTACTTAAACGAGCTCCAATAGACAATCCAAGTGGCCGGGGCGATTGGGGAGCGATTTGGCTCGGGCGATTGCAATCGGCCGGTTCGGAAATTTTGAGTAGAACCCACAATATTAGGGGGCCACCAATGTCTACTTCATAACGAAAATAGACATCAAAAGCTCAGTTCGTGAGCGCCACCTGCCGTGCTGTTGTTGAGCGTGATGTCCCAGTCCCCAGCTTACATTTGATGTAGGAACTAGTTTTTTTTTTCATCTTCAGCGCTGACAAATCTGTCTTTATCATTAGTACCAGACAACGACGATGAAATCCGCCATACCTTTGAAATCCGCCCATGTCGTTCATGCGATCAACCAATCATATCAGCGGATCTGTATATTTTGTGTAAAACGCGCACTTTCCACGTAATATATGGACTTTATCGTGTACACTTTACACTTTTATGCATACTCAAGACCCTGATCGGCCAATGGAAATACACTCGAAATCCTTAAAGATTAGCGTTATACTTGAGGAAAGTGTTCAGATAGCGGGCGGATTTCATCGTCGTTGTCTGTACTGCAAGAAAAATATCCGACTATATTATTAAGGTATGGTGCCAGTCGCGTGCAATCTGCCAGTTCCGTGCCACTTTAGCTTCAACCAATTAGAACGCCGTAAATATTTTTAAAGAACCCTATTGGTAAAAAGTATGTACCAGCCAGTAAAACCCGCCAAACTGTATACGACCAAGACACATTTCCCGCCAGTTTGAGCTCAGTCTCCTATTTCCTGAAGCCTACAAACCACCCACCAACCCCGCAGCGACCACCTCGACAATGCACGCGTACGAGATCGAAGACCTCAATTCTGTAGTGAAGCGCGTCCTCACCGGCGACAGCGCCCGCAGTGTCAGCGACAGCACCCCAATTCCGTATCGGACCCTTACCAAATGGGTCGCGAAGGGGAAAATGGGCATCTTCCGCGCACCTGTTCGTCATGGCCCGGCTCCGCTGCTCTCGCAACCAGCGGAGGCATGCTTGGTCGAGTGGATTGTCGGGCGCCAACTGGTCGGTCACCCCGCAAGTCGCAAGGGGATCATCTTCAAAGCCGGCACCATGAGCTCCATGGGCACTGGTCGAACGGTTGGTGGCGGGTGGTACCGCCGCTCATGGAGCGACAGATGCTGGCAACCCGAACGTCTCAGGTGGTATGCAAGGCCCGCAACGCTGTGACCAAGAGCGATCTCGAGCAGTTTTGTTTAGCTCGTTGATCAAGGCTGTGGTCGAGAATCGGTTGGACGCGTCTCGCGTGTTCAACATGGACGAAACAGCGTTCCAGACCAACAAGGGCTCCAAGCGTGTCGTGGCGGTTTGAGGCTCCAAGAACGTTTGGCACCAAGACGTTGCGCTCTCACGCTGGTCGCGTGTGGCAGCGCGTCGGGGTGCATGGTGCCGCCGCTTTTCGTGCTGCCGGGGTTGACAGTCAAGCTCGAAGTTCTCGATGGCTGCGCCATACCCGGGGCTGCCGTCACCACCTCGAGCTCCGGGTTCATGAATGGATTTCTCTTTCTAGAGTGGCTGCGCTTTTTTTTCGGCTAGCGTGCCCAAGGACGTGCAGCGACCTCTTCTCCTGATTCTGGATGGGTGTTCGTCTCATTACTCCGTGGAGATCATCTTAGAGGCAGCTTGGCTTGGCGTGCATCTGTTGTTGCTGCCTTCGAACGCGACCCACCTGCTTCAACCACTGGATGTCGCTGTGTTTTCGTCGTCCAAGGCGAAGCTACGCCGCCTAACCGAGATCTACGTTGGCGAGTCTGGACGCAATTCGGTCGACAAAGAGGAAGCCATTCGGATGGCAAGCGCAGCATGGGTAGGATGCAAGATGGGTGAGAACGTCAAAGCGGGGTTTGCTGGGTGCGGCCTTTTCCCTCCGTCCAACCCTCGTATGGACATGTGCATCGACAATTTCCGGCACAACGGGACCCCCGCATCTACGAAGCTGGCAGCGTGGCTCCGGATCAAGGAGGATGTGCAGAAGGATGTGCTCGTGCTATCGCCGTCCAAGAAGCGGGTGCGCAAGACAGCAACGGTCGCCGGTCGTTATTTGACCAAGGAAACACTGGAAGCGATGGCACAACCGGTGAAGAAGAAGGCAGCCAAGACGAAGAAGGATCCGATGGCAACGAAGGCGACGAAGACGAAGAGGGCGCCGTCTCCGGTGCCGGAGCCTGTGCAGCTGCAGTTCCAGTCTGCTTCGAAGCACGGTGAGGCAAACCAGCAGGAGGAAGTTGTGTGCGAGGCGGTAGTTTAGTATAACCAAAGAAAAAAGCTTTTGCTGGGGCATTTTCCACCACATTGTCTTCATTATTTTTTTGTTTATTTCCTACTTTCTATAGTGATACGATATCCCTATGTATGCCTGGGCCCGCTGTGATGTCCGGTTTTTGAGATTTGACGATCTCAAACCGTTATCAGAAGGGGAACCCGACTCATGGTACTTAGCATACTGGCGGTCAATCAGTTCACTCGGTGGCAGCCGTCGGTCGCTTTCGCAGTTCTGTGACAGCCCCCTAATGCTCTAATTGACAGTTAGCACACTAGTGTTCGGGTTGAGTTAATGCTGCCAGGTGGAATCCACCGTCCTCTCGGTTATGATCCGAGGACTTTACCACTAAGCTATGGCAGCGCTGCCTCTGAGCACAAAATGGACTATGTTTATACACAAATAACATAATATTGTGCACCATATTGTGATATTGTATATCCTGCCTTATACGATTTCAAATGAGTGCAAATCATTTTGTACAGGTCGTTTCGGTGCTGTCATGAGAGCAAAAAGAGATTTGCCCCCCTTACAAAACCACAGATAAAATGCGGCAGATAACTGGTCCTGCCGTGAATGGGCTTGCAAATAGTCAGCAACTCCTAATTGAGCTCTCGTTTACTGTAGAGCTCAGTAAAACGGTCTGCTAACAGAAGAGATTACGCTCTCTTCAGATATGCGTTTACATCTCAAAACTAATTGCCCAATAAAAAGTTATGAGCAAAACAGTGAGCGGGATGACATTTAGGCACACAAGTGGCACCGTACCTTACTTCTATCCGTCTATATGGATATGTACTACTCAGGCCGACACTAGTTCGTAAGGTGAAACGATAGCTCTAGGGTTGAAACCGTACAGTTAGAGTTACTCTGTAGCGTTGGAGTCGTATGTGGTGTGGTAATTCCACTAAAATCCTCCTCTACCAAAAGGTATTAGAGACACCAACAACACGCTAACCCGCAAAGGTAAACGCTTATTGGATCAAAACCTGAAGACCAGGAACGATCCCTTACACCGGGTCGGTTGCAAGCGCCTCTGTGCACCTTAGGTTGTCTTCGGTCAACCCAAAAACCTGTACCACTAGCCACGAGCTTAGGCTAGGATACTATGTAGCGCTTTCGCGCAACCCCACTACAGCCCCTCAGAAAGGAAGGGTACCGGCGTGTTAGGCCTTAAACAGGGGGACCAAGGTAAAACCTCGGTAGGTAGGCTAATACACTCAGGGATACTCTAATCCCACAAATATATACCGAACGATACTCTAATACCGTTCCTGCCTCTCCGGCCACGCCAACTCTTGGCGCTGTCATGGAAACTCTTGGTCAATGCACGATAAGCTCCCCGACAGGCATCCACACGCAGCCGAGCGTGTCCAGGCACTACAATAAGCTAGCTACACTTACCGAAGTCGGACTTGACCCTTGTTGGCTTTGGGGGAAGACTGTCTTTTTATTACTGAGTTTTCTGAGGCCCTGGGGGCCTCGTTCTGGCCATCCTATGATGAGTCCTATGTCCCTATACAAATATCTAGTGTGAACGATCGCAATAAGGCGATTCCGGACACATCAAATGACGACCGCGGCTACACTAATAAGTGCGGCCGAAGTACGTAACTAAATGCATCTGTACCTAAAAGTGGGTACCATGAAGCCTCGTTCGGGGTTCTATCAGGGCCCGACGAGGCTTTGGCCACTGCCTGTCACTCTACCGAGGATAATGTCATCATCCAATCAGAAGCAGCCATCTCCGTCTCTCGCTTGGCCTTGCCTTGATCGCCCCTTGATTGAACTTGATTGTCAGGCTGGCGGGTCAACAGCATTGGAAACTGCCACTTTCCAATACCACAACTGCCCCCGCCTCGACGCGAGCCTCCCACGCTGGTGAGCATCTAGGCGTCCTCAGTTCTTCGACTCCATGGCTCCTCCGTCGCGTGCATTCGCCGACGCGGCTGCCGCTGCTCTTCGGGCTCTCCAGTGCTCCGGACCGGTACGTTCGTCGCTCCCGCTGCTCCTCACTGTCATTTGGATCCTCGTTGTTGACTCCATCTCTTTCTTGATCATCTCAGGGAGCTGTTGATGTCGCCACCGACACTTCGGGTCGTCGTCCGGCGCACCAGGCTCGTTCGGCGGGTGCCCCCGCCCCTATCGCCGCTGGTGCTGTGCCCCCAGCCCCGACCGCACCTGCAGGTGACCCTACGCTCATTCCTGCCGCCTCCTGGACCTCGGTCGAACTTCCACCGGCTCCTCCAAGTAGTCCTGAGTCTGCTGCTGGGGCGACCGAGACTCCCTCGCCGGCAGTTCCCAGTGAAGAGGCTCCCGACTCGCCGCCGACACCTCCGCCAAGCGCCAGCGCTCCACCGTCGCCAACCCCCGCGCCTTCGGTCACGTTGGCAACTCGCGGGGCGTCGGTGGGGGGGGGGAGGCAGCTGTAGGGGGTCGCGCCGGAGCTGTTGCTGGCCCGGCCGAGGTTCCTCCGACAGCGGTCGTCTTGGGCGAGCAGCAGATGCTGGAACTCGCTCGTCTCGTCGTGGGTGTTGCCCGTTCACCTCCAGCTCGAGTCAACGCTGCTCTCGACCACAGCCTGCCAGCTGCTACTAACGTCGGCGAGGTGCTGGCTGCTGCCGTTGCTCCTCCGCGTCTCCCTCTTGCGGAGGCTGATGAACTGGTGGCCCTCCGCCGCGAGAACGACCGGCTACAGGCAGAGCTCTCCGACGCCAAAGATAAACTCGCTGAAGAGATGAACCTGCGGACCAAGTCGGACTACGTCCTCGTCTCGGCCAACTCCGAGTGCGACCAAGCTCTGGACCTCGTCCAGGACATGCGCGTCCAGCTCAGCAACGCCAGCGCTCAGTTGATGCAAGCGAACGCGGCCATCGCTCACCTCGCTGACGTCACTCAGTCGTTGGAGAAGCGGACGCTCGTTGCTGAGGCCGATTCGGCCGCTGCTGTACGTCGGAACACCCAGCTCGGCCACCGTGCCACTCCCGAGTCGACTCCACACTCGGTCGGCCTCTGTTCACGCTCGGGCGATGGTAACAGCAACGGTGACAGCTTCACCGAGGGCTGGACCTGCGTCGATTGCCCCAGCAGTGGTTGACGCTTCCGACGTAGCTCCTGGATCGCGTAAGCCCAGTGGCCTTACTACCCTGTTCTTGGAGCCGGGTTTCACGGCACCCGGAGCGTCGGAATGCTGGCATCTCATCCAAAACGCCAGTGTCCCCCTCGTCTGCGAGGACGACTTGGTCGCCCCCAGTTCAGTGGATGGAATCGTGGAGTTTGGCTTGTGGACGGATCCTGCTCACCCCTTCCAAGTGTTGCGCCAGCTTTTCCCAGACGAGCCTTGTTTGATCGATACGACGGGTTTTCCATCCTCGGTGGCTATATCCCGTCGTGCAACTGGTCGGGCTCTTCTCGTTCGCCTATGGCGGCAGTTCCAGGGGTACTCCTACCACTCCACCGAGAGGGGCGACCTTGGTTTCGCCTTGTGGGAGCGTCGCCACTGGATTAGGGGTAAAGCTGTCAAGGCGTATATCGACAACCTCGCCAGCACCCTCGGTCAGCGCAACGTGCAAGTCCTAGCGCATCGACAAGCGTGGTCCAAGTACCACCGAGAGCGCAATGATCGTGCAGATCGCTTGCGAGACCAGATGCTCCACAAGGTGTGGAATGGGGCCATTACGTACGACGGACAACCTCCACAGCACCGCACCGAGGTTTTGCTGGAGCCGTCGTACCTGCAATACTCGTTCGAGGCGATGGAGCGGGTCCCCAATACCGACGACTGGGCCTCCGAGGTGGCGGACGTGGATGCCCGCGAGCCGTGGCGTAACTGTCGGTTCCAAGCGCCGGCAGACCACCCCTACAACACGGCTTTCGCCCCTTGCAACGACGTCCCGTTGTTTATCCCCAACGGATCGACTCGGGAAACCGTGGCGTCGTCGGTCGTGGTCGAATCTTCTCTGCGGACTTCGATGGTGGTCGCTCCATGGGTGGCCAAATTCGCAAACGCTCGTCGTTCTCGCTCTCCAAGCCCCGATGAGGAGACGAAGGAGTCGGGTGAAGCTTCTTCCGCCGCCGGGTCAAGTCTGGGCGTGTTGGCTCAGGCTGTGATGGAGATTAGGCCTCGTCAGGCCCCGCTCCAGCTTCACCGTTTCGTTCACGTTCTTTTCCAATGTCGACCGAAGTCCGTGGCGCTTTAGGCGACGCTGCATGTGCTATCCCAATCCAAAATAACGTCATGTTGTTCGTTCCATTTCATAATCTCTTCTCGCGTCAACGCACATCGCATTCAATACTCGGTCGCGGTTCCCAGAGCTTCTTCTCTGCCCTCGACCGCTGTGGCTGCCTCAAACCAGGCTTGGTTCGTAGCTGCGGCAGCCGGGCTTCGTCTTGTCTCCCTGCAAGGAGATCGGGCTTATGCTCGTTGAAGACCGGACTTGATTCGCGGGAGACCGGGCGTACTTACGCGAGCTCCGTTGCGGGTATGTTTTCGCATGACAGCCCAATTTTGACAACTGTACACCCGGTCTGCTGCGGGTATCCGGTGTCGACAGCTTGCATACCCATTTCATCATCAACTCCATACTCAACCACGAAGTCGAGCGCACTTGTTCGTGCTACTTCCATGGCAATCACTGCGTCCGAAGCCTCGGTCGCCCTCCCATTTGCTTCATCATCACTTGTTTCGTCTGTTGAGGGTTTGACCGAGGCTTGCTTGCGTCTTCCGTTGTCCCTGGCTCCATTCCGATATCTCCATTCCATCGTGACTCGTTCACTTAACACGTAACATACAGATTCCAGTAACTTTCTTCGTCTGTCACTGCGAGCTGGATAGCCCTCGCAGGCAGTTCAATCATCATCTCCAGTAGCCTCGTTCGTCTGACATCGCGGGCTGGATTGCCCCCGCGAGCAGTTCAATCCTCGTTGGGGCGCAGAATTACTCCTCGTCGGCCACCAGGACCATTTGCAAACGTCGGTCGCTTCGCTTCCGGCGTAGGTAATCGTACAGGTGGCCACCGCACGAGAGATTGGACGCTGGTTCCCATGTCGGCTCGTCATAGCCGACCCACTTCACCTTGAACTCTCGGACGGCCCGGTGAGTGCTCGTTGACAACGGTGTCCGGTCATCGAGGATAGCCTCGACTTCATACTCACCGTCCAGGCGATCCGGCTCAAAACTGTCTTCAGGCAGTAATTCCTCGTCGAAGTCAAGACGAGTGTCTTCGGTGACCTCACGAGCCAAACGAACCCTCGGTCGGCCTTCGAACTCGTCCACTGACTTGAGTCGTGAAACATGCACCACCGGGTAGAACCGGTATCCACTTCGGTCGGGTAATTCCAACTCATACGCAAATTCGTCGACCTTCTTCTTCACGCGGAACGGTCCGTGCCACCGATGGGCTAGTTGCTTGGTCAGTCCTGGTCGAACCCGCTCCATGTACAGCCACACTCTGCTCCCGGGCTGCAAAGAAAACCTCGTTCTCGTCACTGCAGCTCTACTATGGTCAGGGGAACTCGGTGCCCGGTCGACCGAGGTTCTATTCTCGTTGACGCCTGCCATGGCTTCCTTCTCCTTCCTGCCAAGCGACGCATTGTGCTCTTCAGCTCTCCGAGCCTTTTGCGCGGCTTGGTACTCCTTGACCATCCTCAGGGCGATTTCCTGCTGTCGGTTGACCTCTCGGCGCCATGCTAGCGCGTCAGTTTGGCTACCGAAGCCTCGTTTGAGTGACAAGGACATTGCCTTGAGCGTCGACTGTGCATCCCACCCATGAACGAGATAAAACGGAGTTTCCTTCCTCGTCGTATCACGGGAGCTATTGATGGCGAAGATCAGTCTTTCGGCGATCTCGTCCCGATCCTGCTGTAGTGGGTCTTTAGCGTATACGCGGACTGACTGCATGATCGTCTTCACCGATCTCTCCTGCTGGCCGTTGGCCTGCGGGCGGTAGCTCAGGGTCGCTCTCGACCGAGACTGCATCATTTCCGCGAAGGCTTGGAAGACCTCGCTCATAAATCGAGGATCTTGGTCATGACGGATCAAGGACGGTACTCCAAAACGTCGGTAGACACACTCTTCGAAAGCTTGCGCAACGAGTAAGGCGGTAGTATCAGACATGGCTTTGCCCATCACGAATCCCGTGAACGAGCATTTGAAGAGCAGGATAGCCGTGTTGCCACGGCGACTCTTCGGTAGCGGTATCACGAAGTCCATAGAGACTAGTTGGAAGGGTCTCTCGGCTAGGATGTTCCCTGGCGAGTACCCGCGGAACTGAGGTCGGCTCTTACTTGAACTCCAGTCAGGGCACGACTTAACGTGTTTCTCCACATCGGCATACTGGCCGATCCAGTAATAGTCTCTTGCCGCTCGATGTAGCCTACGGGTAATACCTTGATGACCGCCTTCAAGTGAGTCATGACAGCTTTGCAGGACCTCTTGGATCATCGTTGTGGGCACCACGAGTCTCGTCTTCAACTCGGCTTGCTCGCCGTCACTTGAACGACGGCTCGTTCATGTGTAATATAGCACATCGTCCTCACTCAACACAAATTGGTCCGCCATTTTCCATGCATCTCGTGCTGCTCTGTATCCAATCTTCGCATCATCTCCCCGGAGCACTACCTTCAGATTCGACCACCGTAACTCTTCATCTTGAGCGGAGGCGATTCTCCTTCGGCGTTCTTCCTGTACTACCAGCGGGTCAATGTCTTCTGCGTTCGGTGGGACTGGTGACGTCTCGGCACGCAGCGGTGAAGCTTCTGCTTCATTCTGAGACTCGTTCGGTACACTATTGGCTTCTACTCGGTGAGATGCGTCTCCCTGATCGGTGATCGAGACTTCATCTGCAAACCGGACGTGTTTCTCCTTTGCTCTCGTTTGACGTCTGGTCATCACAGCTACGTGTCCGGGTTCAGTCTCGTTCTGCCGTCTGCGGTCGGTTTCTCTTCGCACAAAATCGAAAAAATTCTTGCTACGAGGTTTGGCAGAAGCTATCACGGCCCATACTGTGTTGGCCGAGGGTATGTCCTCGACGACGCAACCGTCAGCAGCCTCGTAGATGACTTCAGCGATACGGTTCAGCTTAATCAGCTCTAATACTCGGTCGTCCGACGATACCACCGTAGACTCCTTGCACTCGAGAGTCTCGCTTGCCCGAGAGTCGGCCGCAGCGTTAAACTCTCTCACCACATGCAGGTACTTCACCGGCCGAAGCTTGGCCGTGAGTTCTTGGTGGTGGCTGAGTTGTTGCAGCAATGACTCCTTCCGACAGGCTATCACCCCTAGGGCTTGCTGGATCGCGAGCCTCGAGTCGCCAACGACAACTAGATCGTCGGCTTCGTGCTGTAATGCAGCAGAGACGCCGTTGTTCATCGCGGTGTACTCAGTGAGGTTGACCGTGGTGTTCTCGAGGTAAGCGCTCGCAACAAGCACTACTGTCCACACTGGTAGCTTCCATAGTATCCACGAGCAACTGCCGTATCCACCGTTCTTCTCGGTCTTCGCAGACCCGTCAAACGACATAACGAATCCTCGGTAGGACCGCGGTAGGCGTGCGTAGAGCAGATGCGGGTAGTTGGTGACCCTCGTGTCCGGGGTGTGACCAACGCCAGTGACTTATCCAAGTCAACGAAGTTCGTCAAGCCGGCTTGAAGTAGCCGAGCAAACGAACAGTCGGTTTCTTCGACTCGTTCGACCAACAGGTGCAACGGCGACAGCAAGACGGCGAACTGGGTAGCCCGACCGAACAATGTCTTGGACTTGTGGACCCAGTCGAGTGTCGAAAACCGAGTGTATACCCGGATTCGCTGTCCAACGAGTTGAGTATAACACACCTTCAGTATCAGCAGAAGCGCGAGGACCTCTTTCTCGGCCGGGTGATAATTCATCTCAGCATCCTTCAAAACACGTCCGCAGAAGCGAACGTGGTGTAGTTTGCCCTCGTGCTCTTGCATCAACGTGGAACTTAGAGCCCACTCGTTGGCGAACAACATGGCATGCACCTCCTTCTTCCGGTCGAAGTGTCGTAGTATCGGTGCTGCTGAAACCTTCTGTTGGAGCATCGCGAAGCTGTGCTTGGCCGCGGTGAGGTCAGCCCCGAG